GAATAGCGTTGCAAGGCCCATCAAATCCCTCCAGGCCTGCAGCCGGCTAATTCAAATCACCCTCTGGTGCTACCCGTCTGGGCCTTTCAACTGCTAGCCCGTGCTGCCTGCCAACAATACGCTACAGAGACCAGTCTGGTGCTTGTACACTGCACAGCTTCTGCTGCTAGTTGCACAAAACTGAATTCTGAGGTCTGGTGGCTCCAGCACAGAAAGGCTTCGTCTCTGCCTCTCTCTCTCTTTTAACCTTAGCCCAGAACCCAGATCCCAGGACCCAGCCTCGCCCAACTCAACCTTTTTTCTTCTTCTCCTCTCCAACTTCACTTCACCCTCTACGCTCTGCTCGCTGTCGATACGCCTCGCGCTGCCTGTCGGCTCCATCCATTGACCTGCTTGCCTATACGCCCCAGACGCACCCACTTACTGGCTCGGTCCAACCTATTACCTTGCCTTACCGCCGCCACTACTGCTGCTACTGTCACTACGACTCTCTTGCTTCCCGCCAAATTAATCTCCAAAACTCCAGAGCCTCAATTCGCAACCGCCAAACCTCGCCCTCGCATCTGCTCTCCCTCCCCCGCGGCCCGCGCTGCGATAAGGCATCCTCGCCTCCATCGTATCCTCCGTCGTCAGACCTCCCTCTTCGTCAAGGAACCGCATTCGCAGCACCACCATGGTGGTCGCAACCATCAAGTACGAATCTGCAAGCCCCTCTGCCATCCTGCATTCCATCCCCCCCCCTTTGCATCAGCTCTACCGCTCTTCTATCGCCGCCTCGCCTCGACTTCGTCTTTTTTTCTGGTCCCTCTCCTTGAAGCAACGCTGCGATGTCGGCATCTCAGGGCGCTGCTTTGTTGATCCCTAAGATGTCATCGTCCCCCGACACGCTGACAGGGAGGGGGGCGGTCAATGAAGCTGCAATGGCCCTTTTCCTCTTCCCGCACCCCCCCATCCTCGGCTGAATCTGCATTTTCTTGCTCGCTAACATTGCAATTCGCTCGCAGGTGCGTTGTCGTCGGCGACGGTGCCGTCGGCAAGACATGTCTTCTCATCAGCTACACCACCAACAAATTCCCCTCGGAATACGTGCCGACCGTTTTCGACAACTATGCCGTCACCGTCATGTGAGTGGTCCTCCTAGCCATCCCATCCCCCATTTTGAACTGGAGAGAGAACGAGAGAACGAGAGAACGGCGGACGTTTCGACTTGCGGCGGTTGGATATGTTTGATTTTCAAGTATCGCGTATTGAGCGAGCACGAGAGAAAAAGACGATAAATTAAACCCAACGTCTTGCTGAATGGAAAGGCGGCCTAACAGCCGGCTCTCGGCGAAATCTGCTTGTGGAACCAAGGCCCTTCATCTATGAGACTCGATGGCTGACTTGCGCTGAATAGGATCGGCGATGAGCCCTATACCCTGGGACTGTTCGATACCGCTGGACAGGAGGATTACGACCGTCTGCGTCCTCTCTCATACCCCCAAACCGACGTTTTCCTCGTCTGCTTCAGCGTTACCTCCCCTGCGTCATTCGAAAACGTTCGCGAGAAGTGGTTCCCCGAAGTGCACCACCACTGCCCTGGCGTCCCCTGCCTCATTGTCGGAACCCAGGTCGATCTGAGAGATGACCCCAGCGTTAGAGAGAAGCTTGCCAAGCAGAAGATGGCCCCAGTCCGTCGAGAGGATGGTGAGCGTATGGCAAAGGACCTCGGCGCAGTTAAATACGTCGAGTGCAGTGCGTTGACGCAGTACAAGCTGAAGGATGTGTTTGACGAGGTAGGTTGTGTTGAAAAATCCCTTTCCATCTTCTTTGCTTCTTTGAAATGAAAACATCCGCTGACATGATCTTTCTAGGCCATCGTTGCTGCTTTAGAGCCTCCGGCGCCCAAGAAAAAATCCCACAAGTGCCTTGTTCTATAAACCACAGACTCGGGGAATTGCTTCATAGGATATCGCCATTGTTTCGCTCGGTGGTCAGTTGACCAGAAGGGATGGGTTCTGGATACATGGGACGAGGTCAATTGGAGATGAGGATGTGTGTTTGGACGGAGCGAATAGACTTGGAACTGGGCTCTGTCTACCCATGATGGCTGGTGTCACTGGCAAATAGAGGAGGGGAACCATTTTTTTCTCTGGCTGTTTGGCCAAGGAAGAAATTTGCCTATGGATTTTTCCCTTACGCCTAGCGATATCAAGGCATAGATTCCCTTTCACGATGGGTATGAAATGGGATGGTGGCTAGAGCTCCCTGGATGCGGTCTGCTGTGTCACTGGCAGCCCTTGCCCGTATTTCTCCGTCATTTCCTCAATGGCCTCGAGACCAGAGACCGAATCTACGCTGCTGTCTATTCTTGTTTCTCTCTATATTTTGGGCCAGGGAACTTATAAAATGCAGACAGGCATGTTTCGATGGGAAAGTTTGGCGATTAGGAGTGCAGTTAATTGAACGGACCTTTTGTTATGCCATTTTTTCTTTTTCTTTTTTCCTCTTACCTTTTACTTGATCTTGCTGTTACTCTACTGCCGAATGCGTATCATTTGTGAATTGGATATTTGAAGTAGAGCTTCCTCATGGCTCTACTATGTTCAATGTCTATAGGTAACACTCACTGGTAAGACGACACCAAGTATGAGGCATGTAAGAGTCGATTAGAATTGGCAACTAGGCCTCGGCAATTGGATGATTCTCAATCACACCCCGCGTTTACTCTTCCCGGTGACGCGTGCATTGCCCCATTAAATCCGTAAGTAGCATGAAGGGCCTCTATGGAGATCTGCAAGCGCAAGAGTGAAGATTTGTAAGGACGAGGTTGATAGTGGTATCTATGCCGTGGTATTTCGGGTTTGAGAAGCTGAAATTCATTCAATTTACCACCTTACTCACGACCTGGAATTCCTTACTTCATTCTTGCATCAGCTAATTAAAGGAAGCCCAGAACAAAGTTGAATGGGCTTCAAATCGGCTGTACTGCCGAGCTGGATTTTCCGGGGTAGCATGTCGTTGGCGGGGTGTGGGCACGAGGGAGGCGAAATGGGGCACTGATTGTGAGTTTTGTTTGCTGCGTCTGATTTTAGCAATAAATGACTGATAGATCTCTTGATTGGCTCTTTTTCTTCTTCTCTTTTATTCGAGGTCGTTGAGTGTGGTTGGGTCGTTTGCGCACTTGAGCTATGTCAAGTGCTCGAAAAATCCTGCGGGGGGGGTTGATATTGCTATTGTTGGAGTTTGACATGACACGGCTGTGAGTTACCGGCCAGGTGAGCTTTATTGTTCTCCAAAGGAAAATAAACATGTCAATAGCTGAACAATCGTTACAGGCAGGTTCCCGCTTTGGCCCCAGAGCTATCCGCCATGCATCTTCCCGGCGGACGGCCTACCGCGGGTTCAATTCTTGAACCAGTATCAACCCGTACCTGAACTGGGCCAGGATTGTCGACTGCGGCGATATTCCCATTGACCACTTTCACAATGAGATTGTGAGGGAGCAGATGGTGTAGGCGTTGAAGGAACTTGGAGGGGGGACACTATTTCGACATTGAGCTCAAAGCTCAATATTGTGACGCTGGGTGGCAATCATAGTCTTTCGCTGCCTGCGTTGAGGGCGTTGAAGGAGATATAGGAGGCCTGTACGGGTACTTCGTTTTGATGGTAGGTCTTCTGAAGACTGTTTTCGATGTTTATGCTAAGAATTAGGACAGCTCATCTTGACACTAGGAATCCTGCTGGATAGTTGTCCTCCTGGGGCTCGACTCACACGCACTTCACCCACGCTCTATGTTCTGGATGACCAGCCAAGAAGGCCTCCTCTCCAATGTCACCGACTCGCCATCTGTCCACGCCGGTCAACGCATGCGCCTCAGCGGTGGTGTAACGTCCTTGGACCATGAAGACAACGACGCACAGAACTGGATCCGCTTCTCGGCGGATTATATCGACGGCATTGGCACTGCGGGCATCATTGAGGGCATCTTGAAGATGCTGGGGGCGCAAGAGCCCGTGTACTTGGTATGGAAGGGAGAGGGCGACTTGAAGGGAGATGGTGATGTGAGGTGAGATGGAAGAGGTTGTGATTGTGATGATGGCCAGGTCTGATGAATCGTTTATGACTGAATGAGTTTATGACTTTGTGCTTTGCTTGGTGAGAGCAATAAAGGTTTCAATAAGATGAGTTGTGAAAAATATCTGAATGCATATACGTATGTACGTGAACCTAGGGTTTGTGTGTATGATGAGGAGCAAGTCAAGGATGGAAGTCTGGTATAACGAGCCAGCCCTTGGAGTTGATGTTCTGCTCACTTCAATTTTGCTACAATACATATATTTCTTCCATAATGTAAGAAATACAAAATCACCTTCTTCTTAAAATAGAAGCCGACTCTACTACCCCCATAGCTCAACCGGAGAATAAATGAGTGACATGATGTTAATCTCCCCAACTACCGCCTATTGCTCACATGCCTCCAGTCGCCGCTAAAGATCGAAAACTACGCATTGACCAATGTCAGTTGAATTTGTCTCCTTTTTTTCCCGTTTGACCTAGAACCGCAAACTAAAGAATAGTTTAATGACGCTTGTTTAGTTCTCGTTTGCTAGTAGTTTTCCTTTGCTGTTTCCCATTTTTTTCTTGTACGCTTCGAAGTTCTAGCGAGCAAGCCACACCATTACTCGGTCACCGGAAAGAGACATGCAATTGTGGAAATTAATGGCGCCAGGTCATCCTTTAGGCATACAGTGCAAAGATGTCTTGGACTTAATATCTTGGCTTCGAAGAGTAAGCGAAGCCCTAAGCGGCATTACTGATCGGAGATGTGGTTGTGTTACTGTTCTGACTTTTACGGTTTATCAAACGTAATTAATATCGATCAATGTAGGAGTTAGTCCATCGTCTATTGCAAGTAGTTTCATCCCCGCACGGCACTTAATTTTGCAGAGCCGTTATTCTCAATCTTTGTTGCAGTCCCCTTCTCACGCATCTTCAGCATAAATGCTACCTTCCTACGTGTATTTTCCTCCCGCATTGGCGTCGGGCGGCTATGCAAGGTACCAGCAGACGGCCACTGCGATAATGCGGAGATGCCAGAGGCCTGCCTGGAAACGGTTAAAGCCCTGTGCTGAGAGGACACTGAAGCAAACAGCTCGAAGAATTGAACTAGGAATTGCCACCTGCTAAGATAATGGCCGAGAACCGCCCATTGTCGTACGAAGAATTCAATTTCTCCGAGGCCAAGACGATGATTTGGCGAGTATCAAGAAGGTCCAAATGCAAGTAATATTGCTGTAGCACGTAGTACTAGGTCTAAGAGCAAGCAACGGTATCACACAGCCACGACCCCCTTCCGATCTAGCCGTCATGCCATTGAGCTTGTCTCGTGGCGTTCAATGTTCTGGGGGTGCTTCGTTTCACGCGCGGTTCAGAGGCCTGCTCATGGCAATGCCCACAGCAGACTCCGCACGATGCGGCACCACTTGAGTTGTATTTTAGGCCTTTGCTGGAGAATGAGGGTCCTGGTGCTGATATTTACTTTCACGCAGCGTAATCGAGCTAGGGCCGTTGCTATTATTGCATCTAAACCTGGCCGTCTCTCGTGGAAGCAAGCCACTTTGCTCACTCACACGTTTGTGCCCCGTTTGCATGTGTCTCACTGCAAATTGTCAAATGAAAATACGAGCCGTGAGCTGCAAGCTACGAGGGGAAGTGAAATGAAAGCAAGCCGTGGTTGCAGTCGAATCAACAAATTAATGGCATTGCGTGCAGCTTGACTGGACCCTGTGATGGACCCTGTGCCCAAAGTCTTGCCGCCGCTGGGTTGGGACGGCGGCGCATTCCGAGCTCGCCAAGGCAGCCCTGGCAAAAATGCAACATCACGCAGCAGCAGAGGGTTGATTGTCCCTTGTCCACCGAATCTACAAGGAGAGACAACGACAGAACACTGAAGACAGCATCGCTCCCTGTAGCAGCAGTAGCGAGAATAACGATGCCAGCACCACCGCCACGAGATGGCACTAACCACGCGACAAGCCTCTCCAGGCACGCGGGGCTAGGCGCAGTGAATAAGATGACAATGGGGTTGTGCTGCATGAGGCGGCGAAATTGTAGGCGGTAGAATCGCTAGGACACGGTCTCGATGGAGAAGCCAGCGAACCGCGCAAGCCACGGCTGCACCTAGGATTCTTAGTACAGCGTAAGTACAGGTACCACTGCTGCTCAAGGCGTGGCGGTGAGAATTGCGGCTGGGCGGCCCAATCTCCTCCTTTTGCTTGGGAGAGGAGAGTTGGGTGTACATCTACCATCCACCATCTACTGTAGCTTTGCTTGTATGTGTTTGATTTTGCTGATGGCTTCACTGGCCGGCAAGTTGATGGCGATCTCGTACCTCGATCCCAGAGTGGCTCCTTGTGAGTTTGATGGCGCCAGATATCCTTGATGCTCCCATGTTTCAACCCACGCCTTTAACATGTGAAGCGCCAGCCACGCAGTTAACTCTCTTTAGAGTTTGCACAGCTTACTTGGACACCACCCCAATTGCCATGCAGGTCAGCACATGAGCTTGCTTCCTGCAATTTTGATCCCATTTCATGCCGTGTACTGTGCCTATTCCCAGCTTTGACGTGGACAGAGAGCAGCCAGGAGGCGAGTCCTGCAATGGTTCCTCGACCCCGTCTGACAGACAGCAAAGTTATGGATCCCTTCTCCGTGTGTGTGTGAGTGTCTGTTTTGTGCATGTACGAGTACCTGAGTTTGATGTGTGAGTTTAGTTGCTCTAACCCATTATGGAGGCCGCATCCGTCTGATGCCAGCAAAGCCAGCCAATCCCACGCCGCGATCGTGAACCTTTTTTTTCGAGATGGCAAATCGGCCTTGGAAAGATGCTGCTACTAAGCTGTACTGCTGCTGTAGGTACCAGACGGATACTACATGCTCAGGGTAAGGAGTATTATCTGCTTGTAATTGTCTGTGCCTGTCCGTATTTACGCATTACAGTATCAAGTGCCATGCAAGGTACACATATTTATAGCTTGCTTGCATCGTATTGGGGGAGTAGAAAACAGCCCCAAACGTCTTCAACATTCGACGAGCAAAAAAAGCAAAGTGAGCACGAAGAAGAAAAAAGGACAAAGAAGTACAGTAGAAGAGAAAAAAAGGGCCACATTCCCGCAACGCCCCACCGCGCTAAAAGCAAAAGGCAACGCTTCGCTGGAAAAAAGGGCAGGATAGGTACTGTTCCAGCCGTGTTATTATGGACAGATACATGGAGTGCGTGTTGTCTGCCCCCCAAAAAAAGCTCAAGGTTCGACAAGCCTCCTGCCTCCCCCCCTGTCAGATGGACTCTGCACGCCACTGCAACCCCTAAACCGCGCGCCAGTGGCTCTCCTCAGTGGCTCGTTAGCGCCTCTAGGCGGTGGTGCAGCTGCAAACCCCTGCGCCGGGTCATTAAACTGCCACCGCAGCCAATTCCATCCCCCGTCCCGTTTGGGCAACTGTCCATCTCAATAATAAAGGTCTGGCCCCGGGAGAGGAAGCAATGCGCCAAGTAGCGGGTACGAGGGAGGGAACTGCTGCCATGTTGTAGCAGTTCCAACTGTTGTATCAGCAATCAATTCTATTGTAATATTGATAAATTTTGAAAATATTGACATGTATCTGCTTCATACCGTCTTCAGCTCAAGCTCACCTCTCTTTTCCCATCTTCTCATTGCTCTATGGACTCTCAGGCACCGTATTCCTGCAGTGCTTCCAGCTTCCAACTGCAGCCCAAAAGTCCCCCCCCGTACCAGGTACATCTCCGGCACAGGCACAGGGCAACTGGTCACCACCTAGGCCAAATCCAATCCAACCCCTGGCCGTCTCTCGTCGTCTTCTCTCTTTCGCTTCCTCTCCTGGTCCCTCCACTCGCTCTTCTCCTCGTCCGCCTCCTACCTTCGTCCGCGTACGAGCTTCTGCCCGGCCCTCTTTTCTCCTAGACCTTTCAGGGTATCTTCTAGTACATCTTGTCCCCTTGCGGCCCCTTGCTCGCGTTGCGCTCTGCCAGAAAATTACCCGCTGGTCCTTCGAGCACGCCTCGCCTTTTGGCCCGTTATTTCTGTTCATCCCTTATTGCTCGTTTCTCTTCACTTCATTTGCTCCATCCTTTCTCTCTCTTCTCTTTCTCCTCTTGCTACTCCTCTTCCTATTCTTCTTTTTTTATCCCCCGGTCCCCGAACTGAGCTTTCCTCCTACAAGACAGCTGCGCCAGGCCCTAGACTGTTTCGCAAACTCGACCCGTGTCGTTTTCCCTCGCTGGATCGACTGGAGCGTCTTTGAAGCCAGCAGCCTCAATCGCAGTGTTGGGAAGCCAATTGGGTCCTGACTTGTTCGCCAAAGCTCGCCGTCAAGCTCCGCGACTGACTGTCCGTCTCTCGTCGACCTCGAACCGCAAGCCTCGACCGTTTGGCCACGTTCATTCTGCCCATATTTCTTACTAATATTCTTGCTCGACTAATCCGCTTCTTCGCATATCGAGGACTTCGCCTCCCCTGCGGCCTTGTCTATTCGTCCTTGCAGCCATTTGCTTCCCTCGCTCACCGACACTCTTCGATTATACCCGTACCTGTCTTTATCCGGTTATCGGTTTTTCTCGTTACGCCCAACGGCTCATCGCTTGTCAGCTTTACGGCCCGCGCTCATGTTGCTAGGAGCTTGCATATTATTGCCTTTTTAATATCTGCAATTCTTGGAATATTGGACATTCTCGACTATCAGTTCATAATCTGCTTCGACCAAAACAAACAGACGCTTTTGCATACATACCCCTGTCCATTCGTCGGTCCTCCCCCTTTTTATAGTACAGCGATTTGATCTGTGGTGGACCTCGCACTCGTTGCATTTTCTTTTGGACAAGACCGATTTTTTCCAGCAACTCATCTTTCGACGTCTGTGACTAACCGGTTGCTCGAATCTCTTCTCATTCGTCTCCTGTTTTCGTGCCTTCTCCGGGCACGCTGAAATCTCTCAAAACGGCTGTTCTTGGTCACGCTGGGCGGGACTCCCTTGTCCCCCCTCACCTTCTCGGGATGCAGGATCTCAACGGATCTGCTGGCCAAGGAGCGCCGAATGGTAATGCCAACGGTGCGCGCTTCGGCCATGCTTCCAAGCCTTCCAACAGCGATACCGGCTTTTCGCATGGAGCCTTCACCTCCAACGTCTCGGGCTTTGCCGACCGTCACCCTCGTCGCGCCAACATTCCCTCGCTCAACACCCAGAACATGAGCCAGAACCAGGGCAATGGCCATGACATGACCCCAGGCACGGCCTTTGACATGCAGTTCACGCCCCTGCTTCCCTCGCAGCTGCTCCTCGGTAGCCCCTTCCAGCCTGGAAGTCCGGCCGCCTTTGGCAGCCCTCAGTTCCAGGGCCTCGCTGCCTTCCAGCAGCCTCAGCACCAGCAGCCCAACGGCCAGCAGCACAATGGCGGCATGCAGAGCCCTGTGCAGGGCAACATGTCTCCCCAGACTTACCAGGCCCTAGTCTCCCCTTCGACTTACGGAGCGCCCTCGTTCTTCCCTCCTCAGTCGCCTACTGGAGCTTACGGCATGCAGAGCCCGATTCAGCCCACGTCTCCCGTTTCCATGGGCGCTGGCGTCGTGACTGGTACCAGCCGAACCGTCTATCTCGGCAACATTCCTCCGGACACGAGCGCTGAGGAGATCCTGGGCCATGTCAGAAGTGGACAGATCGAGTCCGTCCGCCTGCTACCCGACAAGAACTGCGCCTTCATCTCCTTCCTGGACGCTAGCTCCGCCACTCACTTCCACTCTGATGCCATCTTGAAGAAGCTGTGTATCAAGGGCCAGGACATCAAGGTTGGCTGGGGCAAGCCATCTCAGGTTCCCACGTCCGTCGCTCTGGCTGTCCAGCAGTCTGGCGCGTCCCGAAACGTCTACTTGGGTAACCTGCCCGAAGAGGTTTCCGACGAGGAACTGCGCGAGGACCTTGCCAAGTTTGGCGCCATTGATACCATCAAGGTTGTTCGCGAGAAGAGCATCGCCTTTGTCCACTACCTATCCATTGCCAACGCGATCAAGGCTGTGACGCAGTTGCCTCAGGAGGCCAAGTGGCAGGCCCCCCGTCGCGTGTACTACGGCAAGGATAGATGCGCCTACGTCTCAAAAACCCAGCAGCAAAACGCCGCCCAGTATCTGGGAATCGCCCCTGGCTATGCGCACATGCTCACCGGTGCCGACCGCGACCTCATCTCGAATGCCCTCGCTCAGCAATCTGTGGCTGCGGCCGCCGTTGCCACGAGCGCTGGTGGAATGAACAACTTGGGCAACCGAACCATCTACCTCGGCAACATCCACCCGGAAACCACGATTGAGGAGATCTGCAACGTCGTCCGAGGCGGTCTGCTGCATCACATCCGCTACATCCCAGACAAGCACATCTGCTTCGTGACCTTTATTGACCCCACAGCTGCCGCGTCATTCTATGCTCTCAGCAACCTGCAGGGTCTGATGATCCACAACCGAAGACTCAAGATTGGCTGGGGCAAGCATTCTGGTGCCCTGCCACCAGCGATTGCTCTCGCTGTTAGCGGTGGTGCTTCACGTAACGTCTACATTGGTAACCTGGATGAGACTTGGACGGAGGAGCGACTGCGCCAGGACTTTACCGAGTACGGTGAGATTGAGCTGGTCAACGCTCTCCGCGAGAAGAGCTGCGCCTTTGTCAACTTCACCAACATCGCCAACGCTATCAAGGCCATCGAGGCCATCCGCGGCAAGGAGGAGTACAAGAAGTTCAAGGTCAACTTTGGCAAGGACCGATGCGGCAACGCCCCTCGCCAGGTCCAGCAGAGCTCATCGCCACGTGGTGATGGCGTCTCGTCCCCACCTCCCAACGGCTCCCAGAACAGCAACTCGCCATCCAACGGGAATACCCCACAGCCGTCGGCAGCCATGTTCAATGCTTCAAGCAACCCGCTGACCATGTACCTGAGCCACATGCAGCAGCAGGCTCACCAGCAGCAACAGCAACAGCAGCAGATGTCGGTGCAACAGAACATCTTGTTCAACACTGCTCAGTCCAACGATTTGTCATTAGATGGCCCTCAGCAGGGTCCCATTGGCGGACACGGACAATCTGCTAGCATTTCCAATGGATATTCCATGAACGGTGGCATGTCCAGTGCCACCACCATTGGCGGCCTGCTTGCTCCTGGCCGTAGCCAGCACAGCCGCGCTGTCAGTCTCCCAGTCCTTGCGCCTGGATTCGAGAATGGAGGCATCAGCCCTTCCGAGAGCAACGGCAGCCACGGTGAGAGACCTCACCGTGGCCACCAGTACCAAGCCAGCTACGGTGGTATGGGAGCCTCTGGCTTTGGCCTGGCTATCCAGGGAGGCCTGAATGGCTGGGTGGAAGAGGAAGTGGCCAACTGAAATGTAGGCCAATTGACGAATAGCATATGAACAGAGTGGGATTATGAGGATGGATTTACCTAACTTGTTGTAATTTGGATTTGGGAGTCTTGTGCCTTGTCCTTGATTCTTTGTTTTATGGATTCCTCATTCCCACGTTTTCCTTTTTTTTTTGCATCTTTGTTTTATAACAATATTTCATAATTACTTCCTTCGGTGTACCATGTTCAAAACTCTTTTTTTTTTTAAAACCTTCCATTTCAATTCCCTTTGAGATTTTTAACCCTACGAAAGCGCTGAGAAGAAAGGAGACTGCAGGATTTTGAGCTACTTGGCTTGACAAGGAGCGATACATATATATGTGTGTACATGTCTATTTATCCAAGCGGCTGTTTTTAAATGAACAATGGCCTTATCTAATAAGGAAGAGAAGCGTGGAATGGAATTAGGAAATGACGAAAATGCTTAAGAAAACAAAAAAAAAAACAAAAAAAAAAACGCAAGAATCCCTCGAAAGAAGGAAGAAGATGGAGATGAAACCGGGAGATGTAATGAATGGGCCTGGTGATGGTCGTAGGCGGGAGGGGGATACATATCTGCATGTTATGTCGTTATGGGAGTTTTTCCTTTGTTATATGAGGGTGGAATTGGCGGGTTGCCTAATACTACAACTGAATAAGATGAAATCATTTGAGTGTTTTATTGGCATTGCTCTGTGTGTGGTGACGTTTTGGATTTGTAGATTTGTGATTTAATTACGGCTGGGTGTCTTCCTTTGTTGCAGTGATTTACATATTATTGTCTCGTCTACCATGTTTTACACGCAACCCATTTTGCATAACCAGATGTTATATATTATAGCAAACGCCATTCGCCGTCTTCTTTTTGCAACCCAACCATCCACCTAATAGACCCAAAAGAAACGGATCTACTCGTCTTTTTTGCCAACCTCTCTCAGCAAGACACTTACTATTGGCTACTTATCATCATGCTCTTTGTGATTCAAAGACTACAAACTGCTCGCTCTTGATTTTGATTCATCGGCAACTACGTACTTAAAACCCAGCAGGCTCAGGCTTCTGCGGAAAAGCCGGCGCCTTTGTGTTCATCCGGCACTGCTGCTTCCAGTCGCGCGGGGTGAACTTGTCGACGATGGCCTTGAAGGCGGCGAGCGTGCAGAAGGACTCGTCGCCGGGGAGGTGGTTGCCGGGGACTTTGCAGCCGGGGATGGTGACGGGCTCGTCGTTGTAGCGGAGGCGGACGAAGTAGCCTTGCATGGAGGTGAGTTGCTTGTCGGTGAGGTTGGGGGTTGGGGTGCGGCCGATGGACGAGGATGAGGAGGTTGGGCGGAGGAATGAGGGCAGCCATGATGATGATGAAGATGATGGTGTTGTGGTGGTGTTTTCAGAGTCGCGGAAGAGCTCGATGGCGATGTGGCTTGTAAAGGGCGGCCAGTTGTCGGTTTCGAAGGCGCCGAGACTGGCGAGGACGCCGGCGAGGGTAGTGTCGTGACATCCGCTGAGGCCGAATCGGAAGCCGTCTCCCTCGGTATCAGGTACACTACGACTCCTCTGGTTCTTCTGTGCCTGCTGTTCAAGCTTCCCCTGACCAGGCGCCTGCACAAACGCCTCATCCGGGGTTGAAATGTTGCGCTCAGCACTGCTGACCATCCGCGCAGTAACATCGCCCAGCAGAGCGCCAATGCCCAGCGTGCGGTACTCCTCGCTCTCTTTATATCCGGCATACCACTCCTCCACTCCAATCTTCTCCATAATGGCCCGCGCTTTCGGGTCGTAAAAGTCCTTGGGCAGCCGCGTGGCCGGGCCGTGGGCGAGCGTCGAGTTGACCGTGTCCATGAGGCCGCTGAGACGGGGCCTTGCGTCGACGGCCACGCGGGGGCTCTCCTCGGGCATGTATTTGCCAAGCTTCTTGGTCAGGTAGGCCATTTCGGGGGAGTCGTTCCAGCGCTCGGCGGCGCGGTTGGCAAAGGCGCGCGAGAGGGCGGCGAAGCGGCGACAGTTGCCGTCATTGGGGAAGAGCGTCTCGTCGGCGGGCGAGCGGGAGATGATTGTCAAGGGCGGGAAATCGGGGGCGCGGGTATGGGGGGGATAGAGGCCGAGAAAGGCCTGTTGCATGGATTCGAGGGCGCGTGGGATGGGCGTTGCGCGCAGGTAAAGGAAGTTGGCATCATGGACGCTGGCTGGGAGGAAGTCGAGGTGATCAACGTATAGCTTGCGAAGACGAGAGCCGAGGGCGTACGTCGTCTCCCTGCCGCGGTCGGTGAGCATGCCAAAGTCGCAGATGCCGTCCGTCTCTATCTTGTGAGAGTCATTGGGGCCTGTGGCCGGGATGGCTGCGTCGTCGGCGCCAAACGTCTCGAGGCGACGCCGCCACTGGAGCTCCGTGAAGCTGCTGCCGGAGCCCAGGCCGGAGTCGGCACCCGGGCCGGAGGGCGCCAGCACGGCGGAGCGCAGGTGGCGGACGGCATTGCAGTAGGGCCAGTAGGCGGGCAGGCCGGTGTTTGTGAAGCGGGCGTTGATGGGGGTTCGCTCGCCGTGTCGGAGGAGGATCTGGACCTGCTGGAGGTGAAGGCGAGGCGGGTAGAGCTGCTGGAGCTCGGCGTCTGAGTAGGGAGGGCGGGGCTGGAGTGTCGTCATTGTGGGAGGAGCTTGGGGGGAGCTTGGACGGGTGTTGGATCAATGGGCTTGCAGCATTGGGTGATTGATTGATTGTTTGATCAAGCTGTGATAGCTGTGATGGCTGTGACAAGCTGTTCTGCAGCTGTGGATGAGGATGAGAAGATTGGAATTGAAGGCGAGGTCGTCACTGGGAGTTGAAAGTCGGTATAGAGTGACAAGGTTTCAGCCACTAGCTGGCGTTGATGCAAAACGATGGCAGCGAAAGTGGCCCGATTGGGTGGCGTTTTTGCCGAGGGAAGAGCCACGTTATTATGGGGATTTGATCCGTTAGTCTTGGCAACTTTGGTATCTGTTGTTGTTGATGGCAATGAGAGCATCTGTGTATATTCAAGGCTGTGGAATCTGCATACTGGTCTGATATCAGCAAGTCTACACAGAGAGGGGTATCTACCAAGCCTCATCTTTATGGAGTTGACCATGTTCGCAGCCTGCTATTGATGGATTAACGGAGACACAGCACGTTCGTCGCAGCTTGTAACAGTACGAAGAAAACAGGTGCATGTAGTTGATGATGGCAAGAATGGTAGGGCTGAGATATTTCCAAGTGCAGTACAAGGGCAGTGTTGTATTTGGCGGCTGAACATGTCCCAAATAGGCCATACTGCAGGCAAGCAGTGAGATGGGGTGCTCTGTAGAATAGCCACTACCTTGAACGCAAACACCCAATATTACTATGCAGCATTAGTTCTTCGCGGCCCATCGACATTGAATAGCTGGATCAGTAATCGATCAAGGCCGTTTTTGAGATTCATTCGCTATATCTACAATGGGTTGGGTGTGCACGTGAACGTGACTCTGCCATAGGTATTTTGCCATAGTCTGGGATTGAAGAACAAAGGCCATTGCAGCAATTGCTTTGTGGTGGAGGGATTTGCTTTGATAAAAGGTTTGTTCAATTCAATTGCATCCTGGTAAAAGTGCCCTCGTTTGATATTCATATGGAGAGTTGAAGGGATAAATGATGATTTTTGCTTGTTGAACGCTGAGGCGGGGCGCTGTACTGCATAATCTGCTTTGATCCGTGCTTGCGGAATCGTTTACGACATAGACTCCGTGTAGAATTAGTGCCATTACCGTATAGCCAAAAGTAAGGAGAAACAACCGTGCTGTGCCTGTAAAGGTAAGCCCCCCATCAGCCATCATCAATGCGGCAACAAGTTTCGATGCAAAATGTCCGCGGGCTCAAGCTCCAATGCGAATGTCCGAGGCACCGACTCCAGTCCTCTTTCCATAGGTACATAGTCTACTGTAGCGGGTCCTCCCAATGCAAGTGCGTCCAAAAAGTCGATATTGGCCACATGGCTTTTAGCAGGCCGCGGGGGTTCCTGAACTTTGGATATCCGTACGTGGAAAGTGTAAAAAAAAACGGGAGAGAGGAAATGGAGGGGGGACAAAAAGGTACTACAGCGTAAGCAGCAGTCTAGCGTCGTATTCGAAAGATGCTCCGGCGTTGTTATAATTAGGATCTTGCTCAAGTTTGTGAGACATGGGCAAAAGGAGTAAAAACACACGTAAGCGAGTGTGCGTGCGCTCACTGGCTGCAAGCTGAGGCCGACGATGAGTTTATCAGGAAATGCGGAATATACGGGGGAGGAGGCCCTGGAACTTTTCCGCTCGCCGTTTTTTGGGGATTCCATTGTCTTGCCTTGTTTTTTACTGGAATCATCCTAGCATCTTTATTCAGACAATGGCTGGCCGTGACCCCATGCAGATATTCGGAGCTTGCGGTATATACCGTAAAAGTCCATTGATAGTGATGGAAAACCGGGGCTGGATCGAGTCAAGTCGAGGCGTTAGGCGCCGGTCAGATGCCATCAATCACATGAAGACGGCGATGACGGGGGGCTTCGGGTCAAAAACACCATCTCGGTATGCACATACGTCGTAGACCATGCAGGATCAGAGTTGCCATAGGCAGATGATGGAGCAAAAGACGGGAGGCTGGGGATGAGGATTTGGATCCCGCTGCTCTGCATAGACCCGTCAGTCGGCCTCTTGCCCTTCTGTTCGTCCGTCCGCAGCATCGTGCAGCGCGCAGCATGCAAGGGATCCTGGCGCAGAATCGATGATTGCAACGAAGTCATGGAGTTGCTCCAAACAGCGAATAGGACACAGCACAGCCCGGCGCGGCCTCGCTTCAGCGACGATTGGCGCCAGCTTTGGGCCTAGCGGTGCCCATCTTTGATCCGTCATTCCAGCTTTCTGCTCTGCCTGCTCAGGGCCTGGCCTGGCCTATTCCCAACCAGATCTGAGGCTGCCCAATGGACGGGCCTATCCAGATCTGACGTGCCTATCTGAGCTGCACTGGAGCAAAACCCAGTAAATGTAAATCAGCTCTAAGCCCAGCGCCGGCTAAGCACATGTCCAGCGGGCCAATCACAAAAAGGGGATGCGACCGACTCTATTTTTTTGTTCCCACCGTTTGATCCACGGAGCTTTTGCAAGCTACGTTGGCCACAGCCCGGGTGGCTCGGCTGTGCGCAACCCAAGCCTTGTATAATTACATACATATGTAGTCTTTTGGATCCTTTTTTTCTCCTTCTCTTCTCTTGGCCTTTTCTACTCTCTTGCTCTGTTTGGTTCTTGAACACTTGGCAGGATTCAGAAATACGAAATACGCGGACCTTGTAGCCTTTGGTTTTCCTCACTGCTTACCGTATTGCATAATACCTACAGCGCAGTAGTAGTTCCGGCCTACTTTCTGACGTCTCTGCCTTTATCCGAGCTATTGGTTCACTAAAGGAAAAACAAAACAAGCATCATTGAACCAGATCTGCACCCCCTTATTGGTCCATTGTTATTCAACGTCATATAAACGTTCAAGATTCACAACCCAGCTGTGCAAGAGGCCATTGTTGCTTCTGCCGCTTTTGCATTTAAACCAAGCTTATTCCTAGGCTTTTTCTCCAGCTTCTTTCTTCACTTTAACTCCCAAAGAGATTCTTCAGCCGATTACTCAAGCCATAAACTGCACAGCTACAGCATAGTCTATGGATCACGACGGCCTCGCAAGAAAACAATGAACATCACAAACACAGCGCCGGGGTTGCCGCCCCCCGGCATCAACGCCGCAGACTCTGGCGAAGAAGAGAATCTTTCAGACGACTCCATGTGTCGGGACCAGGATGACGCCCAGGCCTTTCTGCAGCCGGCCATGAGCGCCGCAGCCAGCCATCTGACCTCGTTGCACACTCCCGCCACCGAAAAGGCCGCTGCGCTGCAAAGGCGTCAAGTCGTCGGCTACTTTGATGAGCCTCAGACATACGGCGACGACGATGGAGATGGAGACACGACGCCGGAAGCACCAGCAGCCCAATCGACGTCTCTTCCGCTGCCGGAGACGCAACTCAATGGGAAACCTGTCCCCATGATAGGGCCTGTGCCGCTGACCTCGCCGCGACGACGAAGCCCGCCGTCTCCGTGGAAGTCTCAGCAGGCGACCAAGGACGGAAAGCCGTTCAGCGAGGCACGCGGGATTCTTCATGCGGCGTTTGAGCCCACTCGCCAACGATCACGATCAGCGGGCCAGGAGGCCTTGAAGAAGCTGCAGCAGGCATTCCCCTCGCATCTGCTCCCGTCATTGCCAAAGTCACTGCCCAAGTCGTTGCGGCCAAGCCGGTCTGACGCTTCCCGGCGCCGCGGCCACGCTTCTCCGGATTCTCCTCTTCGCAACGCCCCTGATTCGCCGTCAAGTCCAGATGCCAATGCTGCTGCTGGCAGTTCTTCTTCAAGACCGCCGCTGCTGCGTAGGACAACGTCTGACGATAGCATGCTGTATCACAGCCTGTCCCGCGCCTCGTCTCTCGGCGACGACGACCGCTTCACCGACGTCCGCGACATGGTCAACGTTCGCTTCATGGCCATCAAGCACAGCCTGCCCGACGTCCCCAACTTCAAGATCCCCAACATACCAGGCCTGGCCGGGCTGCAGGCCATCTCCAGGAAATCCACAATCTCCCTCAACGGCATCTTCTCCAACGAATCCGCCAACCACTCCAAGCAGAACCTCGACTCCACTGCCTCCAAGGAGATCCCCAAGGAAATCCCCATTGACGATTCCGAACGCCTGGACCGTGTGCTGGAGGAGCTGACGGGCGACATCGTCGTCATGGGCGGCTACCGCGGCTCGATCCTGCGCTCTGCCGAGCCGCCGCACCAGCAGCTCTGGGCGCCGGTCAAGCTCGGGCTCAACCTGCGCAAGGCGAATCTCGAGGTCGGCCTGGACGACGAGGACGAGGAAACGATGGAGGAGCGCATCTTCCCGTCTGGCATGCTGCAGCACATCGGGCCCATCGACATCTCGCGCAAGTTCTTCAAGAAGCTGCGCTCGTGCGAGAACGCGCGCTCGGGGCGCCTCCGCGTGTGGGACTACGGCTACGACTGGCGTCTCAGCCCTTCGCGATCGTCGAAGCGGCTGCTCGACTTTTTGCGCAACCTGCCGTCGAACCAGCCCGGCGTGCCCGTCGAGTCCCGCGGCGCCATCGTCGTCGCCCACAGCCTCGGCGGGCTCATTACGCGGCACGCCGTCAACCAGCAGCCCGATTTGTTTGCGGGCGTGCTCTTCTGCGGCACGCCCATGCGGTGCATCAACATCCTGGGCCCGATGCGCAACGGCGACGCGGTGCTGTTCAACGACAAGCTGCTGACGGCGCAGGTCAACTTTTCGATCCGCACGTCGTTTGCGCTGCTGCCCGAGGACGGCTTCCTGTTTGTCGACAAGTACACGGGCGAGGAGTATCCCGTCGACTTCTTCGAGCCCGAGAACTGGGTCAAGTACCGTCTGAGCCCGTGTGTGGCGCCGCCGCTGCCGCCGTACAACCAGCACCCACAGCATTCGCCCCTAGCCGCCTTTTTCCCCAACGCGCTGCTGCGGCCGAGCAAGTCTGACAAGAGGCGGAATTCCATGTCGGGCCCTGATCCGGCCAGCAAAGATGCTTCCAGTACCAACGACAGCAGCATACCCCAGGCCCGAGCCTCCATGGCACCGCAGTTCGGCGGCAGCAACAACCGCAAACTCCAAAACCACCGCCACACGCTCAGTATCCCGCCCTCCTCCCAGGCCCCTTTCTCCCCCGACACAGCCAACCTACCCCCTTCTCCCCCCTCGCCCTCCATCGACCCAGCCCTCTTCCGCCGCAACTACGAATACCTCACCCGCACCCTCGCCTCCGTCAAGCAGTTCCGCTCCGAGCTCGTCCACAACAAAGCCCACCAAGACGCAAACGCCTACCCGCCGCTGGCAGTCATCTACGGCAAATCCATCCCCACCGTGTACGCCGCACATGTCAACGGCCGCGACGCCATCCCTTGTTCTGACGCGTACGACGAGCTTGTCTTCCGTCCGGGCGATGGCGTGGTGCTTGCAAGGGAGAGCATGTTGCCCGAGGGATACTCGATTGCGAAAGGCGGGCGAGTGAGCACTGATCGCGGGCATGTGTCGATTCTGACGGACATGCCGGCGCTGGGGAAGGCGTTGGGGGCGTTGTTGAGGGGAAGGAGGAAGGGGATTGGATATGGGTCGGTGTCTGAAGCAGCGGGGACACCGACGACGACACAGCAGGCCAAGTGATGCTCGCCTCTTTCTGACAATTCTGTCTGCTCTTTTTCTTGGAATCGCATGACGTTGAAACGGGGAAGCTAGATGCACATATCATCAACACTTGTATAAATCTCCTATTTCGCATATTCTAGCATGGGCGTTCAGTTTTTTGTTTTTCTGTTTCATTTTCACACCATATGGCATATGAAGAGGAGGAATGGGCATCAAGCAGCGAAATCATGTCACATCTTGTCATACATCTCACATCTCATCAACATTCATACCCCTTACGTAACATTTTCACATTTTCATATACCCATATTTGCATTAGGTAGTCGAGGTATCTTACTACTAAATCATCATCATTTTGCTTTCAAAGAGATTTGAAAGAAAATATTGGCCTTATTTGATAATACTGTGAATCATTTATATCCTGTGGTTGCCATGTATATACCAAAATCCCCTTCCCTTTATGCTATGTAGAACCGCTCTCTATGCCGTTATCAATGGTATCATATACAAAAATCTCTTTTGTGAGAGGAACAAAAAAGCTGTGTGGTATAATCAGTCTTTGTCCCATGTCCAGCTATCCCCTCCAATGTAGTCGTCATCATAGTTGGTGTCCCGTAAAATACAATCCAAAATGAAAGAAAGTCCGCAATGCAAAACTCGACGCTGCGTCTTTTTCCCAACCCTATTGCTTTGAAGGTAAATGTCTTTGAAGAATCCAAATCCTCCCAATGCTTGTAAAATCATGTTGGCACATCCTTCATCTCCCAATCATGATCAACCACCGTCCCCAAATCCCTCGTCTCCAGAAACGTCCGCCCAACCAGCTCATCCGGAAGATACTGCTGCCTCACTTTCCCGTCCTTATAATTAGGCGGGTACTTGTACTCTGCTCCGAAGCCCAAGTCTCGCATCAGCCTCGTCGGCGCGTTCCTCAGGTGCAGCGGCACCGGCAGACTCGCCACGCCGGGCTCTCGCAGGGCGGCAAAGGCATTGTTCAGACCGCGGTATGCGCGCGTGCTCTTTGGTGCCAGACAGAGGGCCACGGCGCAGTGAGCTAGGGGGATGCGGGCTTCGGGGAGGCCAATCTGCTGGGTGGCCGTATAGGTGGCTGTGGCGAGGGGTAGGAGGGTGTTGTCTGCGAGGCCGACATCTTCAGAGGCGATGACGACCATGCGGCGGGCTATAAATAGGGGGTCTTCGCCGGACTGGATCATGCGTGCGAGGTAGTACAAGGCAGCGTCCGGGTCGTTTCCTCGGACAGACTTGTGGAAGGCGGAGATGGTATCATAGTGTTGGTCGCCGGCGCGGTCGTAAACAAGAGTTTTGGTGAGAGACTGTTTCATGGTTTCTTGCGTCATGCCCTCGCGAAGGGTGAGCGATAGGGCGAGTTCGAGAAGGTTGAGGGCTGTGCGGGCATCGCCGTCGCTGAAGCGGGCAAGATAGCTCATCATCTCGTCGTCGATGAGGGGCGAAGGCGGGTAAACCGACTCCTCCACCTTGCGAGCCCGCCTCAGGATATCAACAATGTCTTCTGTGCCGAGGGACCGCAGCGTGAATGTCCGGCATCGAGAGAGCAGCGCATTGGCGACTTTGAAAGACGGGTTCTCGGTCGTGGCGCCGATGAGGGTGATGGTGCCCGCTTCGACCGGCCGCAGAAAGACGTCCTGCTGGGCCTTGTTGAAGCGGTGGATTTCGTCGCAAAAGATGATTGTCTTGCGGCCGGTGAGCTGCAGATCGTTGGCGGCTTCCTGGAAGAGCTTCTTGCATTCCTGCACGCCCGAGCTGGTGGCGTTGAGCTCGATGAAGCGACTGCCCACCATCTGGGAAATGCACCTCGCAATGGTAGTTTTGCCAGTTCCTGAAGCTCCCCAAAGAATCATGGACGGCACACGGTCCGATTCGATGAGCGATCGCAGCACGCCATTAGGTCCGACGAGCTCTTGTCCACATACTTCGTCCAGCGTCTTTGGTCGCATCCTCTCGGCGAGGGGAGCTGCGCGGTGCGTCTTGGTCTTCTTTATTACTCGTCCATCAGCGTCGGTCCCATTTGCTGATCCATTCGCATCTCCATTCAGCGGCGCCGCGTCTTCCATCTTCTTGTCCTCCTGCGGCCCCTCGTCAAGCGACCTCTTCTTGCCGGCCAGCGGCGGGAATGTGATGTTGCCGATGGGCGTTTGGGCTCTGGGACCGGGGTCGGTTATCTGCCGCTTGGGCGTGGGCGTGAAGAAGCTGGAGGCACTGCGCTTCTGTGACTGCGAGGCAGGGATTGCGGCGCCATTTTGAGTGGACGGCTGAGGTTGCGGCGGAGGAATGATTGGGGTGCTCGGATCGAAGATGAGGGTCGTGCAGCCGGAGTCGATGTGGTCGTTGATATCGGTGGGCTTGACGGGCTTGTTGCAGATTGGGCAGGCGACTGCCATGGCCGGGGAGAAGACGGAGACGCAAGAATATGATGCAGGAAGAAAGAAAGAAGTTTATACAAGTAGGACAAGAATTGGGTCTGTAGCAGCTTCAGCAAGCTTCGCCAATGGATGAAAATCGATGTTTAAAGTCAGAGGTTTGAATTGGCGTGTGCGGTGTACAGGTGCGGCTTTGGTCGCGAGTCCAAGTTTAGTCAGCTCTGCTTAAGAGACACGCGCTTTGGCGTCGGCACGCGACCTAGCTAATGATCTCCAAATGCTGGATTGATGTTTACATATATAGTGCGATAAATCACGATATATATATCTGTCTTATCAGAATCCTCATTGGTAAGAAAGAGGAACGAGATGCAGCACAAGGAACTACTCGCGAACCAGCCAATGCAATAAAGAGGCATTTCAAAGTGGGCTGTAAGTGAGACGAATGAAGTCAGTTTGTCGTCGAGCTTTGCATCATACTCATGCACTCATGCAGGATGATTTATTGGTAGAAACTGCTGCTTATTATTATCTTAATCATTTCATGCATCCCACTTTTCGCCTTTTATCTCAATTCAATGTATGCATTACTTGCATCATCAAAGCTCTCAGGATACCGCGGGGTCCTCGTCTTCAACCTTTGTCCGAAACAGCGTGTGAATAATGCTCTTCTTCTTTTTGATCACTTTGACGTTCTCTTCTCCCTCGGGCTTCTCAGTCGACTCTATGCGAGCAGCTGCACTTCCGCCCGCTTCCTGCCCGTGTCTAGAAGGAGTTGGAGGCTGCGTACTCGGAGGCGTGATACTCGCTGGAGACCTTCGCAACGATAAAGACTGTTTCTCGTCAGCACGATATTGATATACACACTGATGTATAGATGTATGTAGTAATTACCTTTAATATCCGCCTCTCGTGTGATTTACTCCCTTCCCCTTCACTCGCAACCTCTCTATCCTTGGCCATAGCATCCGAAATCCTTCCCGCGACTGTTTTGCTTCCCCAAGCGAGGCACTCTTCCGTTGCAGGGACAAAGCGCACCATCCCTCTGGGAGGGGGAATACAAAGGATGGTTTCCATATGCTTCTGCAGCACCGCAGTGTTGCGCTTATTGGTGGCGGGCTGAACTTCAGAGGGGAGAGCTGTGATGGTGAGTATGTAGGCGGGATGCGATGAGCCGCCAAAGAAGAGACATTGGCTGTGGAGAAGAGAGACGACAGTAGAGGAAGGGTAGCGGTTATACCTTGCGGCGAGCTGGTGGGAAAAGGTGATGAGGAAATGTTGCTCGTCTTCAATCTAGTTTCATGACTCAATTAGAAAAATCGCTACACTATTAGACGGAGTTGATTGAAAGGTTTGGGAAATGGTCTTGCCGTAACATTTGTTTTCACTTCAGCATAAACCAAAGCTTCTCTTCGAACTGCTTCCACGGCCGAATTCCTTCCAGATCGTTCGTAAAGCGCATCGTGAAAGTATTGGCTTCGTTTCTCAGCCTGGCGCTCTTTTTCACCATGCGGCGCTGCTCTACCGACAGGTCTGGAGGCATCATCTGGTGATAAGTTGGGGTGAGCTCGGGGATCGCCTTCTATAACAGTCTCCAGGCTGGGTATCTTGGTTTTGGCCTTGAGCTTTCGCTCTGGAGTGGGCGAAGGAGGTGCTGCTGCTGCTGTATCGTGGGGCTTGGTGATTCTGACGATTGGAGTTTTATGTGGCGGAGGAGCTGGAGATGTATGTTGATCCATTATGATTGATGCACGGCGATGAAAATGATGCTGGAGAGGTTTCGCTTTTTCTTTGCTGCGAGTCGTAGATGCCGTTATGCTAATGTTGATGCCAGGGTGAGAAGCCAGCTATTGTCAAATGCTAGAGCTGCTAGATATAAGTGTACTGTGAATGCGCGCATCCATCAAAATAGATTCGCACAAAGCCATTCATTTGAATCTTGTTGAAACCCTCAGAATGAACGCGCCATCTCTTTGTCAGAAAAAGTCAACATCAACTGACAAAGGTCTCACCTGCAGGCATCTTGCAGGAGAGGTTGCCACCATGCCGCAGTTTCCACATGGGCCGGTCATTTTGTTTCACATCCACACCCGCATCCTACTCTCTACCATTTCATCATTTCAACGGGAAGAAATCCGTCACACAAGCGGTCTGTTATATGGCTTGCGGCTAGCCTACAGAAACACGGCGGATGCCTGCAACCTCGGCGGAAGTATCGAAAGGCTGTCAACATTATAAGAGTACATGTGGCCGTAGAATCATGATTCATATTCTTTGAGTATTTTGGTAAAATTATATATGTCAACTGCCTTGTATGTGCATGCTACCACGCAGCACATACATTTGGCACGATGCTGCAAATGGCACACCAGAAGTAAAAAATATTAGTACATCCAACTGAAAATTGCGTAGCTCAATCCTTGTGTATACATTGGATGAGCATAGCACTGTCTCCATCGGCCACCCTTTTTACAGGGCCAGCTGTCTCCAACCCCGATTCGTTTCTCTCTTTTTCCACAAGCTCAGGCATAGCCCATACAAATCATGCTCTTGTGGCCTTTCGCTCGAGGATGGCCTGATATCCTGCCGCTCCTAGAATGGCAGCTTCCAGCGGAACAAGCAGCACCGAGAGGATGACACCGGCCTGGCTTTGTTTGCACAGGGCGCCAAAGTGCGGCTGAGCGTTCGTGGGCACGGCGGTCCAGCGGCACGTCCAGCTCTGGAGGCTATCGACGGTGGAGGAGGAGTTGACGGCGTAAAAGAGGGACATGGCGACGAGAGAGGCGATGAAGCCAACAGCCGGGGCAGCAATGCTGGCGATTGCGTGGGGGCCTGTCAGGCTACGAAGCTGTATTTCGAGTCATGTCAGTAGATGCAAGTAAGAAATCGAATAATACTGTCAAGTACAACTACTTACAGCCTGAATCTTGCTGAAGAAGAGTGACACAACATTGGCCACGGTAACAATCACTCCGCCGGCAATCAACGCGGCAGTGGGACGCAGATCAAACTGCGCAGGCCATAGCGACAGGTAGAACTCGGCGGGCAGATACGTCTCGTGGTAGACAAGCAGCCCGTTGGCCGAAACGCCCAGGGTGGTGATGCCGGCCGCCAGGGCCAGCACCGTCAGGGCGATGCGAGAGTTGTGGACAATGCTGAGGAGGCGGTGCTTGGACTGCAGCTGGGAGTGGCGCTCGGCGTCCTGCGCTTCGACTTCGTAGTCCACCGAGGAGAGTTCGTTTTTCAGGCTGGACATTTTGAACGGAGAGCCAAAATGCGAGACGTTTCGTTTGGGGTATCTTTGACTTGCGGACGTATGAACAAGAGACTGTGGCTGAAAAGGGAAAATGAAAGACGGCAAAGAGAGAAAGGAATACAAGAAAGAAAGAAAAGAGACGGTTTGTTTGGACAAGACTTGCTTACCACGAAACAAACATGATGAAATGGATTTACTGGAGGGGGGGAACACTGCGTAGATGTAGATTTCAGCGACATCATGGCCCAGCGCTTCGAGCATCTCAGATCCATCTTGGTGTTGAGCCCCCAGCCAATGACAGGCGCGGCGAACTCCACGCTGGGAGATGGAGATGCATCTTTTACCCGCGCTGGATTGATATCTGCCGTTCCTTGGCGCTCTCTCACCAATAAGAAGAAGGATGCCAGTTGGATTGGATAGATAAAATCTGGGGTCACATTCTAGACCAGACAGTTTGTTGATGTTTCTTGGACTCGGCGCTTGGGTGAAAAGTGCCGGGCCAATGAGAGGCCAGGAGAGGGTGCCGAAAATAGAAACTCGGTTGTTTTTGGGGAAACGAAACGGGCACACGGCGGTTAAGAGGTGCATAAAATTGTTTGGGGGTTACATTGTGTGAAAAACTGCAGGTAGAATCAGTTTATGCGTGGATAATAATAGATTTTCTTTTTGCGACTTGATCAAGGCTAGAAATACACAGTAGATGAGGCTCTTGGGATTAAGGCTCGAGATAAGAGTACAGGTAATGGGGGCTTCATTGTCGCGCGCCAAGTAGCGTCTGCAATATGCAAGGCACGGCACAGACGCAAATGAAGGCTTGTTCTTGGCAAATCCACCGTATTGTTTTTTTTTTTTTTTTTAACAATTGCTCTACAGGGTGCAAGGAGGTGACACTGCATGTAATTGACATCAATTTGACGCTGCTCTTGGCATGGATATCACCATGATAACTACCGTCGTACATTGGGGCTGGCAATAACACCACATGAAATTACAACCTGCACATATTTAGCACATGACATATAGTGGAATATTAGACGTCTCCCACATCACCACCGCGCCGCCAAAGCAACAAGCGCAGTGGAGAGAAAACGGTGAGGATGGGATGTGCATCTCCAACGTCGGAAAGCGCACGAGCAACGGCCGTGGTCTCTTCTTCTCCTCTCTAGCTGGGCGGCTCGACCCGCAGAGCAAATCAAACGGTAGCCCGTTGCGGCTTTGGCCTCTTCTTCTTCTCCATCTACTACTAACAACTGCCTCACTCGCCCGTGCCGTATAAACTAAACGCTGCCTTATCCCCGTCTTATACCAGCAGCGCGGACTTACAAGTGTAGCTTGAGAAAGAAGGCTGCTCCTCATATCAAGTGCATCGCAGCAGCAGCCAGTAGCATCTCCAAACACGCTCCCCACCAAGTTGTTCAGCTGCCATCAAGACGCCTTGAGGGTGGGGCCTACCAAGATTATCGTCTCTCCTTGGCTTAGGCCGCGGATGGAATGTCATTTTGCAGGACAGGGGAGGGGGCGTGTGCAAGGAGGGCCATCAATTCACTGAATGAAATAAATAAAAAAAGAGAGAGGCAGCGCATAGAAAATTTCCCCTTGTCGCTGTCGTTCAAGGTTCAGGGAACAAGCTTCTATAGAGATACGAGCAGACGAACCTCAGCTCAGGCTCTCTAACTGAGGGAGCGGTCTCTCTGTATGTGAGATGTGATGACGTTGGAGACAGCCGTACGGATGGTGTGCTTGGGTTTGAGCAGGGGGTGCTGCAGCCCAGCCGCTCATGGTAGAGCTCGAGTCACGAGGATTATGAGCTGAACTGGATGTTGTTTATGCAACGTCGGTGGGATGGAGTTTATCGTATCTTAGAGCGTTGGGAACCGCTGTCAGCCCTGTAGAGGATCTCGGAGCTAAAGTCTAGAGGAGGGGAATGGTGACAAAGTATTGAGTCGGGGCTGTGAGCTTCGGAGAAAAAGATTTGGAAATGACTCGTTGAGTAGCCTTGGGTGAATAAAATAGGACCGAGGAAAAAAAAGAATGGAAGATTGAGTGATAAACGTCTTCAGGTAGTACAAGCGCCTGCATCGCTGGATTCTCTAGGGTACGTAGTATGGAAGATTATTCCGTAAAAAGACCTTTAATACTCATAATGATGCTAAACCTATGTACATTTCAACTGATGTAACCACAAATACTCCGCCCATGACAACAGTTCAGTCAGAATAGGGTAGTATCTGCACATACTACGGAATATATCCCGTTCTCCCAACCACACGCAAGAGGAAACCTTCCGCCAGTCGGACACCAAGATGAGATGCTCACCCGGGAATAGACAGGGATTCATCTTCCGCGCTGCTTAAAGTGATGCTCTCTTGCATCCCCCGGGAGAAGCCTAATAGGTATCCGAGCAAGCGAATGAAACAATGTCCGTCATGGCCCCAAGAAACACGAGAAAAACGATGCCTGCTATACGCCCGCAAAGATAGGGCAGGCTAGTAGATATCCCCTATATGTGCTTGTAAATGGTAGCGTAACAGATGCATGCTTCGTGCGTGCATTTACGTACTGCCACCGTTCTATCCTCCATGGGTCCCTCGTTCACAGCGCTGAGGCTGAGGAAAATAAATGAAGGCGGCTGCAATGTGACCGTTTGGACGTCATCCTCTGCTTACAAGCTTACAGAGCATGAGCTTTTTGGAGTATTTATCATGACAGGTTGAAACCACACGCATCCTTGTCCCCTACATGCACCTTTCTATCTTGGATCCACACACTCTTCATCATCTCCTTTCCCAGCCCTTTTTTCACGTTTACTGCTGCTGTTATTGCGACTGTAGAACAGTACAGTACAGTACAGTAAGTAGTATTCCTATCTACTGGTATCTCGAGAGATGGATCGTCAAAAGCGGATCCGCTAACGACCCTTGTTCAGCTGGACTAGCAAGGAGAGACCTGCTAATGCAGCAGATGTTCGGCGACTATGTAAATGGACCCCGAAAATCTAAACTGTTTTGGCAGCCCACGATGCTGGGTCTTGTGTCTTGGGCAGCCCATCGAGCAGCTATACCTGTCGACATGTCGACCTGTCGACCTGCTGAACACACATCTCGCCATTTTGAGTTTGAAACTGGCATCTCGGAGCAAGGGATTTCAGGACTATTGCCCTTGGCACGCACTGCTAACTGCCGTGCTACTGCGGGCTGTGCCACTTCTCGATGTTTGTTTCTCCTGGTGCTGCCATATGTATACGTGAATGTCTCAACGCTTGTCGCCATCACAAAAAGGTGCGCCGGCGCGGCTCTCGCCCGTATATATCGGACGAGTACCCCAACTTAGTGAACCGGTACACTCCTTTTCTCCCCAGTTCGTTCACGGCCCTTTGGCGGCGCTAGACCACAAGCTGCTCAGTGTCGCGGATGTCTCAGTTCTCGGGACCTACCGCCGCTTTTGCAGCTAGGAAGGGAAAGGAAGCTACCGTTGGTGATCGTCGTCGTTGAAGCGGGCTTGTCACTAGGTGCTCTAGGTATAGTAGCAGTAGTACATACTAAGCAGCAGAGCTCATCGGACTTTGGCGAGCTGCCTGTAGGCATCGTAGCGGCCGACCATGGATCGATGGGTGCTATCGTATGTGACACTGGGCATCTTGGCCTCGCAGATGGCATCGAAAGTGATCGATCGGTTGGTTACACCATCACGCATTCTGATGCTTGCTGATGCTGGCTTGTATGCGTGATTGATTTGACACTTTGACAAGCATTGCATGCTAACCAGATTGAGAGAGCTCTCAACGCCAAGGTTGTATCGTCGGGTCTTGCTGCGGCGAGGCAGCGTGACAGCTGTGCTTGACGGCACGCGATTCTTGCACGCTGTACTTGTATGTAGATACAGACCTTGTACGACTAGCAGCAGCAGTAGCAGCAGTATACTCTTAGTCGTCGTATGGGGCACAGCATCAGGGGAGAAAGTTTCCGAGCCTCTTGGCGTACAGCAACGACGTGCTATTGATCCAGGGTTGGTCGCCTTTGTCTGTTACTAGACCTAATACCTATAGTAGACTATTTCATTCTCCTAATTGAGCAATTGGCGGCCGGCAGTGCTTGATTCGTCGTTTGACATGTTGTATCCGACGGCTTCTGTTTCCTAGCCCCTTCTCAGCTCTCAGCTCTCAGCTGTTATTGGCTCTCCTCAGTATCATGTGAAAAGAGCAGCTAGACGTTTGACCTCCCGCTAAAGTCAGGGCGGTGCATCGTCTTTCACCACTCACTCGGGAGCCTCTGGGTAGCTCAACGGCGCTCAGGGGGGGCTAGGATGGGCGGCAGGCGAATAAGAAGCCAAAGATACACAGATAGAGAGGAGCAGGCTCCCTCTCCTTTGGTCATGCCAAGACCCTCAGCCCTGTTTGCAATGGCTGCGAGCGCTGGAGGCCTTGAGCGTCTGCCGATGTCTCACCTGTGATGTATACGAGCGGCGTTGCTCTTTACTGTGATTTGAGACATGACAGTGGACCACGCCATGCACGCACTTGACACACATGAGAGTGACAGAATATCGCCACCGGCGAGGACATCAAGGTGCGTAGAGCTTGATGAGACAGCCATGGCTGCTGTTGGCAATTTGATTCATATTGGCTCTAGCGTGCCAAAAGGGCTTTGCCCACGAGGTCACACATGGGCCTTGCTTGACGCGGAATGCTCGCCCCGGCTTGCCTTGCTGCTACTGCTGCATACATACAAGTATCGTAGGTGGTGTAAGTGGTACGGAGGATTACTGCAGCAATCTACTCGAGATTGCCGGGTTTGCTGCACAGATACCCGTGACGGGTCGATGATTCCAAATCCGGCAGACACAAATCATCGAATCCCGTCAAGAACCTCGATCCGTACATTTCGAGATATTGTACAAGATACTATCTAGATCCACCGGCCACACAAGCTTCTCTCTGGAGGATCGGCCGAGTACGTTACTTTGCTCCTTCGCCCCCTTCATGCTTCGTGCTCCCGCCCGTAGGCTAGACGGACGGCCAGGTCCCATTGATTTATAGGCGTTGCAGGGGTCACCAACTTTTGGGCCGTCCGTCAGATCCACTGGACAAGGGGCCCTGGAAGAGACACCCCCCCGGCGCTCATCTTGTTTCTTTCTTTTTTTCTTTTCTTGCGCTCATCCTTTCGTTTCTTGGTACCTGGTGAAACAAAATTGGCTGGTCCGCAGGTCGGTGGTACAGTGGTCGAAGCGCTGGGAGAAACGAAGCTGAGAGGGCTCTGATTGGCGAATGTGAGGTTTCTTTCTTTCTTTGAATTTGTTATTTCCTTTTTAGGAGATTGACATGGTCACACTGTATAAAACCCAGTGAATATGGACAGGAACTGATATCACTATGGAGTCCTAGGTAATGGAATAGTTTAAATGTGTGTGGACCGCCTTGACTACGTAGGTGGCTGTGGTGATAGCTGGATGAGCTGTAATGCCCATTTTGAGATGCTGTGCCTCTCATGGAGAGGAGCTCTCTCTGTCTCTCTTGCTCATCAAGACGAGCAATTACTGTACATGGTTTTTTCCATTGTTGTACTAGGTCTGTAGAGTTGTTTCAATACTACTGAGCCCATGAGCAGCTCCATAACCAGCACAACCAACGGCTCTAACTCAACTTTCAAGCTCTCCTCGTCCAGTAACATCCTCTCCTTTGACAGGTCTCAAAGAAGCCTTTCTAGATTCGGGCACTGCATTCAAACCCTGTCTGCATACAGCCACAGCACGCTTTGCCTCTTTCTGCCCTGGCATGTCTTGGATTCTCTCTGTCTTTTCCCTCTGTTTTTTTCCTCTCTTCCTCGCCCTTTTTTTTTTCCTGGTCGTCCAGGGTCGTCTTTCAGCCCGTCCGTTCCAAGACCCCATCCTCTCCACCCCCCTCGACTAGGGCCCCTTCTTACCCGGAAGAGACGCTGTGGCGCTGGAAGGGGTGGACAGTGGGAAAGACAAAGATTGCCACCATTTTCTCGATGGGCGCTCGCAAAATCCGATTCCACCGCGCTGGACCTGTCGCGGCGATCGAGGGCTGGGCTGCCAATTTCACAGTCTCCCATGCGTCCCGATGGCGCAAAGCACACGCCCCCTTCCCTTTTCTTCTCCTTACGGGGGTGTACTTTTTGTGCTACTCTCTGCTGTACTGCTGCTGGCTACTACCGTCTGCTACGACTACTGCCTAGGTCCTGCTGGCTTGTATAGCGCTGGTACCTCTGTGCTAGCACCGGCATGAAATTGAGTGTAATATAACGTGGGGAGCATACAGCATCGCATCTGACTAGAGCACCTGGCCGCTACCTCGCAGGTACCCACCGCGGCCCCCATGTTCCCCGTAATCCCATCCGGTTGGACTGATGCAATACTAGCTGTCCATCCTCGGTATGCAGTCCGGCGCGGTGGGCAAAAGAGCCCTGGCCCGTCTGGCCGGAAGACTTGAGATCCGAGAAGCGCCAAGAGATGGACAGAGAGGGGGGGAGAATTAGAGAGAGAGAAAATACAGCATACTTGCTACTGTGACCCTTACAAAGCAGGCCTGTAACGTGCGTAATGAAGCCCAAAGCAGCCGTAGATGACGAAGGTGGATACAAGGTGTTGGGGCCATGTATCTGGAGCTGGAGCACCTACAACGTAAACAACCTTGCAGCGATCAAGTCTTGCGGCGGTACCGAGCATTGCTTGTGGCTTTGTCAACAAACCTCCTCTCGTCATTCTCTTTCTTTCCTTGTTCCTGTCAAGGTTATGGGCATATTTATTACAACGCCTCAGCCCATCTGAATCTAGCACAGTTCTATATCACGACAGAGTCCATCACTCAGTTACTTGCCGGTATATCAACACGATACTTGCCTATTACCTATTAGGTATCCGGCAATACTTGGCTTGTCATCCTCACCACACTAAGCCAACCGTTTCCTCCAGGCTCAAGAGCCTCCTCGCCTCTACTTCATATACAAACACCCCTTTCTGGCTAAGAGTTCTTCACACCCTCGACGGCGCTGCCTCTTGTCCTTCTGTACACCCGCTCGTCCCACTTGCTTCCTAACAAAGGAGGACGAAAAAGGAACGCTGTCGGTTACTTTGTGCAGGACCCCAAGTACCTGCTTGCTTAGTCCAGCTAGGCACGACGCTATAGAGCTCAAGGGAAGCTTCATCCTGGACGCCCCACGAACCTTAATTTTTTCTCCTTGCTCTTAAAACTCCTGTTTACTCTTCTCCTCTCAAGTGTCCAATCCTAAAGGTTGCAAACTGTTTGTGAGAGAAAGTATCAAGCTTTTGTCTTTGCTGTGCCCGAACCAAGGGGGGGCTACCTCCATTCTGCATAGCTCTAGGCCATTTCGATATAGTCTATTACTTACTATTCCCGGGATTGTGGCATATATACCCGTCTATAACGCTGCCTTTCTTCCTCTGTCTTATGAGAGACAGACACACGCATCCCTTCCACTGGAGAACGGCAACAGTTTCCTGCAGAATCATATCCTTCTTCGAACGCCACCAGATAGAGCAATGGCTCTCCAACAACCAACATCACGGCGCTGCCGCGGCGCATCCTCTCCCCGAAAGATACGACCTTCGCCCATCACCAAGAGCCGAGCCATCGAGAAACGGCCATCTCCGAAACCCGCAGTCTCAAAGCACCTCAATTCCTTTGTATGTCCAGCTCCTTACCTTGAACCCTCTACCTCCCTCGATGGAATCGCGATTAACACACCAATTCCACCTAGCATTCTTTTGCCAAACTTCCCACAGAGCTCCGTCTCAGGATATGGGAGCTCAGTCTTCCTAGCCCACGCCTCGTGCCCATCCAGTGCGGCAGCAACGGCATATCTCGCCCCGAATCGTCTCCAACCACCCTCGCATCATTACGACTCGACTTCACGACCACTGGCTGCATGTCGTCTGCACCGGTACCCGTGAACCTGCACGTCTGCACTGAATCTCGCCTCGAGGCTCTCCAGACGTACCGTTCTTGCTTTGGCTTCGCTCGGGGCCCCGGCCAGATCCTCTTCAACCCCGAAATCGACATCATGTACTTTGGCCCTTGTGAGGGCTTCATGGCAGCAAATTCGCAGTTTCGCACGTGCATGATGCTTTGCGATCAGCAAGATCTGGCGAGTGTGCGTCGCTTGGCTATTAACGATGCGCTTTTCTGGATTGGCAACATGTACAGCTCCATGACGGCGGCGAGATTCACGTTAGAGGTGCTGAGAGAAGTTGCAACGCGCATGACGGGACTGGAAGAGCTCATATTTGTGCCTTGGGAGGAGGAACATGGCGATCATGAAGATGCCATCCAGGGGCGAATGGCTAGGCAGATCCAGACGGCGATGCAGAGCATATCGCAGCAGTTTCCGTCTTGGGAGCCGCCGCCATGGAGCATTGTCCCGTTGAGCGAGCTCCCTAGTATGGCCGGTTGAACAGACTTGGTCGTCATCTTGGATCTAGACACATGAGTCAGGAGCCTTCGTTAACATACGTGACGAAGCAAGCACTCAGACGCAGCACCCAAACGCAGCACCCAGACGCAGCAGCTCAACGGCATGCTATAGCCCGCAATGATATTAGCAGCCCCATGTACGGCATCCTGCCTTTCTCTATTCAATAGCTCTCAAAGCCTATACATGGCTGCTTGAGCGGGAGAAACACAATCGGTGACGTTCTTGCTATCAAGCAAGTGACATTCGAGTCTTCACCATTTCAGAAGACTGTGCCGTGATTGCGACAAACAGTGACTGGAAGAGGCTTGGAACATCGAAGAAAGAGGAAAGAAGAAATCTTTCGAGTTTATTTATAAAAGAGTCGGCGCTTGGAAAGACAGTTTGATGCATTAGATTGTTCGTAAGGCGTATGGACGATTTAAATTGGGTAGCAATTTGGGCATAGGCAGACAGGGGCGTTTGCCTAGGAAAATGGAGTTATCTCTTTTTAAACCACGGAAGGTTTAATAGGCATAGGAGTTTCTGATTTATGATATAAGACTAATATTCTTTGGGGATTCGTCATTGTCTGTTATATATGACAGCATACTTATATCTATAATTAATGAATCCAAAAGTTAAAGTACTTCTTTCAATATAAATCCAACAATTACAGCGCTCTTCTGAAATCATGCGGCATTAGTTTATCAAGAAATCATCTTTCCCCCGTCAAATCGATAAACGACACATCGCTCCATCTTGTAACGCCAGATCTAACACCACGAGCTCTAAGTAATCGCGCTTCTCGCGTGATTGTCTCCTCGTATACGTCCGCGTCCACTTCAACTTCGTCAAAGAAGCCAGGCCTCGAAGCGCTGGGGACGATTAGTTTCTTTATGGGTATGGGAGTGGGGCTCCTGTTGCGGCGTGAGGCTGGAAATAGAGGGGAAGTGACTTCATTACTGGTATGAAGGTGAACTTGAGGGGATGAGTTGGGAATGCTGGATGATAGAATCTCAACTTCATTGATAGCAGCTGCTGTGTTTATATGTTCCCGGCTCGAGCTCGACTTATATGAGCCATGCTTGGTGCGCCTAGAAGACGTAGGTCCATTGATTCCCGGTTGAGGCTGTTTTTGCGTAAATATATCCATCGACGTCTGTCTGAGTTTCGCCAGTCCCTGGGCGTGGGTCGATGTCTTTTGTTTCGGTTTCGATATTGAAGAGATCGGTAGTTTGCTGTGTTCAGCTGTCACCCGCGCGGTAGCGCCAGCCGCCAAAATTGACCGTATCGACTTAGGAAGCTCTTTACTGCGTTTTGTCGGAGTGGTTGCGGTTGGCGATGGTGGCGTAAATCGTGAAGGTGGCGATGCGTCGCCGGCAGGGCTGGACGAAATGACGATAGCTTCGAAAACTCCTGCATCGTCATGACGTCTAGTTGAGTCTGGTGAGCTGGTTATCGTCCAACCGTCCAGGCTGGGGGATGTGATGTTTGGCATGGGTTGCTTACTGGATTGCCGTAGTGATGGCGGTGTTTGTGGTCGACGGAATCGGTTCGGTTGAGGGAGAGGAGGAAGAGACATGTCCGCATCTTCGAGCTCACAAACTTCCTTATTCACAACGGCATCTTCCTTGGTATTGGCCGCACTGCTGCTGGTAGCTTTCTCCTGTGACTCTACTACCTTGGTGACGCGAACAAAACTGTCAAAAGCGCCGTGAGGCATTATATCCGCCTTCTTCGTCTTCGTCCTCGACCCTGATGCCTTCTTTTTAGAGGACGATTTCCGTTTGAGTTTTTTGTCTTCCCAGGCTTCAACAGATTTTGGTGCAAATTTCCTGGCCACCTCTTCCAAAACCCATGTAAGCTCCGGTTTCGTTATATCAAACACCTTTCCGCTGCCACTCTGGGCATCTTCTGCCGCGTCGATACCGCTTGAGGCTGCCGCAAACTCATCATCGCTATTGAGAGCCAGCCCGCTCCGGGCATATGCGATTTCTTCTTCTACTTCTTTCGATATGTCGATAGGAACAATCTCTTCAGGGATATAAGCCAGACGTAGTTCGGATGTACCATCTGTACTAAAATGGTTCCGCTGGCTCGACACTTTTTGAACCAAAGAGTCGCCATCAACGCCGTCTTGATGAAGGCGATTCACAAATAGGCCTTCGCTGAGCACGCGAATAAACTTGATTGCACCGATTCGAAAATCCCAATTGAAAGTTTCCCTTGCAAATTCTCTGAGACCCTCCAACTGAATCTCTCTAGTTTCTCTTAGCCTGTGCCTGATGATATCCAGCGTGGGTTCTGGCGAAACTACTGGATGGGTATAATATCGAAGTACCTCCATGTTTGGGAAATCTTCTGGAATGGTAAGAGACTTGTGGCGGGTTTTAAAGTATTTGCTTTCATTGGTTTTAAGCTCGTGTATCAACGACGCTTTCCATTGGCGTAGACCCTCTGTATCCGAGGCTCGAAGTTGACACAACGATTTTCCATAGCCAGCCTTGGCGGCCTCGCATGCTACTTTTGGTCCACAGCCAGGGACTCCCTCAGGAATATAGTCGCCGCCACTCATAATGGCCACCAGCACCATTCCCTCTCGATCGAGGCCAAGGCTGGCCAGGTTCAACTCGTCGACATCGTACATGGAGACATGCGTTGGCGATTTGCCCTTGCCCTCAGCCGACCAATTCTTCATCGTTCGCGTGCATCCAAACATGATGGTGTCCACATCTTCGCTAAGCACCGCATCAACGACGCCGTTCTTTTGTAGAAATGCGCATTCGGCTTCGGCCTCGCCTGGGGCATCATGGGCTATGAATCCAAAAAGCCGAATGAGCCTCTTGGCATGGACTGCTGAGAAGCCATCGCCTCGTCCTGACCGCCTATTGCGTTTGAACTTGGGCTTATTGGGGCCGTCGAAAACGAAGATTGGCTGGATGGGTGTTCCTAGGAGTCGAACGAGTCGATAGAAGAGGGTTCGAATCGCCGGGTTCGTGCCGCCTGTTTTGAAAGTTAGATGAAAGCTTGCATAAGCCTGAATAATCTTTGTATACTCACCGCGCGCAGCTTGGTTTTGGAACTGCCAAATGGCGATATCAATGGCGAGGCGAAAAGGCCGATTGTGATTCTCGAAGCTCTCGGATGCGAGCTTGGACAGTGAAATCCTCTTGCCAGGGCCTAGCTCTTTGTATATCCTACAAATGTGAGACTTCCACGTAAATCCAAAAAAGATTGTTGGAAATATAGCCAGTACTCACCCTTTGATTCCCATTGAAATCCTGAGCTTGTTCCACTCTCCCGGCTTGTGAAAAGCTGAGGACAGTAGATGATGCTTGTGTTGTTTTGTTTGTTCCCGTTAACATGACGACAGAACCAAAATACTTGGGCTGGCAGGGGTGGGTGTCTTATCGATATCGGTGGATCGGCGCTAACTGCACCCGCCAATCCAGGCTCCAGGCAGTGCGCTCTAACAGTGAGAATGAGCTGCAATTGAGGCGCCTGAGTTCACTCATAGAACCAAAAGGAGAATATAGCAGCCATAGCGCTTGTGGCACTGTTGGAGCTTCAATTCGCCAAGAACAAGCGCCGAGAAACATCAGAAGCTCTGAAACAGCTGCACCAGGGCCATGTCCTCAGGGACGGGGCCGACGCTGGCTCATCGAAGCGTGGCCAGCATCCGCTCAGCCCCAACGATTCAAGAGCATTCGGGATCAGGCCCTACGCCAAATACGCCCCCGCGGATTATCGCAAACACATACGGCTCTCCAGCTACCATCAGAGCCGACGATGACTTTCTAATCCTTCAAATTGGGTCACGGTTTATCCGTGCTGGATTTGCGGGGGACAACCAGCCCAAGGCGGTGCTCACAAGCGAGCCAAAAGACCAGCGACGAGCGGGAGATTTCAGGAACTGGCAGCAGCCTGGAGCTGGCGATGTCGAATCCTGGGCTGAGCAGTACGAGATATGGCGATATGACTTGAGACAAGTCGACCTTGGGCTTGTTTATGATAAGCTGGACCGGCTGCTGAGAGATGCCTTTGGAAGGTAAGCTTGTGTGACAGTCGTTCTGAGGAACTCTCACATTGACACTGGTCATAGGTGTCTGCTGATTGACTCCCGGCCAAGAAGAGCTGGCCTTGTTATCGATCCTGCGGTGCCAATACCAATTCTGTCCACTGTGCTTGATCTCTTGTTCAAGGGGTTTCAGACACCAATGATCTCTCTCATGTCCACGGCCACCATGTCTGCGGTAGCTGCAGGCGTCCGCTCAGGGCTGATTATTGACATGGGGTGGTCCGAAACGATAGTCACTAGCGTCTACGAGTACCGAGAGGTCAAATGCACGCGCAGTGAGAGAGCAGGGAGATATCTTCACAATAAACTCTACGAGGTTCTCCGGAAACTATTGACTGACAAAGACGAAGACGAAGGCGGTGTACGAGCCATCAGTTTTGCGGAATGTGAAGACATCATGTGCCGTCTGGCGTGGTGCCGACCGTTGGCGTTCAAGAAAGTTCAGGCTCAGAGGCAGTCGCAGCAATTAGATACGGTGGAGGAGCAGGATGAGTCTGAGCCGGAGCACTCGCAAGGCGGCGTGGCGAGCATCCCGTTAAGATCGACCAATCCACCAAGGACACTTGATGTCTCTATGGACAAAATTGCGGACATATGCGACGAGACGTTCTTTGATCTGTCAATAGCACCAACAACATTTGACGACCACGAACTTCCGTTGCATTTGCTCGTATATCAGCATTTATTACAACTTCCAATGGATGTGAGGGCTACTTGCATGCCTAGAATCATCTTCACGGGTGGCTGCTCCAATATCCTGGGCGTTAAAGAGCGGGTTGTAGACGAAGTCATGAGCATGGTCAACAAAAAAGGATGGGCCAATGTCTCGGGCAAGCACGTGGAAGAGACTCGAAACAGCCAGTTTGCCGACAGAAGAGCAAGCGTTGCAAAGTCAGTTAGCTCGACAGCGACGGCGTCTGATCCCGGAGAAGAGCAAGAGTCATCACGACCAAGTTCAATAGCTACGGCATCTGATATATCGGATCCCATTGAGGCGAAGGTAGCGCGCCATCGACCACAAATCCAGCAACTACAGGGCGAATTTCGTACGCTTCACTCGCTTGGGCCATGGGCTGGGGCAAGCTTGGTCTGCCAACTCAAGATCCCCGCCATGGCTACGGTAGACCGCGAGCTATGGCTGCAGCAGGGAGCTAGTGGTGCGACGCGGCCAAATGAAATCGATGTCAAGGCCCAGCAACGACAAAGTATGGGCGCGGGAGGTTTTATTCGCGGTAGCGGAGGACATCACACAAACTGGACGCTGGGAGCATGGGGCAATGTATGAAAAGCTTGTCTTTGCTGGAGTTGTGGTCGATGGCGCATTATTTTCGCCTTGTTGGAGTCCAGTACACTAGATGCGATTCTCTTTGGCTTCTCTCGTTCGACAACACGTGAAAAATGATTGGGATGATTTGACTATCAAGATTTCCCGGTATGAATAGATCTAACTCATAGACTGTATCAACGAAACTTTACCCTAGAAGCTGGCACTATATGCCTCTTAGATGGACAAATGGGAGGAGAATTAACGACTATACCTTTATATTACGAATAAAAGATTCAAATTTAAAGACCGATTATCAACCTAGACTATTGAACCTTCTGGATGCTTTAGTCTGTCCTCTCGCTCAAGTTGGTTGCGTATCTAACATAGCTGAACCAAAGCGCAGCTACTTGGCGCGAATTGATGATAGGTTTCAAACAACATCGTGAAATTCCAACTGGCACCGCTTGAGAAAGATGACGCCTCAAAGAAAAGACCAATTACGAGTCATGGCAACTCGGTATGCTAGAAACCGACCCGCATTAGGGCCTGTGGATAATGTCAAGAACGCCCTCTTATCGGGACCTGTCCGACGAGGTGTCGAAGAGCCGCTTTATTGTGTATAAGCGTGAGCTAGCTGGGAGGCGAGAGCGCCTTGGTGGCTCTTATAGAAAAACCATTGAGCGCCACCGGAGAAAATACATGACAAAAACGACGCAGGTTTCCACGAATGAAGGATTTCGCTCTCTGCTCAGAGGCGCGGGTAAACGCTTAAGCTAGCTTCTTGGACGAAGCCATGCTTGTGGACCTTGTTCAAGCGGCAACGTGGCTAGCAACGCCAAGCGAGTACATGTATGGGAGTAAACCGGATATGAAGCGTTGTTCTGAACGCCACAAGAAACGCTCGCTGAATATCGCCGCCTGAACGAATCACAAGACTCGCCCGACTCTTTCAGCTTGGAGACTAGAGTCTGGGGAAAACCCCACGTTTTTGGCTTCTCGACGGCGTTGGCGCCATTCCGCTCTTTTCCCCCCACACAGGGCGCCTCTCGTCTGCCTTTTGGCGGCTCCAACTTCCCCGACTTTTCTAACCCCCCACAGAGGATGCTCGTTCCCGGCAGTGATATTCGGTTGTCGGTGTACCGACGGCATAATTGGACGATTGGGGGGATGCACGATGAGGTGAGGGGGTTTGATTGGCAGCGTGTGAGGAATGTAACACCCGAGATATAAAACGGCGGAGCTTTGCTCTAAACGGGTCGAGCTGCGTTTCTTGATTTCTGCGCAGGTCTTTTTTTGCGTGCAAATACTCTGGTCTCGAGCAAAGCAAAGCAGGTAGAGATCATGGCCACTGAATCCAACGAAGCTGCCTATCTCCCTCCTCCTTCGGTGAAGGATTTGGGCGAGGGAGATGGCGATGTCGAACATGTGGAGAAGGACATCAAGACGGTAGTGGCCGCGGTCACGGACCGTCCTGTGCATGAGATGTATCTGGAGGCCATGGAGCGGTATCCCAATGACGAGGCGATTGATCAAGCGGCGGAGAAGCGATTGTTGCGCAAGCTAGACATGCGGATTCTGCCGTTGCTAGGCATCTGCTATTTCTTCTATGTGAGCCTTGTCAACATGTACATCCTGCTTGGCTTGAGGTAAAAGAGAGACTAACTTGGGCTCAAGTACGTCGACAAAACCACACTCTCGTACGCCGCCATCTTCGGCATCAAAAAGGATCTCAATCTCGTGGGCGACGACTACTCGTGGCTGTCGAGCAGCTTTTATTTTGGCTGGCTGATCTGGGCCATCCCGTCCAACCTCCTCATGCAGCGCAGCCCGCCCGCCTATTACCTCGCCTTCAACATCTTCATGTGGGGCGCGCTGCTCATGTGCCAGGCCGCGGTGAAGAATCTGCAATCCCTGCTGGCTCTTCGGATTCTGTCTGGGGCGTTCGAGGCCATTGCCGACCCGGCCTTTATGCTCATCACGTCCATGTATTACACGAGGGCGGAGCAGCCGTCGCGGATTTCTGCGTGGTATGCGTTTAATGGAGTCGGTGTTGCTGGGGGTGGTCTTATTGGTAAGTTTGCAATGCTTTCTCCCCTAGCTTATTTTACCAGAATAGGCAAATGCCCTTTGGACCAACTGCTGCTGTTTATATCGGGACAAAGCGTGTTAATGTTTGTATTTTTTGAATTGCAGGATACGGCATCGGTCAAATAAAGGGAATGCTGGCGTCATGGCGCTACGAGTTCATCATTGTCGGTGCCTTTTGCGCCGTTTGGGGAATATGCCTCTTCATCTGCCTGCCCAACTCGCCTCGAACCATCTGGGGCTTTACACATGACGAGAAGCTCATCATGATTGCGCGGATGAGACGCAACCAGACCGGTGTGGAGCAGAACAGAATCAACTGGAAACAGATCAAGGAAGCCTATATGGACTATAAGACTTGGCTCTTTACCTTGCTCGGCTTTGCGTCCAATATTCCGAATGGTGGCATTTCCAACTTTTCGACTCTTGTCATCCAGGGCCTGCATTTTGATACTCTGCATACAGCTCTCTTGGGTATTCCGCAGGGTGTGCTGGTCGTGATATGGATTGGGCTGGGTGCTTTGGCGAATAGGTTTATGCCAAATAACTGCCGCACGCTTGTCTGTGCGCTGTTCATGCTGCCCACAATTGCTGGAGCCCTGGGATTCTTGCTTGCTCCGAATGATGCATATGTGGGGAGACTGATTTGCTTGTGAGTCATTCATATCCTGCATAGCTCCATCTATACTGAACATTGACTGACGCGAGATGCAAATAGCTACTTGACCGGCTCATACCAAGCTTCATTTGTCATTTCGCTCTCTCTCATTACTTCAAACACCGGCGGGCAGTCGAAGAAGATGATTGTCTCCGGCATGATCTGGTTCGGTGCCTGTATCGGCAACATTGCTGGTCCCTTCTTCTACAAGGCCAATCAGGCGCCGTCATATCATCTGGGCATTGGCTCGCTCCTCGTTGCCAACTGCGTCGAGCTGGCGCTCTTCTTTGTGTTCCGATACTGCTTTATATGGGAGAATAAACAAAAGGAGAAGCTTCGAGCGGAGCTGGAAGAGCGCGGGGAGTTTATTGCTGGCGAGCTGAATGCCACGGCGTTTGTTGACATGACGGATAAGGAGAATCCGAACTTTGTGTATGTTTATTGATGTGCGCAGGAACGCACGAGATGGCAGTAGTACTAGAACATACAGATGTCATCTAAACTTGAATATCGACTTGCATTTTATATTGCAGATCCCTTCCGTAATAGGTCATATTTTTGAACCATTGAATATTACATAGTTGCTTTGTGTAGGGCCGCTGGGCGAGTTTCCACTTTGCCGTGACAGTCATTGTTGAGAGAGGAAACTTCAATGCCACAGTAATGCTCATATACAGCGAGGCTGAATCAGCATCGGCAGCCTCGTGGGATGGCCTGATGCATTCATTCTCTCTATGCATGAGGCTTGTCTTACACTTACACATGTGATGAAGCGCTTCGCATCTGAAATGAGCCTTGCGGGCATTTGCGACGGCCCCTAAAATCATTGGAAAGTGGATGACATAGTGCGCGGCATTCCCACGTTTCCCCCTCGTGTCAATGCCGCGGATTCTCACATGGCAACCTTGCAAGGGACCGTTGTGGGCAACTCCGGTCCGGCGGAATTAGCACGGCAGAGAAGTCATCATTAGTCAGTCCTAGTAATACCGTATGCCAAATTCCGTACAGATGGTCGATATCATGAGCATGTTTTCTCGTCCTGCACTAGCACTGATATCCGTCAACTCGATGCGTGCGTGTGCATGTATGATGCGCATTTGCTGCGTTGTTAGCGGCACTTCTGGCTTCTGTTGCGGCGAGGCGAGGTGGCGCGAATGCAATACCACCCCCCTTGCATTGCTTTTATTTGCACCAACCGTGAAAAGTAAAACGTCCGGATAGTAGGTATTACTTGCAGTTTGGCTAATACGTAATCTCGATACGCCGTCCTGCTTCGATGGACTGCTTACAATGGACGAGGGGTTCGAGAGCGGGAACTTAATCTTTGGTTTCTGCTGCGTCGAAAGTGCATAATACATACAGTACTGGTCGTATTGATATGATCGTCGTTGAGCATCAAGGGGGCGGCCGCTGTGCCCCTGGCCTAGCTTTTCTTCGTACCTGGACGCAACGTGAGTTGCCTGCCTGTATAGGTGAGTAAGCATGCTTTGGGATGTCCCCGAGCAATCAAAGCCGCCTTTTTGGGACTGTTTCCGCTGTGCGATGCTTGTAAGTGCCACGACCTACATATGGACAGTGACACAATAAGCGTTGACAAAACGATCGGATAGAGATGAGGAAACAGAATGCCTGGACCCTGCCAATGCTTGCAGGCTGTGCTCCTGAAACCAAGATGTAAGCTCGTCGCTGGCGCTCTTATGCTGCACGGACTCTCCACATACGGGCTTCCTCATGCAATTGAATGGTCCAAGCTGTCGGGTCGTGATGCTGACAGCCCAGTGGCTTGACATGGTCAAGCAATAGTGCAAGCAAGAGCCCTGCCGGACACGTAAGACGAGGCGGCTGCGAAGAACGAAGGCCTACTGGGTCCCAGGCTCCGGGGAGTCATACCGACAGCGGGAAACATGGAGGCGCCCGCGATGTCTGTCGTGTGCTCAAACAAGTGGCTCAAGCCGTCGTATGGATGTAATTCGTACTGTACCCAAGACTCCAGTCCATATCCAACAAGCGAGCGAGGCGTCCCAGCTGCTGATTAGCCCGCCCGGTCCCAGTGGTTTCTAGACAGCCCTTGCAGTTGCTTTTTCCTGGGCCACGGCTCGTTGGCTGCAGGTATTGCATGTTGGTAAGCCCCGGTGCCCTGTCCCCGGTTCTGCAGATGCGTCCAATGCTGCATTGCTGCGCCATTGGGTTGGTACATGTATGTATTTGACCGATGCTGCAGGGGAGACCGGTCGCGCGGGTCTCTGCGGACCGTACAGTGGCAGCTTTGTCTCGACCACAAGCAGGGGCTGCGCGTATTAGAGAAGATGAAGATGCTGCATGTATGCATGACGGACAAGAGAGCGGCCGCTGGTATGTAGCCGCAGAGATCTCACGTACAGTAAGATGGAATCTGGAGAATGGAGTATGGATCAAGAGATTGTACTTGGGCAGCGCTAGACGGTGGTTAGTCGGATAGAACTGCCAAAAGTTCAAGGCTCTGGTGGTGTCAACCCTAATTTTGCCTTTTCCGAACAAGATTTAGGCCGCGGGAAGCCCCAAAGTGGCGCAGCTAAACAACAGCTAGCCAGGGCTATGGCATGTCCCGCCAGACAGTTTGGATGGAGGATACGCACTATGGAACGTCCATATGGCACTGAATAGAGAAAAGCGAGATACTACTGTAGGTGGAAGACAATGCTTCGTATGTATCAGAGGATTTCACATGACTTGATGATACCTAATGGGGAAAGAACTGGAGAACACGGCCACTGGATAAACAAGGTGATGATGCGACTGCAACGCAACTGGCAATGAATGCTGACTGCATATCATGCCTTCCATTGCAAAGTGGCTGTCATTGATACTTCGCAATTTGACCAACCACGCAAATACAACCTTGTAATTTGACAGCAATTCGTGTATTCAGTTGAGAATGTTTCGAACCAACCACAGTAAAACATCCTTGCAGTTCGTCTATACTTGTAAGTACTATCCTGTTGAGGCGAACTAAGCAAAGGGATAAATCCTTGCAATTTACCTATTTCAGAATGCCCTTTCCATATACATATACGTATCGACATTAGTTGAAGGAGCCTATTATAAGAATTCCAGAGATATGAGAACTAATAGTTCTTCTTACTATATGAATTACGACAAAAACGAGCTACTGCTATTGAACTTATTGATCAAGACCACGGTCTGCAATATCGATGGACCAAAGTTGTTTCATATTCATCTCCTAGTCACTCCAGGAAGGATATAACATTGACTCATCAAGTGCAGGCTATGGAATGAATTACAGGATGATATAGAGAAATATGAGGTATACCTAGCAGGAAATCCGCACGGGAAGCGGGATTTCCATTTTAGGATGTAGCACCTGCGGTCCATTTGGGACCTCGCCGGCCAAGACTTGAAAACTCTGCACTGTGCCGTATCCAGCCACTGTACGTGGTCTTTGTACAAGGTAGGTTTCTATTACATGAAGTTTCTACGGCTGTGTGAGACTTGTGAACAATGCGTTTTATTGTATTAGAAGATATTGCAGCCAAGCATGGTATAATAGGTATTGAACAGCGCTACTATATCATGTATAGGCAATGAGCAAAGGTGCTGGTCTTACTGTAGGAGTGCTGTTCCTAGACTTACTTGAAATGGTCTGTTTTTGCGCATTTGTGTTTTGCGTTGTGCTATCGTAGCCTGCAAAGTCTTTTGCTCTCCCTTGCCTTTTCTTTTTTTAGAGCATCTCTTTGTTCCATCCATTGTTCCATTGTCTGAAACTAGCATACATTTAGCCAGCCGGCCGGAAAGGTCTCAAAACCCTCTGCTCTGCATTTTAGCGAGCGGCTCCCAGCTCAACGAATGTCCGTCTCACGAGGCCGAGTCGGCCGATCTGCATCTGCAGACTACATGTCAATAGGTAGGTACTTTAATCGTATTGATTACTCTGTGAGAAATACACAATCTACCAGGTACCGCACGGCGCTGACATACCTTGCTTTCCGGACAATGCTCCGGCTCCCCATATAAATGAACAAAAGGCGAAGCCCTCAACGCCTATTCTGCTCGCTTAAGCACCTCATGCTCAAATGGCACGCAAACCGCCCGCAGCCGCACCCACTGCTGCTCTGGAGCCGTGACACGCCCTGGCCTCGCGGATCGCACCCGTAGCTAGGCATCAGGGCCAGGATTTGCCTCGTGCAGCGCTGCAAGCGGCCAGCCCTGCTAGCGACCGAAGTGCCCTGGAGCGCCCCTCTGTGGCGGGCTCCGGGCCCTCTCAACCCGCTGAACCCACAGTAAACCCACAGTGCTGGATTCCTCCACAGAGAGCCCGTCTGCCGGCCCACTCAGGAAATTGATCGACCACCATCGTTGGAGTCTTGATTGTTTCTCTCTCTCCCGACTCTCAGCTTCATACCTTTTCGTATTGCTGGTTGGCCGTTTTGCCTTTGCCCCCTGTGCCTCAGGCTTTTGTGCGAAGCCACCGCTTCCAAGGGCTTCTTTTCGTTGCCGGTGCTGGCTGGCCGTCTGTTTCTCTCCTCTCATTGCCTCACCCATCCTTGTTCTTCTTCTGCGTCAGCTTCCAGTTTGCGTGGAACTCATTTCAGCTGCTCCGAGTCCCTCCAGCTTCCACCAGCCAGTCCCGCTCCCCATTGTCCGTGCAGAAGTCGCTCGTTCTTTTGCGCTGCAATTTGCTTTGTCTTTGCTTTTGTTTCTTATCTTTGTTTTACATCTTCGCTCCTTGTCTGTATTCTCGCATCTTCATTTTCAACTGGCCGCACTAGACTTTGCTTTTCAACCGGACGGGACATGCAACCACTCTTTTCTCGCTGACCCTCTTGGATATCCACGCTTATCCCTTTTGCTTGCGTTGTAATCCGAGTACCATGTCTTCCAAACCTACCACCACGGCCATTCATATACCATAGAACTCGGGGTTCCACCACACTACACGACACCATCTACTTAGCACCCACAACTCCGTGACATACGCCAGGCATATGGCGCCGAAGAAGCGAAAGAGTCGAAAGGGAACGCGCCAACGAGCGCAACAAGAAACACGTCTTCATGAGCCCCGCGTGTCGCAGTCTGGAAGACCATCCATCGACGGAGAAGGCGACAGATATCCAGCTGCATCATCCAGCATGGCGGGCACCGAGGAGGAAGAGGAAGCCGCAGGCAGCGATACCGTCACCGACCTCAGGGACGACCCTGAAGAGGACAATGACAATATCGAGGTAGCCTCTCTTTATCCAGCCAGCCAATTCCGACATGGCGCAATGAGCACATACAGGTCAGCTGGCGGACATTTCACGGCTGGAGATTCGCGGACGTTGACTTCTGACTTGTAAGTCTCATCACTAGACTTTACTCCTGGCCAATCGATGCTGGCTGTGGCGTAGTAAATTGGTCCAAATACCTGGCTCTCCATATTGTCGTTTAACTTGACAGCTGCTAACAACCATGCCAAGAGCGTCAACCCGGTCTCTATGGACCATGGACCTCGATTATCGTGAACTGCATGGGCGCAGATATTGCCGAGAGTACCACATGCCAAACGATGAAATTGAACAGCTTCGACTGACATTGCTGCACCAAGTGTTCTTGCATATCTTTGATGGAGAACTGTTTCTTGCTCCGTTCGACGAGCTGCCGTCGAATATCCTTGATGTCGGCACTGGCACTGGCGAATGGGCAATCAGGATTGCAGAGATGTATCCGGAATGCGAGGTTGTGGGAACCGACATATCAGCCATTGCCGAAACCGAAAGCGTTCCCGTCAACGTGTTTTTTGAGATTGAAGACGCAGAAGACTGGGACCGACCGCCGGACCATTACGACATGATCCACATGCGCTGGTTATCGGGGGCCTTTCGTGATTGGAATTTCATTTACGACTGCGCTTATTACTCGCTTAAGCCTGGTGGCTGGATAGAGGTCGCCGACTTTGATGGATTTGATACCATTGATTTTTTCAACAATCACTTCCCGCCCGAATCTCCCATCCACAAGTTATTCAGAGACATCCACATAGCCGCGGATATGGCGGGGCGAAAGGTGTCCATATCTCATCTGAACGCACCTGATTTCATGGAAGCGGGCTTTGTGGATATCAGAGTGGTGGACTATTCTCTTCCCGTCATATTTGGCGAGCCCTCTGTTGATAAGATTTGGTTAATGGCTCTTATAGACGGCATCGAATCCATGGCTTTGCGCCTCCTTACTGAGTACATGAACTGGGATCCGGAAGAATGCAAAGCCGTCTGCGAACAGGTGGCCTGGGAGCTGGCTAATATTACCAAGAATCCCGAGCTTGCCAAATCTCTCACTACCAAGGTCCGCGTCATCGTAGCGCGAAAACCTCTTCAGGCACCTAGGTCAAACGCCGCTTGGCCAGCGGATGAACCTTTGTCTCTGCGACCTCGAAGAGAGGAGGGAACGCCCGAGCTTGACTCTGCGTCAATCGCAACGCCTCGCCAGACGACCGAGCATCTTGTCACGGAGACGGTACACCAAGTGCCACATATTGAACCTTCATAAGAGGGGGCAGGGGAGAAGCGTGGAAGGAGTTGTGTGGAGAGCAAGAGCCAAAAAACAATCAAATCGATGTACCATCTTGGCATAGACTGTCCAAGCTGATTGGCCTTTTCTCTATATTCATTAGTATCCTTACGTTGGGAGCAGCAAATCGCTTCGATAAAAGCTTATGCGCCATGTGACTACCTCCACAGGAAAGGCTGTCACAGCGTTTAGCTTAAACCAACCCCCTGACCACTACCATTTTTTGCTACCGAGTGGGTATGACAGCGATACAACACTATTTACAATGACGAAGTTTAACGAAGACGACGAAAATTTGACTACAAGCAAGCATGCAAGCTTTTTCTTGAAAATTCTTGTTTTCATTTACCGTTTTTTACTTTCGGCACACGGCCGAACGACGAACAATTCAACTGTGGAATCTTGGAATCTTCGTGCCTTTTTTTTTTGTCAGTTGAATAACGATATAGAATCCTATTCTTTGACCATCTCTCTTATATAATTCATTGTTTGGATGTCACAATATTTTTGCAGCTGTATATAGGTTATTGGCAATGGGATCGACGGAATTGAGAGTCGAAGGATACATGTAGTCAAGTACTCTACACAACACTTTGGGCTCCGTGTGAACTTGAAGAGAAGAACATGCGATTCTCATTGTAACTGGTGGGAAGAGAAAAGAAAATATAACAAATGTAAAAATGATAATACGAGAACATTCAGTGCATTGGTTGTGAAGCAAGGTTATGAGCGAGGCAGTTATGACATGGAACAGTTAAAGACAACCCGGATCTGTGGCTTTGGCCGCCACACTGAACTACTACTACTACAGCGAGGCTGCAAGTACTCTGTACCCCCTAACGCGATGCGGCATCCAGCTCCCTTGCTCCACCGCCTCGGCCAGCGAATGAGCGCCACAGGAGCACGTTGGAGCTGCCCAAAGATCCGTCACTGACGCAGCCTGGCGATCTCAACCACCCGCTCATTTGCTCCGCCATCGCCAGCTTTGAGCTTCATCCAGGCATCGCCCAGCCTCGCAACCTCCCGTCTATCTAGCCGGTCGCCTTTTGCGAAAGCTACCGAAAGTCCCTCGCCTCTGCTCCTACCGGCCCGGAAGCAGGATTCGGGGCCTCCACCGCCGTGTTCAAGCCCCGCGCGAGCATGTCTGCTTGAAGAAGCCGATACCATGTCGCTCGATCCCAACGACGGATTTGTCGCCGCCGATGCTGCGGATCTAGAGAGCGGCGACCTGCCGATTTTTACGATTGAGCGGGTGCAGCTGCAGTTCTCGATAGCAGCCGACTTTGCCGCTGCGCAGGTTGCGAATAATGTCATCATCCTGGCCTTGTCGAATGGCCGCATTCTGCGCATCGACCTGAACCGGCCCGAGGACATTGACGGTGAGTTCGGTGGCATATTGAGGAAGAATAGGAGGGTAAGGAATGTTTCAGGTATGGACTTGGGCTAATATGGACGGCCTGACGTAGATATCGACCTACCAAAGAAGCCATCCGATATTGGCATCATTCGACGCATGTTCCTCGATCCTACGGCGTCGCATCTCTTGATTTGCACATCGACAGGGCAGAATTTTTATCTACACTCACAATCCAAGCAGCCTCGGGCGTTGAGTAAATTGCGCGACGTCGTGATTGAAAGTGTAGCCTGGAACCCTTCCCTGCCTACTGCTTCCACGAGAGAAATCCTCATCGGTGCCGCCGACGGCAACATCTACGAGGCCTTCATAGAAACGTCCAACGAATTCTACAAGAAAGAAGTGAAACATCTCAAGAACCTACATAAGCTTCCGAATGAGCCCATCACGGGCCTCTGGGTGGATAACTTGCATGGCAAGACTGATATGCGCAGGATTATGATTGCTACTCCGAGCAGACTGTTCCACCTCGTCGGTAGAATTAGCCATGGCTATGATGGTAGCGGTTCTATCTATACAAGGATGTTTGAGACGGAGCAGCCCATTATTCATGAGCTTTCAAGAGTTACTTCTGGGGCAAATTCCACTTTCGTTGTGTCTCCCGATCCACCTGATACTAGCCCCCATGACGATGATGTGCCAGATCGAGCATATGCTTGGCTATCATCACATGGCGTCTATCATGGAAAATTGTTAAATTCACCCACAGATGCTGCTCTAGGATCAAAGATTTTTGCAGAATCCAAGATGCTCCCGAGAGCTCAAATCGTTACCCAGGGGGCAGGAAGCAAACGGAAGCCGTCCACAGAAACAATCGATGCCATTGCTCTTACCCAGTGGCACATTGTAAATCTGGTCGGCGGCCGTGTCATTACTACCAACCGTCTGACTGGAGAGATGGTGTCGGAACATGACGTACTGTCCGCCGGGCAGAAGCCCATTGGTTTCTCGGTAGACTCTCAAAAGAACACCTTTTGGCTGTTTACGTCTGAGGAAATCTTCGAGATTGTGGTGCGAGATGAAGATAGAAACATCTGGAAGATCATGATGGAGACTCAGCAGTTTGAACCAGCTCTTCAGCAAGCTCGCTCACAAATGCAAAAAGAGACTGTTTCCGCAGCGTTTGGCGATTACCTCTCTACAAAGGGCCATTGGAGCGAGGCTGCAATGGTATACGGCCGGAGTAACAAGCCATTTGAAGAGATTGCACTCAAGCTTATCGACAGCAACCAACCGGATGCGCTGCGCATCTTCCTACTTACGAAGCTGGGTACGACCAAAAAGTCTGCTGTCATGCAGAGAATAATGGTTGCGAGCTGGCTTGTGGAGATCTTCATGGCCAAGATAAACTCTCTCGACGATGCAATCATCACTCATACAGACTTGACAGAGAAAATGAATCCCGCTGAATCCAGAAATCAGATGAGTGCGGCGAAGAAGGAATTTCAAGAATTCGTCAACAAATACAAGAGCGATCTCGACCATAGGACAGTATACGACGTGATAAGTAGCCATGGTAGGGAAGAAGAGCTTTTGTACTTTGCCAATGCTATCAACGACTACAACTATGTCTTATCATATTGGGTACAACGAGAGAGATGGAATGATGCGCTCAAGGTCCTGAAGAAGCAGACAGATCCAGAAGTTTTCTATCGATACAGTACTGTGCTCATGTCGCACGTGGCACAAGATACGGTGGATATCCTTATGAGACATCAAGATCTCAGTCCACGAAAGCTTATCCCCGCCTTGTTGGAATATCATCGCGACTTTTCTGGCGAAGGAACGGCTCAGAACCAGGCCATAAGATATCTCAACTATGTGGTATACCAGCTCAATTCTACCGATGCCGCGGTTCACAACACTCTTGTGTCCATTTACGCTTCACTCCCTTCCAAAGATGAGTCGGGACTGCTGGCTTACCTGCAGGCGCAGGGCGATGATCCTCGATATGATTCCGACTTTGCTTTAAGACAGTGCATCCACCACCACCGAACCCTCTCTTGTGTCCACATATACACTAGCATGGAGCAGTATCTTCAGGCCGTCGATTTGGCACTCTCACACAATGAGGTTGAGCTAGCAGCGGTCATTGCTGATAGACCAATGTCAAACCCTCAGCTGCGTAAAAGGCTGTGGCTGGCTGTTGCCCGGAGAGTCATCTCCAAGTCTGACGGTATCAAGACGGCGATCGAATTCCTGAAGAGGTGCGATTTGCTCCGGATTGAGGATCTAATTCCCTTCTTCCCCGATTTTGTGGTGATTGATGACTTCAAAGAGGAAATTTGCGAGGCTCTCGAAGATTATAGCCGAAACATTGATAATTTGAAGAAGGAAATGGATGAATCTTCTCAAACGGCCGCGAATATTAAGCTGGATATCGCTGCGTTGGATCATCGATATGCTATTGTGGAGCCTGGCGAGAAGTGCTACGTATGTGGGCTGCCACTACTGAGCAGGCAGTTCTTTGTGTTCCCTTGCCAGCACTCTTTTCACTCAGATTGTATGGGGCGGAAAGTTTTGGAACAGGCTGGTGTTGCCAAGTCATCCCGCATTAAAGAGCTTCAGATGCAAATTCACAAGGGGCTTGTGAGCGGCGCGCGGCGAGAAGCTGTTGTTGCTGAACTTGATGCCTTGGTAGCTTCAGCATGGTAAGTCTCTTATTGACTTTGGCGTCTTTAGCCCTGAAACAACTGATTAACTCCTTGATAGTATTCTTTGCAGTGACTTTGCCATCAAGAGGATTGACGAGCCTTTCATCACCCGGGATGACAACCTTGATGAGTGGGCATTATGAGGTGGACTCAATACATTCGCCGTGGAAATTATAGAAGTATAGATACCCTCCCTCCTGACTACATAATCTCAATTTATTAGCGACAAATACACTATATATTAGGCTATAGCAGCTTGCTTGCTTTTTCATCCTCACGTGTTATCTCGAGTGAGACTGGTCATGTCTGCTGAAAACGTTTTATAAGCATTGGTAGCTATGTACAAGAAGGTTCAAATATATATATACAAGAATGGTTGCTAATGATCAACAAGACAACCCAAAAAGACAACATTTTCATGATGTTTGTGTTTTCTTTCATATGCAAAGATGAGGTAAGGAGACTATATACAGTCACCACAGCCAGCGCCAGCTAGATATATACAGTTGCTGGCTACTTAAGCTGTGTAGACTTTTCCAGTGCCGTACTGGATGTTCTGGACAGACACTCCAGTGGGGGTGTTGGGGACACCGAGCTGGTGAGGGCAGCTAGGCTGGTTGCTCACAGAGAGGTTGAAGGTGCAGTCCTCGTCATAACCAAAGTGGCACACGGGATCGAGGATGTTGATGAACTCGTAGTTCTGAGCAGCAAACGAGCTTGGCTGGTTCAGGCAGTTGGCCACATAGTTGACGCTGTTGGCGGCGCTGAGAGGCAGCTTGCCGTTGTGCAGCAGGTCGGCGCACTGGCTGACGTCGACAAACTGCCAGTCCATGTTGACGCCGCCGCCCTGCTGGGGGTCGACGGTGGCGGACTGGCCAAAGACGAGGGTGTTCCAGGCGTCGTAGGAGATGTCGTGGGCGCCGCCGGAGGAGTCGATCTTCAGGACGTTGAGCGAGCGGCCCTGGTAGGTGAGCTGGACGCAGATGTTGTTGCAGTCGACGTCGCCGGGCCAGTAGGCGACGCGGTTGGTGTTGATGTGGCAGCCGAGCACGCCGATGGAGGACGAGTATTGCTCGTGGGGGGTGACGGAGACGGAGCCGCCGCGGGGGAGGACGGCAGCCGAGACAGTGGCGGCGGTGGCGGCGAGGAGGCCGAGGGAAGAGGTGAAGGAAGGCATCTTGTGCTTTTTTGAAGGAATGAAGTTGTTTTTGTTTTGGAAAGGAGAGTTGTAAACCGAGGTGTGGTTTCTTTTGTTAAGGAGTGAAGGAAGTTGGATACTTCGTTCGAAAAGGAATGGAATGGAAGGACTGTTTTTTTTTTTTGCTGAAGAGCTGCTCAGATTGAAGATAGAAGAAGAGATCGGCAAGGAGGAAGACGAGATGAACTTATATATCTGTTTCTCGAGCCTCGCGCCTCACAAGGGTGTTACTATTCCTCGGGGCGGAAACAAAAAATTAAACTGGAGATATCCCATGCCTTCTCATGCTTTTCCCTGCTCCATTGTAACGTTATGGAGTTGCTTGTTTTAGTGCTCACTGGACCAGGTGCTGACTTGAAACTTCGTAGGATGAGTGTACATTTGCTTTTACAAGTATTTTCTCTCTCGGCTTCACCCCTGCTTTGAACCCAAAGTGGGCATGAACAACTTTCCTTTAAAGAAATCTTTCATTATGAACGCTCAAGGAACGTTGATCGTGAACATACCACTCAGCCATTTACTATGGAATCATCGAGCATACAAACAATGGATCCACCTGAGCCTTCAAACGGACAGCCAGGGTTTATGGAGTTCTATATTCTGCTCGATAGCCTGGAAGGGGAACCGGGCGTCTAGGCTGACAGCCTGCTCCCTCTCGGAAGGTCGTAGAGGACCCAAGAGAGGCTGTGGCGATTGGACTCCCTTTTTCGGCTTGTGAAACGCTGTTGGGGGCTAGGATAGGCTACGACGCAGCAAACAAGGCTCTAACTGTGCCTGATTATCCGAGTGAGTGAGTTGTTTTCTCCATCGACTCATGGCTCTTCATACATGACTTGACGACCATCGCTCTTACACGCTCTACTGCACCCAAACGGCTTCAGCGAGTCAAACAATGGTCCCCCCTTAAGCTCGGTAGACGGAACCAAGTGCCGCTGAGAGAATCAGTGCGGATCCCTGCTGTGGGATCGTCTCCTGCCTATTTGGATTAACCGCCTGCCAGGCACGGGGCTGCCATTGGATGGTTCGCGAGCCGCACTGACGGGGGTGTCAACCCTGAGCTAAAATGATGCGATGATGCGTCTTTGCGTGCATTTTCTTCCTTTTCTTCTTCTGGTCTGTCTTTCACACGTGGGCCTGGTGACATGCATGACTGACTTGAGTTGTATTTTTTCTTTCTTTTGGCTAGATTCCGTGATGGTGGCGGTGGGAATGATGCCGTGCGGATTTCTTAGAGGCGCCCGATTAGCGGGAACGGCGTGGAGAGATGATTTTGATGCCCGGGATGCCCTGATGAGAAGCTGGGCTTGAAAGGGTAGGTCATGTTAGACGAGCTGGACCTATTTCTTATTATGTACTTGGCTGGGGGAGCGCTAATCAATAAGCTATACTTTGTGCTTTTTTTAGGCATATTCATTTCAATCTGACGATCTTCATGTCTTGTAGAGATGCATGTAAGTATTGTAGTACCTAGACGCTATGTAGCTGACTCGAAGATGTTTGCTTTCTGAGCTCGGTGCTTCTAGTTCAACTGAAACAGTGGCATTTACCTTTTGGTTCCTGCTTCCGTTTACCCGCCTTTGACAGCTTGACAAGCGCCATTTCCTGTTCCTGCTGTGTGGCCAGTGACATATCAGAGGACAAACAGTAGCTGAAGAATACACAACAGCACAATAGCATGCCGTTATGCCCAACATGTTTAAACCATCAAGCGTGGTTGACTCGAGGGCCACGCGGTGCGGCTTATTCCTGCTGCTGCTGCTTGGCGGAGCCAATGGGCTTTGGGTGCCTTCGGCGTGGCCGGTGCGGGCCGGGGCCATTAGTGCTTTGCTCTGCTGTGGTATGTAACAGATTTTTTCTCTTCTTCCGGTGGGGTTTTTTTTTCTGAATCGACTGATGGAATATGGAGACTGTAGAGGCGGTAGCGCCTTGGTGTTAGTCGAATAAGGAAGTTGGGATGACATGAGGCTTTAGCCGCTGTGATCTATAAGCGCTTTGAGATTCAGTGAGGGATTGGATCGGTAAGTAAGACGCTGCTGTAAGGGTACGGTGGAGAGTGTAAGACAGCTTTTTAAAGCAAGTAACCAACACAAAGGGCAATGAATTGATGACTTCGATGGGAACTTTGCTTCTATACAGCAACAATGAGCTTGACAGAATAAGATTTTATCTAGCAGCTTAGTAACACCCACGTCTATAACTCGCTATAGAATATGTGCGGCCTCCTTGTCTTTCAACCCTGCCAAGTCTTACATGCAGATACTTGTTATAGATTTAAATGAGTTCCAAGGTAGGAAATTCGATAATGGCAGAGGGCGCTTTTGAAGTAACGTTAAGTTTTTGCTTTGACGCTGCCCTTTCCATCGGCTGACTTCTGTTTCCGGCTCGCCAAGAGCGGTAATTTCGAAGGGACCAAATCTTCTATAATCCTTCTCATGTCTAGAGATAGGTACTTATCGCGCAGGGATTGGTGAGTTCCAAACAGGCCATGGGGACCATCCTGGCTACAACGTTCATGCAAGTGGCACTACTATGCAGTAGCGGTATCTCGGGGATCGTTGGATCGGGCTACTCAACTACTTACTATATGCTTGTTTCACTGCAGCCTAGATGTGGGGTTTCGAACTGAGCATGGGATGGTTATTGGCAATCCAATTGTTTATTAGTGCTTGTAGCATCCATATGCCCGAGTCGCTTATATGGCCAGAATTTAGCAGTCCGGGCGGGTGGGATAATGGAAATGTTTGCTGATGAGGTGATTTACGCTCGTTTCGTGCGTGTTGGGCAAATCAAGAAGATTGAAAAGGGTGGAAAAGCTCTCAATCGGTATCAATACCTTTCTAGCCTTTGAATAGTATATTCTGGACGTGACTATTCCGCAGCAAGTGTATTAATGGTAATACTGGCGGACATGACTCTTCTTCACACGACCACTCAGTGTGGCCAAGACATTGAATAAGCAGGATGACCTGCTTCGGGCGTAGAGAATATGATCATTTACACAGTAAATATCGCAGAAAAGAGTGCAAACTTCCTGTGAGAGATGTATTGTTTAGGAAGATGGTGCGTAATTAATTGTGCGGCCATGGATCTTTACTAGCAAGCGCACATCAACCCTACCTTCCTTGCCTATGGACATTGTTCAAGGGCTAGACATCAAGGTAACTAAGATCTGCTGTGGAGAAAGCTGCGAACTATTGATTCAATTTCGGCGCTTTGTACATAGAATGCCATGCCTTTGATTGAAACCGGGGTGCCTTGGCTGATCCTTCGAATGTACCTAGTGTTACTTGACGGGCCCCAGACAACTACCCTGTGCTACCGCCGTTGCAAGCGCAACTGGGCTATACTGTAGGTTATACTTTAAGCTTTGAAGCGTTTGTTTTGGATACCTGGGTATAGGCTAGCGGATAGGATCTATACCTGTGTTCAAAGAGCTATCATAATCTTGTTATCCACTCAACCCTTGTACGTCTCCGATTTTGACCCGAGCGCCAACAGCAGCGATCATATGTCTGGCTGTACGTAACAAGTTAATAGATCCTACTCACCGTGAGTAATAACAAACGCCATCATTTATCAAAAACTGCTGTGTTTCATTTCATTCGAGTTCATCTATCATCTACTTAGGAGAAGCAATAGGTTCCCTGCATGCCCCTCCAAGTGAGACAATCTTGCTCGTAGGATCACATAGCTTGGAATTGACAGGGATAGTAGTTGTTTAACCGTCGCTTCTTAAGTAGGCCAAGACCAAGTAGAAATTAATTTCTTGGTGCTGGTGACATAGCAATGCTGCCTATGAGCTATTTCGCCCAGTGGAATTTGTAATATCTGTAGCATAAGACATCTGATGGAATATCCTTACGCTATCTAGGTTGCCAACTTCACAACCAAGCATGATAAAAGGGTCTTCTGTTTATGGACAATGATTCGTCTAACAAATAATAAGTTACAGTTCATATTCCGCCCAATGCTTACTGAAACTATGTACATACAAGATTTTATCTACTAAATACCAAATGAAACCCCAAAGCTTGCCCGCGTTTGCCGAAAGCATGTATATACAATGGATGCAAAACAATATAAATCAAAACCCATAGCTATCCACGTGTACTGAAAAGCTATGGCTATCAAGAATCCTGCTCAACTGTTGACTGTAGCCTGTGCTGTAATTCTTCGAGATGTGACTTTCCATATTCATCCCTATAGTTCTCCAAAATTTCTCTTCGCATGACGCGTCGGGGAGCTCTTCTACCTGTAAAAAGCTCAAACTGCGCACAGCCTTGTTCCGGAAGCAAATCCAGACCGTCCATAGCCACCCAGCCTCGGGAAGCTCCGTCTCGTGCTTGTTTCAAGAGTGGCGTGTTCAATGTTTTGTATCCGAGTTCAATGATGACACCACCCGTTTGATTGGCCATCCATGCATCAGGTAACTTGAACTCGGGAGATGGCGTATTACCAATTGGATGTGTCGGGATGCATGAAATAATGATAGAGGGATGTCGCTGATCGGATGGCCAAGGCTCATCAAGAGAAGTGAATATATGAAACCGTATCTCTTGGGCATCGGCAAAGAAATTCTGCTCTCCCTCTTTGAGTAGCTTCTGAAAATGAAACACCAGTCTCTCTGCATTCTCTGTGGTTCGATTGTAAATGCCAATGTTCTTGATGCCAACCTGCAGCATAGCATAAACGGCGGCGCGGGCCATACCACCTGCGCCTATGATGAGTCCCCATGTGGTTGGCCTTACAGCATTTGCGGGAGACAGTCCGCGTCGGATACATGCTCGAATACCGATCCAGTCTGTATTCTCGCCATATAAAGCTAAAACAGGACCTGCTCTATTTATTCCAGCAAATAGGGCAGAGCCTGTTGGGATGGTGCCATCGGATTTGAGTTGGCGAATGGGGATTAAGGTATTGGCGGCCCCGATGGCTCTGGCGTGGGGACTTAGATATTTGGTCAAGGTTGTAATTTCAACTTTGAATGGTAGCCCAATAGATGCTCCGCCAAAATGAGTGTCGTATATGAGATGTTCAACCCCTTTCAGACAATTGCTTGAGTAAGGCGCATAGTGATGTGGTATACCACAGGCTGACAATGCAGCGTTATGCATGGCTGGAGACATACTGTACCCAACATTGGCTCCAAACACGTAAAGTTTCATTGCATCGTATACAAAAGAAGCGTACAAGGCGTTGGTGGCTTCCTTTGCTGTTATGTAGGGAAACGGATGACCCATATCCTGGATCTGCGTCACTGGGCTGGACGCAACCAGCGTAAGGGTCTGGTTGAAGCAAGATGAATAGCGGCCAAGATATCCACTGTTGTACGCGATCAGCGGTATCTTGTTTGTTTTCAGGGATGAAACCTTGGATTTAAACCGCGAGATGACAAAATTGTCGTCCATTGTTTTCGCTACTCGCACTAGCCGTACCATGTCACAACCCAACTGACAGGCTTTCTGATACCAAGATGCCCATGACGGAGAGTCCCAAGGTTGGACGTCTGTTGATAGAAAATAGCTTCCAACAATTTTAGATCGGCTCTTTGAAGAGATAATCTTGGCGAGATCAGATTGGTCCAGGCGCAAATCAACCGTTAGCATCTCTGGAGCTAGAGACAGACTATGCGAAAGCAAGTCTAGGTATGACCGCACTATGCTGTTGTTGGGCACTTCGGGCAGCTTGATGTGGAGCAAGATGGGCAGCATAGTGCTCCTTCGGACAATTCCCGTGGCCTCGGTAAGTCTGTTAGTTAAGTCGCTAAAACCGCCAATAGGATCCCGGGCCGCTGACAAGTCGTTGACAAAGATTTGAACCGCGTCTACGCCAACTATTGAGTCTTCCCATTTTTCATTACCGCTCAAAATGTCTTCGATGAGCAGAGAGAGACAGTATGTAAAGTTTCTGTCTTCTGGTGCAATGCTTGCAAGAGGAAATGCGGACTCGAAAAAGGAAATAGTTCCAGCTGGGTAAATGAGCGACAAGAATTTGAGAAAGTGCCGTTCAGCTTGCTTCAATGCCAAGTAAGGTGCGTTCGCCGTGGATCCACGGCCACTGATCTCGTATTGCTCCACATTATTCACCCGAAGTTCGGAGACGTTGAAGAACTCCAAGTTTGTACAACTGCGATAGAACAAGTTGCTCATTTTCATCAAGTTGCGGACTTTTGTCTTGTCTGTGAGCTTCAAGTGGCCTTGGATGGCATCGATATCCCGAAGGACATGGATAACTGGGTTGGTAGCTGTAAACTGTCGAAGAAGAATCTGGACATTCCTATCCATCCAGGGACAGACGATGATGCTCCCTGTTGGATTCTGCTGGAGAATTTCGTGCAGCACTTCCGCCTGCTTCCGTTGACATTCTGCGTTCCCATGGACTTGCTTGAAATTCGAGCTCGATGAGCCCGTAACTGACTGGAATGCCACGTCCACATTGATGACCTTCTTTTTCAACGCCGACGCGGCCATGATGGCCAATGTTGATTTTCCTGAGCCTCGGAGCCCTACCAAGGCCAGTGAGGCATCGGAACTGAAACCTGGGATCTTGCCGCTAGTGGGTGTGAGAGGCGGAGTAGGGGTTCTTGATGCAACTTCTGAGCCGGAATTTGAGCTGATGAAGGCATACGGCCGCAGCCGGTCGACACTGAGCGGCCCTTCATTGCTCATCATAGTGGCCAACGATCTCTTGACGCCAGCCATGATGCCTCATTCTGCTTGTGGTTTCCAGACGTGTGGTAGTGTGGTAAGAATCTCTTGCGGTGTCAACGATGACTGGATTTCTGAAGCGTCAACTGGGCGTCTTACCAATGTTCTAAACTTTGTTATGGCGCAGGGGATAAGTGTTTACCCGAAGCTTCGCCACCCGCCAAGAGCCTTTAGCTCCTTTTACCCCAGACTTCTATCCCTATCAGTGGTGCGCCTATCCAATAGCACGTTGTGATTGCAGTGCGGCCCTATTACGCAAGCCGAAGTCGCAGCTGAAAGACTATCGTGAGGCTGAGTCTGTTTTGTCTCCTTAGACCTTCCGTTGTCGATTGTACAGAATCCTTCAGACTTGATTCCGGCATTCTGAAAGATGATGCTGGTGCAGAGACAGAGACTTGACAACGCGGCAATCCATTTTTCGGCGCTGACAAAGATTCTCGGTGAGCTATGATCGATCGGCATGTCGCCCCAAAAAAGATCAAAGGACGAGTCGGAACCTGCTAGGAAGTCAGAAGAGTCAACCTCAGGAACTAAGCGACGGCGAGTGTCACTTGCCTGTGATGCTTGCAGAACAGCCCGAGAGAGATGCGATGGCGGACGTCCGCAGTGTGGCCGCTGCGTGACTCAGAGCCGATCATGTTCCTATACGCCTACGTCTAAGAAGAGAGGTATACAAAGCGGATACCTGAGAGCAATTGAGCTATCGCTTGCATGGTTACTTGAGAAAACTCCCGACAATGAAGAGGCCCTTTACCAGCTGCTAGTGAAGGATGACGGCAAAGATGGCGCGAACATTCTTATGAGCAAAGGCAAATCCGCGAATAAGCTTCATAAGCGGTGGAGCAAGGGCCGTGTTCATAAGCAGCTTGAATCGCTACTTTGCCAAGGGGGAGCGCCAAAAGTGGAAGCGTCTAATACCGAAGATTCAGAAACAGACGACGACACAGTGGTAGGAAATACCGACCTGATAACAGATCCATCGGCAAGTCCTCACATAACAGACTCTGGGACTTTTGACCAGGCTTTTTCGTTAAAGGAGCTCAAATCAATCAAACAACGGGCGACAAGACTACCTTCGAATTATCGACATCTCCTTAATATCTACTTTTCATATACCCATTGCTGGTTTCCTATACTCGATCGAGAAGAAATCTTTGCTACCGCGGCAATATGCGAATCGCAGGACGGAAGTGCCTCCCACTATCCAAGGCAAGATAACATAAACTCCTCTAATCTCGCCGTTCTCTGGTCCGCTATTGCTGTTGCAGCTTTCCAAGATGCACACTCTTCAGCTCCTCTCATTAGCGAGGGGGCTGTATCGCCGACAGAGATCTTTTCTATAGCACGCAGCCTGATCCCGCAGGAGGAGGATCATTTCGATGTTTCGGGCATTCAAGCGAGTCTTCTCCACGCAATTATTCTCATCGGCCGTGAAAATATGCTGGCTGCGTCACTGATCGCAGGAAAAGCTGTGCGGCTGATATCATACCTGCGGATAACGAATGGGGATGCGCAAAAGCCAGTTTTGGATAAATTAGCTGCCGCTTGTAACCTCATCGAGGTGTTAACATCGATTTGTATTGGGCAGCCATCCCGGATACTGGATATGAGAAATATCCAGCTGACTGGCCTATCAAATTTGGGTTTCACTGATTCTTTTTCTCCGACCTATGGGTTTGGTAAACTCTCACTAAATCCCGACTCTGCTCGCCCTCAGATACCCCCTCTTTTCGCTCTGGACCAGTTGGGTCGATTTGCCCAGATTTTAAGTACTCATGCTACCGAAAAGCTTCATCCAGACGACCCTGGTAAAGTTATTACCGTCGGAGACCTTGTATCATCCTTGGATCCACAGTTCAGCTTTTGCAACTCTGTTATCGCCGGAGAGGCAACGCCAATGGTACCTTCGGCTTTTCTTGTCCAGGCCATGTTCCTAGCCGCAACCGTTGAGCTCGTTCCGGGCCAACGATCTTCCCTTACGTCTAATTTCCTAGAGGTGGTCGAATCCAGCATATCAAATTTTGGGGCATGTGGCACCCCGCCTATCATTGTTGCTCTTTTTTCACTTGTTCAACAGAAAGGCATCATTGATGAAATGCTCACATCTGATACAAACAGATGGAATTTAGCATTGAATGCTATCAAGACGGTGTGGTTGCCAGATGAGGCAGCTAAAAAGGCAATTTCTCCTAAAACATCAACATCAATATCCGGTACTTCTTGGGGGGAAATCTCCGGACTGAAGCCATTGGGCCAGGATAATCCAATGAGCTACCACAACGAACCCCCAACAAGGGCCATTCGCCAAGGATACGGGCTATTCCCAACGGAGGCACACATTCCCCCCAGCGGCCAGGTTTATATGGAAAATCAGCATAAATATTCTCCCGCCCAGCCTCCGCCGAATCTCGGTATGCAGTTTTCACCAACGTTGATCGGTACAATGCAGCCTGTTAGTCGGATTGTACAACCAGGGGAATCTCACACCAACGCAGTTGACTACGACGCAATCCTAGAGGAGCTGGGCAATATCGATTATGCTGATAGCAGCATTGAAATCGATCCCCAGTTTATGATGAATCTTGGATTTGCTCCAGGATGTACTCTGGAAGAATTGTTTCATGCCAATTCCGGCGCCTAATTAGCTATCTTACCACTTACTAGAACCCATATACCTCTTCGCGATCTTTGTTTACGAAAATGCAAGTTTTGGTATTAACAAAACATGTACTGTCTTGTAGATGCAGGCCGCTTAATCATTTGGCTATTCTACGTAAGAGGCTGCCAATGGTCACAAGGATTTTTTTTTGGCTCGAAACTATTGATGCTTGCAGGGTTAAAATGCTTGCCGCTTTCCGTCTGGATATATCTTTATCCAGGTATGGGTGGCGGCTCCACACACAACCCAATCCCCCAAAGAGCAAATCTTCGGCTGCCAATCCATCAACCCCAGATTCATCCAGCGTATCAATCTCTGCCGAATGTACATGCATTAGCTCCTCGCTACTGACTTCTTCCCCACGGGGAAAGCTGAAGACAACCTTATGGCTGACCATTGTCTCTTATAAGTTGACCGATGGACACCAAAGGTTCCCTCTGCTCAGGAGCTTTCGATTCAACTGGCACTCCAGCAGTGTTCAATCATCTTTCACCATGACTCTCCTTTCATTAAAAGAAGATCGGCCTACGCCCAAGGCAGTCTACAACTGGCGAGTGTATGCCTGCGCTGCCACAGCATCTTTTGCAGCATGCATGATTGGATACGACTCTGCCTTCATTGGCACTACTCTTGCTCTCCCTTCTTTCGAGGCAGAGTTCAACTTTGCGCAATACACCCCAGCCCATCTCACACTAGTCCAACAAAACATCGTATCCGTGTATCAAGCCGGAGCGTTTTTCGGAAGCTTGGCAGCCTACGTCTCCAGCTACTTCCTTGGACGCAGGAAATCCCTTCTCGCGTTTGCTGCTCTCTTCATGATTGGAGCGGGCATGATGCTAGGCGCCAATGGCAGCCGTGGCCTTGGTCTCATCATCGGCGGCCGCGTTGTAGCTGGTTTTGGAGTCGGAGGATGCTCCAACATGACACCGATATACATCTCTGAGCTTGCGCCGCCAGCAGTGCGTGGACGTCTCGTGGGACTCTACGAACTTGGATGGCAAATTGGTGGGCTTGTTGGATTTTGGATCACATATGGTGTCAACACAACCATGGCGCCTAGCAACACCCAGTGGCTAATACCTTTTGCCGTCCAATTGATCCCCGGAGGACTGCTACTGATTGGCGCCATATTCATCCCAGAATCTCCACGCTGGCTCTTCTTGAAGAACAAGCGAGAGGAGGCTTTGAAGATCCTCTGCTGGATGAGGCAGCTTGACCGTGACGACAAGTATATTGTGGAAGAAGTGGGCTTTATTGATGAGGACCTGGAACGGTACCGCCGAGACGTCGGTGCTGGTTTCTGGAAGCCATTCCTGGCTTTGAAAGAGCGCAAAATCCAATGGAGATTCTTGCTTGGCGCCCTTTTATTTATTTTCCAAAATGGTAAGATATTACTGAGTTCTATATGTTATAATCTGTCGCTAACAAGTTGCAGGCTCTGGTATCAACGCAATCAACTACTACAGTCCAACTGTCTTCAAAAGCATCGGCATCACAGGAACAAATACAGGCTTTCTAACGACAGGAATATTCGGAGTTGTTAAAACAGTCCTGACGTTAGTGTGGCTCCTTTTCCTGATCGATCGTATGGGTCGGCGCAACCTTCTGATGGTTGGTGCCATCGGCGGCTCGCTCTGCATGTGGTTTATTGGAGCATATATAAAAATCGCCAACCCTGCCTCCAAGGTAGGCGGTAATACTACGTTATCCTCTGGAGGCATCGCAGCCATCTTCTTCTTCTATCTATGGACGGCATTCTACACGCCTTCATGGAATGGAACGCCTTGGGTCATCAACTCGGAAATGTTTGACCAAAACACGCGGTCTCTCGGTCAAGCTAACGCAGCGGCCAACAACTGGTTCTGGAATTTTATCATTGCGAGATTCACCCAGCAAATGTTTGAAGCGTGGGGATACGGGGTGTACTTTTTCTTTGCTTCTCTCATGATCATTTCTGTTGTCTTTGTATTTTTCTGCATCCCAGAGACAAAGGCGCTGCCGCTTGAGGCCATGGATCGGCTTTTCAAGATCAAGCCGACCTGGAAGGCGAACAAAATCTTGCTGGAGGAGCTTCGAGCTGAGAATGAGGATTTTGCGCAAAATACGCGAGGGATTAATTGGGATAGCGAGAAGGATATCGCAACCGAGCAGGTAGAAGGTGAGACGACGAAGGTGTAAACGATGCGAAGGAATATTTAAGTAGCAAAGCGTTACCTTATATGAATACACACCCATCAGTGCAAAGGTTTTTCTCATGGGATCTTAAATGTCTCGTGAATTGTTAGCTGTGTCTGTATTTGCATGTTTATGGTAGATTAAGACATTGCTTTGAAAGTAATGCCTGGTGCGACGGTAAAAGGCAATGTCGGTTGTCTAACTACCTACTCTGACATCTTTCGAAGCAGACGGAAGCTGGGGACGTAGGACGCAAAACGGAACAACTGCTGCTTTTGTTCTGTAAACATATAATTATTGAAGACTTTTTGTTCTATTTCAGTGTACATAGATGTTACAGTTTGGCTTGAGATCTCTGAGCTACATTTGCCGCAATCGCCGCCTTGACTTTCTCAGCCGGCAGGCCTTCAATCGTGTTCCCTGTCCAATATGTGTCTTGCTCCAATCCCTGCCATATTAACGCCTCTGTTCCCAAAATTACATCCCACCCTTTCTTCTCAGCAAGCATGCCCAACGCAGTAAACGGCGTGGGGTTGTAGCACATTTCAAGCATGGCGCCCTTGTGCTCTTTATCTAGCAAAATCTCAGTAATCTGCCTTGCTAGCTTCTCCTCTGCTGTCTGTGGTACGAAATCGGGCACACAAGCAACAATAGCACCAGGTCCGGCAGCATTTCTCGCCTGGCTGATTGTGGAAATGTGCAAGAGATCTTGGCCATAGCCTCGCGATGCGCAGTCTCGGATGACAGCCTCGACTTCAGAAGCGTCCCGGTTCACGAGATATATTTCTTTCACGTTCATCCACTTTCTCAGAGCGTAGATGGCACTGCGCGCGGCACCTCCGCCGCCGATGACGAGAGCCGGCCGGTCATGGTACGTGAGGGCCGGATCTTTGACGTTGTAGAAAAAAGAGTCGCGGATGCCGATGACATCCGTGTTGGTGCCGCATAAAACTCGCCGGCCATTGCGGTTTTTGAAGAAGACAGTGTTGCAAGCTCCCACGTCGCGGCACTCATCTGTCATTTCATCAAGATGGGGAATAATGGCCACTTTGTTGGGCATTGTAACAGATGCACCTGAAGGGGACCAGCCACGATTAGTTTGAGCGTAACTGAAAGAGGCGGTTAAGAATTGCTCACCGAAACATGATGGGTGCTGTACTAGATCTAAGAATTGCTGTAGGTCTGATGAATCAAGACGGAGTTGGCTCCAGCGGAGGTTAAGATGGTCGTAGATGACCTGATGAAGAAAAGGAGAAAGTGAATGTGTGAGCTTCTTGCCAAAGAGATAACCGTGCTTGTCGAGGCCGGCTCGTTCAGCTTCGTTGATACCGTCTTGAGCCGATAATGCCATGGTGTCTGGTAAGAAATTTGGTGAGGTTAATGGTGATTTCTTAGAGGCTCAAAGAAATTGAGATGGGCCATTATAATGTCGGTATAAGAATCACATATCGTTTTCCAAAAACTCCTAATTCGTGACAAGCTTATCCGAGCGGTACGGATCTCTCGCAACGGTTGCCGCATTGAAGAAGACCAAATATCCGGCTTTCTTCCCATCACATCGGTATATCAATCGTGGGGGTCGTTTGGTGGTGGGTATGCCCGCCATCCGGCTAAAGCTTTACCCTGAAACATGATCGCTGCCTAAAACACGCCCGTAGCTTATACGACTACATGCTAGACTAATACAGTAATACATGTAGGTTCTGTAATAATGACGATTCTGCAGATATTCGCACCTCGCGCTTCGCTTTTAAGCGGCTCAAATTATGCCGGCCATTTGCAAAGTTTAACCTAATTTCCTTCTATATCCAAGAATGCTTCAATCTTTATCCGACACTCGTTCTATAGAGCTGATTTCTCATGTTATCACATTTCATCTTTAAATAGGTAGAAGACCTGTAATCTCATTTATAAGAAAGTATATCTCATTTGTATAAGATGGCTTCGCTGTCTCCATAGTGTAGAAATCTTTAAGTAATATACCGCGAATAAGTCATTGATCCATAACAAAATTTGAATCATCATATATTTACTTTACACATCAGATCCTTTTTTTGTGATATTAATTTCAACATGTCATATAAACCAAGCATTTGCACTGTCTCCTTGGGACGATGTTCTGCGGGCCACTCCCTAGAACACAAGCTTGACATGGCCAAGAAGTATGGTTTCCAAGCTATCGAACTATTTTTCGAAGACCTCGTGGATTTAACAAAATCGATGCCGGGAGGCAACAAGCCGAGTAATCAGCTTGCCGCTGCGGCTATGATCCGTCAACTGTGTGATGACCGCCAGCTCTCAATATTATGTCTACAGCCCTTTATGCACTATGAGGGCCTGGTAGATAGAGAAGCTCATCAGCAAAGATTGAAGGAGGCGAAACTTTGGGTGCATCTGGCACATATTCTTGGAACTGACTTGATCCTGCTGCCAAGTAGCTTCCTATCTTCTTCAGAAGTCTCGTCAGATATGGATATTATTGTTCAGGATATGATTGAGATTGCTGAAATTGGCCTTCAAGCCACCCCGAGCATCAGATACGCATATGAGGCTTTGTGTTGGGGCACACGAGTGGACACATGGGAGTCCAGCTGGAATGTTGTGCAAAGAGTCAACAGGCCTAATTTTGGCCTATGCCTCGACACTTTTAACATTGCCGGTCGAATCTATGCAGACCCATATCTGTCGTCTGGCCGAACGGAGAACTGCGATGAAGCGATTGAGGCCTCTCTGCATAATATGGCCGCCTACGTCAACCCGCAAAAGCTATTCCTCGTGCAGATGGCAGACGCAGAAAAGCTAGCCCAGCCACTTGATCGTAATCATCCGTTCTACAATAAAGAACAACCACCTCGTATGAGCTGGTCTCGGAATGCTAGGCTATTTTACGGAGAGACTCATCATGGCGGATATCTACCTATCAAGCGAATTTTGGACGTTATCGTCCGCGAAATCGGATATCAAGGCTGGCTGAGCTTTGAAGTATTTAATAGATTTTTGCTAGGTACTGATGATGGAGTGCCAGAAACGATGGCAAGCAGAGCGGCACAGTCATGGAGACGAATGAGGCGCGACCTGGGGCTTGATCGGTCAATCGAGGAACACAAGGCTCAAGCTCTATTGTGAACCCAATTTTTCATAGGTAGTAGTATGTCAGATGACACAGAGTTTACTTCTATTTTACAATTTTGATGCTCCCGTATTGACCTTCATATGCTTCGCCGCAAATTCGATTGCCGCTGTATATCCAAACACTCCTAACCCACAAATGACTGCCTGTGCTTTGTCGCTCAAGTAACTGTGCTTCCTCCATGGTTCTCGGGCATGTACATTTGAGACATGTAGTTCTATGAATGGAATTCCTACGCCAAGTAGGGCGTCTCGGATTGCCACGCTCGTGTGCGTAAAAGCTCCAGGGTTGATGATAATGCCGTCGATTTCTCCCCGCGCTGCCTGAATCCTATCTACAATGCCTCCTTCGTGGTTGGACTGAAAGGCTTCTATCTGTACAGATAGCTGATCTGCCTGCACTTTGGCTTGGTTGACGACATCGTTTAGTGTTGTTGAGCCATAGATTTGAGGTTCTCGAGTCCCAAGCAGATTGAGGTTGGGGCCGTTGATGAGAAGAATGCGCTGCGCCATGGTAGAAATGACTTTGCTGATGACTGAATCAAGATGTTGTTTATAGAGATGGATGATGAAAGCAATTGCCTACAAATAGGCAGTATACTTCATATCGCTATTTATTATATAGCAGTGTAAGTGAGGGGAGCGGCGCTTGACGGCCGAGGGTAAAGATTCATCCAGTTATGCGTGCTTAGCACAAATGGAGGCGCCAGGCCGAAACTTTCTTGTGTACAACAATTCACAACAATACTAAGAATTATCCACGTTGTCACTATACCGATGTATCGAAAATGCTTGAAAGTTTCGAAAAAAAAGCCATTCCGCCAGAAAAGGTCGCTGAACTATTAACCGCGAGCTAGGTAACGTAAGCTCGCCTAGGCAGTGACTTATAGGCGTCTCTGTAAATGTTCTATGTAGACTCCCAATATGCTTTCAAAATAGCCGCATCACAACACTTTAATGGATTTAGAAAAGAAACACAATGCCAATTTGCAAGAATACATAGAAACGCGTCTAAAAGATCAATAAGCTGTTGAAGCAACTGTTGGGATACAGAATCATGAGCTAAAGCGAACATTTGTTGAAAATGGGAATCCGATAGATATAGCGAAGAGCTTAGCAGAGACAAAGCTATGCGAATTGTAGAGCAGAAACGCATTGTTTTATTGCCCTCCAATAAACTGATACCGCAGGCAGCCAGCGTCTATGTACCCGCCCACACCGCCATTATTACCTGTTGCAAATTAGTCAGGTTCAGTTGATATAGTGATGAGAAACTTACATTCTGTATATGCTCTGGTAAACAAATCCAGACAACCAAAGCTGGATGTCCCCACTGGCATGGATACATCTTGCCTGTCAACTGTTGTCTTGCAGCTATCAACCCATGAAACAGAGTAGAAGTAATTCGTCCCGTCAGGATTGATATTATATGCTGAAGCCTCACTTTGAGAGTCCACAGAGGTAATACCATGCTTGGAAACTATAGCGTGGCATATTATGCCAGATAGCATTCTCTGATGCTCCGTATTGATAGGCGCATGGCCAGGCAAGTTGGTCTCATCCTCACATACGACCGGCCGTAGCTCAAGCGGTCTCTGTGAGCTATCAGTGGGAGTGGGAGAAAACGACCCTGTGGTTGCAAGAGGAGTTGACGTAAGAAAATGGGCTTTCGATGGAGTGGATACAGGTTTCGGTGCGACCTCTTTTTGGCTAGATGAAGTGCGTGGCGGAGTATGAGATATTTCTTTTGATGCAAATGAGGTTGATGTAGTAGTAGTTTTATGAGACATCTTTCTTGGTCTAGATGAGACTAATTCAGTCGTAGTAGTTTTGAAAGCGGCTTTGACTTCGAAATTATAGATGCCGCATCCAATGTCAAGAGAGCCTTTATTGCTGCTCTTATCCTTTATGCATTGTTCGCCAATCCTCTCAAAGTACTCGCTGCATGATCTATCGCATTTACCGTGGGAGCCACTCCAACTGGGCTGGAAAGTCCAATCGTTGCAGGCATTTCTTTTCATCAAGATTCTCCGGCTCACCATATCAGAGCGGGCCATCCGAGAGCCAGTTAGACTCTCAAGGCCCGTAAATGACTTTGTTAAACTTTTGTTCAAGTTTACTTCTACTTCTTTGCAAAGCGTAGGATAAATAGTGTTGAAACATGAAACAGAAATTTCTGGTGTATTTCCGGCACAGTTCGGTTGAGGATTTATACCATGAAGCGCTCTCTGGTCATCTTCAATTGAGATACCTTGTTTTTCGAAAAGGTCGTTAAAGTACTGTGTTGTGTCTTGATCAATATCATCTGGAAGTAAGAATACATCACCATCAAGCGGCTCATTAATCCAGATAATCGGGAGCGTGGTTGCTATGGTTGTCCTCGTAGTACTTTGCTCTCCGGAAACGCAGCCGCTGACAGGTGAACATTTTCAAAAATGGTACTATGCTATTATTAGCCCTACTTGAACTGGCACTTTTCTCTTCGGTAGTGAGTATTTACCTCTTAAATCCGGTACCACTGGTAATGAATGAAACGGTCTTGGTGCATTCAGGAGGCTCTGTTGTGGTGCAACGCCCGCTACTAGTAGACGACTTAATGTGGCTGGTGCGATGATCCTCGCTATGGCCATTGTCGTTACCGCCATGGTCGTCGTGGTTATGAGGATCTGGATTTAATTTCGGGGGAGGAGGCAGCCTCAAGTGTGGAAGACCAATGGGAATCCATCTCCAGCCTCCAGGGAAGATGATAATATCGTGTCCATGATCGTCAGTTGACGTGGTTGTTTTTCTGTTAGTGGTGTACTTAGGATCCTGAGTGGCTACATAGGTTGCCACGATGCCCTTGGAACCAGTCACTATAGTTTCTACTGGCGTACTTGTCGTCTTTGCCGCCGTAGAATGGGGGATGCCGGCAGACTGGCCTACAGTGGCCGTTGTCGTGCTGGTATGCGCTTTGGTGGGAGCTGGTAAAACTGGGCTTCCAGTAGATATCAAGCCGACCGGATGCTTTGTTGTCACGGAAGTGGTACTGTTTTGGAAACCCATTGAATGGGTGATAGTTTGATGTGTTAATGGAGTGGTCTCTTGTCCAATGGTACGCCCCAATGTAAAACTTGGACTGTTTCCTGAGGCTGTCTTGTCGATATTTTTGGTCGTAACAGAGCTCAGTTGCTCTTTGGGACTTGTGCCAGTGGTTGAAGGCTTTTGACTGATAGGCATTGTCGATTGTTGCTCAGAGGAGCTAGTCGTCCTTGAAATGATCTTTAGAGGACTTGAGATCGAAGTTTTTGTAATCGAGAAGCGGCCGGGCATATTAGAAGTAGCTCTACCTTTCAATGTAGATGGAAAACTTGTCGGTTGCTTTGTTGATTTTCTCGTGGCTATTGACGTTCGTAATGGTTGAGAAGTTCTAATGTGAGTAGTGAACTTCATCTTCACACTTGTGCTTCGGATGCGTGTAATACTTGTAGCCGTTTCCGTTTGCTTCGCAGAATGCTTCATCATCGTGGCTGTAGGCTTAGCCCTGCTGCTGTCACTAGCCACCTTTGGCTGGCTTGCGCGCGTTGTAGGCTTTTGTGTATGATCCACAGAGGATTTCGGGGACTGAAACGATGATATAGGCAGCTTTGAAACATTTGGACGAGAAGTTGTCTTCAAATGGGACTGGGAGACAACAGAGGTCTTCTCAGACTGCATAGAGCCTTTGCTGCTTGGGACTCCTTTCGAGTTAAGAAGCGACTGCGTAGCCAATGTAAGCGAACCGTGAATTATAGAAGGAGTCGCTTTGTGGCTAATAGATCTTGTAGAAATCTCTCTTGACGTCTTGTGTCCCCCAACAGCCTCCGTACTGTGAGTAGCAGTTATCGATATTCTCTTATCTTGGCTCTGGTGGACTGCGGATGCGTATGTGGATCTATGAGAACCGAAAAGATTTTCAACAGTCTCTAAAGAAGAAGATGGCAAAGAAGAAGATGAAAGAGCAGGTTTGATGGCTGAGCTCATGAGAGTTGGCGACATAGATTGGCCGTAGTAAGAGGGTGACGGTGTTGGCCGGTCATCTCTTACAAAGGTAGATGCCAAAGCCAAGCAAGAAGCAACAAGGAAACACAATTTCCTGATTGCAACCATTTTGACTTGAGCCTAGCACTATGGTCTTGGCTACAAGGCGGTCTGTGTAGAATATGACGATTTTGGTACTTTTGGGAGAGATGGCGAATTTAGAATTGGTGAGGCAGAGCAATATGCAACCTGAAAAGCCATACGATTGAGGATGTAAATATATTAAATATTTATATGGATGCTTCTAAAAGCAAACTAATGTTTCCTACAAGTAAGAAATTATCCTGCTTGACTATTTGCCAATTGTGTTTTTGGCTCTCGAGTATCGGCCGCAGTCTCCTGGAACTTTGCTAGTTGGCTGCCAAATTTACAATGTTTGCTTTTGAAACCGTCATTTGGTAGAGCTAGGTTCAAGCAAGTGGCGGATTCATTACCATAACCGGTGTCTCCGAAAGGTCGTATTCCTTCAATGACTTGGAAATAGAAGGCCAATGCTTACGGTAATAAGAGGAGCTCCACTAAGGCGGCATGTTGCATTGTTTGTTATTACTCCTCAACATTATATGAAGCAAATAGAAACGCATGTTATCGAGAACAGGCGTGAATAATGTAAATCTGACCAAAGGGATCAGGTGGAAATGTACACGTCGCCAGATTCATGTTTGTTAGGAGGTCAGAGCTCCCCCGGCTGTGCCATGATGGCGGTCTAATCTCTATTGCAGGAGAGATGTCCTACACTATGGTATCTACTACGAAGGTTGTAAAGACTATATAAACCGTGATATAACTGTTGTTTTTGATTAGATTCTGAAACTTTATCTGCCGATTTGTATACTTTGGCACTCTTACAGTTGTAGCTATAATTATCTGGGACCCTTATTTCACTGCCCTTGCAATGCTCGTCCTATCCATTCTCGTTGCCATTCTTCTTGTCTCCAACTGGTTGCTGACGAGGAGAATGATCCCCCTAATCTTGACATTTGGGATATCGATGATGAGTCTTGTGATTCGCACCAATCAACCCTATTGCGGAAGGCCTATAATGATGTCGGGAAAATGGCTATTGAAGCACTGAAAGACGTCCGATTTGTTCAGCAGCCTCGCCCCAGCCACGTTCAGGATCGGATTGAATGGGACCGCATTGCTAGAGCCTTTGAAAACATGTTTGGCTTCAAACCAGAAGAAAAAGGAATGGACCCAGAAGATGAATATTTTAAAAAGGTCTTGGGTACGCTATATATAACCTAACCCCGCCCCCCCTTTCTTGCCTTGCTGAGGAGGCAACTTATACGCGCCAAGAGTAACTTGTGCACTTTCCAGGTGTCTATGAACGGATGAACGAAGCTTTATATGGCAACGTCAAATATCCGCCGCGCGGTTTCTCGGGCCTCAACAACAAGCCGCTGTGGATGTGCGGCGAAAAACCATGGAAGTGGTATACCAAAGAAATGAACGATCCATCTACTACCCCGACGAAACCGCTATATTTGTCGAGGCCCAAAACATTCGAGGTAGCTACTGGAGCTTGGTATTACAAGCAGAGATTTATCATCAACGGTAAATCCGACGGGGTAGAAATCTGCCGTCCTGATATTTTTGCTACTACTCTAGCTCCATACGACTTCATCACATTCTGTGATTTTTTCTCTGATCACGTATTCATAACAGAATCGCCCGTAGATGGAAAAAATGGCGTTGTGAAAGGAGAAACTCATTTGGACGATTTCCAGGAATCTGGATCACGCATCATGTTTCATGAGCTCGTACATTGGTTTGGAGCTGAAATTGAGGAGGGTATGTCTGGCAAAAAGAGCGAAGTGATTCAACGTAAGTCACCCATTCCTTGATACAGGCTCTCTGCTTTGGAATCACCAGCTAATTTATTTGGCTCATGAAGTCCCGGATCGACAGGCCGTTGGCAAAAATGGAGATCTAGTCTGGGCGTACAAAGATGAAAAACAAAACAGGTATAGATACACCACTGCTTCTAAAAAGTAGTCAAAAATTGAGTATAAGGCGGTAAAGACTTGTAAGTTTTTGCCCCCTACAATGACATTTCTTTAAGAGATTTGAGACCACCATTTCATGCATTTGTTGAAAGAGTATACAGCTAATATAGTGGCAAAAACAGATGGGTATGACTGGTGCTCTAACTTGGCACGTAGCCACCCCGGCACTGAGTTTGATCAAAATTCAGGGCCCGCGATGGCTACTGACACCGCTGAAACGTATGCTTACTTTGCCATGATGGCGTAAGTCTCTACATTGCGAAGAAATTTATATGCCAATGACCGGAAAACTGACAGCCATGGTTGTGTAGGTACTTGGATAATTTTGATTGGTCCGGAGATGGGTTAGCCAAGAATATAGATGGTCATTAATGGGCTGTCAATAACTGTAGCTTCTATGACCATCTATCATTGATGAAATGTGCGTCTGTGTACATGTATTCAACTGTTGCCAACGCATCTAACTGTGCGAATCGCTTTGGTGGTCCTTTTCTGCCAATTGCCTCTCAAACTCAGCAAGCGAGACATCGTCCATGTATCCAAACTCTAGCCAGCTTTTAAACTTGCTTATAACTAGTCTTCCCTTTCCCTTCCGGTCACGGGCAATTTCTCCCTTGTGATAAGTCCATGATGAAACGGTGGCACCAACCTCCTCTAGCGGCTTGATCACTTTTCTTGCCACCAGTTGCTGCCATAAGAATTCTTGAAAGACAGGCGGTATCGCGCTATCAGGGATGTTGGGGTCTTGGAACTCGGCTCGCCTTGAGGGGCTGAACCATAGAAGGGAGAAGGCAAAGGTAGCACAATCGGCGTGCTCCTCGCCACTTGACTCTTCATTGCCATTTTCGTTCCTCACACGATAGAGTGCACCTATGCCCCAAAGAGATTTTTCAGAAAAGTATAGATCGTAAAAGTCCGTTCCAACGCCCAAAGCGTCCAAATAATTGCTGGTCTCTTCGCTTATCTTCACCATCGCTGCCTCGATCACATTAACTGGCCCGCGCACCATCATCATCTCTCTCATGTTTGCGTAACCCGACCGGCTTGTTGTGAATGAATGAGTGGACTGTCCTGGATGAGTGCAATAGAGGTTACACATCAAGCGGGGCTTTTTTGCAAGGAAGTTGTCGAGGGGCGAAAAGATGTGATGGATATTTCCCGACAAGAAGCTGGCCGATGGTTTTGCAGCATAGTCCCAGGAGATGAAAAGGGCGATGTTGAGTTCGTCGTCGATTGCCTGTCCCTTGGTGACAAAGGCTATATCAGGCTCTTGCTTGAGCTTATCCGTTGCAGTGAACCATTCCTCGGAAGCTTCTATTTTGTCCTTGTGAGCGGGCTGGAAGGACATGCGCACGATGCTGACAGTTTTGTGCGCCCGAGGATCTATTTCTTGCATTGTTGATAATGGAGAGTCGATAGCTGAGTCGAAGTGGGTTAGTGCTGAGCCAGACAGAGCAGACAAGAAACAAAAGAGAGGAAGCTTTGTAGTTGGTGTACTGTTGGATACCTAAATGATTGACAGGAAGAAATGATTGTCAGCCACCGACCGCCTTGATATGTACATGTAGTGTCACCTGAGCACTGCTAGTCTATTGTCTCTGGACCACGCTGTACCAACAACATGCGCGATTCGGGTCCAACAGCAGCCAATACGTCACAGGCACTGTGTCATTGGCTCTAGAAACAATTTTGCAGAGTTCCTCGTAGGTACTGAAATATATTCGCATCGAGGACATAAACCTCCTCAATCTGCTGAGACCAAATGAGCATAAAACTCAGCATCTAACACTATCGATGTGTCAAATTGCATACAACGACCAGCTACCAAGAAGCTATGTGCCAATTACGCTTCTCACCATTCTCACCAAAGAGGTAGAGGAACGCGCTAGAGAATATGCTTGTTTCGTATTAATGGAGTAAGTCGCAAAGACATAAAGCCAAGCTACAGAGGCAGTGACTAGCTGAAGACTTTGACGACGCACGGGGCAATGACAAGATTCATTCTAGGCAGCCAACCTGCGCGCTCCCGAATACAATGAAAATCATGGAATCCCAATTGGCTATTATACGAGATGTTAGAAAGCTCTGACTCCTATGCAACCTCTTGGAGGTGCAGTCAGCGGTCTACAAAAGCGGCTCCTCGGCAACACCGTGTTTGGCACAATTACATATTGCCTCTAAACTATGTCCGACGACGCAGGCAACTATTGAGAACAAGTTGGCTTATTCTACCCCGGGGCAGGCTCAGCTCTCAAGGGTATATACATTTAGGCAAAAGGGCGAGGGGGTGGCGAAGCTCGAGCAAACAGAGTCGCTTCCTTACATCTTGGTGTACCTTTTCTATTGACACATCAGGATATCATGTCATCATGATAAGATTCTAAACGTCAACACATTCTTAATACTTGGTGCATAATAGTTTTCTTTAAAGCTATGAATATTGAATAACGCATAATAGGCCGGAGTGCTCGAGTTATTCCTACTGCGTCGGGTTGGCCCTTCTGGAGATGTTCGGATCTACGGGCGTAGTTGCTACTGAAGATAAAGCAGCGATTTTACGAGTTGGGTTGCCATTAGCATAGATGGAGCAGTACTGCAAATATACATGCTTATTCCTTTGTCAATATGTTGGCCCATATGGTGTGGCGCAGATAACTTTCAGAAGAAAATGAATGAGCTTGCCCGCAAATCTTGCTTCTGGCACTAACTTACACTCTTTGGTTCTCAAGAGGATATACATTGCATGCTGAAGGAAAATAAAGCCATACTTTATGCTTTAAAACCTTTCTCTCTATTGCTAATAGAGCTGAGATAACGGAGATACTCAAAACAATTTCGAAACAAATATCAGAGAAATGGCCTTTTTTTCTCTCTGATCATCTGGTTGATTCAGCCCTAATTGCAATGAACAGTGACATCTAACTCATGCGTAGAATTCGTGTCCTCGCCTGCATTGACAATGCTTATCCAGATAACGAACTCGTTTGAGGGGCTAGTTTTCTCTCTCTTGACGCTGTTACTCGCGATCGTGACATGAATCTGTTATTTTACGATGTTTACTGTAAAGGAGAATGGCTTACTGATCCATTCTATGCCAAACGCATGGCCAGAAAACTAAAACTAACCTCTTTTGGTCGCGAGAAAGACGCAGCTTTTGAGCATGTTGGACGTATGAGTGCGCCGGTCGCCAAAAGCAACGATTTCAGACAGGTTGCATTGCTTGTGTAGCTAGCAGATGCATGAGTTGTATTGATCAGCGCATAGCTATACAGTAACAAAACACATGATACTTGTCTACAGCTAGGCTACTATTAATGTGCGCGTATGCAAAAGCACGCCAATAGTATTCTGCAGCAGAGGGCACTCTCGGAGCAGGGTGAGATCTAATGTTTGGAAAGCGGAATAGAAGAGCCTTGGTTTCAGATACCGCGAAATAGTAATAAAAAGCCTTTCTAGATGCAGACGTCGTTGTAGACTCAAGCAACAGCAAGACCTCGTAAGCAATTATGGAAATAGTCAGAAACATTATGGCAGAGATGTAATGCGACGTCTTGCTAAGAATTTTGACACAAAAGACAATTAGCTCAAAAGGCAAGGCCGAATATAACAACACTCGCAAAGCACGTGTAGTGCTTATACCTACCGTCAAAATACACGCGAAACTCATTACACAAGATATGCACCTACATCTCGGGCATGGCACTGGCGCAGGTAATTTCGATTAACGGGTTGGCGTCTTCAATTTTTTGAATCGAAAAGTAAGTGGTTTCAGGCGAGAGCAAACTCAGCTGAATTCTCATGCTGAAAATGACATGTTGAGCACCGCGAGCAGCAGCACTTGCGCCGCATATACAACAAGTAACGTGCCCAAATCGGAATGTCTTGGGTGGTCTCATCTGCACCATAATTGAGCCATGGATTTAGGCCGTCCCCCATCGATCAGAAGTCCCCACAGCTCATGTTGCCGTTCAATCCGTTGTACAATGATCGCCAGAATCAGCCCAATTCCTTCTAGAAAGTGCGGCCGCTAATGAGGAAATGGTTTGGATAGCATCTTGGTGGATAGCGAAAAAAACCAAGATAGGCATGGTTGAATAAACTGCTACTTTTAGTCGTATCGTATGGAGCACTCCGTACTGCAGGTAAAATAGCAGCAGGCGACTGATCTTGTACCCCGCCTGTGCCATGTCGAAAGCCAATCTAGCTCTTTGCTTCAGCTATTCCTAGTCATTCTTCTTGTTGTTAACGTCCTCTGGTATGGTAATTTATTAGTGGCAAAAATTGAGAGAGATTTGGATGCTATCAACAGAGCGATTCAGACGCTGAGAGAGAGCCAAAGTGAGAGAAATCCAAAGAAACCAGACGCCGTTGATAGCCAGTAGACGGACGATAAGAGCGGCTATTATATCCGCATGTGGGCAGTTTACCGGCGAGGCCACACTCGTTATCTGGAATCAAAGAGCTGCTAAAAGGACCTCGCACCTCACCCAACGATGCTATCACGCAACCGAACCAACCTGCTGCATTTGGATGCCAGGGGGCCCTTTTCAATATGCTCAATGGGTAATTGAGCAAGGGAAAAGCTGGGGTAAGCAGCTGCGTCGTCAAAACCTGCAAATCAGCGTTTGTCGCAACCATACCACTCGATTGCGCCAGATGTTCTGCGGTGCCGGTTTGCCGACTTGTTATGTCTGGATAAGAGTGAGAAGTGTGTGGGGGTTCTTCAGCGCGTGGTGCCTGTGATCCTTCTCTTGGACTAACGTTCGTAACGACCGAGTCGAAACAGAGGCGAGAATGCTGTTGGCTTCTTATCATTGCTCCTTTCTGTATCCAAATGATACGTCTCCATATGTAGACATAGGTATACATAGGTGCGTATAGGTATCAAAACGTAGTAGGATGATCCAGGTGGGTAAGCGACGGGACGATGCATGCTGCTTGTTTTAGCCCTCTTCCATCTCGATCTCACCTCCTCAGCCGCCAATACCACTCATGGCTTGCTTTCGGGCCTGCATGCGGCCTCGTGATAATCTCAAATCGTTCGGAGTATTGCATATGTTTATTTTAAATTTGTGAAGACCGCGATGCATGAATGTTGCCCACTGTGGAATAGAGACGTAAAGGAGGGCGAAGGCTGCGTGTGTTGCCCAAACCCAAGGACCTGTTAGTATCAGACATAACCAGCCAAATAAACATCTCCCAACCGTATCGAAATAAACCCGGCAATATTGCACTATTTGGGAACTTTTGTCTCAGGCGTGGTCTAGCTTCGGCGGATGATCCCCTGACTCGCCAATGTTATCCAACGCTGTAGGCGTATTGCCTTACGCTCGTAAAAGAGATGATGGAAACCGATCCCTAGGTTGCACATGTTATGTTCCACCCTGGAACATGCACTTAATTGCGGGTGGAACCAGGGTGGACGGCTCGCATCTGCTCGCGTATGGTTGTGCGGTAGCAGTATGTTGGTCTGCTCGGTGGTAGATAAGAATGGGCTGGATCGCCATCATCATTGCTCGCAAGTCGCGAGGTAAGGAACGCCTTCGACACAATCCGTTCTTGCTGAACTCTGTGTTGCTTTGGAAAGAGTCGTCTGGATCACAACGACCAAGATGAGTATGTAATGTCCCGGCGCTCTATGAATGTCTCGCATTTACTCAACACTCGACACAGATGCAGACCACGTTGCCGATGGTCCCACGCATGTGCATGGCACCGTGGAGATCCTCTCTGGCGCCGCCCCGATCGAAAGCGAAAACATTGGCACTGCTCTTGACAGACTTCATGACGACACAGAAAAGGCCCCTCTAGATGTTGACGGGAGAGAGCCAACGGAGGAAGAAAAGGCCACTCTTCGAAAGGTCGCTGGAACCATTCCATGGATTTCCTGGGTACTCTGCGTTGCCGAGGTTGCTGAGCGCGCGAGTTATTATGGTGCCAGTCAGGTATTCAACGACTTTATGCAGTTTCCTCTTCCTAAGGGTGGCAATGGAAGCGGTGCCGTTCCAAAGAGCAACCCTAATGGCCATGCGGGCGCATTGTAAGTATAACACGAGGTCCATAATCTTGTGGTCAGGACTTCAGGAGTAACCGTCGTCTTTACTCATCTAGGAACCAAGGACTTCAGTTTGCTTCGGCGTTTAGCACCCTGTTCACGTTTTTGGCCTATGTCTTCCCCATCCTGGGCGCCTATATCGCCGACACACGTCTCGGACGCTTGTAAGTAACCATCGAAAGGCGAAGAAATGCGGTTTCGAGCATAACAAAGGTGCTAATGTGCCGGTCAATATAGCAAGACAATCATCCTCGGCGTTGTCATCGGTGCTGTTGCCCATGTCATCATGATTGGCGGAGCTGCTCCGTCTCTTCTCAAGGCCGGCAAAGGCCTCGCACCCTTCATTGTCTCTTTCTTCACCCTGGCCATCGGTGCCGGTATCTTCAAGCCCAACGTCGCACCGATCGTTGCCGACCAATATAAAGACCAGCGACAGCTTATCAAGACGCTCAAATCAGGAGAAAAGGTCATTGTTGATCCGGAAACGACGATCCAGAGAGTGTTCTTAATCTTCTACGCCGCGGTAAACGTCGGTGCCTTTTTCGCCATTGCGACCACGTATACTGAGAAATATGTTGGCTTCTGGTTGTCTTTCCTGCTGCCGGGTATTGTCTATTTCCTGCTGCCCTTCCTCTTGCTGAGCATCTATAAGAAGATCATCAATAAGAAGCCTCAAGGATCTGAGATAGTCAACTTTTTCAAGATTATTTGGGCCAGTCTCAGATATAATAAGTTTCAGGTTTGGAAGAAGGATTTTTGGTCAGCAGCCACTCCAACCAAGCTGTCAGAGCGAGGGGTTCAGGTAGGATGGACGGACCGAGCTGTGTTGGACGTGCAGCGCACCATGGAAGCCTGTGTCATCTTCCTCTATTTCCCCGTCTATAATATCAACGACGGAGGTGTTGGTGCTGTTCAGTCGAACCAAGGCGCATCCATGACGAACAATGGAGCACCGACCGATTTGCTTGGCAACTTCAATCCTCTCGTCATTATCGCTGTCGCGCCGGTCCTTTCTCACGGCTTGTATCCTCTCTTGGCCAGGTATGGTATCAAATTTGGCCCCATCCGCCGCATGACGTTTGGCTTCATGCTCGCAGCCATCTCCGGTGCTATTGGTGCCATTGTCCAGTGGAGAGTGTATGAGACGAGCCCCTGCGGCTACCAGGCCAGCACATGCGACGACGTGTCTTCCATCAACATCTGGTGGCAGATTCCCAATGTTGCTCTCGGTGCCATTTCCGAGCTTTTCTGTAACGTCACAGCATACGAGTTGGCGTACTCGCGCTCGCCGCCTCATCTTAAGTCTGTCGTCTTTGCTCTCTTCTTATTCACCACCGCCCTGTCGAGCGCTCTCGGCGAGATTCTGATCCCGGCTATTGCCGACCCGCATTTGATTGTAAGTTGACGCGACGATGTTGAACATGTGCCGTAATGGAATGCTAACTGCTCTGGTTGATATAGTGGGTTTGGGGTGGTCCAGCCATTGCGCTCTTCGTCCAAACAATCGTCTTCTGGATCAGACATCATAAACTCGATGATGATGTCTATATGCTGGAGCAGGACACACCAACACACTCGCAAGCTCGGTTAAGTCACTCGGACACAGTGGAGGAGAATGTAGTAAGAGATGTAGAGAAGGCATGAAGAACTTGCAGCTATTGGGAATGATAAGCAACCAGAGTTCTGTGGTGTATCAAGGCTGGCAAGTTTTGATCAGCAGTGGTGTTGTTTCATAAGTCTTTGAGTTCAGAGTAGATCAAAAGGCGAAGACAGCAGGTCCAAGTTAGTGAGCGAAAGTAAGTCTTTGAAGGAAGGCTTTACAAGAATAAAAATATTAGATACCCACCACTTCAAGAACTTATGCGGCTGGCCGTAGAGCCACTCCGGTGACAAGCCTGACTCCGAAGCCGACTCGGTATCGGGTTCGGCTTCGGGTCGCCCCGAAAGGGGAAATTCAAAATGTGAGTCGCCGTATAAATCGTATTTCAATGATTTGATCCTGATGCAGCTGGTGCTTGAACTATTACAGCTAGACTAGAAGGCTGCTACCATACCTAGCGCCACTTTTGGGGACGCGTTGTAACGCGGATGACTTCGTGCTGTTGGCGATGAGTCACAGTACTGTTAGCTTTGACACTGGTCGGATTTCAGGATCACCAGGGCTTAATTTCTCCCTTCTTGAATTAGGCAATAATACTAAAAGAAGCATGTTCACAGCTGAAGTTCTCGTTCTCGCTACAGTACAACACAGTAACTATGATTAAGGTTATTATTCTAGTAGCCATACCAATACCAATACTCGGGCACTTGCTGCGCCATCGATCTAATAATCTTATGGAGTAGACGAGACACAAGGAGCAACCAATGATTTTCTCACTATTCATGTCCATCTTCTCAATGTAGAAACTCTTACTGGAGCTTGGATTTGCTGTCGGACTTCGGCCTAGGCGAGAGGCGAGGCTCCGTCTGCAGATCTAAGCTCGGGGATTTGACCACTCCGTCAATCATTGTTTTACATGCGCTCAACAGCTTTATTCATCTTTCTCTCTTATGAGATGGAGATAATTCCTCCGCGTAAGCTACTATGGCTTCAAGCATTCAGGCTGCCAACTTCAATGTTTATCTTTCTGCCAACTTAACCTAGCGCTGTTTCTACGTCTAGGTAGTTATTCTTCTGCCTGCTTCTCAGAATTAGTAATTCGCATGGTATACATCTGCGATATTAGCTTCAGGCTTTTTGGCTCAACGCTAATTCTTCTCAGTAGAACGTTTGGTCGATCGTTTCTCGATTTCCTGTATATTGGGGTTGGCGGAAATTGTGTAGAGTGACCATTTGACAGTCACGAAAGTCTACCTGTCAAAGGTTCACTAAATTAGGCGTAAGTGGGTCAGCGGGTGAGGCGATATACTTCAGCTCAGACTTACATGGTTGATGAAACCGCTGCCGTATTTCCTCTTTAAACTGCCTCTGCCCGAGCTAAAATTTGATTACCTTAGAAAGAGTGTCGCAAAGGATTTATATTTCTCTAGTCACAGGATGTCTTATTGCAGACGAATTCCCACTATCGTCTAACACCTTATAAGTTGCTGTAGCTTCATACGCTGCTCTCACACTACCTTGTACATCAGGGCGATATCATAATGGATCGATAAATTGGCAGTTTTCAGGAAGAATTACGCGATCATAATTACTTGAAGCCTGATTTAGGCAGTAACATTCTGATATAGCTAGCATTCCTTGATCTTCCTTTGATCCATCAGCGGAGAGATATACTAACGTCGATTTGGTGACGAATACTTCAGGCAGCGATATTCGCGCCACACATAAAAGACAAGGAATCATTTATCCAGGCTCAGCACTCTTTAGAACGTCATAAGGCAAGAAAATAATTCAAAACATAATATTCTTATATCATTCAATATCCCGTACCCGTTCATCATGACTCGAGCTACCTTTGCCGACAGCGCTGAAACATATCAAGCTACCCTCAGGAGCCTCTTTTCTGGGAAGCCTGAGGAAACCGAAACTGATTTGGCGAAAATCTTCACCCCCTCGTTTCAATTTGACGCCGTAGACGAACATCACGACTTTAATGGCTTTGTAGCGCATATGCGTCGCTTGCGCGAAATGAAGCTTGTTGTCGAGCTCACGACTGTGCAATTTCTGCGTGATGGAAACCAGCTTGCAGAGCGGCACGCATCGAAGACGACGTTACAGAATGGAACCGGGCTGCCTGCCGAGACTTTCATGTTTGCGGAGATTGCGGAAGATGGGAGGATTGAGTGGATCAAGGAAGTGGTTGTGAGATCGAAGAATTGACTGGTGCTGGCTTAAGAAGTAATTTGAGAGGGGGGTATTATTGCTTCGTTCGCATAACTGATATGTGCACCATAATTGAAGCGATATTTCAGCGAATATGGCCCCATTAAATATTCAGTGAAAATCCATCCATCGAAACACTGACCATGGCATCAAACTGAGCCCATCCAGTCATCTCGGCGAGAGAGTCGGTAGGTGTCACGTATATATCGCCAATGCCACCCATATCCGTCATACCGGCTCCGAGGTCCGTCACGCCCATTGTACCATCTGCAGTGGTTTCATATGCGTCAGTGCCGTTCGTGTTATTTGGTAACGAGGCGATTTGTTTCTGTGTTGGCGACCGTGCATAGTTTCGGCCTTGCTTTGTTTGCCTTAGGGCTTCGAGGCGCAGCTCTTCCAACACTAGACAGTATCTCGCGACTAAAGATCCGTCTTCTGCGAGATTGGAGAGCTGGTCTTGGCAACGAGTCGCAGCCGAGAGGTAGCCACTGTATATGTCCTCGGGCTCATTGCTTTTCTGGATCGTGTAAACATACAGTATGACCGCAGCTGAAAAGGCGAAATATGATGTGAACTATATGGATGGATTAGCATTGCTTTTTGACAGTGCGAGTTTTTCGCGACCTACCCAATATGCTCGGAACAGCTGTCCTCCTTGGTACATATCATTAACCGTTCTCGTGATATTCGTAGCCGCCTGCAGGCATTCGTTGACACTTTGCTCGATGCGAGATTCGAATTCGCGATCGTCACGCCTTGGCCTGCTACCATTCTGCAGATTTGCAAAGTTTCGCAGTAAAAAGGGTCGATGAGTGAGGATCATAGTATGCCAGTATGCCAGATTGAGGACATTCTTCTGACGCTGGAAGATGGGTATCAGAGGCATATGGGTCACAGGGTCAAGAAAATGAGCGACGTTTTCTCGCCATTCAACAAGTTCCTTGGTATGTATGGTGGCAAATGCGTGTTTCTCATCACGCGATGTTGCGTGAATGGAGTAGACGTTGCGAAGAATCATGCTCAGAATTCGAGACATCCTATAGCAATAGTTAGTCTTGCAGATTTCGACGACCCTGAGTTCAATAAAGGGGGATTTAGTACTTGGCATAGGCCACCGGCCCCAACATTACTGATTGTCCGAGGGTGCTGTCTTGGTTGACATGATCGGCATAAATCTGGTGATCATCCACACAAGATGGAAGCTCTTGGTCGATGTCATCGTCATGAAACGTGCGTGGCCTTCCCAGTGCCATGCTGAGGTAGTTGTCTAAAGCATACGCACTCCAAAATGTCCTTCTCCGGCATTCTACCTCTATGCGGTCGATACGATCAGCATGACGCTTCCGGTGTAAGCCAATAGCATATGCAAGTCGCGCAGCGGTTCCAAAGAGATTCCAGCAATGGTTGATTCGTGACTCGGATAACAGCCAGAGGCATTGCAGTAGTCGAGCCTGGATGCTCTCTAGACGGATAGCTCCTTTCTCGCTCGATAGAAGCTGGTGTGCCGCAAGGAAATACCGGACACTGATAAAAGTTAGCAACCATACAAGATGTCAGTCCGGTATCAGTTTACAAAATAGCCATACCTCACATCGGCATCATCAGATGTTGGTCTCTGGCTCATATGCGCTTGAGCAAGGGCAAATACCATGAACAAGACAGCTTTCCGGATGGACGCATCTTCTCTATTGTGCATCTTCCCCTTGGTCTCATACAATTCCTCAAGCCACATCTCTATGGTCTGCTGGTGAAGAAATCTGTCGACAGGCACAGCAAAATCGAAATACCTCTGAACAAGGCGCGTTGTTTCGCTCCTGGACAACATCATATAGAGCGTTGGATCAAAGTACGGCGCCTCATTCTGCAAAGAGTCAAGATACGGCAGCGGCACGTCGCCAAACGTGAAGATGGAAGATCCTTGCGGAAACGACACAAATTGGTCTAGCCTCTTTTGAATCCTCAGCAGAAACGAGACTCCGGAGGATGGGCCGACGTAGTGGCCCTCAAGATCGGTCTGCACAGGCTCAGGAGAGGCCCGAGATAACGGCTCAGTCCCGGGCTGTGTGGGGTCTCCGAGGGCTGGATAAGGCTCCGGAGGCTCGTCATTGAGGCGCTGATGTCGGCTGGAGGTAACAGGACTTTGTTGGTTAGCAGCATGCCAGCGCGCTGAGTCTGATGTCTGGCGCTCATGCCGGCTGCTGAGTTGTGATGCCTGTGATGGCGGAGAGGCGCGACTGCTTCTACGAGGCACCACCGCGCCGTGTCTACCCCGGGTGTATGCGGCATCATACGTGCAGTTTGTATTGGCCTCAATGCACAGCCGACAGGGCTGCAATCCAGTACAGCGAATCTTCCTCCTGTATGGCGATGCAAAGCAGTTTGTTAGCGGATGTGTGTTGAGACACGCAAAAGGGGGCATAAAGTGAGCCTCACTTCTTGCACCTGTCGCAGGCGCGCGTCACCCGCATCCGCTTCGAGTCTCTGAGGTCTCTGCTCGTCTGCCGCGAAGGCGTTGACGGTTGTGCGCCTGGATCGGCAACGGATATCGCGTACCCGTCCATGTTAATTATGTGCAGCTTCGATATCCGAGCAGGATTGACTTCCGGGGCATGGACTCGGAGACGGACGGCTAATGCATTTGACACTGCTGCCGGGAGATTGAGCGCGCCGGGAATATGGTCAGAAGCTGCTCTTTCAAAGACACTGTGTAAGTTTATACAAAATGCACCTGGCAAATCACCTCGTAAATCGAACGTTTTTTTAGTTACAAAACAAATGCGAGAATGGACACGAGCCTAGCCATAAACAATAGGTTCGTTGGCCTCTAGCGTGCAACTATGTGTCTACAACGCTCCATAAGTTGCGGTTTTCCTGGCAACCTCGCGCCAACTAAGGCATAGACAGGCCCTGTAAACTCGAAGAGGCCAATGATGTTAAACCGGCGGCATTGGTTCCCCGCGCTTTGGCAGGGCATGAGCCCCTAAAATAAAGCTGGGATGGGGGGTGGGACCTTTGCCTCGGCGGTTTTATGGGCTCTTTCCGTATCACTGGATTCGCGAAGATGGGCCGCCAGAGGTGAAGATGAACCGTGTTTCTAGGTACTATCTAGCTACTCTTTGATGCGGCAGAAATACTTCAAAAGAGAAAATGCCTATCAAGAAGTCCTAATTAATGTAGGAAGCATATTTCTTCTTACCATATAGCAAGTATACTTATATGAAGAATAGCCCTGACAGCTTGACAACTCAACGTCGCAAGGTGGTGCCTGTGATAACCTGATGCGACGCTTACCTATGTTACATGGGTTGCAAGGCGATTCAAGGACGCACGATCGGAATAGAATATTGAGTCAATAGTATTATGGTACTACGTAATGCTAGGTACGGAGAATATGTAAGAAATAAGTACAATCTCACTCCTAGGAGTAAGAGGTACAGTTCAGTTGAGGGGTCGGTAAGTCAATCGGAACTGCCAAGCCCTGCTCTATGCCTTGCAGTATCTTCGTATGTTAACTTGCTTTCGAACCAGAGGACTCGTGTCTCAGAAATCTCCACGACTTAGTCGAATGCTTTATTATAATCGCAGATGATTGGCAAGATGCAAATAAACATGTCTCATTAGATTTAGAACTACCAAGTTATTTAGAGTGCTGGATCCCGCGGTATCCTTGATTACCTACCCTTCCAGGCAAGGAACGGCATTAGGTATAAGCGACGAAAAGTACATACATGCAGACTAAGCACTTCAAACACCAAACCGAACATCCGCGACTTTCTGGCGCCCGTAAGTTCCATGGAAATAATACTCAAAACTGTCAATGCGTCTTCTCCACTTCGAAGCCTAGTCGAGCTGACGTTATCTAGTCATCCTTGTCTTTGTAAACAGTAGATTGAAATGTCTATGCCAACACATCCTCATTGAAAGCGTCAATTCTGTAGTTGGCAAACTTCCGGGCCGAAACTCTCCTAGCGAATAGGATGTCGAGCTCTTCATAAGTGCGGCCCTTGGACTCAGGGAGACGGAAATAGGCCCATACGGTCATGAGAAAAGCGGTTCCGCCCCAAATGAACCCGGTGTAGCCTTTGAGGTTCCATTCGCTTGGGTTCATAAAGTAAGGCTGCAGAACGCCTGCAACGACGGCAGTGACAGCGTAAGAGTTTCGGGCAAGGCAGATTGTCTTTTGGCGCAAACGAGTTGACCCGAGTTCGGCGGGGAGAGCCCATCCCAATTGGCCGACAGAAAGTTGGAAGATGAGAGTCCAGATAAGCGTAAGGACTGCCTGTGTCATAGCCACAGGCTTCTCGTTGGTATGGACGTTCAAGCCGCCAATTATGATGAGGATGGCGCACATGCCTCCCATTCCTACCCAGTATGTGGTTCGGTAGCCAAAGTTGGGCATGATGAAGAACCAACACACAAGGGTTCCAAATAGGGCCATGCCAGTACCGCCAACATTGAGGTGGTAAGTTTGCGTAGAGGTCAACCCAATTTGCTGGAAGAAATAGGTAGAGTTGTACGCAAAGCAAATGCCACAAAGAACCTGGCCAACCATGCACATGCAGGAGATTTCAGTCCGACGCAACTCGAATCCCTTGAAGCAGTCCCAGTATGAAGTTCCGACAGAGAGTTGTTCCTCAAGGTTGTTGGTATAGATAATCAGGTTAAGCGACTCTTGTAGTTCTTCTTCACTATCGTTGGGACGCAGTCTCTTCAGTGATTTCTTTGCTTCATCGATATTTCCTGCTCGAACAAGATGCCACGGAGTCTCAGGGGCAAAGAAAAGAATAGGGCCCAAGACAACTGGCCAGAACCATTGGATGGCAAAAGGGATTCTATATGACCATTGTGTTGTGTTGTTCACCAATCCTGCTAAAACACCGGACGCAATCAACTGTCCAATGATGAAGCACATGTTCGTCCAGCTCGTGAGGTAGGTTCGTAGCGCCATAGGCAACACTTCGGACGCATAGGCGGGGGCTGTTGTCGCGAAGATACCCCAGGGGAAACCGCAAAGGAACTCGCCAACGAGCAGAACCTTATTGTTGGGAGCGAAGAATACAATAAAGATGAAGCAGGTGAGGCAAAAGAGCGCGCCAGTGATGACTCGCAGATGCCCGAACCGGTGGACGAGGTAGCCATTGAGAAGGGTTCCAAAGAAGGATCCCACCCCAGAGGCGTTGCCAAGGCCAGCTTGCCATGGCGCTGACAGCTGATAGTTGCCGGATATCTCGTTGAATTTGCCATATCGCTTCGCAAATTCCGGATAGGCGTAGAAGTTGCTGAGTAAACTAGTATCATAGCCTTCCATGATAACGCACATCGAGATAAGAAGACACCAAAGAACAGCTCTGGGGTATCGTCGGACGGCTTGAAACGGTGACAGCTCGTGCTCGGCCTCGGCAGCTAGCCGCGCGTTATCTGCGATCTCGTTGATCGTAGCCTTTTCCCCAGTCCCGACGGGGAGGCTCTCCTCGTGGAGAGTGGACACACCGGTCTTCTCCATGTTGAAGATCGACAGGAGAGTGTGGAGGACTGATGAGTTGATACGAATGTGAAGATACCAAAGAAGAATAAGAAGAGTTGACGGCCGTTTAAGACGTCCAAGATGGCCTCTTTATGTCTACTCTGTAGCGTTTCGCCTCGCCCTGTGACGATCGACTGTCACAATGCTGGAGATGTCCAAGCCGGGAGAATTTATAGATTACCTCGCCCGCATGACCACCACCATGAAAAACCTTCTATGCCCTGTCTCCAAAGGCCTTGGCCCTGTTTGACCCCTTGCTAAGCAACATGGTGAGATCCAGACTCCCCATACCCCACAATCGGCTAACCCCCACAATAGCGAGCCTTTTGCGGATCAGCGATCCGTCCAAACAGCTTTTGAGACTAAAAACACTCTCGTGCCTCCTCGACAAGTCGCTTGCCAACTCCCGAGCATTTCTCCTTCGTGTAGCATGGACCTTTGACGCGGGGTAATGCCGGCTTTCGGCCGTCCAGAATCCTGGAATGGCACCCATGAGAGCCTCGTGGGCTGGGGTTATGGCTTCAGCTTCGGCGCTAAAAGCTCAAATACGGAGTAGCCTGCTTTGTTTTTATCCAGGAAGGTGCCGAAAGATGTCACTCTTGGCTAGATGCTAACAACTGTCGTTTAGCGATTGAGTACATCCGGCCCGTGGCGATGATTCTTAGTCTGACGGATATCTTTTGCCGCCAAAACAGGCTTATCCGGCGGTGGCGTTCAAATAGCTTCATTGCATCGCAGGCTTTACCGTTAGGACTCTGTATTGAGCAGCAGACTATTGATCGGTACCACCAAGGTTTTCCACAATAATGTTGGATTCCAAAGTTGCGGAAGCGACTCTTCAAGCGACTTTGCTCAACGGCTTTTCTGGAGTGTGTGCTCAGGGCATTACGGCTTATAGAACCAAGGTTCGTTTGACGCCCCCCATTGATTCTCCTCTTTTCTATAATTCTTACTTCATTGGGTACTAAAATCGCCACTCAACAAAAAGTCTTTTGAAGTTGAACTAGAGTCTATACTGCGGTTTGTAGTATACACAGCTCTTGTTACGCCGCCAAACTACAAATGGCAAGAGTTCTTAGAGCGCAAATGGCCATCTAGAAAGCCAATAAACGAGTCATCATCGGACTCAGAACCACCACAAAAGCAAAGCAAAGACGCAGATAAAGATCGTCTAAGCTTAAGCAATACGGCAATCAAATTTCTCTTGGATCAATCATTGAGTGCACCCATCAATACGGTGGCTTTCATCTACCTCATGGGTGGCATGACATTTCAGAGTAACAGCCAGATTTGGAACAATATCCAAAAAGTAGGTCACTCCACCTTCAACAAACTAGCTATCCCTGTGTGGGAAGGTTCAGAAGAAGCTAACGACCAATGAGCAGGACTTTTGGCCTATGCTAATTGCAGGATACCGTGTGTGGCCAATTATTGGCCTCTTGAATTTGAGTGTGGTGCCTTTTGACTACAGACAACTAGTTGGCAGTACGGCTGGACTATTTTGGGGCATCTTCTTGAGTTTGAATAAAATGACATAGTGGTGAAAGAGTACAGAGAAACATGTACGGCAGTAAACCAGTTATAAAGAGGTATATGGATGATACTAGTGGCGACGATGCCAGCGAAGTGTTTACTCTCATGGTGCCTCAGCTGAATGTAATCATTATATACGCTGAAATGCTCTAATATAATGCGAGACGCTAAAATGAGAGCAGTAAACCTTTTACAGTAAACAAGACCGATGCATGCTTCTTAAGTAGATACGACAGGCCATTATTTCACTGATAATAGGGCAAGCCAGACGTTAGCAGTTTGGGCGTAGAGTTGCCTGTCATATTATAATACAGAGATAATTATCTTTTATTCCAAGTATACGCAATAATCTCAAATATATAAAGGTTTTTGTAACCATTTAGCATCCTGTTTATGCCTTGTATGTGTACTCGTATACTCACATGTCATGATTAAACATCCCGAGTTCTTTGCCAAACAAGTTTTCAGTACGCTTTTCAATATCCCTGTAAGAGTGTCACGTTCAACCAGTTCGCAGCTGATTACCATTCACTATATTTACCTAGTAAAGTGTCATAGATATATTGCGCCGAGTTTGACAAAATGATTTGACTTTCTCAGTCGTCATGTTAGTAGCTCTCATTTTCCGTAAAGAGCACGCCGTTTGACTAATTAGGCGAACTCGAACTGGGCTGCCGTCTAAAGCTCTCGGGAAACGGTAGTATTTTCCGCCAACAGAGAGCAGCATTTCCGTCGGAAAAAGGGACTACAGATTTGTCCACCAAATAGAGCACGACATTGAGACTCTATATTTACAGCAGTGTTGACGTTTTCCGACAGATTCATTCCGTTATAGCGTATAGACTGATCTATCTTGACTCTTTTGACGTTTGAGCAGCTTACTTACCGAGCATTTATCCGAGCTGAAAAAGAAAGAGATATTCGGAAGATATTGATACTAGTAAGAGAAAGCCAAGATGTCTAGCAAAGATGGTAACAGTATCATCAATATTGTTGCCGATAGCATTCCCTAGTCTAATTTTCTGCCTTGCATTGAGTAGAACTTGTATAGAGACAGAAATGGAATTACCATGAGGAAACCATTATTGTCTAGTTCATGATATTGCCAATTACATCTGGTTTCCGACAAAGGATTCTAGAATCATGTAGCAGCAGTGAGCGTTAGATAAATAGAGACTTTACTAGAATAACCTATCATCCAAGATTTACTTTAGATTAGGAAGAAGACAATGAATTAAGAGCAGCATCATGATCAGAATGGTAATGCTAAGTACTCAATGGCATAAATGTGAGATTTGTTTTATATTGATGTTACATCAAGATCAGAGCCAAGCACCGTCGACCGAATAAACACTGCCGCTAACAAAGGTGCTGTCTGGGCCCAGCAGGAATAAAACAACCTTTGCAACCTCTTCTGGCTTTCCTTGCCTCTGGAATGCAGTGGGGTCATCAAAAGGGGCATCTACTTGACGTCCGTTAATATCCCAAGCCTGCTGCATCATTGGGGTGTAGATTGACCCGGGAGCCACAGCATTAACCCTGATTTCCCTCTTGCCGTACTCTTTTGCCGCTATCCGAGTCAAGCCAACGACTCCATGCTTACTCGCACCATAGCCTCCGTGAAAGGCCAGACCTATTAGTGACTAAGAGTTAGGCGATATGTAGAACGGAGCAGTATAACTAAATTGGCCACTTACCCGTGATTCCTTGGATCGAAGCCATATTGACAATGGAGCCGCCGTCTTTGACATTCCTCAGCTCAGCTCTCATGCAATACATACAGCCCGTAAGGTTTACTGCAATGATCTTGTCCCACTCGTCGTCCTCCAGTTCTTCAATAGAGTGAATAGAGTGATGCTTGCCAATAATGCCAGCGATATTGGCCGCGCCGTCCAGCTGTCCAAATTCCTTGACAATGCCCTCAATCCACGTATCTACTTCGGCTCTTTTTGATACATCTACCTTGGTAGCTGAGAACTTCGCCCCCTTCTCTTTCAAGTAGGTCTCGGCTGCCGCCAGGGCAGTTGTGTTGACGTCTGAAAAGCATACAGTAGCTCCTTGCTCAGCCAATAGCTTGACCGTAGCTAATCCAATTCCACTTGCACCCCCAGTGACGGCGTAAATCTTGCCTGCGAAAGCCATTGTATAGTCCTTCTTGTTTGGCTGCTGATGTCGAAAATACCGGACTGAGCTATCTTTGCGGCCGAATTAGTGTGAACAAATGCAGTTGGCGATGAGCTTGATGATGAGCTTGATGAGAAGACAAACAGAAAGCAAGACCGGCCTGTCTCAATATCTTTTGCCCGCAAACACACTATATACTACGGCCAAGTGGATGAAATCTCGAAAGACTCTGGCGCTGTGTTCTTCAGTACTCCATAAATCGACAGGCTAGATGCTCGTCAAGTTGACGATGCGGAGGCTTCAGTTCAAAGTGCGGGCAGGCTCCACTGTTTCCGGCACACGATGGCTGGCTACTCGCTTCATGTTTCTTCCGCTAATAAAAGCCCGCGGCCCAATTAGGGCATCGGAACAAGCAGCGCTTCACGGTGTCTGAAGCTTGCGACGGAAACAGTACAGATGTCGGACACTTTTGTGCGCACAAAACTTCATGTAAGTGGGCACATGTACTCTTCCGTTGCTAGCCAGCGAAAATAGAAGCTGTGGGTATGGCCCGTATTATAGGATTATAATGGACAGTTTACAAAATACGCGTATCTATATTTCTCTCCTTATTGAGAAGATTATGTTAAGAAAATAAAGCTTCAAGTCACATGCATCGTATCATAGTAAATAGATGAGACTCCACTTCAGATGAAAAGCGAGCAATAGCTGGAAATAAGAGACCGACTTCATACCAATACTTTCGTGCGGCTCAACGTTAGTTCATGAGGACTTGAGAAGCCATGATGACGGTCAAGACTGTGGACATGAAATATCCGGCGCCTTCTTACACATGACCACGTCTGAGGATGTTCATCATGTACGGCAAGACGCGAAAGACCGGCTTCCCTAGTGTTGAATACACCGAGGCTTGTAGGGTAATTGAACGAGAACTCTCAGAATCTCATCGTCGCGCGATAAATCTGAATGTTCTGTAGAAATACAGCGCCCATAAGAGCAGGAAATTGGATTGGACTCGGAATGGCTTTTCACAATGCGCTCGGCTACCCTGTGCTAAATTCTTAACCTTAACATCACCTTTAAATCATTGAACAAAACAGTATATAAGCCGACTTTCTGATGCTAACCGTACTTCCCTGCGCTTAACTCGTAGATAGCATGTTTCTTCAGGTACACCAATCAAGATTTCGTAGAATCTAGAATTACCACAGAAGAATCTTCGGCCTGGCAATCTCACATAACATCCAGACTGCCACATAGCCTCTCTCGGTTTAGCTTACATACCATACACAGTCCCGCGTCGCCAGCGACCCAAGCGATCGTTTATCGTTTAAATAAGACCATGGCTACCTATCTGGGTACATAGCGGAGCGACCCGTGTTAAACGATATGCGAATACGATGAGCTAATTTTTTCCACCAAACAAACCAGTGCCTTATATTATCAGTTGACCGTTTCTATAAGCGGTGTAAGACATGAACCAAGAGTCAAGTTTATTATCCTCCATTCAGGTGTGCGAAGTCGTTTCGCGGTCTCTAGCTCAGGAACCTGAATGTAACAAGGAAGTATAGTAAGATTGAATCTCACAGACACTTTCACAAAAAAAGAAGGTGCGTAGCACTTTTCGAAGATATGTCAAATACAACATACTGTGGAATTGTTTGAGTTTAAAATAGCCAACCTTGGTAATGAAAGTGCTATTGGTTGGCGTCTGAAGATAAATAGCCTATAAGATCTACATACAAACTTCCTGAACAGTCCATCAGTCTACCACTTCAATGCTGCATAAAATACTCAATTGTAACGGAATTTCTATAAGCTCTCTGACAGAACAGCTCACAATGAAAGTTGCTGTCATTTTCGGTGCCATCGCCGCCCTTGCTGGGCCCGCCGCCGCGTTTTACGGCCAGATGGCTGCCAGTGCGATGACAGTTAGCGGAGAGGGTCCCGCCTATCAACTGATCACTTTGACCGACTACAATACTGGATCAATTTACTCTGGCGATCTCAACTACGGCTTTTCGAGCACGCAGGAGTCTGTATAGTAAGCTTATTCGAACGTGAGAAGCAAAGGAAAAGGCCGCGGCTTGAAGATAACTGACTTGAGACCAGTTTCGGGGAAGATACTCCGGGTGGTTACGACTTTTACGCTCTTATATGGAGGACCAACGATGGATGCCACAACATTGACTTTCAGGGAGCTTTGAGTTCAGGGCACGGATATTGCTGCGGCTCACTGCCATGCGATTTTACCGCTTAGAATTGAAGATTCTTAGGGTTAGGGGATGCCAGGCCAACTCTCAGATACCCGAAAACGTTCATAATAGTTCTTTTCCGATATGCTATATATGTAAAAGCCTTGCTTTAATATGTAAAGGTCATTTGAAGTTATGACGATGATAGAAAAGATGTTTTGATAAAAAGAAAATAATAGAGAATAAAAACTCTACCAGATTCAACAATAGGTACGCTTAGGTATGCGGTGAAATTTAGTCTTGATGAGACCCCAAAGTGACATATAGAATTACAATTCTTATCAATTGCGCTCACGCTAGACCATAGAGTAGTATAAGCAACAAAAGGCCAACTGGCGCAGCTAATAGATCTCTTCGGCAGCAGTGATAAGTAAGTTTGCCGGTTTATTATTGCAACGCGGTACTGTTACCAAAAAACACTACAGAACAATGTACTAAAGCTATGACAACCAGCTTAATTATCTATAGAAAAGTCTAGATTTACAAAGTAGCCTCTATCTGCTCAATGTCTGATAAATACGTTTGATGCAACGAGGTCCAATTCGCCTCAGGCAGTCTGCCTTTCAGCGGCAGTCGACCTCCTTCAAGTGCTCCCAGACCAGTGTTTCGGATGATGCCTTCCCGAATGCCAATGATTCCAGACCTAACAATATACTCTTCAGCACGGCTAACAGCGAACTGCAGTTTCCTGATCTCTTGTAAAACATCTTCTTGGTATGATCCTTGGTTCGCAAGCTTCATGAGTCTGACCACGGTCTTGGGATAGAACGCCGCCAACCCGTCAATCACACCGGCGGCACCAAACACAACAATCGGCCCAAGCTGTTGCCCAAAGCCGCTAAACACACGGAATTTGCTGTGATCAATTTGAGGGTCAAGGGATACTTGAACATGGTAAGAAACGTCTCCATGAGACCTAGTCACATCGCAGGTTAGAGAGATTCCTCGGAAATGGAACGGAAAACGACATCAAAAACAACACATACATCTTGCATCCGACGATTTTGGGATGCTTGGCTAGGGCTCTGTATGTATCCGGCTCCGCGATAAGCCCATTGGTAACACCCGGATAGTTGTATCTAAGTAACCATCTGTTAGATCCTTGCACACACGTAGTAAAATGTGAGACTGGACACTCACATCAAAATTGGCAATGGGCTTCGATCGGCGACCGTTGTGAACCATTCGATAAGGTTGCTTTGGTTCACAGCCTTTCCGAAATAGCCAGGCGCCAGGACTAAACCCCACTGAGCTCCGGCTGCTACGTAGTCTTCCAACCATTCGAGGGTTTCAGAGATGCCGTTTGTAAGTACCCCAGCCATTATCGGGTAATTTGGAAAGCCAGCCTCTGTGAGCCCGGCCCGCACACCGGCAACAAGCTCGGATCTCTCCTTCCGGGAGAGATGGATGGCCTCGCCTGTTGATCCGAGGATGGTCAGTCCAGTGATGCCGGCTTTGGCGAGATACACGCTGTGAGCCACCTGGGTTTCGATATCGACTTTGGACTCGACGAGCCCATTTGAATCAGCGGCAGACTTGAAGAACGTAGGGACGGGGACGAAGACCCCCGGTGGTGGTGCCGTCTGTGAGGCCATTTTGCTGTTGGAATATGTGAAATGTTCCTAGATGATGGCAGTAAAAACCAAATTGCTTCTCTCGTCGAGGAGAATCCAGATATTTCAAGCCATTCAACTGTCCCTCATTCCGTCATGAAGAGCGTCGTACCACTTCAAATAACCCTCTTACCGGAGCATCATCGGTCCATGGCACTCGGGCTACATTCTCCCGGATTATAGGCAGCATCCCCGCCCGATCCTCAATCCCCTCTCTGCTTTTCCGTGCGCTGTGGAGTGGTGGGGGTTTGTGTCCCACTCAGCGGGGAGGCGTTTCTGCTCCAAACAAGTAAAAGCAAGTAAGCCTTGTTGGTATTGGTGGAGCTCCTCGGCCACATTCTCTTTCATGTTTCTCCTTGGTTTCTCGCCGTGGATGCTACTATATGTATATACAAGTATTATTAGACATCCAAATCATACGAGCAACACATTGTCATCTTGCATTGCGCCCATTCATCAGACAGGCTGTATTATTTAGGTCAAATTTGTCGCACATTTCACTATGACGAGAATCAAATCTATGGAGTACTTTCGCGTCCCGCCTCGGTGGCTGTTCGTAAAAGTTACCGACGAAGATGGAAATGTTGGCTGGGGCGAAGCATCTCTAGAAGGACATACACAAGCAGTTGAAGGATGTTTAGATGCGTGGTTTGAGAAGTTCAAAGGACACGACGCTGAGTAGGTTCACCAGATTCGGCATCTGGACAGATTAGGAAATCGGCTTACCAAAGGCAGCGAGATCGAGCACATTTGGCAAATGGCGTGGCGCACTGGATTTTATCGCGGCGGGCCAGTTTTTATGAGTGCACTCTCCGGAATTGACATTGCATTGTGGGATTTAAAAGGTAAAATGACCATTAAATGAGTTGTGGTGGATTCCAACGACATTGATTTGCACTTGAGAATAACACTGACTAGGCTCTAGGTAGGAAACTGGGTGTCCCGATATATGAGCTTCTGGGCGGCAAAGTGAGGCACAAGCTCAAAGTATACGCCTGGATCGGGGGCGACCGCCCAGATGAGGTGGAACAACAAGCGTAAGCAAGAAAATTTCTATGTTGAAAATGCATGATCAAGGCTAATAATCTCAAACAGAATAGCTCGCAAAGAGCAAGGGTTTCACGCAGTCAAAATGAATGGAACCGCAGATGTTTGCTGGCTGGATTCGCCATCAGTGCTTGATGATGTGGTGAGGAGGATAAAAGTCGTCAAAAGCCTTGGGATGGATGCCGCAGTCGATTTCCACGGCCGTGTTCACAAGCCAATGGCAAAGCAATTGGCCGCTCTGCTTCAGCCGCATCGGCCTCTCTTCATCGAGGAGCCACTACTACCCGAGAACATTGGCGGAATCAAAGAGCTGGCTCAACTCACCAGTACCCCTATTGCCCTCGGCGAACGTCTCTACAGCCGATGGGACGTTCGTCCGTACTTGGAAGCGGGATGCGTGGACGTCTTACAGCCTGACATCTGCCACGTTGGAGGCATTTCTGAGTTGAGGCGGATCGCAACAATGGCCGAAACATACGATGTTGCCCTAGCGCCACATTGTCCTTTGGGACCGATTGCCTTGGCTGCAAATGTGCAAGTTGACGCAGTGTCGTCCAATTTCTCTATACAAGAGATGAGCCTTGGAATCCATTACAACAACACAGGACAGGATATTGAAACTTACATAAAGAACCCTGAAGTCTGGAAAGTTGATGACGGCTACATCAAGGTACTTTCAGGTCCTGGTTTGGGCATAGAGGTAGATGAAGAGGCAATCCGGAAGTTGTCTAAGGATTGCGTACCGTGGGAGTCACCCTCATTTAGGGGCCCGGATGGCGAAATCAGAGAGTGGTAATCGGGCTTTGAAGATATTGACTTGGATAGAGAAGTGCTTGGTGCTTGGTTTCGATAGACGGTGTTGTGCTGCAGCATTCGTAACAGGTGTTTCGGTTTAGCTCAATGAATGAGGTTCTTTTATCAGCTTGAGATAATTCGACGTTGTCGTGTCACATATTGCTACAACATGGTATAAATAGCATTAAGATCAACTAACTAAGTGGCTACACTAAAGAAGTTCTCATCAAAGAGTAAGATAAAACACGATTTGGGCCTCCTCCGCCATCATCGATCCAAAGCATGGGTAACAAGAAGCTTTCTAAGTTATTAGATATGCAAATTTATTAAGGAAACTAACCATTGGAAGTAACATATAAGAGCGCTGGAAGCTTGGTGGAGGGAGTATCCAGTGTGTTATGTCCAGCATAATGGATGAGCCTATACGACGTTGCTCTATCTTCAAGGATCCGGGGTATGGCAAGCAAATCATTTGTAGGTCTAACAGTCGTTCTCTTTAATGCCAGCTATACATACAGGCCTCTTCAATCCGAAGTCACATCTAGCCCTGACCCAACCTTAGCAAACAGTGCTATCTATTTCATCAATGAATAACGAATAGCTTCAAGCTATATTCCCAGGTCCCGTATCGTCAATGATGAACCAATCCCACGACCTTTACGAGTATACTTTCCGCTTTTAGCAATGATGCACTGCTTCAAGATTATGCATCACCTTTCTTTCCACATCTAAATTACCCACCAATCATGAACTCTGCAAACTCCCACACCACAGGTCTAGACACAAGAATGCATGCACTACGGTTACTATTCCGGGGCCATCTGCCGTATCTGCATATGCATGTGCTTCAGTTCCCGATCTATAGATGTCGATGGATAGCAATATTCCAATTGCATCCGTATCACAGAGAAGCTTGATCGTTTGCTGTCCACTAGCTGTCCGTGTACAGCACGCATGCTTTATTTCTGTCTTCGCGTATAATAGAAGAGAGTTGTAAATGAAATGTCAACCGAAAGGCTTTTAAACTATATCAGAACAGTGAACCATCTTAGAGTATGCTATTACCTTAGATGAAATTGGTAGTTATGCATCAGAAGCTACCAAAAAAGTTAGCTGCCCTATACTTATTGTCGAAAAAGCGACTGAACGAAGCACATTCACATAACACGCCAAAAGTCTTTTTAGTTCGTTGAGAACTACTAGGAGCAGTGAATAAAATAGAAGTGAAGCCAAAATGAAAATTTGTAATCCTGTTTATTAATATATGTACACATGTATGCCGTTTGTAATGCAAAAAGTTTGATCAAAAATTAATGATACAGACGCATGCCTGTTCCTCTCGTTTGACAGTTGCCATGTGCCCACGGCGCTTTGTAGCTACTTCTTCATCTACACAGAACCCTATTCCAAGTCCTTCATCCCCGTCGTCAAAGCCAAAATGCCAATAATTCCCCCGTGATCAATAATGCCAAGATAGGCGGCCAATTCAATGGCACTAACCATGTCCAAAGAAAACCCTTGGCTCGGCGTGCGAGCTTTGGCTTACTTTTCCGTGGACTCGGATCTCTTATCCGTGTGGAGCCCTTCAATCTCCCGAACATTTCTCCAGACGATGAGCGATCAGCCACTAGCTCCTCGTGACAATTGTCGTCAAGCTCTACTGCTAGCTGTGGAATAGAGAAGTCGGAAAACCTCGTGGGGTCGGGCAAATAGATGGGAATACCTAGAGGGAGCCCCGCATGTGGAAAGTAGGATTCCGTTTATCGCGGGGAGTAGCTGTAGATGGGTGGCTTGGTGGGGTGAGCCTGAAGCTGTCCAAGGTAGATTGAAGTCTCTTTATTTATATAGCATATATCTATGAGGGTAACAGTTCAACAGGTCAATTAGAAATACAATCAATCATTGATTTCGCTTCAAACCCAAATTGGTCTTGCAGGCACAAAATGCTGTCCAAAAGTGCGCTGGTTGTCGCAGCCTCTGTGGCTGTTGTCGAGGCAATTGACAATGGTCTAGCCAGAACCCCGCAGATGGGATGGGTAAGCTTTTCTTTACAAGATCTACGAGATGTCAAGTATTGATTGAGAAACAACTAATGCTCGCAACAGAACAACTGGAATTCCTTCGGCTGCGATGTTTCTGAGCACTTGCTGCTTGACCATGCCAAACTCATCTCAGAGTATGGCCTTCAAGACCTGGGCTATGGATATGTAGTCTTAGATGACTGCTGGTCCGATGGTCGCGATAAAAAGGGTAAACTGGTTGTAGACAAGAAGAAGTTTCCTCGTGGAATGGCTGCCGTTGCAGACGACTTGCATGCTCAGGGCTTCTTGTTCGGCATGTACTCGAGCGCTGGTGAATTGACATGCGCACGATATGGTAAGAGACCTTCACATCCCTACTACAAAATACCAGCATTTAAAAGTTTAAACGATTTCTAACGTCTTATAGCTGGTTCTTTGGACCATGAAAAGGATGACGCTCAAAGCTTTGCGGATTGGGGTGTGGATTATCTCAAATACGACAACTGCTATCACATGGGTCGTTTCGGCACTCCTCTCATTTCATTCCAGCGCTTCAACGCCATGGCAGAAGCACTCAAAGCCACAGGGAAGAACATCTTTTACAGTCTTTGTAACTGGGGCGAAGACTATTCATACAGTGTAAGGCTTATCACGTCGATCAGCACCTGTCGCTTATTGATACTGACGCGTTAAAACAACACAGTGGGCTGCGTCCATTGGTAACTCTTGGCGCATTTTTGGAGACATCTACGACTCTTTTGCCCGACCTGATGATCTATGCTCTTGCAATGATCCTGCTAACCCGGCTTGTATTGCTCCTGGCACACACTGCTCGGTTCTCGCCATCATCAACCGAGTCGTTCCTTATATCGATCGTGGTCTTCCGGGAGGATGGAATGATCTCGATATGCTTGAAGTTGGCCATGGCGGTATGACTGAGGAGGAGGTGAGATTTTAATGCCCTGAAAGCCATTATACATTAATACTTGGAAAGCTAACTTTGATGAACAGTACAAAGCTCATTTCACCATGTGGGCAGCCCTGAAAGCGCCGCTCCTTCTTGGAACTGATCTTCGCAAGTGGTCAGGCTCCGACCTTTCTATTGTCACCAACCCGGCCGTGATTGCTATCAACCAAGATCCCCGTGGCCGTGCCGTTCAGCGTGTCAGACGTAACTTTAATGTCCCCAAGGACGAGTGGGGTGTCGGCGAGACTCATATCTGGAGCGGTCCTCTCGCAAATGGAGACCAGATCCTCATCTTCCTCAACGTCGCCGACGAGGACCTTGACATGGGTGCCACGCTCGAGGAAATCTTCCTTACGAATGGCGTTGGCGGTACTGCCCCTCAGAACAAGAATGACTGGGCTGTCTATGATCTATGGGGCAAGACTGGTGCTGCTATGAGCAGCGAGGACGCGCAAGCTGTCCTTGACGCCGACAGTGCTTCAGCACGAAAGCAGAAGCTGCAAAAGCTGAACTGGTACAATTCGACTGAGACCTCCTACGCTGAAGGTTTGAAGCGCGAAGATCCGCGGTTGTTTGGCGAGCGCGTGGGTCTTATTAAGTCTGGTGGCCGCTTTGACGTCCATGTGCCCAGGCATGCTGCAAAGGCCTACCGCTTGCGAAGTGTGAGCGGTGAGAAGTTTAAGCAAAAGAGCCATCTGCAGAAAGATGAGCTGTGAGTCAAATTGAGACGGGTGTGATGATCAAACGATATGTGTTTAAACGCATTTCGTGTATAACAATGACGTGAGCAGAGTGATGCGAAAATTAGTAAAAGCGTTTAGAATGGTGCTTTAGAATGACATATTGTTGTGCTATAATAGCCAGTAAACTCAGAGTATAGACAGTTTAAATAAAGGTTCATCAAGAGCAAGTCGACCAGAATAGAAGTAATCAGTTGCTTTGATCTTCTCTTCAAACTTCTGCTTCATGCTGGTTTATATACACAACTCTTCTTAAGGGCCGATTATCCACGAGGTTGAGAAGATAATGTTATGAACCTTGCCTATTGTAATGCTATGCTAAGTACATGAAATTAACCCACATGTAGGCAGGGTATTGAAGCCGGGCGGTTGCCGGGAAGCCCAGGTTATGCCCCCCCGTCGACGGTGTCATGCCTCGGCTTTGCGGCAGTCGTGGCAAGGAGCAATAGCTTAAATAGTGGATTGGGCAAGAATTTCCGAGTCTCCGTTTCTAGCCCCTGCGTTTAGAAGTGCCTGTAGTCTTGTTTCCTGCCTGGTAATACGAATTCATTACTAAACATCCTCTTAGTCGTCCTCTTAGTCGTCCTCTTGAGTATGCTCTTTGTACTTCTAGAAGAAACCCAGCCCTTGTCTTTGGCGTTATTGCAGTTTTAACTCACACATACGTACATGCGTATGTAGCCCTTTTTTGTAGATCCTTATGCATTCCGATTAAATTCAATTGTACTCTTCTCGGTATCAGAAATGCGAATGAATCCCAAAGTCTTTTGTGGTGAAGAAGCGATATAACTATGTTGACTCGTTATCGAAGAGGACACAGCAGGATTGTATACGACTACTAAAGAGAGTTTGTTGGAGGAGTATAAATGATTACAACGTATAGCTGAACGAAAGGATACCGTGTGATTAGCTTATATCATGGCAGCTTTGCGTTATACGGCAGCTCCCTGAATCTTAATCACCTGTTACTGGGATATGGTGGGACATAGCTTACTTGTTAAACAGCGTCACATATTATCATATTTCTGTATTTGAATATTTGAAAGCTTAATTAAAGTGAAACAGGTGCTGAATCAAGCGGTGTTCTGCTGTTCAATTGCTTTTCTCTATACACAACCGCACTAGCCGTCTATTTACATATCTCCCCAAGTTAATCCCTAGACCCGAAACCAGCGGCATATTCTATGATAACATCCTTTCACGGTAAGTTATTGGATTTTGAAAACAATCGGTCTATTAAGCGGCCAAAAATGGACTAACTACGTGAAGCTCGACCAAATCACCAAACCCTTGAAATAAATAATATGCTACAACATGAAATCCCTTGGCATCATGTGCTGTTGTGCTCCTGACAACCTAGCAGGAGCCTTTATAATTTCAACACTGACATTAGGCGCCGGTTTCAGGGCCAGGAATAATCTCAGTATTCGCGGCAAAGCAGGCTGTTGAGCCTTGGGCCTCGTCTGCTTGGCAAGCGAGGTCGGCGATTCCAAGTCCGTACTGGTTTCCTTGGAGATTGCCACTTTGGTCAAACTCAGTGTTAGCTCTATAAATGCATGATTGGGGTTGAAACCACTCGGACTTACGCAGCGTTGAGATGCTGAAGGGTGATGTTGAATTGTCCAGTCTTTTGGCTGGTTTTGATATAAGTATAGAGCACTTGCGAGTTTTCGCAGGGTGTGGGGGTTAACACGGTGACTGGGCGGGCAGATCCAGGCACGTTGACATATGAGCAGTTGGTAACCAATGAAGTGCTTGCATCTTCGAATGTAAATTGAAGAGTGCTCTCCCCCGTAGGAGAAGTTGTATCGAGAGATTGAAGGTTGGTGATGTACCAGTAGGGAGAGGCAGCGGCAGCCAGGCTGGAGAAAACAGTCGTAGCGAAAGCGGAAGTCTTCATTTTGAACGATGTTTGGAATTTTGTAGTGAGGCCTTTGAATTGTTGTGAGATTGTTAAAGTGGCGATTTTGACGAGAAGGGTACTCGCTTTATTTATATGATCGTCAGTTTCTATCAACTGCTGTAATGGAATAGTCTCCGTCCAAATCGAGTAACGAGCAAGTTCCGGCTATCGGCAAATTCGGCACACGTCTCAAAGTAATACGAGCGCTGTCAATCATGCGTATGGCTGCTAGTTGAGATCTGCAGGTCGATACGAGGCGCACGGAAAGATCGGTGAGGGTTGCGCAAAGACATATCTATTACCGCATTCAACTTGAACAGTACTACCATGCGGTCGTAGTCATCTCGTACACCCTTGACTCTGGATCTGGAACTTTCATTGAACACCTATACCAAGTAGCGTCATATACACAAAGTGAAAGAGAAATAGGAATAAGAATAGAAAGGCATATAGCGCACAAGAGTACCCGCCGGCGAATGATAGGAAACTCGAGCAAAACTACCTAATTCAATCTTACATGTAACGAGTATTAGCGAGATATAGATATAGGTGCCTATATGCGTGCAGCCTATGCCGCCAGCTAGGCCCTTGTAGGAGTAGGATACTAAATTTCCACCTATGCCAGACCAGCTTATACCCCGGTCAGGTGAAAGCCGAGTATCTACAAATAGGCAATTTACAGTACGTAGGAAGCATCTTCCACCTATCATCTCATTGTTGCTGGGTACAGCACAAATGCATAGAGAACTCGAACATGCTTTTAGTATTTTTATCTTACATTGATCAGCAATGGCTAAGTCATCCATCATTCAAGGTCAGAGGACTCTTTCTACGATACGATTTCGGCTTGGACGTATCCGCTTTTTTTTTAATACTAATCACGGCTCTCCTTTCCGAGTCCTGCAATATTATCATGAGGTGTATGAGACACGGTAAAAACCAGCTTCTTGATGAAGTGGCAAGGCGTATACGAATCAGAAGATCCACAATCTCTATGACTCGTGTGAATCAGGTTCAAAAAGGAGCAGAGATCCGGGCTTAAGCAAAAGATGGAAACGTTGAAATTTGCGATGCTTCGTCGGCTTCGCCTTCAATATAAAAAAAGAGAGTGTTTAGAATTATATGGGAATACAAGAACTTTCTGTTCTTCAGCCCATACTAGCATGTCGCAAACCCCGTCCACAGTTGGAAGCTCATGATTCTTCCTAGATTCGGATCTACGTCAAAAGCGCCTTTTTAATTTATGAATGCCTAAAAGCCATGATCTACAGCATTCCACGTTTCTCTCATAACTAACTACACGATTGACTTAATCTTCTACCCTCCCTAGCCGCTCTCCTGTCTCTGATCGGCAAAGGCTAAATAAACTTATCCATTGATCAATTCCGTCTCTTCATGTATTGTCTCACTTTCAAAGAAAATAACTTCCTTCGTCATACTGCAAATATTTTCCTAGTTCCTAATGCCCAATCTCTTCAAGTCTTCTAGTTGCGGTGGATCAAAGTTGTTCTTAGAAGTTGAAAGCCGCCATATTCCATCACCAATTTATGAATATATCAGTATCATGTGACTCCATCAACAGCGAAAATAGCCGTGGTGATCTTCTTTTTGCTTTCCAAGGAAGTTGTCAGAGACTTGTATCATTTACCCGTGGTAGTGCTATATATAGACTAGTTATTTGTTCATTACAATAGCGCACGGACATCAAATGGAAAGAGATTGTTGTACTACTAATACTGTTTGTCATTAACTGCAAAACATGGCTCAGATTTTTATATCTCTCCTTACGAAATGCTATGTCAGGACAGGCTAGCTAGGATATATCTGATGCGTTGCATTAGGTGGGCAACTTGCTCCACAGCTTGCTCTAAACCTCGACCAAGATTAAACTACGGCTGCTCCAGCTACAAGTGTATGTCTCCTCTTCAATGTTACCTGTACGTCATACGTCCTTTTGTAGTAACATTACTCAAAGACCATGGTTTCGTTGGGCTCTCAACGTCATGTTATTAAGCTTAATATCGTACGACCTCATGGTCACTATTGGCAGGATGCTAGCAGTTGTTCCTCACAGTCCGCGTTGTGCCTCTATAAAGCTGCATTCATTATACGTAATAAAAAGTATATTCTAGGATTTGTCAATAATTTAGTCGGACAATGGAAATTTTCAAGCGAGATACGCGATAGTAAATAGTAATGAATATGAATCTTATCATCATACTGTATTTCGTGACACTTATTGGCGTACCTCTCCGTCATATGTAAGCATATTGCTTTAGAAGGGGTCCTAGTATATTACCTCAGGTCTGCCGCGTCAGATATGCACGGGTATTCGGCCTAACTTAATTGGCCGGCCATTTAAACAGAAGCATTGATTCGTATAGCGGGTGTTGCGGTATACTTTCCGCAAGATCCGATCATAAGCCCCATACCCCGAGTTTGAATTCACCCTTCATACCTCCGGATTTCGTACGGCTCCCTATTGCTGATTTCTAAGGAGCTCCTAGACTAGACTACAATAGGGAAAGGAATTGCCAAGTGAATATGAATGAGAAAATAGCACAAAACGCTGCAGTTGGCGGATCTTGAATGTGATAATGATAGCTGACTATAACGTAAGCTCCATGCTTAGTGTAAACGTCGTGGCTTTAAGCTACATGTGCATGCAGCCCTACAGCCGCGGGGATAAGTTTGACAGCCTAGAGACTATGTGTATGCAGTAGAGAGTGGTACAATGAGCTCACCAAAACTGCATAGCCTCCATCGCTAAAACGCCTTGCGGAGTATGAGAGAGAGTAAGCGCTTCCCTCATGCGTGGTTCAATTATGATAGAGCATTTTAAGTGGCCTATAAGCTACGAAATTAGCTCTAGATTTTATAAGCTAAAATGTTGGGGATCTTACTTCACTTACCTACTTTGTAGGGACGGAGGATTTAGAAGATTTGGGTCCGTCGCTGCAATAAGCCACGCTAAAGACCGGTCCAACAGATATATAAGAACAATAGGATCCTGCTGGCAGGTTGAGAGTTTCTTTCATTTCTAAATTTCAATATATTACAATATCAACGACCTCTATTGTACCATTAGCAAAAATGAGACACCCAATCACAGCGCAGCAGGTGAATGAGCTTGCCGCTCAGCTAGATGCTTCTACTCGACTACTTACCGCCGCAGATGGCGATTATTATGAAAAGTTAATCTCCCGTTGGGCAGATAACGCTGTGAAACGTGCTGTAAGTACCCTCAGCAGAAGCCTTTGATTGAGGTTTCTAGTGGACTTATTGCTTATGATAGTAGGGTGCTGTCGCTGTTCCCGTTTCATATGATGAAGTGTCCAAGCTGGTCAAATTCGCATCTGCTAATAAGCTTGAGCTTGCCGTGAGGGGAGGCGGCCATTCTACGGGAGGAACTAGCTCTACCGAAGGCGGACTCACCATTGATCTCTCAAGGATGCGTGCCGTGAAGGTTGACAAAGACACGAAATTGATCGTTGCTCAAGGCGGTGCCCTCTGGGAAGACGTCGACAATGCCGCAATCGAGAAAGGCCTGGCAACAGTAGGCGGGACTGTGAATCATACAGGCATTGGCGGCTTAACGTTGGGTGGCGGCATGGGCTGGCTCACGGGCTTATACGGCACTGTTGTTGACAATCTGGTCGAAGCTAAGATTGTCGTTGCCGACGGACGCATCCTGTCCGTCTCAGAAAATGAGAATGCTGATCTATTCTGGGCAATACGCGGCGCGGGCCACAATTTTGGCGTTGCAGTTGAGTTCACTTTTCGAGGATATGACCAAACAAACGAGATTTATGCCGGTGGCTTGGTGTTTACTCCCGATAAGTTGACCTCTCTGGTGGAGGGATTCAATACCAGGATGAAGACTTCAGAGCCCCAAGCTGCGGGTATGCTTCTCTTTGCAAAGCCCCCTGGGATGCCCGTTGCCGTGGTTGTCGTCAATGTCTTCTACAACGGTGATGAAGCTGCAGCAAAGGAATATTTCAAATTCCTATTCGATTTACAACCTGTCGCCATCACCGCGAAAATGATGCCCTACAACCATCTCAATGCGCTATTGAATCCTCTGGCCACGCATGGGCGCCGCAAAGCTCTGAAAGCAGTCACGGTCACCAACCACATTGATGTAGCGTTTGTACAAGAGCTTTACAACGACTATTCACAGCAGCTAGAGAAAAATCCCGACATGTCTGCGTCGTTTTTGGGCATAGAAATTCATGACGTATCGAAAATCCAGAGCGTGCCTTTGGAGTCGATGGCGTTTGCCAACCGGGGGCCTTACAGACCCGGTATTGTCGGGCTGGAATGGACGGACCCCAAGATGGATGAGGAGAACAGAGCCTGGGGGCGAATGATTCAGGCCAAGTGCCGACAAGCTATTATCGCCAGCAAGGAGTTTTCCGGGGATACTAAAACTTCATTGGAATATGCCAACTATGTTGAGCGTAAGTGTTGCTGACTCATTACAACTTTTATCAAAGCTAATACTTGGCGATAGCTGGCGATCTTATAACCGATAGGCCCTTTGGCGGCAATCAGCAACGACTGGCCATACTGAAACAGAAATACGATCCCGATGTCCTGTTTTACAAAACAAATCCCATTACGCCACTACGTACCGAGGCCAACTAAAACTTAGCATCACATGATCAGCTTCTCTTTTGTCTTTGGCATTCGTTTGATGAAAGGATATTTTCATCTCTGTATTTAGCACATATTGATCTCCAATGGTCGGTAGTATAACTCTTTGGGGGATTTAGGGATCTTTCACCACTCTATTGAACAATCAACCATTACAATTCTTTCAGGGTTATGAACTGCCGATTTAAGACCATAAACCAACTGTTGGCAGCAATGTGTTGGTACCGATTTGTTGACAGCGATTTGTTGGTACCAATTTGTTGGCCATGAAGTCGAATATACGTAAGGTTATGCAACAACAATCCCATATCATTGTATACCTTATTACTCAAGAACCAAATTGGTGACAACATGGCATAATGAATCTAGTTACGAATCCTTCCGATTTGAATGCATTTACATCTTGAATTGTAGCCAACTATACACCTCTCACCACAACCGCGAAGAAGCATCTAATTGGGGGCCGTTGAGATGGAATTGCTGCCATGAGTAACAATAATATAATAATGACCAAGCAGTATTTACGGTAGATACTCAGTTTGTTCAATTCTGCTCACACACAACATTCAGCCCATAAACCCCTACCGGCGCAACGTAGCACTCATCAGTCAACTCAGCCGTAGTGGTCAAAACAGTATCCGCGCAGGTTTGCGAGTTGACGCCGTTAATCTCCTGGACCCAGTAAACAGTGCAGGTCTGCTCGTCGTTGGTCTGCAAAGACGCGGGGATGGCCTGCCCAGACACCAATCTCACAGCATCTCCATACGCGAACCGCCACGATTCGCATCCGTTATTGGTAACCGTCTCGTTAAAGGCCTGAATGCTGTCTCCTCCGCAGTGCACGGCAGCGGGGCTTCCGTCTCCGGTGAAGAAGATCTCAAAGTCGAGTCCGTCGGTGGCAGCGGCAGGGCCAATGGCCAGAGCGAGGAGCTTTGATGTATAAGCAGATTATCCTGGTGAGATTTGGGATCTAATCTACTTACACCCAAGATAGTGAATCGCATAGTGGGCAATGGTCGTTGGTATCAACGGTTGTTAGGACTTGTTGTTGTCTTTAGGAAACGCAAGGCGAGACCTTTGGGGTAGATATTTGTGATATATAAGCCCTCAATGCCGGATACTACTGACTTACAAATCTATTACATATCCATATGCTACAGCGATACCCCTGCCGATGGGATGCGCCTGTCGTGTATCTCGTGTATCTCGACTTACTCACAACAGCAAATTGCCAGCTCCCAGAAATGGCATAAGGTCTTGATCCGTTGCAGAGTAACATAGTACTTACTCCACAGTTGCTTCTATTTAGCTCTAGCTCCGGCAAATGCAGGCATAGCACATTTTGCTGCAGCGACTAATAGACTTACGGTCACTGGTTTATCTTAATTTATTTTTGAATCAATTGTCTCAGAAAAGGCCGATCCAAACTTAGAATCAGGGACCCCAATCTAATTAGCTACAAAAGGTCAGATAACCATATCCATGTGAATTTGCTGCTGCAGGTCCATGGCTTAGTCTCATCATACCTACAGTATAGATACAGCAGTGTACCAGGAACAGGTAATTAGTCTGTCACCGCATGGAGATCTGGCAGCATCGGCTTGTCTCACAAGACGCCTCACAGGATTCGGTTATGGCGTGAGCTTGGTGAAAATCTGGACGACTAAAACTTGTGCTTGCGCGTGTCAGTTTCATCTGATGCATACACCTACTGGGTACAAAATTTCGCATGCAATCTTTTCACCTAACTCTGCACTAATAGCCTTGATACACGGCGATGATGTTAAAATCTATTCTACCCGGACAGGGGAAAATATAAAGCATATTCGGGCTCCCAACTCCTTGTCAGCCGCTTATCAGAACTGCTCAAAATTTTCGGAGGATTCAGCACTGTTGGCTTTAGTACATGAAAAGAGCTTTTTCGATGCAGGTTTTTATCTCTGGTGTACTAAGACATGGACAATGGTACGCTGGATAAAACTGGACACTCGGATAGATGGCATTGATTTATCGCCTAACGGATCACTGTTCGTAGTGGCCTCAGGCGATATTTCGATTGTGGGCAGTACTGAAACAAGACAGCAGCTATTCAATATCGCAAGTGGAATGTCTACAACAAAAATCTCGTTCTCTCCTAATTGGCCAAGCTCTTCACTTTTGACATCTGCTGAATACGGCAGGGTCCGAATATGGAGAGCTGATGTAAGGAATATCTCTTCTGGATCACAAAATACTGCTCATCCTTCCTCGTCCGTGATTATATCGCCTGGATCGAAATACGTCGCTGCACAGAGTCTCGAAGGGTGCATCAACGTATGGAGCGGAGACAGCGGCGAGAGTGTTCAAGTGCTTAAAGGAAGAGATCGCAGCAAAGGCTGGCCTCTCTTTTCGCCCAACTCGGAACTCATTGTCTGTGAAGATAAGGGTCGGAATGACGTCCGAATATGGTGTGTCGACACTGGAAAGCCCATTCACAAACTACAAGGCCCAAACCAACCGAGGAGGGACTTACAGCGCCTCCATAAAGTCTTTTCAGATGATTCGAAATACCTATTTATAGCTTATGAGAATTGGGAGGTGAGGGTTTGGTGCGTGGATTCTGGCAAGTGCTTATGTGAAAGGGGTGGAAGTATATTCGGGCGCCCTTTTGATACACCTCTCGTGGCGCTGGCGATTTCTCGCGACTCGAAATACTTTGCGGTAGCTAGTGGCGGCCAGGAGTGGGCAGTGCGCATTTGGGATTGGCGCGCGGGTCACTGCGTCTCCACGTTTTCACGACCGTCCGATGAATACCGAGTGCGCGGTTATATGTCTAATAAGTTTTCCATTGAAAACGTTGCCTTTTCCTCCGATGCTACAGCTTTGGCAGTCATTCACGGATTTGGTCCTAATGTATACGAGTTCCAAATCTCAGAAGTTGCCACTGGCATTCGCCTAGGTCGTGTCGCAGTTGGGGAAAGCTACAGCTTGCCGCTGTTCAACCCAACAACGAACCAGATACTCACAGATCGTGCTATTTTCTGTAAAACGTCTTCGTGGGGCTGCTGGAACAAAATTCCCCAGCTTCCACGACGGTGCTACTCTATGAGTCGGAGCTTAGCAAGGCTTTGGTTATGTTGTAATGGAGAAAAAGTCTACTGTATACCAGAAACCCCCCAACTTAGGCCTGCTGAAGAGCGGAGTGAGGCAGTGTCAGATTCACTGCTGGCTTATTCAACTGAAGTCGGGGAGATTTTTATTATTCGGCTTCCTAAATTCTGAATTGGAGATACTTCTGATGCAGAAACTAGACGCAGAGGGCGTCGGCGATGCTGACCTGAGCATTGATGCCTAGAGAATTGAGTCAATACTTTAGATCATCATCGCCTGAAAATGATTGTCATAAGTGTACAGTTTGGTGAAACAAGCCTTTTAATTGAAGCTTCATCGGAATTGAATTCTACTAAACTGTAGGTACTGTTACATCTGTATAGTAATCTCATGAGGGTTAAACATTTGCCTCCCTTGAACCTAACTCCAGCGTAGTCAGACACGGCCAATATGGCAAATGCAGCCCTCTAGCAGCAAAACCCGCACCCCATAGTGTTTGCAGTTTAAAGTATCCTGTCACACATCGAGGTTAGCATGATCATGCCCAGGCCCATGGTGATGCTCGTAGTCGGTTCACAGCACTGACAGAGAACTGCGACAGGATTCTACTGTGGCCAAATAGCTTCTACAATCGATTTCGCGTCCACGCATACAGAATGCAAGATGAATCTTTACAACTGCCGCCACTTAACCCCCGTTCCTCAAGCTATTTAAATGTATAGAGCTTATTCATAAGGCTGATCACACAGCAATCGCAACCAGGGAGCAGCGTCCGGCTGGCGGGAGTTGAATTCCACGAAAGTCCACGCCGCAAACCTGCCAATCAGCAAGTTGGTGGCCACAAATGAGTCCAAATGCACTCTCACGTCGAATTCAACCCGCAGCTCAGCCGAACGTCGGCATCGTCAGAAAAGTGTGGATCTTGTCAGGCAAATGTCGGCCAAAGCAACCCGCCGTTTCGGCGCCGATGCCCGAAATCGAGCGAAAACGTCACCAATAAATGAAGGATTTCGCTAGTAAATACAGAACGGTCGCTACGCAGACAAATCCGTGGTCTTATGCCAGGAAATAGAGGAAATTAAAGTCTACATTAACTCCGAAAAGTTTAAACTCTATTTCCCTTCTACTTGCAAAAATGAGTAGGTCTTTTTAGTCAATCATCTGAGCCCCCACCATTTATAACCAAATCCTCCTCCCTTCCTAGAGCAACTCGCATCTTTTAACCTTCTTTATAACCATATTTACAAAACTGCTATTTAGACGCGATCATTGACAAGCTGAAAATGCTCAAATACGTCGAAGTCACCGCAAGCTGGCTTTTCGCCAACGCCAAAGGCCGCGACGCCAAGACGTTCGTCAAGAGCCCCCAATTCGCCTCATACCCGGAACCCACCATCCAAATCACATCTCCAGACTGCGGCGCAAGTCCCGCAACGCTATCGCCAGAGTACATGGCTGGGGGGGATGGCCGTCTACCTGGGCTGGAATGGGAATCAGTGCCAGGCGTGAAGCAGTGGTTGTTGATATGTGAAGATGTTGATGCGCCACTGCCGAATCCCATTTGTCACGGGTAAGTTAAAAAGAAGGGTGGAATTTATGCGTACGTTATAGGAAGCGAACATGCAACGACTAACTAGTATTGTCACTTCTACAACAGCTTGTATCTCGGAATTTCCAAAGACAAGCTGTCGGTGACAAACAGCGATTTTAAGCCTGAAAACGAAAAGTCCACACGACTAAACGGTGGCTTTTACTACGGTACCAACAGACTCTGGATTCCCCCTCGACCTCTTCTCAACCATGGCATCCATAGATGTAAGTGCCTCGCTGTCTTCTCACACTAATTGCATCCGTTACAAGAAAGAAAGAAACTAAGCATTCTCAGATTTCTTCGACATAATCGCTCTAAGTGAACCGCTAGATGAGAAACTCGCAGCTTCAAAGCCCACCCGAGAGCAGCTCGCGAAAGAAATCGACGGCAAGATTTTGGGGTGGGGCCGATGGATTGGCCAGTGTGAAAGAGTATGGAAATAAACAGCGAGATCAACTGTGTTTTGTCCGGATTGCTTTGTTTTTTGTTTCTTTCTTGATACTCCCAGCTGTTGTTCGCGCCAATATTGCCGTTCAAGAGCTACTCACTTAACAGTGCAAATTATTTATCGATGATCTATAGGCTATTTAATTTTGAACTATCTTTATTCGATCCGACCAAAACTCCAGATATTCAATCCGACTTTGACACCTTTCTTTACAGGCAAACCAGCATGCCACGTCTCGTCATATCCCCTGCCATCGGGTGCAAAATTCTCCCAATACACCGCATTTCCAGGAATCACTCGAAAAGTCGTCCCCGTTCTACCAGCCTTTTCTTCATCGCCAACCATCTTCTGATCTCTTTGGCCATCATCATCTGCAGCATCCTCATCCTCGCACTCGACCAACGCACACCATTTCGCCCTATTGCCCTCCGTAATAGTCTCCAACAGCGGGAATTCCGTTCCTCCGCCTTCCAATCCATCCGCGGCATCAATCCACGCCATGAAGCTGCTCACTCGACCCCACCCGTTTGCATTGCGGCTCCAGTCAAAGTGATGGTTGTAATGCCCACCAGCAACATATCGCTGACTTCGGAGGCGCTCAATCCATAAATCTCGTCGCCAGCCCTGGAAAGCCTTTGCGCGAGCCTCAATGCAGCGAACAATGTCTGTCCGTGGCAAAAGAGCAACCGCAGAGTCTCGGATAGTACTGTCACGATGCGTAGAGCTAGAATCATCAGTGATAGTTGACGGCTCAAATATGGGTTCGCTATATACAAATAGAATCCATTAGCGCTCAACAGAGTCTCAATAAAGTATATGTATGCAAGCAAAATAGTTGAAAAGATACAAGCATCTTGCATCTCATATTGAAGACTTACCTAATCTCAAGCAAATGCTTCCTCTCACTCTCACTCAAAAACCCTTCCAAGTAAACAACCAGAGGCTCCCGACTCAAAATCCGCGCCCCGTACGCGTCAGCAGGACAATCCAGCACTCTCGCATCCGCTACGTCTATGGCCAGCAGCGATTCATTCAGCTGCGGCCTTGGTGCCAGTGAAATCTTCGTCCGAGAGGTCTGCGGAAAGAAATATTGGCTTATCGGGTTTGCGACGAGGACAAGGATGGCGAGTAGGCCGACGATGTATGAAAACATCTTTTCGCCTTGTGAAGTCCACCTACGGTGGTAGGAGAATCAACAAGAACGAATGAAAGGAGCCTCAAAAAAAAAAGCGTGTTTGTGGAGTGACAGGTTTTATGTCGAGTCCTTGTATGCAGGCCAAAGTAAAGATCCAGCATTAATGTCGTACCATAAACTCGGAAATACCGAATCCATCCTGAGCTCAATGTGGGGACACCTTCAGTGATAGATCGCTTTGTCACCTGACCTCCCTTTTAAGCACCATCTCTCGGCATGTAGCGAAATCTCAGGCACGGAAGTCCGTCGGCATGTTGATGGAGACATGAAACCATTCCGTCAAGCTGTAGCCCAGTCACTCCGCGAATTCCCTATTCAGGATCTTGGCTGGCTACCCATTGGCTGCAGCCAGCCTGATCTTTTAGTTCCTACGTGCTTTCTGGTTACCGCAGCAATTTGGCGTTTTCGAAGCCGCTTATACAACAATGCTTCATCATATTTTCTATCGGTAGATATCTGTATATAATGTTCCGTTTCCAAAAAAGAGAGGTGATGAGACCAGCCGTCTTGATCCTGTTCCATCCTGAACGCCAAAGTAACCCATTTCAAAGAGTAGCGTCTGTCTCACGCCCGGGGTATCGTATCGTACACTGCCCTTATCCAAAACCGCTATGCACCGAAAAGAGAAATGTTCCCTTGTCCACAGCCGCGTAATCAAGCGGCCTCTAAAGCATGCTCCAGTAATGATTGTTGATTCTCGCCCCCAAACGCCATTCACAATGTTGAGGTGCCACCATTCCAACTACTTTCTCCGTTTAATATCGCCCAGGGATCGTCGCCATCTCCTGAGAATTGAGCAATTGTTTCTGTAATGTGGTTGAAAAGTCCCTCTTCCGTACTCTGCCAAATTGGCGTTGCAATGCGGCCTTGGAATTGCCGAAGATCTACACGATTTTCTTCGGGTGTGTTTCCAAGGCCAAGGCCGGGTGACGTATTGCTGCTACCTGAAATGGGCTCTGTTCCGCGTTGTGCTGGTGATGACTCTGATGACGTGGTACGGTCCGGAAGTGCAAAGATCGGGTCAACAGCGCCTTGGATATTCAACCCCATAGCCTCCTGAGGCCACAAGGTATCTGCACGTCCCCCAATAATGTTGTAGCGGAAGTTGCTAGCTGCCGATGTCCCAGATTCCTTCGAGTTACCAGCCATGACCGACTCGGGCCCAGGGCTTACAGCTACACGCCTCCGCTTGTTGCTTACAGGAGCGGATTGCTTTGGCGCCACGTTTCTGGTAACGGCGCCGAGGATAGCATTGAAGCAGTCTGTTGTGTGATGCATCTCTGGCTGGACACCTGTTAGAGAGCCAAGTGGCTTGCTCATTTTCAAACCAGGCGGCCGCCTATTTCCTTTGGGCATACCAAGAGGCAGCCTTCCGGGCAACGGGGGTGACATTTCAGTATGCTTCGAAATCGAGCTTCGAGCTAGTAGGGGGATACTGGACGCCGGGCCGCCGAAAAGATCCCGGTATTTTGATAGAGATGGCAATTTGAGACTTGACGTCAAGCCATTTCGCTCGATATCAAGACACGCTTGCTGTAGGAAGGCAGTTGTTACCATGTGAACGCGACCTATGGCCTCCATTGCGTTGATAATGATTTCCAGGTTGGAAATGTCGATGGGAGTCACGCCAGCCACAGGGTCATCCTTGGCCAAATAAACGTATACAGTCGTAGCGCAATACAAGGAGAGCGCACAAAGCTGAGTTTTCTGATTGTCGTGGTCAGTTAAGTATCACATAGCCAGTCAGAGATACATTACGTACGAAAAATGAGGTGTGGTGAGAAGTCATTTTGATAATGTTGACAATCTCTTCGGCGGCAGCCCTTAGCCTGCATAGACTGCTCTGTTTGATGTTTTCGTTGAAGCCATACTTCTCCGCGGTCTCGATGGCAGCATGATGTAGGCAGATGACGGAAGCGTGCAAATTCAGATTTGCATGCACCGCAGCCGGGTCTCCAATTCTTTGAGGCAGGCGAAATTTCTCGGGTAGAAACATGAAAAGACTTGATAGCTTGTTGTCGAGATCGCGGTGGCGCTTCCAATACTGGCCGTTTAACAGATCATCGGCGTGATCAGAAGGTTTGGCTCCGTGCACATGTCGCAATATAATCTTGAAGACCTCAGAGATGACAATGGCGCCAGAAAAGCTCTCAAAGGGCGCTCCTGTAAATACTTCTTCCAAAAAAACTGTTTTCTCTTCATTCCCTGACACAAATGCTTCTTCGGAGGCTGGAAGGCGCGTCATGACCTATATTATGTCAGTATCATCTCGCAGCGATAGAGTCAATAAACTCTCACATCTTCAGACTTGATCATATTTGCCCAGCCCGTTGCCATGCTTGCATGTGCATCAATCGCAAATGCACCCCAAAAAACTCTCCTTCGCTCTTCGAGCTCCGTCCAGTTGGTAATCGGGCCGAGCGTAGGGGGAATGTCGTCTCCTTCTCTATCAAGCCTATCCAACCCGAGCATCTGGACAAGTCGAACATAGCGAGAGGCACTCATGGATGCCCTTGTGAACAACATCGTTTTAGCCTCATAGCTGGCAATGATAGCCCATGCTTGAGCGTGATTTACTGTAACAAAGTGTTCACCGTCGCTCTGGACATACTGAGTTAGAGAACATGCATGGGCACACAGATAGGGAAGAAATTGACTTACTCTCATCTCATCCGCTTCTATGTACTGCCGTGCTCTTTTATAGAAAGCTTCGGCATATTGATCGTACTTGGCATGTCCGCTGGCAGAGTATGCCCATATTCCGTACTGCAAGCACATTGGTGGTTTTCTCGTTGGCGGTCCATAAAATGACTGATAGTAGCGGCCAGAGTGAATAATGGGAAGATAGTGATAATGTGTCGAGAAGTAGACGTTGTGCCTACAATTGTTAGCATTTACCCTTTCAAAGAGATGGCGAGGAGAAGAGATATCAAACTTACAATTCCTCAATCACTTCGAAGGGAGGCAGTGTCTCAGACATGCCTAGCCCCATTAACTGGCCATTCATAAAGGAGCCAGTACCATCCTCTTGGCCAGCAAAGGTTGGTATGTCAAAGGACAAATTTGGATCTGATGCGGTGCTAGAAGTGTTGGCCTGGCTGATATTATCAGCGGAAAATGGAAGGTCGCCCAGGTTAATGTCAGGCTCGTCCAGAAGGATGGCTCCATCCTCATGGCCTCCTCTATTGACCTCTTTGAGGTATTCTTCAACTTGAGCTATAGAAGAATGAGTAAGCTTGCATAACTAAGATGGGCCTCTTTTACGGATATAAAATACCTAATCGAGCTTCCAGCTCCTTGACATTGCGCCGCTTGAAAGTTGGTTTCCTCCGTGACTCGGGATACAAACATTCGTTGTTTACTTTGACGCAGCGAGTACAGGCAGGCTTCGTTCGATCACACTTGAGCTTCCTCGCCCGGCACGAGACGCAGGCAAGGGGTTCCGTGCCCTGCATAGACGCCGCGGAGGCGTCGGCCTGGGTCACGGCATCCGTCGACGACATGGCGGGAAAAAGGAGAGTCACATTCGTGGCCGGTTGGCGGTCACAGGGCAGTCCGGCGTGGTGAGGCACGACAGAAGCCGCCAGGGCTTCTATATAGCGCTGGAGGCGAAACGCAACGACTTTTCTCTGCTGCACTCAACTCAACGAGGGCAGATACAGCATCTGATAACCGTGACGTGAACATCAACCCAGGTCAATCTGGTCCTAGCAATCCAGGCTTACCAATGTCCGCGCCTTATTCACGCGAAGTCACGTTTTCTTCAAGCCGGCTGGGAGCGGAGCGTTTTTGCGCCGAAGTCCGACATCCGACTCCGCGAGTCAACGGACAATTATCCTTCTCCCGCCAATTGGAAGACTACCTATTGGCCAAGGCCAGCCAGGGCTCGGCGAGCTTATAAAAGCTTCTGATGCTCTAGACCTCGGGCTTTTGACTTAAGCCCGACACCTGCGCTCAGGCTTTCTAATCGCAGCCACCGGCCAGCCACACGTAGGTTTGACAGCAACGATTGTTCTGGCCCGCGATTCCGAGGAACTGCTGATATGGAATAGCTTCTGACTCTTTCTTCTAGCAACGTGTCTGAATCCTCGGTGACGTGTGTCACACGTCCGGCGCTTGCGTTGGGCCGTGTCGGTTCACAGTTACAGGCGAACTCCGGCTTACGTCGGAGTTTTGATAAAGATCAGTGATAATCGTACAGCGCTAGAGAGTACTGCTAACGAAGATAGCAACTGCATATTTTCTTATTCAGTCATCAACCTTCAAGGCTGCATAGATAACATGCCATATAAGGTTTAAAAAGCTTACACTGTTGATTATTTGATGTGGTATCAATAAGCAGCTATTTTAGGCCGAACATTGTAGTCACCCGTAGCAGACGTCATAAGCGAAATGTGCATGAGCATGAGCCAGCTGCTGGATGAGTACATTGTATTAGCGAATGGAGCATAGTATCATAAAACCTCCTACAGCATGGGGCGCAGCCGGTCATCTCGTCGGATGAAATGCAAAAAAAAAAAAAAAGAAGAAGAAGAAGAAGAAGAAGAAGAAGCGTTCAAAATTGCTAGTCTCTTACTATAAAAGCAGCTCTACGGCAAGCGGCGAGAGATATGCTTATATATAAACTATGTCTCATCAGAAATAAGGCTAAAGTAGAATAGCTCAGGCTTTGCTTATGCAATGAGAGGATCCCCGTCCGTTTACGCTAAATGCAAAGACTATAGACCTCATTGCAGTATCTCGCCTTGCATTTTAGGACAAATACCTAAACCCGGCTTTCGAGATCAGTGTGTTCATAGACTTTTTGAGCCCCGAATAGCAAGTACTGGGGGGCGCCTACCCTAGTATCTCTAGGAGGCAGAAGATAAGAAGTCCCGACCAGACTATATAGCTCATCAATCGCCCATATCCTAGATAGAATGCCAAGGTTTATGAACCTACTTCTGTGTGTCTTACGTCTGATGTTGTAGACCACGCCTCGGGATCTGCCTCATCTCCACGCCCACTGTTTGATCCGAGAGCCAGCGTAAAAGGTTCTGCCCGTTCATCATATCTGTAGCAAGCTTATAACGCGGGGTATATTGTAGTGAATGAAGATGTACTGATACTCCTTGTGAGGAAAATGAAGAAGAAGTGAATGAATAAAGGAGCCACACAGAAGAAAAAAAGAAGAAGAAGCAACAAAACTGAAATGACAGTGCACAGCAAACTGCAAATACAGGCTTTATCAGCCCCGCAAGTTGATCATAGATAGTAATTGTTGCATACTTGACCATTTTTAATTGAGACTTCTTATTTCCTCAGCAGCTTTATAAATCTTATTTCATTGTACCTACTTTCCTTCTGGTTTGCGTTCAAGAAGGGCCAACGATGATAGACGATCAGACCTAAATAACTAAGATATCATCATCAACCCTTGTGTGAACACCTAAGTAAATCACATGGCTAGTACACGATCCAAGGTAAGTATGAAGTTCACGATAGGAATAACATAACTTGGCAAGATATAATCTGCGCATCCCTCCAGCGGACAATTCGATCCTTGGCGCTAAATGATAGCCGAGGACATCGTATCGGTCGGCTGATCCCATTCGCGTCGGGTGAGGCTTTGTCAGATCTCTCCTGGCCATTGTCACTGCTATTGCCGCTGCAGACATTGCTAAAGCACGAGCGATCTTTCCCGTACCAGACACTCAGGGCTTTGCTGCCATGCATGAAATCCTTGCCATTGGAATGATGATGAAGCTGCATTCATATATGGAAGCTGAGGTGAATCTTACGAGCGGAGAGATCCCATAGCCTGGAAGTTGAAGGTGGTATAGAATAAATCTGATGGTATTGGGATTATGTTATATTCTGACACATGTCACTCATGCGCGTCATTCATGGTACCTGAGGATATGCTTAATATTCCAGCACAGCTGGTTGAGATGAGCCATTTGTGCCTTCATTTCCATCATACCTATTCGCGCCGATGATATGATACGCGTCTCGTATTTCACCATTGATATATATTTTCTGCTCAGTAAAGCGAAAAGGATACGATGAGAACGGCGCTTCCTTGGCAAATCTTCTGCGTCCACGGTTCTGCGCATTATTGTCCCAATAACATACCCATTTCAGCCACCTTTCTCTTCTTCTTTGAAGAAGTAAACATATTTCACGCTAATTTATCGCAGAGAGAGCAAGTGGTAGATAATTCGGTGGTCATTTTTGTTCATTCAGCATCTACTACAACCGGGTGAGAGTCGTTTGACAAGAACCGTATTCACAAGCATAGCCAATGATGCAATTTTGGTCAACATTCGCTGTCTCTGGCCAAAATAAAATCTGGTATCTTACCAAACTCTTTCAGGAGCATTTTAATGCCTTTTAACTTTGATGTAATCGCAAGGTAGCAGCTCGTGTGACAAGAGCACGCCAAGTCTCAACTCTAGGTATGGTTCAAATGAGTGAAGGTAACAGTGAAAGACAATCTTAATGTTAGTCATCAGTAAATTTCTTGAGATAGTTTGTTTGTAGACTCTGAAGACGATAGGTTAACTCGTATCGCGCGCCCATTCATGGTTGAGTATCGATATCATATCTCGACTCTTGAGGGGTACTTGTATGTCGTTAAACATCACAAGAAAACATCTTTAAAGTCTCTACACCATCGCAAGGAAACACTTATCGTGAGACGATTTGCGTAAAATATCTCATTTATATCTAAAATCACCGCTCTAGTCATCCTGAGGGTCTGGCTTATAGACCCCATGAGCGATGAACATCATGCACAAAGTTGACTCGGAGTGTTCAAAGGCTATCGTACACTCAATCGTTAGCAATTCTCATTTCCTCCTTAGAGATAAGAAACTCATTTATATCTCGTTGTAAAACAGATCTAAACTCACACTCTATCAATTGCATTTTGCCAAGGGGCGCTATAAGAACACAAACCCTTGAGATAGTATACAATAAGTTGAATGATGATCATGCCACGGTGGACGGTCACATATAATTTCAATCACAAAATTCTCAGACAACTTAATCGCAATACTCAATTAACAACAAGCTCTCAGATGATACAAACTTCAGTGATTGGTCAATTGAGCAAACTAAGATCTAAAAGGGAGAAAGTAAGTGAAAATGAGCATATAATAAAGCTATCTACCGCAGATGCACAAAGAGCTCTAGAACTCGTATCTAGCTGAACGTACTCGTCAATATAAAGCAGGCAATTCTACTCTTTCTTACTTCACATCACAGAAAACAAGTATTTCCCACGACTTAATTCATTAACAAGTCAGTTCTTTTACAAGCTAGGAAACTGCGCTGGTCATGAGCTCCGGATAGACGACTTTTCCACTCTGACCTTTCTCACAATCATAAAGACGCACAATGTGACTTTGAGAGTCATAGGTGATTTGTATAATCGACTCAACATATCACGCCATGAGTTACAATTAGTCAGAAGCCTGAAACATGAACAATTTTTTTCTAAATGGGCTGAGATAATGAATCCGGATGCACACACTATCAACATGATAGCAACTGGTGAAAGAACACTTTGTGCTCTACGGAACTTGTCTACGAACTATTCATACCTGAGACCCAATAGGCTGTCAATCCTCCCGCCTCTCATTTCAATAAGTGTCTTCTATTGTCTTTGGCTTAACCCAAACCCCATAAAGAACTCTTTTCACCATTTCCCAAATACCACCTCCAATAACACCAAATTTTTAAATTTCAGGACTGTTACATGCACTAAAACTGACCAGCCCATCTATCAAATTTGACTGGCCGCTAGAACAACTGACAGGAAACCACGTTCTACGCAGGCGGAAAGTAAAAAAAAACTTCCCTAGCGTCCTTTCTAGTCGAAGGGAACGCCAAACCTTTTGCCACTGTCAGGAATTGACTTTGCCACCGGGTTTATCCTCTCCCCCATTGTGCGGGTTAGCCTGATCCCCTCGTAGCCTTTCGGGAAGTGTTTCGAGGAAAAAAATTGAGAAACGCCAATGCTTTGCCTCACCCGTCCGTCGCATTGCTCGTATCTTTATGTTCACGCCCCCCTTGAAGGTTGAGCTGTGCTAGTAGGCCAGCGATTGTTTTTAGATCCAACTTTAAAAGAACAAAGAGATTAGAAAATCCCAGTATTAGGTAATGATCGGATAATCCGTCAGACAGAATCTCAGGGTAGATCAGAGACTAGCACTCCGCATATATGGCATCCCTTGAAGGAAACTAAACGTCAAGCTAAGATGCCAAAACTCCATAGACTAATCTGCTCATTACTAGCCGTGGTGCTGGAACAGACGCAGACGTGCTAGCAGGTGTCAACGCTAATGGTTGACACGACTAGCAATATTGAGGGGGGCCGTCCGAGGGGCACCTTTGCTGAGGGGCGAAAAGGGGCTTGCTGCCTGGCAAGGCTGATGAATCAAAGGAGTTCATGTCAACACCTGGAGTTCGTCATGCAAACTAAAGAAGCGTGGCGGGCGGTGGCCCACGCCTGATATGAGATATCGGCCGAGGCAGCGGTGCCAAATTGCCAAAGGACAGGTAAAAGCACCCACATTCCGACAAATCTCGGGGGAAATGCCTAGTCTAATTGAAGGGGTGGGCTCGTGTCATGTCATGTCATGTCATGTCAGTCGTACGCGTACTTTTCGGGAGCGGAGGCGAAAAAAGAGATGCTCGAAATCCACTGCGTCAAAGTTGTAGTAGACCAGCCATATAGACAGCGTCTTCTTGGCAGTAAATGCTCTCTGCTGCTACCATCGGAATCGGTTATGCCGCCGCCAATAGTAGGTATCGTTACGATGTTGCCGAAGAAGATACCGAAGAGTCAAGACATACTATCTCATCCTTTGAGAACCCACCCTTTGCAATAGTTTGATGGGCCTCTCTCAGCTCCTGGAGAACAACTTGAGGCCTAGACTAGATTATCGACTGCTGTTCTCCGCAATAGCCCACTGTCTCCTATGCAAAGAGATTCCGTCGAGAATCCGTCGTATTGCTATACTGTAACAGCAATATGGAGTACGGCTGCCATAGATACTGCTCGTGTCAGTAGTACACGCTGCTAGTATCAGCAAGGACCCATAGCCCCCACGTTGCACCGTTTGGACGAGCATGGGCGCCCCCGGCTTCGGAATCTTCTTTTGGCGTCTCTGCTGGTTAAATTTCCGCATGTAGTAAACGAATCATACTTAGTAGGCGATGCGCTGTGGTGTCTTGACAGGCGACAAGGCAAGGCCGATGAGCAGAAACGTGACCAGGCCAGGCCAGAGGACCTGCGATATACAGGCACTGCTCCGTTCCCTGCAGGGCATGCGCTGCTAGCCACCGCCTATGCATGCACATTCTCAAAGAATTCGGCAGTCCTGGCGCTGGGTGTACGTTTTGCCGATATCGAGATCACTGCGACTTTACCTTACATGCGACAGCGTTAGCGAGATCCGACCCAGGCCAGCCGCAGACTCTAAAGCCCACCACCCCCAGAACCCCCCCAGAACCCACACGAGCTTCGAGCACGAGGAAAGAGTTTGCGAGGTCGGTGGCTCAACTGGCGTGGCTCAACTGGGCTTCAGCTGGCCACGCTTGTGGCTGTCTCTGAGCCAATCACAGCTGGCTTGGAGCATCTGGGCGGGCAGAGCCACTGACCAGCGGGCTGGGCTGGATGAGTGGATGGAGCAAGCCTCATTTCCCGAACCGGTTTCTGCAGAGGGGCAGGCCAAGCATCCCGATTCATGCGGCGTAGGCGTAGCCAGCAACCAGCTCGGACCGCATTTACCAGATTGCCGCGCCAGCTCGGCGAAGCGACCCCCGAAGAGCTGCCAAGACCCCTGGCGGCTCGCTTAGTCAGTTCTGAAGCATCACTGAGTCCACGACTCGGCCGTAAATCTGCCACCAGACTGACTAGAGCAGCGCTGGAAGAGGGGATTTGCTGGGGAATCCACTGCCTGGATTCAGCTGTCAACAGCTGGCCGTTGCATGTTCGCCGACGCAGTCCTATCCTGGCGATGCCCAAAGCGATGCCTATCAGTGCCCCTGTCCGCCGCAGCCCAGCACGTGGAATCAGTCGCATCCTGCGCTCACCGACGTGGTATTCGGTGACTTTGTGCATGTCTGGCGGCCAATCAGCCCGTCCGGCGCACTTACACGCATTGCGCCGCGCATGCACAACGTGCATACATGCATAAGCGCAATCCCTCTGCGCTGCGCTGCGCTGCTCTGCAAGTGCAAGTGCAACGCTCTCTTTGTCTCTACTGTACAGGCACACTGTGCGGCAAAGCGCCATCGACGCCTCCACCATCAGCCGCACAGCAAGCAACCGCTGGATCGACATCTCCAACAATGCCCACCTGCGTTTCCCACTTCCCGGCCCTGCTCGTCCCACTCCCGCAGATGTCAAAACCATCCCAGCGCCCTAGCGATTGCCGCCAGTTGGCCGCTCGGGGAACCGGGAGAAGCGCCCGCGCGCAACGCATCTGGCCTGGACAGGACAGGGCCGCGCGCAACGTCCAAGAGCTGGCCAGGAGCCCGTTTAGCCTTTCCGGCTTCTCCCAGTGGCTTTTTTGTCTTTGCGTTGCTGTGCTGCCCTGTTCCTGTATTCGTTCCTGCACAGACTGGCACTGACTCAGCTTGCAGTCCACGTAGGAGCTGGCGCCCTGACGCCCTCCCCAGCCACACGAATAGGACCTGACACTGCATCGAACAGACCCCAGCACGACCAAACGAGGCGAGATAAGGCAAGGCAAGGCAGGGCAAGGCAAGGCAAGGCAAGGCAACAAAAAGCAAAGCAAAGCGGCTCTTCGGGAGGATGCTGCCATACATGCTGCTAGTGCCACCGCAGAGCATCAATATGGATGTGCCGTGTGCTATTTCCAGCAGCGTCTTTTTCTGACACTTTTACCAACTCCCTGGAGCTGCATGGCAAGGGGAGCACAACCCTGTACATGTAGCTTTCTGCTGCAGCAGGGGTTTTGCTAGTCGACAACCACCCATGAGCTCCAAGCACCCCCTGCACCATCACATCAATCACACGCTTTGCTGGATCCCATCTGCTCAAGCTTTCTTCAGCTCCTCGCGTCATGGCCATATGGCCTGCTAGCCCTGCAATGTACACGTCCCGTACTCGCTCGTACGAGCATCATACTGTAGTGACAGGACTCATACAACACCACGCCTACTATAGGTTCTCCATCCGAGGGGGCAAACAACTGGGGCCGGCAAGAATACGACTAGCATCAGCATGCCGTTAATATCCTTCGCCTCCTATTCGCGCCGCGATGCTCCATTTCCAGCTTCATCTCTGCGAGTCGAGTGCTCGTTTCCGCTATTTGAGATTTGACCTCTACTGTACAGCAAGTGGATGCGCCACGACGTTCTGCAATTCAGTCCCATTCAGGTAGCAGATATGCATGCCGCCATGAGCGATCGTGATGCTACGAGAATGGAGTCGTCCGAGCCTACCATCTCGCTTGTTGCTGGCTCGCTTCGCCGTATGATCTGCCCAATGGGCATATGCCGTCATAACGCGACGAGACTCGTTCCCATCAGTGACATTCCATCTTCATGCTTCAGCAGCTAAGGCACCGTGGCTATTGTCTTCGTACCAGCTTGGTTCAAACGCATAAACCGAATCGAGCCATGCACCCATACACCCCAGCAAGCTTGGATCGCCAGCTTTAGGCCTTTTGCATGTGCAAGTATGGATACTGTACTGTAGCAGCAGCTCACCCTGGCCATGGTAAGTTCCGGGCATCAACAAGGAGAGGAAAAGGCAGCCCTGTCGCCAGTCAACCATGGCATAATCCCTGAGTCTGCATGGACAACCTTCCATATCCGTCGCCATCTGCCGCGGGACCAGCCCTTGCGATGCCCGATTCTGGCCTCTCGCTGATGCTTTGGAGCAACGCATATACTGCTGTCAGTCGTCCACGGCACGGAGCACAAGTCTTACAAGTATCTGTCAAAATGCAAATGCATCTCGTACGACTGACGCGCTCGCTTACCGGAATAGCACGTTACATGCCATGGATCGCCGAAACATCCCCCCTAACCTCACATCCAGCTCTTCCCCTTCTTTTTCCTTTCCTTCTCGAGCTTGCAGCCGTCAGACTGCGCGTCCATCAAGTCTCGGCCCCTCCATCAAACTATGTAGCGGCCGCGTGCAAAGTATCTCTTGCGCTACGATTCGCCCACCGCTGCTGTCAAACTCTGCCTCCCGCATTAGTCCCCCCTTTGACGCTTGTTAATCTTTTGACTACTGCACAAGAAACTCCAAGCAGTAAACCGTGATCGTTTTCGTTGATACTAATACTATTTCCTCGGCTAATAGTATATTCGCATTGCCCGGCTTTCGCACCGCTGCCCCTCCAAGCCTCGGGGGATCGCAATACGAACTCCAAGTAAATGCAACAGAGAATGTCACTTATACAGCATGCTACACCGAATCATTGCTAGGATCTGCTTCAGCTAGGCTTGGGCTTGTTCTCACCCAGTGCAGCCGAAAGGCAAAAAAGTTCAAAGGCTGTTTGTGCCAAGCCAAATGGCCTAGGGTGAATCTTTTCCCTCCTTTGGAAATCCTAGCCATGGTAGCATTTCCAATCCCTTCCTCCTAGGCGAATTTGCTTGTCTCTCTCTAGGAATTGCCTTCTTAGAGTGAGGCCAATACTAACATGATAGTATACGCCAAGTACGCCTATTACCTATAGCCCTACATCATCCCCCCCCTCGGCGGCGCCCACGTAGATAGGCCGCCGCCACATATCCACGATTTCACGCAACAAATAGACAGTACGGGATCTAAACCTTTGTGTAGTAAAATAAATAAAAAAAGGTGCGCCGCATGCAGTCCAACTTCTTAAAATGGCAGTGCGTGATTATATCTCCCAATTGGCGCGCCTGCCTATCATACACGAAGTAGTACCCGCCACCGCCGACTTTATAGACCCAAAGCCACAAACGAACGCACTCAGCTGTTCCTTGGCAAAATTCGACTTCTGACAGAGGATAAAAAAACACGTATAGCAGAGAAAAGAATAAACATAATAACATAAAACAAACAATCAGTAATCTTTCCAACTAGCAAAAAAAAAAACTTTACGCTACCCCAAGGAACACACTTTTTTCTCTTCATGTTCTCTTTCCCAATGCCAAGCTCCGGGGGCTTCAAGTCCGCGCCGAACCGGCTTACACTATAATAACTGTAAAAACCCCTATACACACACACCAGCGTCCACGTTCAGCGTAGCTGAACCCAAGGAAACAAAAAGAGGCGTAAAACAGAGTTTTTGGATTTGGTTCAATAGTATTCGCCGTTTTTCCTCGGCGCATCCTCCGTACATTTAACCTTCTTAAGTAATGAATTGAATAAAGAGGCTTGGTTGAGAGAACGGGGGGTGATCATTGTTTGTTTGGAATTGTTTTTTTCGCCTCCCCCAAATACCCTCCTATACAAAACCCCATCGTCACAGGTTGAAGAAAAAAGCGCTATATCACACGTCAAATAAATCTCACCAGGGTGGCATAACACGTCCAATAGTTTCACCAAAGTAAGAACTCAAAAGAAAATGAGATGACAGCAGAATGTAATTAAAAGTGAACCATCATGGTGGTGTTTATTCTGCAAGCAGCTTTTTGTATACTAGAAGAGCCAGGCGGATCTATCCTTCTTGTCCAACAAGAACCGCCGCGAGCCCAAATGCCTTGTGGATCGATACCCAGTAACCTTTCTTTCCCGCCTCTAGACAAAAAAAAAAAAAGTATGTAGTCTTTGGAGCCAATAATATCCAATTGCATTACCCCTGACCATTACCAATTACCTTCCTAAACGCCCACTCCACGCTGTGAAGTATGAAGTAGTGACCGGATTCAGCAAACCGGAGGTAGAAAAAAAGCCTCTGTCGAGACATGAAAACACGCTCCCACCGATCCATTGTATAATGTCGTGATATCATTTCGCAAGGCCACTTTCTGTATCCCGTGGCTTCTTTTTTTTTTTTTTTGGGATGCTTTTTTCTTTCCTTTTCTTCTTTGTTTCATGTCTCTTCTTCTTTTCTTTAATTTATGGTGGTTCGTTTCCCCTCCAAAGTTCCGCTTCATGCCTCACGTTTGACGATGTCACTATAGATTGTGACATCGCTAGCGGCGCTATAGACTGTACCGTCGCTAGTAGCGCTAAAGGCTGTGCCATCGCTGATAGCTGGCGAAGCGGCAAAGTTGCTTTCACTGCTGGGGATAGCTTGTCCATGTTGGAGGGCTTCAGAAGCCGCCTTGGCCTCGGCAGCCGCCTTTTCAGCCATCTTCTTCTTGATAAGCGGCAAGTAGCGTCTTCTGGCGTTGATAAACCAGTTGGAGATTTGGTCTGGGAAGGGGAGATTGTTAGCCTGGAGTCTCAATGTCGGCGATAAATAACAGGGTGTCCATTACTTACTCATTTGGAGTCCCGTTCTGCGTATAAACTCTTGCTTTTCATCCTCTGTAGGATAGGGATGCGATAAATGGTCATCGAACCACGCCCGTAGTTTGTCTGTTGTGTCTCTGGGGAGATTCCCACGTCTTTTTCGAGTCCTCGCTTCCCTTGTGGGGGCAGCAAGTTCCTGGTTCTCAAACTGGGCTGCATCGTGATAATGAGGCGTGGAGAATACACTGGATGAGATTGAAGAGCGCTCAAGTGACCGAATGGGGCTTGGAGGCCCATGGTGCATGGCAAAATCGTAACTGTAAGCCCGTGAGAGTTGGCGAGGTCTGCTTGGCTGCTCATCTTCGAATTTTATCTCTGATGTCAAGCTCGGGAGAGCGATCTGTGGACGAGTGAGGATTGGGAGAGCAACGCGAGGACCAGGAGATGGTATCTGCATCTCCATCGGGGGAGGAATGCTCCCAGTTGTAACGGAATAGGCTCTAGCTGGAATGCTCCATCTTTCTGATGGGCTTAATGGACGACTGCGAGGAACTCGGTGTCTAGGGCCACGATATATTCGCGGAACATGGCTTCTTGGCGATTCTTCTTCGGCGTCGTCTTGGGTCATTCCCCTTCCAGTCGTAGGTGAAGTAACGTAATAGGAGAAACTGCCACGCTCGTGGCGCTCTTGAGGCTCATGGGCCTGAGATATTGGATCGGCAACTTCGCGTACGGCCAAGTGCATGTTGATTTCGGGGATCATCTAACAACACATGAGCAAACAGGGTTAGAGGTCTTGGGGAAGCGAAGAAATGTACATCTCTAATTGGAGGGAGCTCGATTTGCTGCGAAGCAGTAGCTTGCCCCTCGCTATAAGGGAGGTGACGATCGAAGTGATGCATCGTGAATGACGACGTGGATGACGACGTGAATGAGCGAGGTTTGATGGTCAATGATGCCAGTCGGACAGTGCTAGGGCCCATAAAGGGAACCCCCGCCACGAAGAGTCAAGTTGTTGTCAGGGTAAGTCGTCGGGTCGAATTCCAGATCAGGTTTTCGGATCGGATTAACGGATTCAGTTGTCCAGACGTCAAAGTTGGGGGTGCAAGCCGGAATATATATATGCGTGAGAGCAAAAGGCTGGCGTTTTCGTTGCAGTCAACACTTCGAAACACAAGTCCTATTTTGACAAGAGGACTAAGCAGAAAGATACTGCCCGAATTAAGTGTTGTAAGAAGGTTTGTAGAAATAGATTAATTCAACGAAGAATGATATCGAAATGAACGTCCAGCTACTTTGTAGCTGAAACTCAAAAACCGGTATTGGTATTCAACGCAATAACACAGCCAGGATGTAATGTGTCGAGTGGAAGACGGGTAGATGCACCAAACTAATTAGGTTGCCAAAACGGGGAATTGTTGAGAGCCGTGAATGTAAACCAGCCACAGAAGAGAAGCCGCGATGGGACCGCTGAGAGGAGGGCAGGCCAATATTATAAGTGGCAGAAGAAGTAGAGTACGCAGGCCAGGTAGCAAGCACAGCAAGAAGGGAACATGGAGGAGTATAAAGTGGGCTCACGGAACTTAAAAAAAAAGAGTACGTCGCATCATAGAGTGGTAGCATGGAGGGATGGAGAAGAGCAATAAAGACGAGCCTCTACGATAGGAGCGGCAACATGGATTATTAGCCTTGCAACAAAATGAATAGGGATTCGCGACTCAAGCCCCCAAGTGGCGCTGGTCTGACAACTCCGGTCAAGTCAGTGGTGTAGTGAGTCCAGGGACAGCACGGGGTCGCCACAAGCAAGGACAGGGAAGTCAAAAGACAAGTGCTGGTGGGCCACGGCTCCACGGGTCCAAAGCCTGTTCTGATGAACCTTCGATTTAGGGAAGCCAGATAGAAAGGCCACAGAAACGCAGGCAAGCGGCTAGTGTGGGTGGGCTTAGGCCGAGTAGGCGTCGATGTAAAAACGGCGGGGTGTGTGCTGAATGCTATTCTGACAAGGCCAGTTACCGTGCAACCTAGACTGCAGCCCTTTCGGCCCTGTATGACGGGGTTGGCTGAAGGCTTTTCCGTATAGCAAAGAAATCTCTGCGCGGATAAGGCACAAGATCCTAGCGATAGAGATCTTAAGGTGAGGCGTCGTAGAGGCGTCTATAGAGGCTTCCGTGGAGGCATCTGGACGTGACTATAGAGTTTAGCAACCGGCCTGACCCATCTCCAAAAAAATGAAGTTGTAACCAAGATTTTCGCAATTGTTGGGATGCAGGCGCAGAATCCCCCCAGATGCATAGGGTGAGCGAAAAGAAGAGTCCCATCCGAGCCGTCGAGCTGCCATACGGCTCTGATCCGATTGCACATACGGAGCATTAGATCTGTTATCATTAGAATAACGCAGCTTTCATACTAGTCAGATCAATGCTCCGTCGACGTGCAGCAAGCACTAATCTGCCCACGTACTTGTACTGTACAAGCAGATGAAAGAGCTGGCCCGTACTACTACAAGCGATTCAAGTTCCCTTGATAACTGCAGGCAGTAATTTACCCGGGATGCAGGTGTGTAACCCTTCGTTTCTCCTTGGCCATCTACTTACGCTCGTATGCTGACGTCGATGCAAACCATGTATTCCAACACGTGCTTCGTGTAAGTGTAATGAAGAGGCGCCGGCTAGCTAAGGAGGGTAGAACCAGGCACTGAGAGTGCAAGGTATCAACGTTTTGCCAGGGGCCGGGTGGATATAAGTCTCAGTACGAAGAGAACGCAAAGCTTGTGTGACGTTCTGCTGAATCGAAAATGATGATACCGAGTAGCTTCCCGGCCATCTGCGGCTTTTCGCTAGCATGTCTCCCTCTGGAATCAATAACAGAAATGCGAATCCCGTAAGCGATGGGCCGGCATGCGAGCGGTGTAGCTGTTTCGGTGGCCCTGTCAGGACATCCCAGGCAAAACGCACAAAACGGTCTCCATATTAATACCCGATCGTCCAGCGTCAAGGCTGCCCCAAGGGGAACCGCTGAATCTATAGCGGCTGTGGTTTGTGGACACTAGCAGCCGAAGTGGCCATCACAGACAGTGGGGTGGATGCGAAGTGCGCAACTTGGAGCAACAATATGCCATATGAAATACTCCGTATCGAGTGTGTAGATGCCGGTGCTGATAGGAGGAAGTAGGCAATTCTCTGCTCATCTGCGCAATTGACATGAGAAGGCGTTCCCTATAGAGGATCAAAGACCAAATTTTCATACTGTACCCTTGTATCAGTGCCAGCTCTAGTGAAGACTAGGTACTGTAGATGTTGTCGATTCAGTCAGTCTATTGCACCGAGACCCTCCTCCATATCGGTGGGTTAGCGTTCCAATAACTTTTCAGTCACTTCTGGCGCAATGGGGCGAGAGAGTCATGTCTCTTGTGCTCCAGCTCCGCTGTGCTTGATTACAAGGTGCGCCGTCGACGCCACAAAGAGAGGGAAAGCGGGCGGCACTGTTCGCTGCAAATTTGCAGAGCTGCCAGTTGCCGATATCATGTCCCATCCCCATGTACCATTCCTGGGGCTGGATAGCTGTCTTTCATTCGCTCTCTTGCTTAGCTTGGCAGCCAACTCCAGAACAAACCTCAGGTCGTGATTCGTTCCTTTGCCACTTCTGCCACCGGCATACTCCTGTAGACGATCAAGCTGGCGTTTATCGTATTCAGCCAGCCCCGTCCACAGGTTGGTAGGCAGGTATTCCTGCTAGTGGTACGCTTATGCCCCCGGCTGCTGGGGCTATCAGACACAGGACAAGGAGAGGCCGTCGTGGTGTCACAACACAATGCACGCTCTTGTGTAAGGCTTGTCTCGCAGTTGATTGGAATCCTGGGTCCACCACAAGGAGCTGTCAAAATCAAATTCTTGTGCAGCCTCCAGCTTTGGCCTGCTCACACGTTGGACACACCCCGTAAGCACCTTGTGCCTGCAAACACGGTGACAGTCCCCAGGGGTACCCGGCGTGGACTGTACCGCAACGCCAGCCCTGGGCCAGCCGCGTGGTCGCTCGTACGAGGCAATTTGAGGGCGCCATGCAAAGAGCCTCTGCGACGACCACCTGCTCCGAGGGCCATGCCCCCAATACCCCCCGTCTGACCCCCTCGCACCAGCGTTGACAGCGCTAGATTGGATCTTTAGCGGGACGGCTCCAGCGAGGCTCCTGGTCGCCCATACTTGGACAAGGACCGCGGCGATGGGGACCTGGCGATCTCTCAATGTAGGGGCCAGATCGCTCGGCGAGCGTGACAGAACGAGGCCTAGGCGGGTGGGGATCTTGTCAGAACGCACTCTAGCAATGGGCTGACGACGTGCTCTCATTTGGCACGCAGGGAGGCCTGTTGATGGCTTGGCCTGGCCGAGGCGAACAGCCGACAAGACGGCAGCTGGCAGGAGATCAATTTTCCGAGCCCTGGGCGGTAGAAATTAAAGTTGGCGCGATGCGATTGGTCAACGTACGGAGCCAGTGCGTAGGGCCTATTCTTACGGCCCATATCACACAGTACGAGATTTCTCACGTGTACTTGGGGTCTGCCCCGCCTAGCGCGCGTGCGCTGGTACTGCCGGCTCCGCGAGCACAGTGTCGCTTGCCGCAGCCCCAGACGTCTGTGGCTGCCAAAGCTTCAGCCCCTCCATCTCCAACGTCTCCAAAACCCCAAGCCGCAGACAAAGCAAGGCGATAACTGATCAACAGCGCTGCGGGCACAGCTCCCAGCCCTATCTCTGGCAGTGGTTGCTACCAAGGTTTCCTCAGACTTCTTACTATCTGCTCTGCTAAAACGTAATGAGTGCTAGCTCGCTGTGCTGTTGACCACGGAGCTTACAATTAATTGGGCGGCGTGCTCCTCCAACCCCTCTCCCAATCTAATATATGACAGGTTTGGGATCTCCAAGCGGACAGACTAGGGCCTCTCTCTGACATGATTCGTACGTCTAGGTTCAGGTCCATATGCACGCCGTACCTATCAACTCACCCCGTGCGAGTGCTACGTAGCATGCCCTGCTATCACAGCAAAATGCCAATACATGTACGGTATGGAGACGGCCAGGCAGCTCTTTTTTCTTTGCAGTCCAAGCTCCATGAGCTTGTCGTCGTACGTTGGCACAATGTGCTCCGTGCTCTGGCATGTGGGGGCTACGTAAATAAGTCCTTTCTCCCAGGTATTTCCGGCTGAATGGTGAGCTTGTTGGTGAGACACCAGCATTTGACCAGGCTCATCCCGCTGGCCTAGAGAGACGTTGATGAATATTGCTCCACCTTGATCCGACGGCATGCAGGCTAGGATCCAGGCGAGTTGCAGGCGATGGATGGATGGATGAGCTTCATGCCACACGAATTCTGGAACCAGGGCCACGGCTAGGCGAACATGCTCCTCTACTCACTCGTGCGCTTTCATAGGCGCAAAGTTTCCTACAAGCACGATTTACTGCAAACGTCCCACAACTTTCCATCGCTTAACTAGAGGGACTGGGGTTCAATATTCACTATAATATGTGGGACTGGAGTCCCTCAGCAGCCGATGCGGCAGCAATGCTCTACGGGGATTGTCAAATACGGTACCAAGTGTTGAAATGTGGATGCACCATTTGTTCGGAGAAGGAGAGGGGGCAGCTCCTTGGCATACGGCTGCCATGCGTATTGTGCCGCACGCCAGATCCTTTGGTCGTACTCAGAAACAGCTGGAGAATTCAGGATGCTTTCCCCGTGAATTGTTAGTTCGCATCGTGGGTGTGAGGCCGAGTCAAGCTTCATTCATATATGGAGCTGAAGAGTAGCGCAGGTTCAAGCATCTTCACAGAAACCCTATATTTTTATGCCTCGATGTTGGTACCTACTGTCTACTAGGACTAGGTGCTAGGTGTTATCTACATGAGTGTGGAGCTGTTTTTGATAGCCGCTCAGCCGCAACAACATCCCCCCCTATCCTCATTATGCTACTCTGGAACAACTATGGTTACGAAATACACGTGCCATCGAGTTTGTTGTTCTCAAAAACAGACTTCATTGCCAAATTACACACCAAAAATAGGAATTTTGGTTTCGGCTAAACATAAACAAAGCAATAAAGCTTCGAAACTAGCATTGACGCCGTGAAACAATAAAGTTTCGCACAACACAAGCTCGACATCCACCTACATCGGGAGTACTTGGCGATGGCAGAAACAGCCGCATCCTTTGCGCGTACTGGGTTGTACATTAATGATTGTGTGCAGATACGAGGATGCCGCCTAAGATGACGATGATATGCCATTCTCCCCCTTACAGCAGAAGTATTGAGGTACCTACTACTAGTACTCGGTATTGATAGCGGCGCGGCCAAGGCTGCCTCACGACTCGTACGAGTAGCCTGCTGGCTTTAGAAAGTCAAGTTGCGTTTCACTTCACCTAACCTGGATCTCAGCTGCCCACATCAATTTCTACGCTATCGGAGATGATTTCCTGAAACAACGCCAGTATGCTGAGGATGGCATTCTAATTTGCTCGCGCTTCGCTCTATGCTAGGCCAGTTACCACAGTATCGCTTTAGTATGCCAGTTCATGACTGGCCTGCGGGCGTGTCATTGGGCTAGCAGTAAAAAGGACAGAGTCAGTGGGCCGAAATGGTCCGGACGTTGCAGATTGACGTGATGCGCCTAGTATCAACACACCCCAGAGATCTCCTAACATCGCATGGTGGACACACAGGCTTGTCGGCAACCAATGCCGCTGCCAAAATACCCCGTCTTGCGGAACGTCCCATCGAAAGACGTCGAGTCTGGCAGGTCGACATGCTGAGCAATCCGAATCCTACCGCCGTATAGCAGGGCAAGATGGGCTAATGCGACGGAAATTACTCAACCGGTGCATACTCGCATTACCACTGGACGCCGATGCCCTTGCTCTGCTCCATCAGCCATTTCCCATTTGGCTCATCGCTTCTCAGCAATACCTCCCGCAAAATTACGCTGCCCTTGATTCGACTATACTTGGACGTATGGGGTGCTCTGTGCGAGGACGCACAAAGTAAAGAATCGGGCGCAGTGCCGACCTTGAACTGGCAATAACAGGTCTGGTGACAGCAAGGGCAAGCATCCCCTACCCACACTCCCGAAGCAGGGGACCGTGCATTCGCAAGCCCAACTCAACTTGGAAAAGGACCTGCTGGCCATCGAGCAAGGTACCAGCTCCTGGGAACAGCACTCGCAACGCGGCTGCTGGGATTCGGTAGCTGGTCGCCATACTTGTCGCAGCACGCCACACCCCACGAAGCAGAACTACAGGCTGACCTGACACACGCTTAAGCCTCAGCTGTCATCCATCGACGTCCATACAAATGCATAGTGCCACTCCAGATGTACGATGATGCTCAAAGCACCTGTGATCTTTAGCCCCCTATGAGCGACGACTTATTTGGACTTGCAGCTGGCAATGTGTTACTGCATAGACTGCACCGGAGACGCTTGCTCCAGCAGCTTTTTTTTAACCCCTTTCACTAAGAGCAAAGAATAAAGGAAGAAATAAGAAGCATTCGCTGACAGGTAGCAAACCGGAGAACTACGATGTTCCAGAAGTCAGGACTTACAAGACTTGCTATCTTAATAAGGCTGTTGCGAGCCACCGCTAGCTCTGCGAAGCATTCACTGCCGCTAGCCGTAGGATCTCCATGATGCCTGCCTACATCGTGGGCTCATACACTCCTTGGCTTCTATTCCGAGCGCCTAGCTGCCATTTACCGCCGTCTGCTTTATGGTGCTGACACTTGGTTCCGCGTGTCTGGAGTGGCGGTAGGGAGCTGGTGCTGCGCCAAGATCCAGTGCCACCTTTTGAAGATCAGCCAGTAGCCGGTCTCCGGATCTTCGACAACAAAGACTGAATGCCACGCCGGATAGCGACATAGTCAAGCGTTAGCGCCTTTTTGATTTGATCAAAACAGCAGTGCCCCTCGACAGTCGCATTTTCACCGCCTCTGAGCAACCGTTTTCTCCACGATCATGTCCTCCGGAAGCGGGTTCGGAATCTGGTGAGAGACGATCGGCTACGGCCCTGGGGCACGACATGCATAATGTTATCGTAACAAGCCAATATACAAGTATGAGACGCTGTAAGCTGTGCGGAACCAACTCTTATCACAATCCGTCTCCTTAGAGCACTGCAAGGCCAGAATGTTATAACCAAATAGCTCCCCCTTTTTTTTTTCTTCGAACATACTTTTTTCGTTATCCAGCGGGCACACTTGTTCTTGTGTCAGCAATGAGCACCTTTGGTTATGGGTGTTATGTATCAGCAAGTGCGCCCGCTTTCAAGGATAATGAGGAGGTGTCATCATGGCTGAGTATACCTCTCGTCGAATGTACAGAAAGGCGCCGATGGGCCTGTTGCGAATCGCAACAAAGTCTTGTTCAGTAGGTGTGGGAGAAATGCACATCGAAGCGGGTAACCGAAACATCGACCAGCCATGTCGTTTCAGAGTACTGCAGTATCCACGCAAATGGGAGATAGTTCCCAAAGATGGGGTTTGATGTGCTTTTGTCTCGGATAACGCATGGCACGGCATCGACCTACACGAGCTCGCGTGCGTCGTCATGTTACTCAAGAGATAAAGTCTCCCAGAGGCCACCTGCGTACATGCCATTAATATCCGATATTGCATTTGTGTACACATTATAACAAGTACTACAAGCAGAGAGGAACGAATAGTTGTCCCGGATTCCGTATCACAGTATATTGCCAGCCCGACTTGCTTGGCTTGGCAAAGGTCTCATCCGGAAATGAATGGCGATTCCTTCGAGTGTAGGATCAGACCATTTCTCATATCTCCCGACTGCACGTTATGATTGGAGCTTTGCGATTTACTCCGCCATGGCAATCTTTACATCAAAATCGCCGCCTTCCTACTTTAAATGGCAAAGAGGCTGTGCCTGGTCTTTGCCTTTCCTGCCTGGCTGCGTTGTTAGACCAACGTGTTGCACCTGGATTTGTGTATCTCGAGATGGCTCATTCAACAACGTGGTGGTGCCGGGTAGCTGCGCATGTTTTTTTTTCCATGGGCATCGGTATCCTGTTCCTTTCGGTGTGACCAGTTGGTGCATCAAGATCTTGTTGTCTTTGTGAACAGTTTGTGGTGTACCACACTCGTCGTCATTATGATTATCTTGCCGTCCGCGATGCTCGTATCTCGTCGAGTGTTAGGTATAGCATCATGCAGTTATCTTCTGCACCCGAAATCTATTCACAAGTCACACATGCGGCACGCATATGAACCCGACACTGTACCTGAAATTTGGACAGTACACAAAGCAGCAAACGCTACAACCTCTCTGCGCTGAAAGGGGGGCGAATAATGACACCCTTTGCACAGTACATACTGCCTTGGCTACCAGTAGCCTTATTTCTCATCACTTTGCTCCTGCATGCAAGGGCCGTCGCTTGAATAGGTATTTGTAGCCTACAACTGACACGACTGATCCTGATCCTGATGGTAGGGCTGCCTTACCAGGGTGGCCGATAGCCACATTACACTACGGCACGCACACTTTCTGGCCCCGCCTAGCGCCCGCAAGCATTTCATTTACGGAACCAAAATCATTGGCTCTGCGAGGTCAGCCGGTGAGAAAGACACATTGCTGTGCAGTACAGGTACAGTAGAGACAGGGGTCATGAGCCTATCGGAGACAGCATGCACTGGACATGTGAGAGCCACGAGAGTAATGCCTCGTCGGAAAGGAGGGGGTTCTGCTTCGTGCTCCGTCTTGTGGGCGTGCAATGAGGTTGAGTGGTTGGAGGGTGAGAAAGAGGAGGAGGAGAAGTTGGAGGGGGCGGAAAGTGATATTTCCTGTTTTTCACTATGTGCTTCGCTCGTCCTCTGGGATAAGATGTGCTCAGCAACCTTGTCTGCTTGCATAAGTGGGCGGGGGGTACATATGGCTTGAAGAGCGCGAACCTTTCCTTGCGCAGGAGACGGCTATCCGCATCACTTCACTGGGCAACAGTGTAGACGAGGAAGAGGAAGAGATGGAGGTGGCTAGTGGCAGCGGCCTCAGATGATATCGGGTTGTGGGTGCTCCTAATCCCTCTGTTGGGCAAACCTACCCAAATGTGTTATTGGGTAGATTCTCAGGGGCGCGAGCACGTTTAAAAAGGGAAAAAGAAAAATGACCAAAAAAAGAAATTGGCGGCGGCAAATGCATTGTGAATTCCTGTTTGAGCCATACTGTAAACATAATGCCCAGGTCGGTCGTTTTAAACGTTTCAAGTAGACGTTTAGGGGACTCTTGGCATACTCATACCAATACTCGTCAGATGTCAACAGAACTAACTAAACTAACTGGACCACCGTGTTTGAAAAGCAAGTATAGCACCTCTGTACGTTTATTTATAGAAATAAAACCAGAAACTGGAAGCAAAACATAAGAAAAAATGGGTGGGAAAAATATGGAACAAGAGGTACTGTAGCATTCGCTTAACATGCATGGTAAGAAAAAAAAAGAAAAAGAAAAGAGGCCAAAAAAAGAAACAGAAGAGGTCGCATCATATTATTATTTTTTTGCTTATTTTTCTTCATTAACCCGATTTTGTCCCCCTTTGCACAAGACAAGACACACAGATCTTAAATATCCCGGAAAATCTTACATACATACCCGGAGCTGCCATACTCTTTGGTCTTAGTCTGACCTTTTTTTTTTCTAAATTCCTTGTCTTTAGGCCGGCGCGTGGAATCCTGACATTCTTCAGCCCGTAAGAGGATTTGTTGACAATTGACATTGACAGGGGGGGGAGGGGTAAGCCTGTAACTTTTAAGAAGACGTAAGAAGAATTACGGTTCCGTATTTGGATTTTTTTGTCATATGGCTGGGCTGACACTTGCACGGGATGCGTAAAAGGGTTTTGTCAATTGTAAGATTTTTTTTTATAGATTGCCGTCTGTTCGAAACAGACTTTTTGTATTTCATAATCACTGAATATGTATGGAAGAGTTTAAGTTCATAATTATGAATGACTGACGGGTAAGGGACAGGGTGAGTAGATCACGCTGGAAGCAATCGCTGTGGCTAAGATGCTCGGATGATGCATATCACGCTGCAATTTCTTTCAGTTGATTTATGATCATGATTAAAAACAGGCGGATGATCTTGAGTAATGGGTATTTCTCGGAGTGAAGCTGTTTTATTTTTTGTTTTAAAGGGGACATGATGAAGATGGGGCGTCGTCGAAACTCGTCTTTTCTTGCTAAAAGACGGCATAAAATATCAGCAAAGGTTGTTGATCATATTCTTGGTATAACCAGATTCATAGATCTGTCCATTGTAGCTTTCTCCTGCGCTCGAAATGATTATATAGTAGAAAAAAACATGAAACACCATATTGACGTCTTCTGACTGCAGTTTTTTAAGATATTGCTGTAGTTTCAGTAACTCACTCCAAGAATTGACATAATGCATGATCATTTAGCAAACGGTACACGTACGGGCTTTTATTTGAAAGGTGGCAAGATTGAATGGTATAAAAAGACTGTCAAAGACAATTTGAAATAATAAATGTAAATTCTTAAAGGCAACAACGCTAGAGTATCTCCCGATGATATGTATCCATGGTATCATGAGTATCCAAAACACCCATAGTGCTACCCGAGCACGTTTTATGCCAGCAATCATGACCCCCCTTTGTAAAACTCGCCCAAATCACCCTACACCCTTCGAAACACCTTATTCAATAACCCCCCTCCGCGCCCCCTGCGCAGAGGCTCTTCGCTGGGGCTTGCTTTATCCGCCGAGAGAGATCCAGATCTCATGGCGCTGGTAGAATCGCCGTCTTTGCCAACTTCAACATAGCCTTCGACGTCGTCCTGCTCATGAGGAGGCCGATCGAAATACTCAGCAGCTAGCTTGGAGCTGGGTGGCATTTGGGGCGGCGACGGCTGATAAGCACGCACTTTTCTCAGGCCACGGTCAAGATATTCGACCATTGGAGCCTTGATGTCAAAGTTGTCGTTCCAAGATGGATCTCTGTCCGCCTGAACGTCTCGGATCTTCCGATATAAATCACCGCACCGAGCCATCAATTCTGCTTCCAATTCTTGCTCTTGATTTTCCACAAACTCTGTCCTCTCTATTGTTCGTGTAGGAGAGGATGCATTCGTTCGTGATCGGTCCTCTTCTTCCACGTGAGTTAGCCACTGGGTATACCGCTCAAAGTTTAGAGTGGGATCGACAGCAGCTTCGGTTGTCAGCTCTGCGCTTTGTTCGGCAGCCTCAGCTTCGAGGGCCCTTTTGCTATCTATAATATGCTGTCCAAAAGATACACTAAACTCGCGATAGTGACCTTTAAGAACGAAGCTTCTTCCTGTCCATCCTGACTCCGCTAGCTTGTATAACAACGATGCTGCAGAGGGACACTCCCATGCACTCTCCAGCCCACGAGAGTAAAACACCATACACCTTGCCTCTTTCCACTTTGAAAAGGCATCATGACCATGCTCCTCGGAAATAGTGCGCCCAATCATCTCAAGAGAGGCATCTTTAATGAAATTCTGTGGCACTCGAAGGTTTATGGCGCCACGGATGTGAGATCTCTGGTATTCTGATTGTGGTCGGATATCAAATAGTAGGACCTGTCCAGGCTGAGATATATCAAGCAGCTGACTGAGGTCTGCTGGCAGTATCAGAAGCGAACCGCCGCCCTCACTGAATGGAATGTCGCCAACTTTCATGGTAGCGAGCCGGTTAGTGACCAAGTCTCGTTCCCGACGGTGATGGAACCACAGGCCAAGATGGAAAGGTTCTATTCCAAGATTCGAAGCGAGGAAAGCACTCTCGCCATCATTGGGAAGAGGGTGATTTTGGTAATATTCTTCCAGCCGTTTCTCAACATGAGCAGAGAAGCTCTGAGGCTCAGGAACGTCGCTACCATCGAACGTAGTACGTCTTTGAGACTGCTGTTGATTGAGAATCATTTGCCTGGATATCACTGGGCTTGTACTCAACGACGATGAACCCGAGTATACAGGAGGAAGAGAGACAGCAGCGCTCATGGATCTAGAAAATGGTGGCTGATGGGATGAAGATGAAGCTGGGTCTGGCTGTGCTGACGCAGGTTGACTAGAAGAGGCCACATTCCGAGTTAATCTCGTGTCTCGAGCAGAGTTGAAGCTGAATTGCCTGAATTGGTCGCCAAAACGGCTTGTCTCTGTTGGTGCGAAAGTGGTGCCCGAAACGCCAGAGATAAAAGAGGCTGTGTCCGGTGCCAACGCTTCGGACTGGTGTTGTGATGCTGGTACAGGAGTAACAACTGGTGTCTGCTGTGGTTTCTGAGCTGCTGCTATATTATTGGATCGAATGAAGGCGATGAATGAAGTTGCCGGATCCTCTGGCAAAAGGTCCCAGACCATGACGGGCATTGAAACCAAGACCAAAGTAGAGTGGCTCTTAAAAACACCTTGAATCTTGACGTACTTGGCCATGGCGGGAAAGGCATTCAGCCATTGCTCCCACGCATTAATGTCCAGTCTCTGATCATCTTCCAAAGCCAGAGATATCATCACATGAGGAGTATCCTCGGTGGGCTCGCTCGGGAAGGGATTTCCTATGAGAGCATCCGCAGGATTTCCCGCTCGTCCAGCGAGCTCCATGCCTGCAACACCACCAACAGGTCCTCCAACATGGCCTCCGACAGGCTCTACGTCCATGTGAGGGATAGTAGGAGCCGACATGGATCTCTTCTCCACTGGCTGCGTCCTGGATAGCTCGATACTTGGCGCTCTGTGGTTGGCTGTCATCATAAAGTGAACTGGCGTCGACCGAGCCTCGAAGTGCTTGCCGTTGATGGTGATGGGTCTCGGATGCTTCAACCGCGCAAGGACCTCGGCGTGGAGCATAGCGGCAGAGAAGGCTCTATGGCGCCATTCCTGTAAGACTTCGATGAGAGCGTTGGTAAATGAATAGCTACCAGGATCAGGGGCAATGGCGTCCCAGCTGGAAGCGGATATCGTCTCTGTGACGCTGTTGCCAGTGGGAAATGTGGCACTAGCAGCCCCGGCACAACAGTCTAACAATATCAGAACGTCGGATTTTGATCGTTCCAAGAGCGTCTGGATTGCGGACCATCTAGAAAACGTTAGGAAGATGCTTTGAATGATCACTTTATAAGACTTCGATTATAATTGAGATACTCACTGTAGCCAAGGAGAGCCAGGATCTCGCGTACTATTAGCAAAGTTAGAGAGCGGCTCTCTTGAACCAGAAATGCTTCCGGTGAATAAGTGGGATCAAAGATATACTTACGCACACCACGTGCTCTGTCTCGACTCATCAATCCGGGCATGGCCGCCGTAGTAGACAATAAAAAGTGTATCGGGTGATTCGTGGTCTCTTATTAGCTGCCCAATTCTCATCATGAGCTCTAGATGAGAGTTTTCCGATGGAATTGAGTAGATTTCAGTGCCAAACGCATAGTCATCTTGCAAGCACTTGCCCAAGTCTTCGAGCTCGGGAAGAACGAATAAATCGTCAGAACCCCAGTGCATCAGCAGCGACTGGACATTCTTGTACCGCTGAGATGGCCGTCCACGATTTGGGAACGCTCTCGCCGCCGACTATCACATGTCATCAATTAGATTGCAGGTCGCTCATTTCAAGGACAAGTTGGTCCAAACGCACATCTTCGAGCCGCTGAGCAAACTGCCCGATATGCTTCACATGGAAGCTCGCCCGGCTAATGTCATGAGTTGCGGATCGAGCGTAGGCATCTCGCGGACCCATTCCCTGTTGCACACCCAGTGAGCGAATTGCCTCTCTCATCTCGCGCTCTCTCGTTTATCTTTCTCTCCTCGTCTATACTGTATGCGCCAAATTACACACAGAGACGGGGAACGAAATGGCAGGGGCTCCAACATACGGGCGAGGCGCCATTAGATATACCAGCTCCATCGGCCGGCTGCCGTGCGCGGATGGTGACATACGACTGCTGATCGCTCATTGTTTGCTTGGTGGAATCGCTTGGTCAAACAGTTCGGCGGCTAAGCGTGGTAGTAAGTGGGCGTTCCCCAGGTCACCCCACATGCATCTGGCCTGACAAGAGGCTCTCGCGTACTCCGACGATGTTACAGACACTGGCGAGCTGCTGGCACGGACGCGCAGAGAGCAGGAGAAGAATCATGGCGGCCGTGCGATGGTAGAAATTGCGGCATTGAGAGGCCGGCAGAGAGACTTTGATGCTCAAGGCCAAGTGGAGAGGGCCGTTGCACGTGGATCGGCCGCCCAAATCTGGTGGGCTTCGGTGAAGTGTTAGTCAAAGTGTCAGTCAAAGTGCTGGCTGCGACAAGCCACTCGGTCCCCAAAGCGGCTTAGCGGCCGCAGCAGTCGCCTCGCAGGAGCCGCAGAAACTGACATCAGTTGGTCCTCCAAGCGCGGTTTCAGCGCCCTCGCACCGCCACAGCTGCTGCTACAGGTCTCCGTTGGCGCATCAAGAGCATCAGTGCGACCAGTTGATGCTCCAGGGCATCCAATAGCAACCGACGGGCGGTGCATCAGCCACATATTGACGCAGGGCACGATTCAGGGTCGTGCTGAGTCTATGCGGCTCGGTGCCCTATGAGGAAATTCTGCTTGTGCCTCTCGCTCTAAGTCGTTTTGATTGCCCGAGCCGCAAAAGATCCAGGCAGCGAGCGATGGAGCTGCGGCTTATAACCTCCGTAACAACAGCTGCCAAAACGAGCGACCGATTATGTCTCACTTGCAAGGAACACCCTTTCTCTTGAAGACGGTAGAAAGACTAGGTAATACGAGTACCACTAAGCGTAGTATCCGTTATACAATACGGTAGCATTGAACGCGACGGAGCCGACGCCCAAAATGCATGTAACAAGCACATCTCGCTCTCTACAGCTCAGATCCAACAGAGATTCGCTCAATGTCTCCCTCTCGGTCGCGCTGTTTCCCCTTCTCGGTGCGCAGGAAGCATGTGAGAGCCTCGAGATGCAGCAGATGGCCTCGGCGCAGGTAAACAAACGCTGCATAAGCACTGCTGGCTGACGCAACGGCGATGGTCGAGATGAGCGATGGCCATTTGAACTGCTCGGGACGAGAAAAGACGATGGTGGACGTATAGGCGAGCAGCTCAAAGGCGCTTTGCCAGGCGGCCTCGACGGAAGAGAAGACGCCGCGATTCTCGGCTTCGACTTCCTGATGATGATGACAGCGGTGTTAGCGAAGATGTATGGCGGAACCCCAGAGATGTAAGATTCATCATACCTCTTGAACAATCAGCTGGACGCACAGGTCAAATCCCCGAAGGCCTAGACGGCTCAACACAGTGCCTCCCACAAGGCCGCTTGCTGCTATGAGGGACTTGCTCTTCATATCAAACACCCAAAATACAGACACTCCCACGGCCAGCATCGTGACCTGCCAGCTGCTCATCCAGAGGCCAGCTCTAATCGCCCCGATTCGCCGTATGGACCACGGTGCCACCCACGTTGCCAGAACTTCAAATATTACGCCTATTGTTCTCGCAAGGCCGATTTGCAGGGAACTATAGCCTGCAGAGAGTAAGTATGTCACCATCTGGCCTCCAAAGCTGAGGACTGTGAGATACAAGATTGCGCCGGCAATGGACGGGAGAAACGCCTGATGCTTCAGGTATAAAGAAACATCCTGCGCGAATTTGTGAATGACATCAATCAGTCGCTGCCAGATGGCGCAAATGATAGGTCTTGAGTTATGAAAAGACTGGGCTTCTGGTTCCTCAGGCACTTCACGTCGTGGGCTCCTCTTTGCCTCTTGCAGCTCTGGAACTTCGTAGTAGACTCGAGCGATAGCAAAGTACTCCACGGCAATAGAAGCCGCGTTCATTGCAAAGTTAACGATGATGGCTACCCGCGACGAATAAGCGTCTATCATGGCGATGAATAAAGGCCCAAATAATTTGCACAGCAGGTCAATTCGTCGCATTTGCGCATTCATGACTTGAAGGACTTCCGGATTGCCTTCTGAGACTACAATGACCTGTTAGGTTGCCATTGTTAGCATAATATCCAATGGCGTGAAAACATGGCAGTATAACTGTTGCTGTTGATAGGAAAGACATTGGCTCACCCAATCTTTTTCCACAGACACCAGATTCAATATCGAGCATAGCTTCTCCACACAGGCAAAGAGCGTCACGACAGCGACAAGTCCCGTTCTTACACCAGATGAGAGTAGTGTGTCAATGGCGAGGATATAGAAGACTGCACTGGATGCTGCGACTACTAGTCTCTGGAACACTGCATCTTATCAGAGAGCGAAGATGACACAATAATCCCAATCGTATAAAGCAGTGATATAGATATAGATAAATCTAGTTGTTCAACATACCAATGGAGACCCGGACAACCTGAAGACGGTTGCCCGTATCAATGTACCGCCCAATTGCCGGCGCAAAAATGATTGCAGATACGCCGCGAACTAGGGCATATAGGGACATTGGCAGCAGAGTTCCAGGAAAAATTGCTGCCAAGTAAAGCACTGCGCCAAACTCAAAAACTCTAGAATTCCAAGTTGACAAAAAGTGCGACACGTATAGCCGTCGAGAGACTGTAGGCGAGACATGGCGGGCTGGCTCAAGCAGAGCTGTGCGCTCATCATCAACGGATGCCATAATGCAGGTTGCGTAGAACAGTAAACCAAATGATGATTGAAAGTTTACATTCTTCAATTTTCTAGAGGCATAAGATTTTTGTCTTCTCGCCTTCCCTCCCTTCTTCTTCTCATATTAAGCGCTATTTGCTAAGACTTTGCTCGGGACCCATGAGACGACTCCGTCGACGGCAATGGATGTAACTTCTCGGCACTGACGTGAATATCCCCATGTCGCAAACAAACGCTAAAAACGCCACGGACAGCATCTACTCCGCTTATATAAGATCGACCTGCCAATAAGGAGCTCTGATCTGGAGCCTTTAAACATGGCCTGACAGCTGCATACATATGCAACTCAATCGCTGTTAAGGTTGAGCGGAAACAACAAAAACCGTAGTATTTGTTACGTTACGAGAAGTTCTAGTCTCCATACACTCCCCGACTTCGCGTTGTCTTCTGCAAATCCTCCATGGCCAACTGACGCATCTTCAACTGGGTGATCTGAAACATTTGCAGCAAACCATCTTTGGCCTGCGAAGGCGGTGCTTTGTTCTGAGGCTTCGACCCTGGGTGAAATCTGAAGATCTGATCTTGAACAGTCACATATCGTCTTACATCTTTCCAGCTCCTGCAAGTCTAAGCGACGAAGGAGGTGAAGTAAGTCTTCATGTATCCAGGCTATAGTACTGCCAGTATCAAACGCCCACCTGCCAAAAATCTATTCTGAGACGGACGTCCCCGCATGTACACAAATAGTTTCTCGCCGTCAAATGCCATTACATGATAGCTTTGTGACGTGGGACAAGTTGACGATTTAGTAATGCCTTGCTGCTATTCGCTGGTGGCAAGATTGTGTTGCTAGAGGTTCCCGTTCTCTTCAACTTGCATCCATGCCTAGCCCCCACGCCCCGAGGAAAGCCAATGCCGCAATCCGCAGTCATATTTGCTGATCCGAGAGGGGTTGAAGGTACACCTGCTGGCTCTACCAGCGTTTTACAGAATTTCCAAATAGAGTTAATACATTAATACTGTAACTGATAGGGTGGAATAGTCTTGCCATGGTGATGAAGCTAAATAGTTTGTTGTTTTGCATCTATGCTGACCGAAACTACATCATTGACTACTGGCTGGCGAGTTAGAAGCTCTTTACTAAGAATCCTAGCATTTGAAGTGTTGAGTGACCAAAGGTGCGAAGAGCGATGAAGGTGAGAGCTATATACGCTTTATCAACCGAGCAGGGGAAACGGCCATTATAGGTTAAGCAGTTCAATAACTAAGGATGAAATGTTCAAGCCTCTTTGGCATGTATGTATGTATGTGCAGAGACACGACACATGTATACGTACTATACAAGTCCCTGATTACTGTCCAAGCATTGCAGAAGGATGAACGGAATATAAGAGACCGATGTAAATTCTATTCAGAAAAATATGTTTGGGTTAAAACAAATAACTGACATTTCTCAAGTACGGATTAATTCAGCCATGATTACCTGTCTTTTATTAAGCAATGAATTACCCAGGCTTTGAAGATCCTCGTGGTGATGTAACTTGATTGGTAGATGAAGGAATTACGTAATCGGACAACAGGAACATTTTAGCCGATTACTTAGTTGTCTAGACCCGACACTCTTCTCTCACCTTCAACATGGGACACAGGTTGGCTCCAGGAGCTCATTTGATGCCTTTGTTTGTTCCACTCTGTGGCTATTATGCCACCAATACGGGCTTGCGATGTGTGCTTTAAAAGAAAGGTGCGTTGCATCCTCCACAGTAGATACATGTATGCGCACTTATGCTGATTCCTTCGTAGATAGAGTGTTGCCGGCCAGGTCCCAACGTACCCTGCAACTGGTGCAGCCATCAACAGTTAGCATGCACATTTAGTCGAGAAAAGAAGAAAACTACTACAAAAAGGTAAGTTGATAGATGTAAACATGAGCCCAACTGCTGCCTATTTGATGACCAAAGAAGTAGGCTCAAAGCGAAAGATGTGGATAGACTCTTGGAACAGATTAAGCAGCTAGAAAGTGCTCTTGCTCAAGTTAATCATTCTCAATACCCATCTGTTGCTGAGACACCAATTGGAAGCACACACTTCAAGCCATCCATTGCTGATGAAGACGGTCACGGAACATCCAAGAGTGCAAGGCGACAAGATGAGAGTGCTACCCAAGACTTAATGCCCGCCGGGCAAGAAACTAGCCGAATACTCGAAAATGGCATTCCTGCACATATTGTTAATGCGACTCGTCTTTTTGAGAAGAATTGGTATCATAAAGGAACGCCTATTATTTCTAAAAATGGCTTGGAATGGATTGCTTCCAGAACTGACCAGAGCACTGCAGCCCTACGGTCATATTTGTCTCCTGGCCATTACAGCCAGCCATACTGGAAGGTTCCAAGCCTTCAAGGGCATGCTTCCCCCGGAGAACTATGGGATTTGCCGGATAAGGGTCTAGTCAACAGATGGTTCAACGTTCTCTCGCATTCGTCCTTCCAAATGTTGCTCCCCTCTCTCGACAAGGAGCTCTTTGAAGAGACTGTAGACGTGGCCTATTGGACTTTTGAAGGAATGCATACCTCTCACTTACATATTTCAGCGAGAGCATGCTTCTGGGCCGTATGCGCTATCATGTCATATTTGAAGGTCCCTGGACAGATCCTGTCAAGTCTCCACAGCAACATATGTGCAGCCAGAGCAAAGCGGTTCTTGGAGCTCTTCAATGGTCCTGCAAACTTGGATTTTTTACAAGCATTATTACTACTGGTAAGTTCATTTATATGTGTCCTCTATGAACGCCAAGAATTGACTCATTACTCGCTAGTACAAATACCAAACAGCAACTGGACAGTATAGCACTGCTGTGGTGTTGCATTCAGCAGCTTGCCGCACGGTTTGCGAGCTCAATGGCCATTCTTATCAGCTATTGAAGCGCAATGAGGGTGAGAACTCTCTCATCGAGGGCCGAAAAAGTCATATCCGAAAGTTGTTCTGGTTATGTTATCTTACCGACAAAGACCTTGCTCTATTATCGGGACTGCCTCCTGCTCTCGCTAATGAGTATTGCGATGTAGGTGGACCCGAGGAGTATTTAAGCCATGATAATTTCCTGCTTGGGTTTAATGAAGGCGCAGATGCCAGCGATATCAACACCATTTCTTGGGATAGAGCCATCTCATTTCTCCCTGGTAACCCGCCTCTTGGAGTACTAAAAGAGAAAATATTTCGGCTACTTTACTCGCCCTTAGCTCTGAAGATTATCGACAGTGAACTCCTCACTCGAATCCGCCACTTGGATGATGAACTCGAGGGCTGGCGCTTGTCTGTTGCTCATGATATCCGCCCCAAGCTATCGATCACCCAGAGCCAAAGCTTGTCACCTACTGGGACATTTCCAAGCTATTTGAGATCAGTGCAACTACAATTAGAATATCATTACCTTTTGACAGTCATCCATACACCAGTTAGGAGATTTGGAGCTGCCCAAGATGCAGAAACTAGTCCACCTGAGGAACTTCATAGTGTCATGCACTCAAGCATTGACCTATCGCTAGAGGCCAGCCGCTCAACTTTGCGACTATTAAACGAACCAATCGCCATGTTAAAGCAAAATAATTTCTGGTATGTACTGATTCGTGTTGTTCTATATATCATAGCCGAATAGGCAAATGCTCACTGAATTACAGGCATAGCATCATCTACCCGCTTGTAGCTGCCATGTCATTGTTTGTCAACATTCTGATACATCCCGTTGGCCGCCAAGCCGCAGCCGATGCGGACTCACTCGCTTTGGCGCTGGATATTATTGCAAAGATGCGATCATCAGCTACTTCAGACGGCGAATCGAAAGACACTAGGCAAGCGTACCAACTGATAACTGAGTTGTCAAAGCTTGCAAATGCAGCCATTTTGAAAGCGGGCGCAATCGCTAGGACGAATAGATCACCCGTCAGTAAAGGTGGACACTTACACTGAATAGTTACTACAGTATGAAATTCAGAATTTCAGCAAACACTTGTTTCCAAGCCCGTCAGATCTTAATCGAAAAACTTAGCGACACTGCGGCGATTGGGAGCCTCGTCGCTAAGATTGCTAGGGACCTGGTGAGCTAAAATCTTCCAAGACGAGGATGATAGCCTGACAATTTACCAGTAGTTTGGATTGATTCAAAATGTAAATAACAGAAAAATGTATCTTGATCTATTTCGAATAATACCATTAATAGTGATGGATATCAAGGAGCCGGGCCCCGCGGATCCCGCGGAAAGCGGCCTCCTCCAATTCTGTTCTATTAATACGTCCTTTGACTTCTCAGAAGTTGTGCATGTAAAGACACATGTGATGTTATTCTATCTCTCCAGACAATTCATCTATTGGACGAATGTTGACCAATATATTTTTCGATACCCACAGTACCATTGCTAAAGGGGAATAATTCGTCTTCACTACAGCACACTAAGCGGCAAGCTTGGCTATACAAAGGTAGACTTGGTAGAGTAGAAATCCTAAGGGCAATCAGATGTCAAAAATGCTGGATGCTAATAAGTGAAGGATCAACCCTCGGGAAACGAAGGATCTTCACACACACACACACACAGGCTAAATTGAGTGACTTAAAGCTCGAGTCTGCAGCAGCTGAGATTTAGCCTCGTGCGGGGCTCCAAGCTGATGACTATTGTCACGGTATGATAGGCACGATCTCTATAATAATTGCCGAGTTCCACTCGCCAAGGCCCATGTATAACTCATGCCCTTGTTCTGGGGTCAGATAGCATTGTGCTGTTATTCTAGCATTGCTACTTGTTGCCCAGGCTTCAACTGCTAATTTTCCATCTATTTGAGATCAGCCATGTTGCAAAACCTATCATGGCTTATTCCAGCATCGGCAGGGTCGCTGGCCATTGCTACGTCATGCACCATTGCTTCATTTTGGATCATTGAGCGATTGGTAACGGACTACCGACTGAGCAAAGTTGATGGAGTTCGAGCCTCAATTCTTGCCGGCAATCCAATTACTTGTATGGAGACTTTGCATTGCCGGTTATTTTTGCCTGGTTTATGGTTCTGACTGATGAATTAGCATTCTTTTTCTTCTTCAAGGGCGCCTACATGCACTCGCAGAACCGACTGTTGGAGTACTATTTCAGCATGTTCGAGAACGCTGACCCTTCCTGCCCCAATGCCGTTGAAATCAGTATCATCGGCCGCCGTTCCATAATAACTATTGATCCAGAACATATCAAAGCAGTTCTTGCCTCGAATTTCACGCACTTTGGTAAGGGTGATCGCTTTCACTCGACCTGGGAGCCTTTCCTCGGGGATAGCATCTTCACTACAGATGGGCAGCTATGGCAGCAGAGCAGGACCTTGATCCGACCCATGTTCCTGAAGCAGAAGATTCGAGATATGGAAATTATCGAAAGGTGGAGCGATGTGATGATTTCGAAAATTCCTCCGTCTGGACACACGGTCGATATCAGCGACTTGTTCTATCGCATGACGCTTGATGCTACAACGGACTATCTGTTGGGCCACAGTGTTGAGAGTCTTGAGAAGTGAGATATGCATTACGTTTATTTGTTCCTACAAGAGCCATCCTATTTGTCATAGGAAGCCGACTAACTCGCTGCCAGCCCAAGGGGTGAATTCTCAAAAGCGTTCACATACGTCCAGCGAAAACAAATGACTCTCACTCTACTTGCGTATGTGAATGCTCCTAGATCCCGTATACACAGCATTGAGGAGTGCTAACACCGCTGTCTAATAGACCCTTGCGTCGCTTCATCCCCAAAGGCGAATATAACAGGGGTATCAAGGTCCTCGAAGCATTCATCCAGCCTTTTATCGAAGCAACTTTGGCTCTCATTCCCGAAGAATTAGAAAAGATATCCAAGTCAGACAAAGAGTTCACGTTTCTGCATCAAATTGCCCTCTTTTCGCGAGACCCCAAAGTCATCCGGGATCAGATCATGGCAGTGCTGCTGGCGGGAAGAGACACCACCGCAGCGACTCTATCCTGGGCGCTTTACGAGCTATCTAATTATCCTGCGACCTGGCAAAAGCTGCGAAACCACGTTTTGCAGAAAGTCGGGCCGGATGCAGCGCCTACTTATGAAGATATTAAAGACTTGACGTACCTCACTCATACACTGTACGAGACGATGAGACTATACCCTGCAGTTCCGTTTAACATTAGAACATGCCGTGAGTAGCCTTTTCTCAGAGAGATATCTATATACCGTCAAGAGATTTAAGCTAACACATCCATAACAAGTCGAAAATTCAACGTTGCCGGGCATGCCAGGCCAACCCGACATTGCCACGCTCAAAGGTGATCACATCATCTATAGCACTCTAGCTATGCAGCGTCGCAAGGAGCTTTACCCTCCAGTATCAGAGACGTTCGCCGACCCAGCAATCTTTAGTCCAGAGCGATGGGAGCATTGGACACCCAAGCCGTGGCAGTTTGTGCCTTTTAATGGCGGGCCTCGAATCTGCATTGGGCAGAATTTTGCCATGACGGAGATGGCATTTATGAGTAAGTGATAGTATGAGTTTCAAAACGACTCATGAGACGATTACTTTGCTGGAATTATATGCATGTTGTGTTGATGAGTTGTGTTGACGAGCATGAGCTGACATTTCTTTTTCCTGCAGTGATCCGTCTCTTGCAAAAGTATGAGAGGATAGAGTATAGGGGAGATTGGGCGGCGCAGTATCTCAAGGCAGACATTGTGGGATGCCCTGGACAAGGAGTGCCAATTGCGCTGTACGAGGCAGAAAAGCGGTATTGAATGAAGGGAAGCTTGGGATTAACAGCAGCAGTCCAGGGTACCAAAAAACGAATAGGAGGTTATTTTTGGCGTCTTTCACAAGGGGCTGGAAGACTGTCTGTGTACCTGGGTAAAAGGGGGTCGAAGGTGCCGGTCAAATGTACACGAGACGAGCCGTTTATGCTAATTCATTTTGAAAACATTGCATGTGTCTGAAGTTACTCAATTCATCCTCTCAATAGGCTTAAAGCTTCACACAGCATAAAGCGTTTTGCTCTCGCAGTCTGCTAGATCCGAATAGCGATTTGCGTATTGCGTATGCTGCTGCGTATTCTGGCTTAGCCATTGCTTTATGCAGTCCAAGCTACGGCTTTTGGAATGTTTCGACGATTTTACCCTTTTATGTAATCCGGCAACTCGTAAAAAAGGGATGGTGTGTATACACGACGCCCTGGATATAATTTCAATCACCCAGCTAATGAGACCCCCCTATACGCAGCGGGGTAAATTCCCCTATAACGCCCGTGGAAGAACCCTGACACGCGGCTGATGCCGCTAACTCGGCAGCTTAAGGCGCCGCTGTGGCGTACGTAGTGGACACCTCAGCCCGATCGTCATATCACAGCAACATGAACATTGAAACAAACATTAAACGTTCAAACCCCCCGTGTGAAGCCCAGCCGCCACTCGTTGCCGTACAATCAGCCTCTCACATTCAATAAAGATTGACGAGAAGCTTCATCTCATACTCCCAGCATCATGAGAGAAAGAATCACCTACTTTCATCCGCCCCGTGCAGCCATCGACCCAAAGCAGCTGGAAATCAGGGACACAAAGGTCCAAGGCCCAGCCATAGAGGCGGTACGCGAGCACAAGATCACTCTGAATCTGCCGGATCTTCCCTCCGAGCTGGCTAGCCTTCTTCGTGATCTTCAAGACCTGCATCTCAGATGGGCAACGTCAGCGAGCTATGAGACTCTGGAGCCGTTTAGCTCACGCGTCTCTCCCGGTCTCCACGTCTCATTTACGCCTCTGAAGAAGGACTACGATCCGTGAGCCTCACCCTCTATGAAAATGTTAGAATATGAGACCCTTTGTGGCTAACGCCTGATGTAGAGAAAAACTGTGCACAGCTTTACAAGCGTTTGGACGTTTGGACTGCTCATCAGAAGAGGTATTGTCAATCACCGGTCCAGGCTTGACCTCTGACATTATGTGCCTAACCACGCTTATAGGTATACATCAGCCTTAATAACAAGGAGGAAAAAGCACCTTCTGCTTCATTTTTCTATAATGAACTCGAAAAATTAGATGGGTTTGCAAAGAGGCTCAGCACGGTAGTCTGCTCAGGGCCAACTGCCGGCGAGTGCAGGAAACAGCTGCAAGACCTCAAAAACGCCGCCAGCCTAGACATTTCTTACGCATCTGCCTCTGATTCGGTCAAGCTCCAAGCTCTATGGCCGCTGCAGCAACGCGAGATATCCGTTCCAGCATCACCCAAGGGCCGGACAGAAGTCGGCATCCTAGGCGTAGATGCGCCGCCAAACATGGAGGCTCATCAAATTGGCGCCTCGGGCGTGCTGACCGTCATCGGCGAGCACAAGGAGCCATCGCCGGTAATTTTCGCCTTTGAAGCCCGCCACAGGGCGGCGCCTGGCTCTTTCACGTCCAAATTCCAGGAACCAACAGGTCTGCATCCGACTCTGCAGCTGAGTCTGAGCGGAGCAGCCCCTCCGAGCGATGGCGAGGCTGAGTGCGCCCCGTACGCGTACTTCACTTTCCCCAAGGTGATCTTTGCAGACAGATACCAGCTGGCAGACGAGCTGTTCCTTGCATCTAAAAATCTAACAGCCACAAAATACGTCAGCGAGCCGGTGGATCTCGAAGCACCTGCATATACGACCAAGCCCTGGGGGTCGAATGTGCTTCTGGAGCTGGCACCCCCCCAGGATGGCACTGCAGAAACGGCTTGGACAGCTGAGGTTCCTCTTCACCTACGCTATCTCAAGCCAACCCCGACAGGCAAGGAAGAGGTCGGAATCCCGTATCCTGTGGTATTCTGGGCGTGTGACAGCGGCGAAGAGGTTCCCTACGCAGTCAGTCCATTCGACCGGGTCAATCTGGGCTACGACGGCTTATTTAGCCCAAGCACAAAGTTCTGGCACGTGAACCCCGAACCTGAGGCTGGCGGCCATCTTATCAACAACATCAAGGTCCCTGTGGTGACGGAGGGAGCATCTCAGTGGGTGGGCGTTGGAACAGCAGCAGTGGTGGCAGTGGGCTTTCTGTGGGTCTTGCTGAAGCTGGTGGGAGGATATGCCAAATCTGGACATTCGACAGTAACGGAAAAGGCTGGAGATAGCAAAAAGAAGCAATAGATATGGCAGAAAGTGTGAAGAGATGGTACGGTTATGACGGGATTGGATTAGAATGGATCTTGGGAGAGGCACGATATGCATGTGCAGGGGCAGCAGGTGTTTACTATAGAGGATTAATTTCATTTTCAAATTTTCAGCGTATCTCTTGGCAAAATGTCAGGCAAGCATATAACCATGCTTAATCCCGATCCCGGTATTTGCTTCATTCATACATGTCCCTGCTCCGCATTCGTCTCATGGTGTTCGATCTCAAGTCGTGATCCCAATTCCGTTCATGCAACCGCAGCACGTGACCCGGCAATCGGGGTTAACGACTCCGGCCCCCGGTTCTTTCTTGTTTATGGCCAGGCCCCCCGATCGGATTCAATGATGCAACGATGTCACCGACATCTGCGCGGCGCAAGGAAGAGGAAAAAGAAAAGAAAGAGGAAAGTGATTTAGCTGACGTATCTCCCAGCTATTGCTCCTGTTGAATTCCCCGACGTGGTACTTGCAGCCCCGGCACTCACGCTACGTTAACAGGAGGTACATCCGCTACAGCGAGGCTCCACTCCCGAGTTGGCAAAGAGAGACTCATAGCAAACGACTTCATTTTCTTCGGGTTGGGGGAGACACTGTCGGCATTGGAGGGGAATGTCACAGAAGTTCTGGAAAGAGAGGTGAATCAGCAGGAGAAAGAGACTTACCCCAATGGCGCCGACGCCCCCGTCAGCAGATTCGCCGAGTCACGATGAGAAGACGAGGCGGAATGTGGCGTGTGTGAACTGCCGGAATTCAAAGGCGAGTAACAAGGCTTCTTATAGACTGAGAATCATTCTGCTTGTAGCGGTTCTATTTTTTGTACATTTTTTATTTACGTTTCGTTCAAGTCTCGAGGCGGAGTTTATAACTGACCATGGTACAACCCTAGGTCCGATGCAAGTCGAGTTCCATCCCTGGCCAGCCATGCCAGAGGTGTGCCAAGCTGCAAATCTCATGCGTGGTCGATAAGTCTCACAAGAGGGTAACAAAACGAAGGTATATCCACATACACTCTCATATGATTTCACTTGAAGAAAATATATCCTATTCTATTCGCAAATCTAAATTGACTCTGCCTGTATAATGAAGCTTGATCATGCTAACACCCCCCTCTTAAAAGCAAGTTGGAACAGCTCGAACAAGAGCTGAGAAGCATCCAACAAGTCGTCAACAACAAAAAGGCCAATAGCGAATCTACATGGTCACCACCCAGTCCTTTGGCACCCTTCTCCGCATCTTCAGGCCAGACACCGCTCTCAACCATACTGAAACCGGCACGAACTCCCCTCTCCGTCCAGCTTGGGCCGTCGCCGCGCCCTCCTGAGAAGAGGCAAAAGAAGACTGGACCTACAGAAGCTCGCGTTCTAGACTCCATAATTATCTCTGGGCAAGATGTCGACTATTACTTTAGCAAGTACGTTCAGAACTGTTGCGCTCACCTCTCATGCTACTTATTAGTCGTAGACAGACGTCTAACAAGATAAACATTAGATATCTCCAGCACTTTCATCCCTTTCTCCCCATCCTACGCAAAAAAGAACCCGATGAATGCTACGACGCACAGCCCGTGCTTTTCTGGGCCATCCTGTACGTAACATGTCGTCGATACGCAAAGGACACCCAGCTCTTCAACGTACTCGTCGAGCACATGACCAAGAACCTCTGGCCCATGATGTCCAGCGCCGTGCTGGGCGTCGACGAGATCCACGCCATCCTCCTCGTCTGCGCATGGCCCTACCCGACCATCCGCTTCGTCACGGATCCATCATCCATGTTGGTGAACATCGCCATGAACGCGTGCATGTCGCTTGGTCTTCACACCGGCCGGGGATCGCACCCTCAGTTCTGTGTTGGAAGTCGACACTGCTATACGTCTACCGATGAGGAGGCTTCGTCAACCTGGATAGCGTGCTGCCTACTGGCGCAAAGGTTTGTTTTTCGCACTTTGGTATAGCAAATCACATGTCTAACGTTCCTCGAATCCGCCAGGATATCAGCAAGCGCAGGCCTTCCTCCTCCCTTCATGCAGCACTGCGACGCGCGTTGCAAAGCCGCCCTCGATTCCAACTACTGGGCCGACCTGCTCGCCACGTACGAGCTCCAGCGCTTCCTTAATCGCTTCCACATGGCCATGCACGCGCAGACCTCCAACGTGGGCAGCGTCCCGGAGAGCGCCATCGCAGTCTGGGAAACCGAACTGGAGACGCTCAAACCGCTGCTTGTCCGCTTCGACACAGGTAAAGACCCCGTCACTGGAGTAAATTCCGTGTATATAAGACTGACATTCGCACCGCACAGAAGTATCCCGCGTCTTCAAACTCGCCGCCCAGCTCGAAATCCAGCTCTTCTACTTCATGTCCCCCTCCTCCATCACCGCAAACAACAACAACTTCGCCATCAGCACAAACTACAGCACCTCCCCGCCCCAACCCGCGCCCCAAACCTCCGTCCCCGTGCCGCTCCCATCTTCAAACCCAACCCTCCAGCTCAACGCCCTAAAGACCTTCACCACCGCCCGCTCCCTCATCCACACCGTCCTCGACATCGACTCCCGCTCCAAATTCATCGCCCACTGCCCCGGCGTCCTGTGCCGCGCCCTCACCGACGCCGCCAACACAATCGTCTACCTCCTCCACTCTACCTGGGGTCCTAGTCAGGACTCTCTCTCCGCCGAGGAGGCCGACCTCCTCGCTCAGCAGGCCTACACCTCCATCATGCGGTGCTCCGTCAAGGAACAGGACATTTGGTACCGCGGCAGCGTCATCATGGAAACTTTCTGGTCCTTTAGGAGATACGTGCCCCGGTTCGACACCGTGCCTCCCTCATGGGTCAGCCGTGGCGGAGCGGGCATCACGTTTGCCTGTTTGGAAAAGTTCAAAAACGGCTTGCTCACGGCGCAGAAGAGCACAGATGGCGTGAACAAGTGCCTCGAAATTATCCGTAAGTTTTAATTTGCAGCCTTTTCAACCAGTATCTATCTTCCTTTTTTTTTAACACCAATCTCAGAATTCCGTACAGATCCATCTTCAGGCGCAAACACCGCCTCGCAAGACCAACAAATGACAAATAACGCACCCGTCAGCGATCCATTCCAAGATGTAGACTGGTCCATGTTTATGGATGATTTCGGCTGGACCACGGGAGAAGATGGTGTACTGATTGGGCTCATTTAGAATGGATACAATTCAAAGCATCTTAGCCTTGTCTTCTTCTTTTTCTTTTGCGTTATACCATTAATTATCACAAGTCGCACGTTACAAGTCACATTAGATAGAGTCACATTAGTTTTTATAATTTTTTTTTCATGTATTTTCTATCTGTGAGGCATTAGAGCAGATAATAAAACTTTTAGCAATCATTGAAAACCAGAACACTGCTTGCCTCTTCCACCTTAAACGCCGGATATGTCCCATATGCAAGGAATAATGACTCCTTTGTCAATCTGATTTAATAAAAACGTGCTTAATCATAAATGTCTTCGTCCATATCTTCTCCAACAACATCCTCAACATCATCCGAATCAAACATTTCATCATCATCATCATCTGTTCCGCTGTCAGGGTGATTCGACAGCACAACAATTCTGTTGTCGTCGAGTTCCACCCGAGCAGTCTCGCCATCGCGAATACTGTTTCGCAGGATAAGGATGGCCAGTTTATTCAGCACTTCCTTTTCGATCAGACGAGCCAGAGGTCGAGCACCGTACGCAGGTGAGTATCCTGCGTTGCCCAGATAATCCTTGGCTTCCTCCGAGACTGATATAAAGACCTTGCGGCCATTGTCTTCCAAACGCTTCTGGATCTCGGAAATGCGCAAATCGACAATCTTGCGAATTTCCTTGCGTGTAAGCCTGTTGAAGATGACAACGGAGTTGATGCGGTTCAAGAACTCGGGAAGGAAGTAGTTGCGAAGAGCGCCCATGACCAATTCTCGACTATTGCGGTCAACCTTGCCCTCTTTCACGCCCGGGCGGACGAGATACTCGGCTCCAAGGTTGGAGGTCATGACGACAATACAGTTCTTGGCGTCAATAATTCTGCCTTGGCCATCAGTGATGCGGCCGTCATCCATAAGCTGGAGAAGCACCGTCAAGATTTCCTTGGCCGCCTTCTCTACTTCGTCGAAGAGCAGGATTGAGAAGGGTTTGCGGCGAAGTGCTTCAGTCAACTGACCGCCAGCATCGTGTCCAACGTATCCTGGGGGAGCACCAATCATACGACTCAGTGCATGTCGTTCTTGGTATTCTGACATGTCGAAGCGAATCATGGACTTTGGATCGTCGAACAGGAACTCAGCCAGGGCCTTGGTAAGAAGCGTCTTACCAGTACCGGATGGACCGCAGAACAAGAAGCTAGGCGGCTGGTTGGGATTGGAAAGGCCTGAGCGTTGAAGTCGGATGGCATTGGCGACTGACGTGACAGCTTCCTTTTGTCCAACCACGACCTTGCTCAAGACCTTTTCCATCTGAATGAGCTTCTCCTTCTCTGACGTCCTCAATCGGGTAACTGGGATGCCGGTCCATCGAGCCACAATCTCATTGATGTTGTCTGCAGTCACGATATCGGTGACCATGACACTGGTGTCGCCGCCGCTAGCCGCGTTGAGGGCCACATCTGCAGCATTCTTCTTATCCTCAAGCTTCGCGATCAAAGCCTCTTGTTCCAGAATGGCGCCGTATTTGAGATCGGCGGCTCGCTGGTGGTTTCCTGCGTTGATGGCATCCTCGAGACGCTTCTTCAAATCTTCAAGCTTGTCTTTGGCCTGGTGAATTTCATCATTTCGTTTAATATCGTTTTGGTACTTTTCACGGAGGGGCTGAAGCTCCTCCTCGACATTCTGAGCATCTTTCTTGGCCTGCTGCAAGCGGACCTTTGATGCCTCATCATGCTCCTTCTCCAAGGCCGCAATTTCAATCTTCAGCTGCCTCAGTTTGCGCTCTAGAGAGTCAATGACTTCGGGCTGAGACTCTCGAGCAACTCGAACTGCTGCTGCGGCTTCGTCGATAAGGTCGATTGCTGAGTCGGGCAAGCGTCGAGAAGTAAGGTAGCGAGCGGCAAGGTTGGCGGCAGCCACCAGGGCGCTGTCAAGGATGCTAACCTTGTGGTGGCTGTCGTATTTGCTCTTCAAGCCACGCAAGATGGAGATGGTTTCGCTGATGGAAGGCTCCTTGACCAGAACCTGCTGGAAACGACGCTCAAAGGCGGCGTCCTTTTCCACATACTTGCGGTACTCTGCCAATGTCGTAGCACCAATACAGTGAAGTTGACCACGAGCCAACATGGGTTTCAGTAAGTTGGCAGCGTCCATACCGCCCTCACCCGACGAGCCGGCTCCCATGAGAAGATGAATTTCGTCAACGAAAAGAACAATCATTTCCTTTGACTCGGTAATCTCTTTCAAGACACCCTTCATTCTCTCTTCAAATTCACCTCGGAATTTGCTGCCGGCAACAAGCGCACCGACGTCGAGTGAAAGCAGCTTACATGCCTTTAGGTTGTCGGGAACATCTCGGTTGACGATTCGCTGCGCCAGACCTTCGGCGACGGTGGTCTTTCCAACACCGGGCTCACCAATAAGAACCGGGTTGTTCTTTGTTCGGCGAGATAGGATTCGCACGACTCGTCGGATTTCTTCTTCTCTGCCAATGACGGGATCGATTTTCTTCTCTCTGGCCAGGGCAGTCATGTCAATGGTGAATTTAGCCAAGTTCTCGTTCTCCTGCTCAGTATCTGCGTTTTTGCTGTCGACCCGGCGGGTTCCACGGATGGCCTGGACGGCCTCTTGCACGAGCTTGGGCTTGGGAATGTTGCCCTCTTTCAACGCAGCCTGTATGCTGGCATCTTCCGTCAGGGCCGTAATCAAGTGATCGACAGCAATGTAAGTATCCTTTTGGACCTTTTGCAGTTCTTGGGCTTTTCGTAGAACAGCATGGAACGAGGGTGACAGAGAGACCTGGTCTGGAGGAGGGTCTTGGCTTGGTAACCGCACCAAACTCTTCTTCAGAGCTCGGTCGAGCAGTTGAGGGTCTCCGTGAGCTCGTTCGATGGCTTGTCGGAAGAGGGTGATTGTGTTCTGCTGAGGTCCATTCTGCTGGTCCTTGGACAGATCGATGGAGGGTTCGAGTAAGGAGACAGCCAGATGCACTGGCAGAAGCTGTGAGTGGCCGTACTGCTCGGCCATGGACATGGCGTCCTCGATGGCCTTTTGAGCACGGTCTGTGAATTCCATTCGTGAAGTCATGGCGAAAACGTGCGGAAATCAGTTGAAACGTGTAAAAGGGTATGGTTTGATGTACTGAACTCTGTAAGAGTAACAGTTGTAGCGAGTTGTTAAACAGTGGTAAATGCAAAAGCGGGATATTAAGTAGTGTGAATAGAGTAGAAGGAATAAACGGCGTATGCGTTATAGTCCGTCCGTTTTGTTTGTTTGTTGTTCGTTTGTGTTCGTCGTTTTGCACAGCAAAGCGGATTAGCAATCAAGCAAGCAAACAGCGTTGCAAGTCTTGGGCTTGAGCCTCTGCGAGTTGTAGAGAGTAAAGGATGAAGATTCAAAAAAAGCGTCACGAAAACGAGGAACGGCGTCAGCAATTTATCTAGCGTTGGGTGGAGTTTCAGCCCGACAAGTGGGCAGACAGCTGGCACCTCCATGAAGCTGCGAGAGAGCCCGAGGAGCTGCTCGAGCTGCCCAGAAGTCACTGGAACCCTGAAGATCATCCTGATGTCACTAGAAGCCTAGAACCTAGTAAGCTTGGGCACGCCGCGCGAAGTGGGGAGCGCGCCGTCTGATTGGTGGAAGCACAGACAATCTAATCGAAAACCTCGATGTCACATGACTCCCATGCAGTCTTTCATTGTTTGGATGCGATTCTCTGGAAGCAGAAACTTTGCGCGGGCTAAATCGATGACGGCAGCCATGAATCACTCGAGACTTGGGCAAGGCCAATTGCTGGGCCTCCTGAGAGCCGGAGCGCGGTATTCGCACTCGGGTCGGCCTCGAGGAGCTGCAGCGGGGTCGCAGAGCGCAGAGAGCCATGGCGAGGACATTTGGGTGTTCGCCCACAGAAGGTCAGACCAGGTGATTTACAGCTTCAGCAAGGTATTGGATGTAAGTGGCTCTATTTCCAGATGAATCTCTTATCGCATCACAAGTGCTTACTTACCGGTATTCACAGGGTTTCCAGGACCTGAAACAGCTGCCATTCAATGGCAAGAAGACCAAGCCAGCAAAGCTTCGCAAGGATTACTGGTCACCCCTCGCTCACATCCGATTCCAGCCCGGCCAGGGCTCCGTTGGCCGCTCAGTACTCCAGAAACTGCGGGAGTTGAAGCACCTCCACGAGGTTGCGTGGACAGACGAATTGCGACACAAGCGGCCGGAAGAATTCAGCAGCCAGGACAAGAAGAAGATTGCCGCGGAGAAGGACAAGGGAATCGATTACCAGCCCATTCGAAGCAAACAGGAGCGTGGAATTGCCCTTAATGCGCAGAAGAAAAATGCAATTGCCGACATGGCAGCTGTTCTAGCAGGCCGCGGCCGCGGCAACAAAATTGTGACTGCTGAGACTGAGGGGGGAGGCAAGGAACTGGTGGATGTCACAGTCAGCTGGGCCAACGACCAAGATAAGAAGTTTGCCGAATCGTGGTCAAAAAATGTCACACACTCTCTTTTCGAGGTGCCGGCATATATCGGAGGAGAAGCCGAAACGCAGGTTGCGAAGCCAGCAACCGCGTAAGGAAAACAAATTAAAAAAAAAAAATTCAAATTAAACTGGAGAATGTGAATTGACGTGGCAATTACTGGAGGGAGGAAAAATCGCGACTGGTATCAGCTGTAAAAGGATATTGTGGATGGTTGGTTGTACATTAACGGAAAGGTGGTTGTTTACGATACACGAAGTCTTGTTACTAAAGGCGATGTTGATTACGGATATATAAAAAGACGATAGTCGGTGGGCCATTGGAGCCAGACCGATATACTGTATCATAGACCAAAAACAAAACAAAAAAGACAAGTTCTCTAAAAGAAAGATGTCACTCTCTTCCGTATATGTACCGTGTACCCAGATGTCGTAATTCATTAAACAGAAATGCAAAATTGTTTCAAATATTCGTAGTGGGGGATATTCTCATCAACGGTCTGGCGAATCAGCTTTTGCGCCTCAGGACCATATTTTTCCGACCATTCCTTGTTCTCAGACTCAACGGTTGAGGTTTTCTGTGTAGCTCGATTATCAGTTACATGTTGAAAGGGTAGAGAATGCTACTTAGTAGTGTCAACATACCTGAGCATGAGATCGTGCCTGGAAACAATTCGTCTTGAGCACATCATCATGGAAGCCATTCCACTTGGCAAACATCTCCGCCGCATGCTCCTTATCCTCCTCGCTCCAATTCAACATCTGCGGCTTGAAATCGACGCCGATCCTCGCGCAGTACTCTCGGATAACCTGCTCCGGCTTGTCAAGCAGATCATCCGCGTCAATGGCCGTGATGTGGTCCTTGTCGACGATTCCACGCTCAAGCAAAAAGTCTAGGAGCCGAACAAGCTCTACGTAGCCCGCCTCGTTGGGCATGAGGTAGTCGAATCCGGTGATCTCGCTCAAGGGAGGGATGGTGCAGCGGTAGTAAGAAGGGATTGAGCGCTTGGGGTGGCGGATGAGAAAGGTAAAGTGGAAGCGCTTTAGTATGTTGACAGGCAGAACTGTTGGGTTTCCGGCTTCTTCGCCGCCTCCAAGAGAGGGTGCGATTTGTGATGGCTTGCCATCGGGTTGCATCAGGTAGTATGCCATGTCCTTGATGAATAGGCGTTTGCCCTAGTAAGTGTGAGCATCGTTCCAATTCAGCTTTTGACATTCAATCCCGAGATATTGCTAGGGCAATCGAAACGGAGATTCAATGTGCAGATTTGCGGGACAAAAACAAAGGACTGAGACACCGATTTGATCCTCAAGAGGCTTGCATATAAGCCCCCTCGTGACGACTCTCCCACTTGGGATTTACACCACGGTTGTATCAAACAGCGAAATTCTTTTCTTTTTTTTTTTCAGCACTGGGAGAAATTCTAACCTCTTTTTCTGCATCCTCAAGTCTCTCCAAGACACTCTTGTAAGTAGTATCCCGGTACTGTGAGCTCTGGCGAGTGGCAACATCATCCCTGAACCGGTCGCTCATAAACTCTGGGCCAAAGTAAAAGGCATCACCAAACGGCTCGTGAGCACACTCTAGGATATCACGGCGAGCCATAAACACCTGGTTTTCCATGTCAGTAAAACGACAGAAAAAAGAAGTGTGTTTATTCTGAAGCTTTTCACGTACCCTTTCAAAAGCCGTAGAGCAAGCTCTGGGGTGAGTAGCAGCGAAAATAGGTCGGGGAGCCATGATTAAGACTAGCAAAACTGAAAGATTCAGAGTTTTACTATTCAAAAATAAAAAAATGTTAGGTAGGCAGAGAAATAAGAGAAAAGTAAATACAACATAGATCAGCGGGAATTTAGAATCTCACAGGGGGCCACGGGACGGGAGAGAGCACGTTAAATAAAAACTAGATTTCGGGCCATCGCGCTCCAGATAGGAGATGGGAACCCTCCAGGTACCTGAACCTTGCCATCGGCTCTACCTCTTCTTACGAGCAAAACCAAGATTATACATACCAACCTATCAGGTACCCTCCCACCGCCGAGGGACCGAAACCATGTCGCTTCTTTTTCCGGATCGATTCCCCAGGCGGCGTTCCCAAGCGGGCTGGCAGCCCTTCTGAGACATGTGAGTGGTGATCAGAGGCCCAGCCCAGCTTCGGAACGTCGCCCATGGGACGCCTCGCTCGCAGCCGCTGCCTCTAGTTCCTCGCCCTGGAGCGACTTATATGGACCCGTCTCCACATGTACCTTGCCGTCCAAGCCTTACAGGGCCTGTTGCCATTCACCCCTTGGGCTTCCCGCTGAACCAGCCTTGCTTTTCTCGACGTCATGCTGTCTTCATGAGTTGGTCGTCTGTCAAGGGCTAAAGGGGGGGAGGGATCGAATCGAGCAAGGCCAATAGGACGTTGGAGGGGCGCTATCTTTGCTGCTGCTGCATGTCATTCTAGGCGAACCTCGATAAGGGATAGACAGGTTGGAGAAAAAGACTCAAAAGACTGGTTATAAAATTCCTAGTCATGGCTGGGATGGGATGCAAAAGCTTGGACAGACGTGGCCGAGCTGGCGGATGTGATAGGTGGTGTATCTGAGAAGAGGAGAGCCGAGATAGCATGCCGTCCAAACCGGAGCAGAGCATCCAGCTACAACGTAATAAAAAGTAGCCTACTTCCTTCAAATTTCTCCCAGCGGAATGCCCGTGACTCTCCGCAAAAGCGGGCAGCGTTTATTATACCCTAGAATAAATAACATTTCGCTGGACAGAAACGGCGATATTTTCGTGGATCTCAGGCCTTTATTATCGCAACGGCGACCCCACGCCGACAGCCCGACCAGAAGCTGGTCGCCACCGAAGCCTCTAATTGGCCCTGTCGGCGCCCAGAGACAGAAAAGAACTAGGGGCCCAAGAACGCCGAGAAGCCGTGGGATTTCGAGGACATGCTACACGTCACCGTTTTGAGCGGCTGCAAGCGGCTTGTAACCTGTCAGTTGATCTGGGTGGCGCTGCTACCTATTCTGATGTGAGTGTCTTTCGATCACCGGTTCGCATAGGTGTACATGTATACAATGTCCCTTGTAGATCTCGAATTTTCGGTGTAAATATAATGCATTTCTGACTCTTATTTTCATGTGCGGTCGTCAAATCATATATCTGCTCTACCACATCCATCACGAACAAAGACAAAGGCGAAGGCAAAGTCGCACCTCTTGCAAATGCCAAGATCTCGCCGATGAGGCGGTCAAGCAGCCATCGTCAGCTAAATCCTGGCAAAGGAGGCTCACCAAACAGCGGGACAGGGCCGCGCAGATACTGTAGCAGATGCAGCAGTCGCTCGCAATAACTCAATTGGGATAGCAAGGTATCTTGCTTGTACTTGGTAAGATTTGCTCTCCGTATGTATACAAAATTGTTATCTTTAAATTTCTTCTCTTGTTTTTTCCCTGTTCGTTTCCTTTTGGCTGATGCAGCAGTTACCTATATCGCTCCCAGCTCCCCAGCAGCCTCCAGTTCTCTGCAGCCCGGTCAATGGTATCCAGCGCGCCTTTTACTCTCCCATCGGGGTCGTCGTATTTATTACCCTCGAACTCGATGAAGAAGATGTACTGGAAGGGAGCCAATAAGCTCGGCCTGCTGTTGATGCTCGTCAGATTCAGGTCGTACGCCTTGAAGCCGCCCAAAACTTCTGCGAGAGCACCCGGGGATGTGTGCGGCACGGTAAACGATATCAAAGTCCTGGTGCTGGCCTTTCCCACCGACTGGTTCACCAGACCCCAGTCTTTAGGGACCGGAGTGTTCTTTCCGATGATGAGGAAACGTGTGGTGTTGTCGTCACGATCCTCAATAGATTTTGCCAGCATATCGAGGCCCTCCATAAGGTTGGCGGCGAGCTCGCTGGAGATGGCGGCCCAAGTGCCGGTTGTGTCCTGGCTCACAATCTCAGCGGCTTTACTGGTCGAGCTGACATCGAAAATCTCGACGCCCTTGAGATATGACGAGATGAAAGCGTTGCACTGGCCGAAAGCCTGGGGGTGAGAATAAAGCCTCTTGATGTGCTTCAGGTTTGTAAAGGGCTTCGACTTGGGCTTTGAAGGGCGAGGATCTGAAAGAGTAGGCGTGCATGTCCCCGATCCGTCGCCGTGGTCGTCTAGGTCCAGCAATGGCGACGGATTCTTGTGTCCAACTAAGCAGTGATGAACGTCGACGAAGATTTCTCCATCGACAGTGATGTCTTTGTACCGGCCATTGCGGTCGGCTAGATTATCCAGCGTGAACACGACTGAGCCATTTGTAGAGTTCTCAATGGGGACCACGCCGGCTTTCACCTCTCCGAATTGGACCTGGTCGAAGACGTCTAACACGCAACGTTATTAGCTGGCCAACATGATGCACTTTCGGATTGACGTGCCATCTATCGTAGCTGCAGGTCTTAATTCCCACGAGGATTCTGGGAAGACTTGGCGAACCGCCTGGATAGCATATCTCCATTAGCCTTCCAGTCTGTTTCTTCACAATGACTAACACAAGCATTACCTGATGCGAATATGAGGCGATAGGGCCTAGAAAGCTCACCACAGGCTTCCCAGATGAAGCCATGCCGAGTGTACAGAGCTAGCTGATTACGTAGGAGCAAACTGAAAAGCCAACTGCCGCCCTGTTGCGGATATTGGCGTTGATGTTCAAAGGAGACACGGTTTTGTTACCTGCGAGCTTCAAGCTCCAAGCTCCAAGCTCCAAGCAAGCTCCTTGCTAGTCCGTTGACGTTGCCGAAGATCGGATATACTGCGTTTAGGAAAGTGGGGAGAAAGAATTTGACAGTATTTGCTAAATCGCAAATGAATCGTGTGTTACTAAGTCTCGTATTGGCTGCTGTTACTGCTCAGAAATCTACAAAAGAAGTGAAAAAAGAAGAGACGATAAAAACGTGACAACTCAAGAGCTATCCCAAGCTTCTTTTGTGGCGCCTGACATAAGGATGACTGTGACGTCTGAAAACAGGGCGCCTTATGAACGAAGTAACGTCTTAACGGGAATAGCACGATGTAGTCGGCAGTTACTGCTAGTGCGCGACTAAGGGCCATCGCGGGGTCTGTAAAAGGGCGCCATCTACGAGCGCTGGAGCAGGCCGTCATCTAGCTGGCTGCGATATCGCGGAAAGCTTGGAGACGTCTGGATCAAAATTGACAATTGCGGAGCTTCAGCAGCACAACTCGGTTCTCGCGGAACTAGTCACGGGACAGAGAAGATTGCTGCTATTTTTACATGCTGCCGAATTCACGAATCTTGTCGTGCGAGGCCGCCATTGATTTCTTGCGCACAGCAGATCTGTGTCCCACTTCCATTAATAGGTGCAGCAGCGCCTACTTAATCTTGTCGCGTATCGTCCTTGCTACTAGTACTGTGCAATGTAATGTAATGTGTAATTAATCATAGGTGATTGTTCCGCTGTGATATGATTAAAGGATGTGATGAGCAAAGACACGGCGATACGAGACACGCAGTCACGGCGGCGCAAAATGAGGGCGTCCGCTGTTTGGGGTTGATTGCAGAGTGAAATGAGCTGCTGATGCAAACAGATTGATTTGTTAAATGGCTGCTACGCAAACCCGCCTCGCCGTGCTTGCGGAGCATATCCCGAATCTCGTCTCTGCCTTACCGGAGTAGGCAGTCTGGGCCTTCGGTGCATCGCATCGCATCACGCATCTAAGCAGGGGGGCCTGCCCGTGATTCGCATCGGCCCAGCCGTCTGCCTCTGACATGATTGGTGAGCTGTTTCAAGCGCCAGAGCCTGTCAACACGACGTGAAACACGATGCGCGTGCAGCGCTATTTGGCCCTCGTACACTTGTGCCGATCTGACTGGACGGCCGCTTTCTGGGTGGAAACACGCTGGGAGCAATCACTGGTAGGAGGTATGGGACATGCAGTTTTTAGAAAATAAAGAACCATTTTCTCTATAATTGCAGCAGCTTTGGTACATCGCTTAGCAGCTGGCTGACTCTAGTTTTGATAGATTGCGTGGGCCAGAAAAAAAGGAAAAAATCCTAGGGAGTTCTAGAAGCCTAGTAAAGCTTGGGTATCCCTTGCTTGTAAGACGCCAACAGCCGATCAACAGGCCCGCATATGATGATCTTGAAAAAAGAAATGCAAAGAGTAAAATGTAAAAATAAAATACAAATGCCTGTCATGACTAGAAATTGGTGTACTCATACTAGCATCCGCAGTGGAAGAATACCTTGGGGATGAGATCGGGAATCAAGCGGGTCTCTAGCAAAGTTCGTCATTGACGTCCAAGCTCCCGCTAGGGTCTTTGTCTATATTCTTCCTTCTCATTAATGTTTCTTCTTACATGTGCTTGTTTCTTATTCAACTTCAATCCTGCCAGCATCTTCCTTGCATCCAAACTAGCATACTGCCTCCATCAGCCAATCTGACGCTTCCTGTATTCCGATTTGTTTCGCTGCGTCTACGGCACGAATACTTGGGCACAAACAAAACCAGCTTCCCGTATTACTGCGCAGCTGTGGCGGCCACACTACGAGGGAACGGGCCATCAAAATGCGGTGGGTGCGATGAGACTTCGAAACGCCGCTGGTTTCACGTTTTGCAGGTGACGGGCCTATCACCGGCGCCAATCTCCACAGGGGTCGTGGGGCTACCGCACCGCAAAAGGGCCCCGTATTGGGCGAACCCTGAAAATGGCTCGCGGAACGCGGAAGAGCGTACAGCTTGATGCTGGCGATGGTGATGATGGTGATGCCAGCAAAGACGGGGTTTGTTATGGCATCAATTCCCAAATTAGGTCCTTGTGGGAGTTCTAGTGATGCCGCTGTCACCCATATCTGGATGCATTGTACGGCTTCTGTAGATGTGATGCGATGGGTGGAGATGGGATTCAAGCATGCATCTCTTACCAGAGCATGGACGCCGATCCATCGACAGCAAAGAGCCTTCGGCTGTAAGCAGCTGCTAATTCAAAGCGGATGCGCTCATTATACTTGTAGTATCTTCATGTACAAGTACACATCTATTCCAGTACATTGTAAGCTGGCCAGATAAGCAAAGACGGCTTCATCGTAATCCTATCTATATTCCCATGTCGCCATCTGTATATTGACTCGGTGTGGTCACCTGGGCACAACTCGATACCCTGTCCATCTGCGGATCCGGCTTGCTGTTTATATCACAGCGCAACCCTGATACAGATGCTCGCTCTGCCGTGCAAACATCGAGTTTTCCACCAGCTCTGTGTCAGGCCTGGCCGTGCGGTGGCTACTCTGCACGACAAACGCGCTGTCAATGACTTCTTGTACCTGAAAACCACTAATTCTGTACTCGTACCTGAGCCACTTGCTCTTAGCGCCAGGCCCCAGAAACACCGACCGCACGCTGAGATACCGCAGGCCGGCACTTGGGGGCCGCTCCTTTCATTAACAAGCCGCCACGATCTTCAGGCGCGCCGCCAACCAGCGCCTTGGAAACGCGCAGCTCCAGCCCGACGCTCGTCGCACCCTGTCGCAGGTTTCACGTCAACTCTGCCTGGCCCGCGGCGACTCTTCGTGCACTGCCCGCAGCTCCCAAAGACCCAAAACCCGCGCTTCTTCAGCGCACCTTTTTAGCGCATCGCTGCTGATTTCCACGAGGGTACAGGGGGGAGGCCCGCCCGTAGCGTAGCGGCCAATCGCCACCAATCGCCCATCTGCCTACCGTACGAGGAGAAGCGCCCCCGCCTCGCCTCCTTGCGCCGCTATTTTTCTCCTACACTTCGTGCCGGTCATCGTGGCTTGCTTTAAACTGCTCCAGCTGGCTCCCCTTTTCCGCTCTTTGTTTTTTTTTCCTTTTCCCTTTCGGTATCGTTGAGCGAAACTTCAGCAGCCGGGAGCCTCTGTCGTGACGAACCGCCGCAGCAGCCCGCGCACGAGGTGGCTTGCAGTCCTGGGCGTTGAATTGAAGGCGGACGAGAAATACACGAAGACGGGCGGCGACGAAGACGAAATTGAAAAAACCTGGCGGCGAAGAGCCACCACAACACAAGACTTACAATCACCTGGGGTCCCATCTACATTCAACGACATCTGTAGACGCAGCAGGCCGCGTTTGCAATCAAAAGAACAGCATAATTCATCTCCCATTCGCATCAGGATTCCGACGAGCCCTTCATTATTAATAATTACAAACGCAAAAATTATATAAAAAGACACAAGTACATAAAAAATCACAGACACGATGGCAATGCTCGCGAAAACCACGTTCCCCATGGGCGGCGCTCCCACCATGGTCACCACCGACTATTCGTCTGGCCTACCGACTTCAAGAAGAATTCCCGCCGTGACTGGCAATTCCCATGGCGGCGGCTATGCGAGCCCGGCAGAATCAGACTACTCCGACTCTGAGGGCCCGGACTCGGTCAAGAACTGGGACGAAGACAGAGTGTGCGACTATCTCGCGAGCGTCAAGTGTGGAGAATACGAGAAGCTGTTTCGCAAGAATCACATCAATGGCGAGAACTTGCTGGAGATGGACAAGGAGGTCCTCAAGGAGATGGGAATCGACAAGGTTGGCGACCGCGTGCGCCTCTTCCTCAGCATCAAGAAGCTGCGCACAAAGGCTTATGCCAACCAGAAGAAGCGACATAGGGTGAGGTTTTTCCTTCTTCTTATCCATCCACCTCTCATCGAATATGCTTGAGGTCAAAAGCAGTGAGAGAAAAAAAGCTAACGTTGGTTGTCTTAGGACTCATTTGCTGCCCTAGATATCCTTCCCGTACAGGCTTATGGTAGCTCTCCCAAGGTGCCAAACGCACGATCCGCGCCCGGGAACAAACGCTACTCGAGACAGGTCGACATGTCTGGCGCCGGCGCCTCCGACCACGGAAGACCTACATCCCGGCCCGGCTCTCCTCAACAAGTACCGGATGTGCGCACGAGACAGCAGCCTCAGCAGCCTCAGCAATATCTCCCTGGGAGAGGATATGTGGCCCACGGGAACTCGAGCAACCCGTCGCCTAGTTCTTCCAGTGGCCGATTGGTTACCGCTCACACGAGGAACCAGTCCAGCGTGGATGGCTCGCTTATGGCTACTTTGCCTCAGGGACAGCATATCATTCGTGTCATTTCCACTGGTGGCGTCACAAAGGTCGTCAAGATTGCCGAGTGCAACACCTGTGAAGATGTCATGCGTGTCACTCTGCGCAAGTTTGGCCTTCGCGAAGATCACGAGCGAAACTATTGTTTCTGGGTTTTGGCCGGTATAGATGCCGACCCCCAGCAGTGCCGCCGCCTGGGCGACACAGAGCTATGGCGCATCATCCAGAACCAACGGAGGCCGGAGCGTAACCGCTTGATTCTCAGAAGGGTGCCGGCTGGAGAACCGGGTGAGCAAGAGCTGCAACGCGCCGCTCAAATTGCCATGGAGGAGGCGCAGCAGAAGCACGCGCGGGCGCTGGAAGCCGTAGACAAGAGGAGTCAGCTAAAAGTACAAAAGGTGCTGGGCGAGAGCTGGAATGAGAAGCTACAGAATCCCCTATCACCTATTTCTTTTGCTGCCCGAGAGCGAAACACAGCCAACGCATACCGAGAGCTCGACCGGCCTTTATCGCCCGATCGCAACCCGATGAGAAAGGTGGGACTCCGTCAATTCGGCGGGCTCCGTCCACCGAGCGAACTCATCGCCTCGGATCTTACCTCTTATTTCCCTGATCATGCCCGCGAGGACATTGATCGGACCGCCAGGCTATCTATGAGGAGATCGACCCGCTTGAGCAAGATCAATAGCCGGCTCAGCGTGGCGAGCAACTTGAGTTTTGCCTCGAGCATCCAGGATGCTCCTCCCATCCCTACCATTGCCGACTCCTGGCTGGGTGGAAACGCTCATGTGGCCAAGCTTCGCTCTCAAGGGCGAGCTCCCACCATCTACAGCAGGGATTCAATTGCCTCATCGATGCTCGGACCTCTGCAAGAGGAGCCGTCGTCACCTACGGAGCCAAACCGCAAGTCCTACGTGTCGTTTTCGGATGCAAGCGATACTACTGGCCTCAGCGTTACGGACCCTGAAGGCAACACGACAAGCACGAGCTATTACGACGCAGATGGGTCCACAGGCTCTGGCTCTTTCCAGGAGCTGCAGCAAGCGCTCAACAACGACGACGATGAAGCTGATGAAGAGCTAGAGAGCTTTTTGGCAGGAGACTCGTGGGATGACAACAAGTGGATGAAGGGAGCACTTATTGGCCAGGGATCATTCGGTAGTGTCTTCCTGGCACTACATGCCGTGACGGGCGAACTCTTGGCCGTTAAGCAAGTTGATATGCCTGCTCCTGGCGAGAATGGCCCAGCCGATAGCCGGAAGAAGAGCATGATTGATGCTTTGAAGCGCGAAATCAGCCTTCTCCGAGAGCTGCGCCACCCCAATATTGTGCAGTATCTGGGATGCAGCTCTTCTACTGATAATCTCAACATTTTCCTCGAGTACGTCCCTGGTGGCTCGGTGCAGACCATGCTCAACTCGTATGGAGCCCTGCCAGAGCCCCTGGTTCGCAGCTTTGTGAGGCAGATTTTGACGGGCCTGTCCTACCTACATAATATGGACATTATTCACCGCGACATCAAGGGCGCCAATATTCTGGTCGACAACAAGGGCACAATCAAGATTTCCGATTTCGGCATCTCCAAGAAACTGGAGGCATCCAATATTCTCAACGGCGCTGCTAACAACAAGCACCGGCCATCGCTTCAAGGATCAGTGTTTTGGATGGCGCCCGAGGTCGTCAAGCAGACCTCGTACACGCGCAAGGCTGACATTTGGTCTCTTGGATGCCTCGTCGTCGAGATGATGACGGGGTCGCATCCATTCCCGGACTGCAGCCAGCTCCAGGCCATTTTCAGGATCGGTGGCGGGAAAGCAACTCCTACCATTCCAGAGCATGCTAGTGACGATGCGAAGACGTTCCTGAACCAGACCTTTGAGCTGGATCACAATCTGCGCCCCAGTGCTGACGACTTGATGCTGAGTCCTTTCCTCGCTCAGATTACTTGAAGGAAAGACGGCTTCTCTACTTTCACATCTATTCGTTCTTGATTTTGGTTTTTTTAATTTTTGCGTCGCATTTTCTGTGGACCCAACAAGGCAGGCACCCGTTCCAGATGAACAAGCTATCAATAGACGCAATTGCGGTGGTTTTCTTCTGTTCTATTTCTTTTTTGCTTTTCTTTGGAAGGTGGGATTTTATTCAATACATCATTTGCAGAGACGGAGAACTTGGATTTGCTTTGAACAGCTATGGTAAAAAAGAAAATGTGTTATGGAAACTTTTTGCAGGGCTGCTTGTAAGAGGGAATATTTGCAGGGATCTCTTTTGCAAAGTAGTAAGCCTCACGAGAGTCGGAGGCAGCCTGCGGGGGGGAAGGCTGTGGTGGTAATGACGAAGCATGAGATTTGAGGTGGAGGGGGAGCATTTAAGAGTGTATTATATGAGACTTGGCATGAATGAATTATGATTACTTGATACCTGAAGAGGAATGTTTTGCCGTATCGTGCTGCGTGTTGTGTTGTAACTTTTGTGATTTGTATGGATTGCTTAGGTAGTTGTATTTCATGCACTTGTACCTGGTCAATCACAAAGTCATCTCCCAAACACATTTGCAACAGTTACAACGAGCCGCAACCCCGCAGAGAAGGAAAGAGAATTCCCAAGAAAACATTGGGCTGTGAATTATCATTCCACGGCTGGCGGCCTAATTGCCAATTGTCCATGGAGGTATCCGGCCACGGTGACATTCTGCTTTGCTGCCTGGAGATCAAAGTCGGCTGACCAATGTACCCAATACCAAGGCCTTGTGTGTCATAGTTCCCCCTCCCTCGGTTAATACAAAGTGTAAAAATAGCTGTTATGTAGAGAAGAGCGAAATACAAACACAAAAAAAAGTATTGTTTATTCCTCTGCTGGTTTCTCCCTTATTCTCACGATTATTTTTATATTTTCGTGGGTTTGCCTTGCTCGGAGTGGCCGTGTGCGCGCTCAGCCTTGCATAATTCTACGCGACCCCAATCCCGATTGCTGCTTTGGGAAACAGGACTAACGGCCTCCCGTGGGCGCAATCGCGTAGTGGTGGCAGGACCGATTGACTTTTATTGCTGATCGCCAAATCTTTATTGGAAAAGGAAAAAAGGTACAGGGCAGATTTGGGTGGCGCTAGGCAGTTGACAATCACACCATCTCTTTTTTCGATCAATCGGGCGTTTTTCTCTTTTTCTTTTAACTAGGAAGTACTGATATTTATTTATTTACTTGAGTCAGCGCTGCGGATGTGCATTACTCTCTGCATTATCCTGCATTCTGAGGGATCGACTTACACTAGAGGTTCCACCACTGTCAACTCATAAACAACAACAAACACACATACAGCACACAGAGAGGGGAATCAATCGCGATGGAGTCTCAGAGCAGCAATAGCAGCCAGGACTCACAGGACAGCACCCTCACTATTACGGACGAGAACAGAAGAGAAATTCTGTATTTTGCGTATGGAAGCAACTTGTCCACGGATCAGATGCGGGAGCGGTGCCCGTACTCAACGGCTGTTGGGTTGGGGAAGATGACGGGATGGAAGTGGATCATCAATAGGAGGGGATATGCGAATGTGGTGGAACTGGGAAAAGAAGACGAAGACGCTGAAATGAGGGAAGAAGATGAAGACTACGAAGAGGGCGAAGACAGCGGAGAGAAGGAGGAGGAAGAGGAAGAAGCAGTCAAAGAACAAAAGGGCAAAGGCATAATGGAAGACCACGGCGAAGAAATAAGCGAAGTATATGGCATGCTCTACCTCCTACCGATAGAAGACGAAGAGCGCCTCGACCGCTACGAAGGCGTGCCCTGGGCCTACGAAAAGGTCTACCTCGAAGCGGACTGGGTTAGCCACACAGAGGCCGTCAGCACAAGCGGCGGGACGTATGTCAGGGAGGAATTGACGCCGGTGAAGGTGCTGGTTTACGTCGACCGGAAGCGTGTGAGGGATGGGAAGCCGAAGGAGGAGTACGTGGGGAGGATGGAGAGGGGCATTCGGGATGCGGTGGAGAATTGGGGGATGAGTGAGGAGTATGCGCAGAGGGTTATGAGGAGGTTTTGGGTGGATGGGTGATGATTTTGTTACTGTTGCTGTTGCTTTGGTTGCTTTGGGACTTATCATTACTAAGAAGTAGTAGCGATGATTGGGATGGGAGAGTTGGGTTGTGGCCAATGAAGAGGAGATGGTAATTACTCATTACATTTGAAGTTAAGTTACATACAGAGTCATGATATTTCTTAACATTGGATTAGATGCAATTGCCGTATATAACTGTGTACAAGTTGTAAAGTAATATGAGATATCGGCCTTAAGTATCACCTTGTCTCCTCGAGATGTACGTATCCATGACCTGAAGTAAACTTTAAAGTCGCTTTGCCGTTCAAGTGTCTAACAACATCATAATACCATAATGTAAGATAGACTCTGTTCGTGCTAGGTACCTCTATACTTCAATTGCGCTGTCTTACAGTTCAAGTCGTGAGCACTACTCATGGGTTGCCGCAATGTTAAAACAAGATCAACCGGAAAATTAGCCTTACCGCACAAAGGGAGCTGCATGATGTATACTTGGCCGAATATGCATCCAGCAGTACTATTTGAAGCTCCAAATATAGATGATGTAATTGGTCGATATTTTGGTGGCAGCCAAAGCAGAAGTACTGCCCTGTATAACCCATATTATACTAGAGCTAATGCGATAAACTTGGGGGTCTGCATGTTGAAATGCTAATATCTGCTTCCTGGCCGAGATCTCTGAGGAGCGACTCAATCCATTCGTTCTCTGGGCATTCTAGGTCTGGAGGGGCGTCGGCTAGGAACTCATGCCCGTCATGTCCCTTGGATGCGTCTCCCTCAACGAATTCAGATTCATCGTCTAAAGTGCTTCTTTGTTCAGAATCTTGATCGCTGCTGAGAGCTGGAGAGCTGGAAAAGCTATTTTCATCTCCATCTGTGATTTTTCTTGCTGATAATCGCACGGTGAGTAAGGCCAAGAATTGTAGGTGATCAGCGATATGATTCATCATGGGACTCATCATATGGTTCTCTATAATCTCTGCTATACCGGTAGCGGTCTTCTTGTCCAAACCTGTCTCGTTCTTTGTATTCATATTGTGACTCTCAATGACATCGTTGGAATCTAGAGGCGTTGTTAGCATTTCGACGGCAGTCTGTGACGTGAAAGACATCAGGTATGCGAACTGACCGATTGCTGATCTACTAGGTCCAACTAGTGGCATGCAGCAGAGAGGGCAAACATCTTCAAATGGGCCAACATCCAACTTTTCTTGAGTGTTAGGGTGCATATTATCACTAATCTGGACGGCTAGACTTCTTTGCCAGAAGATACCGTGATGCCGCTGCATGTGGGCTCTCCATTCGGACCGGCAAGCAAAAGCTGGAGGTTGAAAACATGGTCCTGCAATACACGCAAATGGTAACAAGTCTTCATTCACATGGCACCTAGATCATGAATATTAGTATCTATCAAGAGATTGTCCACAGAGAAACGACTTACTTCCACCACGTGTCATTGGTAAACTCGGCTTCGTTGAAATTCTTTCGACAGAGGGGACAAGGTTTCAGAGCCTCTGCATCAGTAAATTTTGGAGGGTCAGGGATTTTCGCTTCACTTCCGAGGACGGTCGATGCTCCCGCATGTCGTGGAGACGGCATCTCAGCGTCTGTTGTTAGTATAGTGAATCCAGGAGCCAAATTCAATAGCAGAGTCTCGTGTAGCATTGAAGTACTAACCGGTACTTTATTTGGTGTCTTAGATTCTGATAGGGCTTGCTTTTGGTCTATGATTGATGGCTGCGGTGACAAACTCTTAGCAGGCGAGTCTGACGAGTGTTGCTGTATCTGCGTAGAGCCATCTAGGGATTTTCTGTCAAAGCAGCGGTCGTTATACAAAGTTTTATCATAGGATTGCCAGTATAGAAGCTTCATATGTGTTTGAGTCATCAATTGGCTCAAATACCCTCGGAAGTTTTCGGAGGCTCTGGGGTAGAGACAATCAACTGCCAACATCGCCTTGAAGCTGAAAGAATAAGCCTCTGCGAGCTGTCTTGTTTCAAATATTCTGACCCGGATTTCAAGAACTGAAGCAGAAGAATGCCGTACATGCAATGCAAGTCGGTCCAGTTCTTTCAACGACTGGTGGATTCTCTCAAGCTCGATTCTGCGTATATCTACTTCCTCGTCCGAAGAATCGTCCGAATCTAGTTCACTAGGATCGGTCGTTGTTACCATTCAGTTAGCTTGCAATCCATTGAGATCCGGACCGCCATCTTACCCTGAAGAAGGTTAGCCTCAAGCATATCCAACCACATGAGAATGTGATGGCGGTATTGTGGATGACGCTCCAGAAGATGATCAAGACTTTGACTCGCTCCAGCAAAGACGCCCAGATAAGCCGCCCAATCGAGGAATTTCTCTTCAAGTTTCCGTAAAACGGATTCATATCCATCTTCTCTGTTTGAACTCCGAATCTGGAGGCTCTTCACGAACAGCGATTTGCAATCACTGGCTTTGGCTGAGATGGGCCCCTTTGCTGCCCCAGCCAGGGTAAATCCAGCAGGCTAGGAAGGTGCTTCATCTCGAAAAGCCGCCATTGCCGACCTCTCGAGGGTGATTGCACTTCAAAGTCTCTGGTTGAGATATACTAGGCAATTAGCACTTCGCTATCGCTGTAGGTATCGGCCGACTGCTCTCAGCTGTCTGTCTGTTGTAGCACGATGATTATTGATTGATTTGAACAGAGCAATTATGCGTGCATATATATTTAATCAGTTGGCCGCAAATCCATTAATTAGACAAAGGAAATTTACTTCAAAGGCTCTGAACAACGAGACTTTGGCCCGCGCACTGTTGTTACGCGCACAGACTAAGAGTTCAAAGATTGAATTATGTTGGGAATACCTTCACTGTGGCCGTCACAAAGTTTCACGATCCTAGCGGAGACTATAATGGAACTTGACCGATTTCGTATATACTGGCATTTGGCTTGTGTCCCCAATTGGCCACAAGGCACACCTTTTTACTGTCACAGAAACTCACTCATAAAGCTTGACTTTATCTTTCTGGTAACACTTTCTATTAAAAGCTTACTCTTTTACTCTGCTTGCCTCTAGCTTTTGCGCTCGAGCTTGATGGTTAGGTTGGGTTGTGATGAGTGAAGTGAAGATGGACATTGCTTGCCACTTATGAAGCCAGTTGGATATAGAGTATGGGGGTTTTTTTTCCTGTATTCACTATTTTGAAAATAGAGTAAGTGCATAAGTCGTAAGCAAGTTGTATAAGAATATGCCCGTTAGAAGAAGCTGCGTACATAGCTCAGCGTATCAATAGCCTTATAAACTTGAAAGGATTACGCTGCGATATCTTTCTAGGCTAATAAAGTAGTTCCAACTCTTAATTATGCTTCTAAATGTAAATATTATAAGTGAAAAAGAATCGATTTTGTCCCTAAGCTGTATCCTAGTCTAATCTTCCGAAAACAACATTACTGTATCTCCCATGATGTAACAAACGCTCGGCTGATGTTCTAGAGACTAACAATCTCAAGTGCGTAATTTATTGGTTAATGATGCTTAATTAGCTGCCTATTCATGTCTTCATATCATAGGCAAGTAAAAGTCCTCAAGGTTATTGCAACCACCAAACTTTAAGATGATTGCGACCGTTCTCCTTTCTTTGGTTCTCGCTTTCCTCCTCTTTCGTCTCGCCCTCATTGCTCTCTTCCTTGGCGCTGGAGGGGTCGAATAGAGCTTCAAGTTCGTCTTCGGATTCATACCTCGTACCATTCTTACGCCACCATATCTTTCGAACTCGGATCCCGACGATGAATGGACTAGATGAGTCTCTGTCAAAACCGTCTGCACCACGCTTATTCACAAGCTTCGTAGCTCCGTCGGTCCACATCAGCCCAGTGATCATATATACAGGCCTCTTCCGCTGCGTGCTCTCGATATAATGGGCCACACCATCGATTTCGAGAGCCTTGTCAATGTAATCAGGCGTCGGAATAAAGTACCGAACAAGTAGCTTATCCACTGCCAAAATTTTGTGTCTGTTTACGTGATAGTTTGGGCGGGAGTATTGGGACACCACCTCACTGTTAGCGATTGCCTCCCACATATTGCCTTCGCCGAGTTCCTCCAGGCTCCGAATAAAGCCACCCATCTTGGAAGCTACTTGGAACGGCCTTAGTTGCGAATCGGGAGCCTCAATAGGTTTGCCACCGTCAAGAGGGAATATGACGTTACCAATGCTGACGTCTCGCAATATTGTGCCCAGCTTGAGTTGGCCATTGGGGGGCGGGGGAATGTTGAGGTCGGGACAGAGATGAAAGTACGGCTGGGGAAGATTATAGTTGGCCATTGTATCCTGAAGTTAGCAGGTAGGTTGCACGATATGTTAAAGATGAGAGTGGTTAGCGTAGGCTGGTGATACGTTTAACAGGAGTATCTTCCCGTCTCGCAAGTTTGAGGGCAGCTCTTGAGTTGAGGTATCGCTTAACGGTAGAGATTGTTTAAGCAGCTTTGGTTTTGGAGTTTTTGAAGTATCTAAGCATTACAAATTTATAGGTCCTGACTTGGCCTTTTATAACCATCTCCTGGGCGAAATGAATATCTGCTCCAGCATACAACTTGACCTGAAACTTGGCGTTCTTTGACCGTTCAATTCATCTTTGAAGATACTTGGATCTGTATTCTCGGCTTTGAAGTTACACGCATCTTTTGTTTCCGTGTTGTTTTGGTGCAACCATCGGCTGCAGACGTTGAACAGCTGACCACGAACAGAACCGAGCCTTTTGTCTTCAAGGCGTCATGAACGCGGACCCCGCACAATCTTTTTTTCTTAACACAAGGCCTGTTTTCTTCATTGCGCGGTATTCTTTCTACATGCGTGCCAAAAGATCGTATTCAACTGTTATCTCGAAATCTCACATTGCTCAATTCCTTATTTCTCGTCGCCATTAACGTCGTTCATATACCCGGCACTCCAAACACTTTTCAAAGAAACAATGCTGCTGGCTTTCACACTTGTTAGCTTTGTCGCCCTTGGACTGGCCTTTGTCTTTGCACGAGCCTCAATCTTTCGTCTGCAAAAAAAAGGTCAAACTCCTCTTTCTGTAAACTATTTCTTCACACGCCAATGCAATAAATCATGTAAGCTGTGCATATCCACTTGGGAGTCCTAAATTGCCGTTGTGCCGTGAACATGATCAGGATACCGACGTATGCGACAATGGCTAGCGCTCTACGTACAATTATATGGCTTGGAATTGAACATTCACTAATTTGACTTACAAGGCGGCTTCTGCTTTCATACAGCAAAGACTTCGCACATGGAAGACATATCTCGCGCAAAGCGAGGTCTTCAGCTATTGCAAGAGGCTGGTATGAAGAAGATTAATTTCGCAGGTGGGGAACCCTTCCTCTATCCAAAATTCCTAGGCGAGCTGGTCGACTACTGTAAGGAAGACCTACACTTGGAGTCTGTATCCATCATCACCAACGGAAGCCTTGTCAGAGAGGAATGGGTTCGCCAGCACGCCAAGAACATTGACATTTTGGCATGTTCATGCGACTCTTTCAATGAGGATACGAACATCCAAATTGGTCGCGGCACAGGCAACCAAGTTGAGATTCTATATCGTATTGCGGAGTGGTGCCGCGAGAGCGAGATCAAGTTTAAGCTGAATACCGTGGTCACTCGTCTCAACTATGCGGAGGATATGAATGAGCACATTGACATTCTCGATCCTTTCCGATGGAAAGTCTTCCAGGTATTGATCGTGGAAGGAGAGGTAAATTGAGTCGTTTTTCTTCTTCCCTCAGAATTCGCAATACATATTTACTGGTCAAATATAATTGCTGACACAAGAGGCAGAATGATTCGGAGAAAACCCTACGTGACGCTCGAAAGTTCACCATTACAGATGAGCAATTTGAAGTGTTCTGCAACAAGCATAATCACCACAAATCATTTGTCGCAGAGCCCAACAGACTCATGGCATCGTCATATCTGCTAGTAGATGAATACATGCGCTTCATCGATAAAGACGGCAATAAGCTCACAAAGTCCATTCTGGACGTCGGGGTGGAGGCGGCTTTGAAGGACATCAAGTGGGATGAAGATGCTTTCCAGGAACGGGGTGGTGTATACGACTGGACCAAGGAGCAGGGACAAGGGGAAGCTTGCTCCAATGGCATGAGTGAGAAGCTGGCTTGGTGATGATAAATCCATCATTACTCTCTTTTTTTTTCCCGCTCCGTGTTCCTTTACGACTGAAAGATGAGAGCTCCGAATGAATATAGTTAATGCCGACCCAGATTGTCAAAGGATGAATTAGTCCACATGTGCCTGTGTAGTATTGGCGGAATGAGACCAAAAGCTGCGAATAAACTATAACTAAAATTTGTAACCCAATTATAAAAACAGTGAGCTACGCACTGAATAGATTCATGTATTTAATTTTTTTTAGACCTTGTAGAAATTAACCGCAAACTTCTAGTCTACAAGTTTGCTCGTTTCGGTAAACATGCGCGTTGTAATTCACAGAAGGCAATCTCCATATTTTATAGCGGCCCGTCTTCCTCGGCCTTAAGATCTACTAGACCGAGATTTGACAACAGCTAGACCATGTTACATTCATGATCATACCACCCCACTGCTTCGCTTTCCACGCTCCAATACATATTCATTCCTCTGCCAAGTACACATATATGGAACCGACATATTCGTAAATCTTCCAATATCCTATGAAAATGCGCCGTCTCCCTGCCTGGTTCGTCCGCAGCGGCACCTCCACCGGCCTGCTCTTCAATCGCGCCTCTCTCCCTCCCATCCACAGCCAATGGCAGCCCATCCTCGCTCCCGCAATGGGCTCCCCTGACCCTGTCTACGGCCGTCAGCTAAATGGCATGGGCTCCGGCATCTCCTCCACATCTAAAGTCGTCGTCATCGGACCTCCTCCGTCTGGCTCCGATTCAACCTCCGGCCATGGCTCCGGCAATAGCTCCGGGGCGGGGCCGAACGTTGACGCCGAGTTCACGTTTGTCCAGGTCGGAATCCGGGACGGCTCTCTGGATCTCGCCGGCACATGCGGCAACATGTCAGCCATTGTCGGCCCGGCCGCCTGGGACATGGGCATCGTGCCACCATCTCGCATCCCTTCTCTCGTAACCTACGACGAAGCCACTCACTCCCGCTGGGCAACTCTACGCATTCTCAACACAAACACGTCCAAGATCTTCGTTTCGCACTTTAAGCTTGGAGGGGACCCTCTTGTGTACAATCCACAAGGGAATTATGCCATGGATGGTGTTCCCGGGACGCAATCCCCCATAACGCTCAGCTTCTTGGATCCCGCGGGCGCAAAGACAGGAAAGGCTTTACCCACTGGAAACCCCATCGATGAGCTAACGCTTGCAGACGGAAGCACCGTCAAGGTGTCGCTGGTAGACGTCAGTAACCCTGGAGTCTTCATCACAACTTCAAGCCTAGGCCTCGACGACGCCACGGCCGCAAACCTCACTCCCGCCATAGTCGAGGTGGATATCGCTCTCAAAACACGTCTCGAAGAGATCCGTCAAGCCGGGGCCTCAGCAATGGGCCTCGATCCCAACATCGAGAGTGTCCCCAAGGTCGTCATGCTGTTACCTCCAATCGCCAGAAAGACTTCCCAGATCGACATCCAGTGCCTCGCCATGTCCATGGGCCAGGCACACAAGGCCGTTCCCTTGACATTATCGCTGTGTCTAGGTGCAGCATCTCAGCTTGAGGGGACGATTGCTGCAGAGCTCATAGGCGGCGAAAAGAAGGATGTCATCAGGATTGGGCATCCGAGCGGCGTGGTGGACGTGGGTACAGCAGTGAGAAATGGCACTATTGAAGAGGCGAAGCTGCTGCGGACGGCGCGGGTGTTGATGAAAGGAGATGTATTTTATTGAATAATGAGATCAAGATGTTTTTAAAATAACATTGACGTGTTTCAATTAGACAGCGCATTACGAAATGGCTCAAAAGATCACGAGAAGTCTATATATCTGGTATCTGAATGATTATAGGAGGCTATATTTATTTCCACAATACGAAACATGCGAATACTCGTGACCATGTCTGGGCCGCCTGAATGAAAGGGGCTGTTGCGATCTATAGAGAACTACTTGTCAATCTAACAGCAGATTTCTCTGATTCGGAAGGAGAAAAAATTAGTCTCCGTTCATGCTTCTGGAAGCCTTTGATTCCGAATCAATTGCATCTCAAGCAAGACCTGGTATGAGTTTACGAGATACCGTCGATCAACAGTGGGCTCTTTAACGCACTCGACAAAACAAGTAATACATTCCGGGGAGCTCGAATTCTGCATTTGTCCATTCACTCCGAGATCGTCCTCAAGGCAGGGGAGATGAACCAACGCTAGAATCTCGCGTTGGATTGGCCATTTCAATAGCAACATGAATCTAGAGTGCCCACTGAAACTGACAGCTCGCACGATCGCAAACTTGTTTCCTCATCAAGTTACCCGTAACGGTCAATATGGGGCTGATCTAACAAGCACCTGGATGGATCTCAGTGCGATGCGAGATGCGCCACATCCATCTTTAGTGGAAAGATCCAATTGCGCTATTCACGCTGATGTTAAAAAGCTGGCGAGTGCATTCACTTACATGAGCCGGCTGGTCCGCGGGATTGCGTGAAAAGAAACTCCATCTTGTAGCACTGCGCTTTGCATCGACAGGCAGACAAATTTGATACATTGACAGTCCACTCATCCACCAATTACACACGCGTAGATCTTTGGCGGATTTGACCATTTACAGAGCCTCAAATTAAGTATAAGAAAGCCAGGACGATCAACATAATTCATTGACTCAGCATCTTCAACACTTGACATTTACGACAGCCAAGCATAGTCACCTTTTTAAATATTAAACATTCTCATTCCACATAATCATAGAAGATATAAGATTAGAGGAATAAAATGGCAGCTCAACAGCGACAAAAGGATATTGAGGAGCTCGAGCAGTTGAACCTGAAATACCTAAATAGCGACCAGACTTCCGATGTCGCAACTTATGAAACGTTTCTCGAACCAGGCTTCACAGCAAGTCTTCAAGATGCGAACATCTACAACCGAGAGGAGTTTCTCGACATGATCTCAAAGCCTCGGCCGTTCACCGAGCTGAAGAGCTACGACGTCAATATCGGCATCTTTGGCGACGGCAACGTTGCGCTTGTCAGGGCGAGAATGAGCTTCCGCAATCTGGAGGGCAAGGTGTGCTACGGAAGATACACGGATGAATATCAGCGCCAGAATGGAAAATGGATTTGCATTGGGGCGAATGTCATCTGCAACGAGAACTAGATGTAAAGAGGCGAATCGTGTAAGCGACAAGAGGAATGGCTGAATAGAAGTTTGGAAACAGTCAAGCAGATTCGGGTCGAACATTACTCCAATGTGTGTGAGAGAGCAATATCAGATAGCACGAATAACCAATTACTACTGCTATTACCTTTAATAAACGAACAAACTAGACATTAATTCTTCTTCCCATAGCACAACACCAAGCCTCAAACTTCCATTTCGCAATCATACCATTACTACCCACCTCGGTTTTCCACATATCATACGTTTCTATTGTGGCCCTCGCTATCCATGTTGTCTGTGACATGAACAAACCCCCCATGATTCTACCTTCTTTTTCTTCACCTAATTGCTTACTCAAGTACATAACTTGGCTAGCCAGATTCTGGCTCTCGACTTCCATGGCAGAAAACCGGGCTGGGTCCAATGCGAACAGAATTCGCAACTTCATCAGTCGGCATATGATCAAAGTTCCCTCAATCTCTAGCGGATTTACTTGCGATCCGTTGGAAACAGGCGTCATCTCGCTTCTGCTATCTGCAGCAGCGAGCCTTTGTTGTAAAAGATTCGTCAAAGATAACAAGCTCTCATTGTGGCTCATCATATCCTTGACGAGAGCAGTATACTCTTGAGGCGCTGGGGTCTCCGTTGCTGTGATCATATCAGTCGCTATTTTGAAGTGGTTTGGGCCCCAGACAAGATGCGTCCATAGGCACGTTATAATATCTCGATAGTTAGAATAATACTCGTCGCTAAGAATTGAATCGCAAATGACTGTCTTCCAAGATTCGTCGGTAAGGAAGCAGTATCTGTTATCGAGAATCGCTTCCGTAATCTAGAGGCGGTAGCCTGCTCAGCGACTATAACAACACTTATTATTTCCAGCCCTGTCTCATCTTAAGACTGAGACAGGCATTGGAGATGGATTCTTACTATAGGACCAATCTGTGCCGTGAGTATGGCCAGATCAAAGTCTGTTTTGAAGTTGCGAGCTCCACGCTGTTCAATCAGCTTTGAGGCACCCGCGACGTGGCATAACCATGATTGAAGGCTGGCATTATTGATCAGCTATAAAAAAGTTAGCGATTGCGCACCACAGCTGAAGTTGTAACATTACACGTACATCAAATAACCCTAACAACTGTATTGCACACAATGTCTCAGAGCTCATCCACTGGCTTCTGTCGTTCAAGTCTTGCTGAATACACTCAAGAACTCTTGTATGCTGGCGCAACACAATGTTTTGTGCAAATTTGCTCTCAATATTCATTATCATTTGTTGTACTTTTGCCACAATACAATCCACAGCGAGGCTTAAAGTAAGAGCCTGGCCGTATCGTGGGAAGATGAATGACAAGAACTTTTGGCTCCCTGGAACGGATGAAGACAATGCTTGAATGATGTTTGAAGGGTCTTTGGTGAAGAAGGAGAGTGTAGTTGCCCCTAGACGAAGCCCGGTGAAAGGTGCCAAATCCAGTATGGAGAAGTACTCAGTTACAAGGAGGTTAGAGTAAGGAGGCGAAAATGGCGGCTGTATTGGAAGCCGTTGCTGCTGAATCATCTGAAGGTACTCCGCCTTTAATGTTCGTGACTGTGGCCTACGATACTGCGGCCAATCGCTTGGCTTAGTATCCTTTTGCGCTATGACAGAATTAGACATGAAGAATGTTGGTAGCTGGGGGCAGGGTCCTGAAATACATTTACTTTCTGTTGCCCTTTTCTTCTTCGTTTCTGCCACATTCCGCATGGCTCTCCGTCTTATCAGCGCACGCTGGCTTCTATCATTGGGCTGATTTATCCCACGATATGGAATAAAAGCATGCATTGTATTGTCAATTGTTCCCTCCATTTTGGTTTCGAGACTCTGAAGCTGCTGTTGGGAATGATGGGTTTAGCCAAGGTTAAGAGTTTGCAAGAAAGTACCATTTGGGCGATCAGAAGTATGGACAACTATTCTGATATAGAAGAACTTGATTGTACCGCACGTCTTACTAAAGATGAAGCAGCAAACCAACTAGCTATGGGTGAAAGGTTGCTGTTCATCTGCTGATGAATAATCATATATACAGTATATGGCCTGCCAGATACTGGGTCAAGGACCCGGCAATGCAGGCGGGGAATACTATCTCAAAACGGCAGTCTGCTGCCTTGATGGAGTATAGCTCTAATGCGATCTCGCTAGCCCTATTTTTAGTTTCAGAGCATGACATTGCTTTTCCATAGCTGGAGATGTTACGAAACAAGATATACAGCGTGGCTGGCTAATTAATCTCCTTTACACACATTTAGATACTCACAAGTAGCTCAGCCTGTAATAGAATTTTGACTTCAATTTGTCAGCCTGGAATTATTAAGAACTTTATCCAGGGTTACCCAGTATCAGCTATATATAGATCGTCACCTTCCTCTTTATAGAGCTCGAGGATCTTCTTTATAATTATCACATACTTTATACATCAGAGGCGAGAACTATAACATGTCGAGATACCAAGCAAAGAAGATTTTCATAATCGGTGGGACGGGTGCCCAAGGCGTCCCCATTGTCCAAGGTTAGTAGATAGTTGACGTGTGACTAGGCATCTATTTAATGCATCAAAATAAAACAACCTGTTTGCTAATTGAGAGTGAATCACTACATAGAGCTTGTTAAAGATGAAAAATACACAGTAAGGGTCATGACTCGAGACCCAGAAAATCGACGAGCCAAGGAACTCGCTGCGTTGCCTGGTGTGGAGCTGTTCAAAGGTTCATTTGCCAATGAAGTTGACCTTACGAATGGATTCAAGGGCTGCGATGGTGCTGTAAGCTTACTGCATATTTATCTCCTTTTCAAAGACTTACCTATATTGATTACAAACTCCTGAAACTCTAACGCGCCACCGATAGTACGTTAACATTGACGGCTTCAACTGCGGCGAAAAGGCAGAAATCTTCTGGGGCATACGTGCCTACGAAATAGCCCTAGATGCTGGTATAAAATTCTATGTCTGGGGGAGCCTTGACTATACTTTGAAAAAGGCCAACTGGGACCCCAAGTTTCGCTGTGGGCACTACGATGGCAAGGGCAGAGTTGGAGGTGAGTTGACGGCACAGATCAAGGGGGCCAAATTCTTGCTAATCAATTTTCTAAGAATGGATCCTGCAGCATGCGACTCCAAAGATGGGTGTTGCTCTTTTTACAACCGGGTATGTGAGTTTGCCATGACGTTGAGGCCAATCTGTTCTAACGCGAGCCGACTACAGCCCGTACATTGACATGGTTCTTGCGCCTCTCACAATCATGACACCGAGAGTCATCGATGGCGTTGTGACATGGTCAGTTCCGTTGGGTAAGTGATATGGCGTAGACTTGGCTATTTTTTGTTACTAAAGAAAACTGGACAGGAGTCGGAGAGGTCGCTCACGTAGCTCTCTCAGATTGTGGCATTTACGCTCGGTGGTTGTTCGATAACCCAGACCGCGCCAATGGCCTTGATCTTGAAGTAGCCATTTCTCACATCTCATATAACGAGTTAGCTACCGCCTTTACAAAAGTGACCGGAAGACCTGCGCAGTACGTCGACGTGCCTTTTTCAACGTACTTCGAGAACTTTGTATCTCTTGGCGCAATGGGGTCTGTAATGAGGATCCCCAATATGAGTCTTTGGACAAAACTCAGATTTGGCCTCTCATTTTCTACTCAAAGGCCATCTTCGTATAATTCCGATCCTACCGACCCAAGTGTCATGACGTTTGAACGCAACTTTACAGGCTTCTGGCACATTTGGAGAGAAAGTCAAGGGAACAAGGGTGTCATTACGAGGAACTACAAGCTTCTTGACGAAATTCACCCGGGTCGGATCAAGTCGGCAGAGGAGTGGTTTCGGAAAGAAGCCGAGAAGGGAGATTTGTGGGAGAGAGTACATAATATGGCTCCAATTTTGAAGTGGAGCGAAGACGGTGCTGCGGGTGGATTGTAATTTATTTCCTGTTTTCCACGATGTTATACTATTTATAATATATTATGCTCTGAAATTATCCTCAAGAGTCAAGTGGGCAGTTATCAATGTTCTTTTGCCACATTAGCTTCGCATAAAGAGGCAAAAGGTCTGACACGAAATCAGTCAACGTCACTCAAAAAAGTAAGTGGGATGCAATGAGAACATACCTTGTGAGGTAAGGTTAGAGCCAATGTAAGAGTGCACCGTGGCAGTGGTGTAATTGGCGCCAAGATCCATCAAGATGGGCTTCTGGAGACTACAGAAAACATTTTACTGTTCAGTCCTGCTACGAGTAGCACACAACTTACTGATCGTAAAAGATTAGATCCACAAATTCAGGATCTTTTTCCTTGGGAAAGTTTGCCTCAGCCTGCCAGTATCTGGGAATCGGATACTCTGGGATATTGGTGTGCTTCGTATCATCGCCGTCAGTGCCCCAGTCGTCTGTAGTAACGTAGCCTGAGGTGAGGGTCTCCTGGCGGCGGACGACTCCATGGCCTTGTTGCATCTCACGCCGGGTCAGATAGCCCAGAGAGGGGTCAGTACAGGAGTCGCGAGGGATGGGCATAGTAGCGAGATTAGTATCACGCGTGGCGGGTGAAGGTTTGTTGAGTCTAAGTTGAGTAAGTGATACGTTTGGTTAGTATAGCCAGGATTTGGGAAGACAACAGCTTCAACGAAGAGCTCAACTCACTTTGGTAGAACAGTCTTGGCCAAGGCATAAGGCACGTCAGGAATGTAAAGGAAGAGGTCACGGTAAAAGGAAACGATGATGCTGTCGTCGTATGTAAATGGTCCCTTGTAGAGATCAAAGCGGACGCCTCTCGTATTGCCGATGATAACACGGGACTTGTGCTCGCGCGCCGGATTCACAACAATAGTAGAAGCAGCGGGGACAATGACGCCGGGGTAGATGTTGGATGGATTGTCAAAGGGAACACAGGAGATGCACCACGTCTGAGGCGCGCAACCGAATACTTGGCCCAGCTTGAGCTCTTCGCGCACTTTTGTGATTTCGCCAGTGACATTCAGACCAAAGGCTTGGTCAAATGTCTTTTCCGTCTGCTTGGTATGGTAGGCGAATGTCTGGCGATTCCAATCAAGATATCGGCGCGAATACACAAAGGGAGACTTTGCCCCTGGCCGTGCTGGCCGGCTCGGATTGGCCACGCCTGTGGGATTCTTGGGGCCCGTGAAGCCGCTGTTGGAGGAATTGAAACCGCTCATTGAAAGCCAGCCCAGCGTCTCGCAGTAGCGGCCAGACTCGAGTGCCACGGAATTGTCATCGTAGACAGAAAAGTTGCGAATATGAGTGTGGCCTCCGAGGATTTGGATAGGGGTGACGGGATGATGTTTGCGGATCTCGTCAAAGACGACCTTGAACGTGCTTACAGGATCCTTTTGACTAACAGGGTTATGGCCAAGGAGGATGAAAACATCAATGGGCTCGCTCACGGCAAGAGCTTGAGTGAACCACGGCTCTTTAACCAAGTCCTTGGCCATAATCACCTGCGAAGCATTGGAGTTGCCAGTAAAGTCAAACAAAACACCAAAGGCCATGACGCGCAGCCCCTTTTCAGTCTTGAAGTAGCGATGCGTGGCACCCACATACTCATACTTGCCCGAGGTCTTATTGAGGACTTTGACGTTGGAGGTGATGTAACGCTCACCCCATTTCTTTGCCCAGACGTTGAACATTTCATAAGATACTTCGGACATGTACAACTCATGGTTCCCAATGGTTAGCAGGTCGTAATCGATATCGTTGAAGATGGGCATCGATTTGGTGCCATCAACTGTGGTGGCATCTGAAAGGCCGTTGCCGTCGTGGAGATCGCCCGTATCAATCAGCAGCAGGTCAACGTTTAGATCATGAGCCGCCTGCTTCATGCGACGCGAAAAGGTGGCAAAGTCACCCCAGTCGGCGCCATAGTTTTGCTCCTTGAGATGGCCTTCAAGCCAGCCATGAGAATCGGTCTAAGATGATAGAGTATGAATGATTGGAGCATAAAAGTGCACATGTATACGTGTGCATGTTTGTACAGATGGAAGGGGAGAGACTCTGAGTTTCTCAACGCTTCGTGTTACGACATACCGTATGGAGAATGTTCAGCTGTCCCCATTCAAGAGGCGCTTTGGGGCCATATTTGGCATTGGGAGCTCCAGGCTGAATGCGTTTGACATGGCGAACATGTTCAACTGTGCTTGTCGGGCCATAGCACGAATCATCGCTACCACAAGCCAACGCTATGGGAAGCAAAGCTGCGAGCCCACCAACAACAGCGAGGGCTTTCATTGTATTTCGAGAAGTGTAGATAGATGATGGAGACTGTATGAGAGTAACTATCTGAATAATAGGCAAATACAAACAGACGAGCAGGCAAATATATATACACTCTAGATGGATACAATGAGCCGCTTGACTTACACTGTCACAAACCAAGTCAGAAACCAAGACTCCAATCTCTCGAACCACATCCAAACCCTCCCCGCAGATCCAGCCCGCCACGGGTCAGAGACATTTCAAATACAGCCAATCACAGCCCCTAGATGCTGACACAAAAAGAATCCTCCTACTTGATTGACACAAATCTCACTCTTTCCGGTAGCTCTTCTGCAAGGTATTGTTAGCTTTGCCCATCCCTACCTCAAAGCAGCATTGGAATAGATTATCAACCCTACTATTGCTGATGGAAACAGATCTTCGCCACCAGACGAGACAAATAGTGGTCTTACTTCGCCAATGGACGCTGTAGAGAAACATCTACTACATACAAGCATGTCTCGGAAAAGCCTGCTTTAGTTGGTGCGACTCTGCTGTGTTTCTCGACGGCTCACCGAGTGTTCAGCCAGCCACAGAGCATCGTGGATACGACTAACCTACTAACCTATACCAGCCTCTGACGCAACGGCACTTTTGCATACCGCGACTCGGTTATTCTTCTTTCACTTCACACTCTTTATTCTCATCATGTTTGTGCTTTTGAATGGCCAAGATGTATGTACTCTATGCTGTAGAGGTACCTGCATGTGAATTTCCAGTTGAAGCGTTGGTGCTGCTATCACAGCAACTCAGACGAAAGACGCGAATCTTGGAAATCCAGCAACATCAATTGGTGGTAAATGCGATGTAAACTCGGTATGCAAATAATTAATCAATTGATAGAATTAATAGAATAATTGAAAAGGTCCAAAAAACTACCGTCAACCCCATTTCGCACATCAACAGCTCTGTTTGCAACATTATTTATTGTAAGCTATAATTATGCCCGCCTATATGTAAGCTCCACAAATCTAAACTTGTCAACTTCACTCTTTGCATCGCAAAACTGGTCGCAATGCAAATGGAGCAGCCCACGCATCCGTACTACCCGCTTGGTGTCTCCATTCCCAATTACATACCAAATGACAGTCCGCTCATTCACTCTCTTCCAGCCTTTGGGGCTCTCCTTGGCGCTGTGATCGTTTCGGCGCTCCTTCTTACCGGCTCCCGGCGCCATGTCCGGCCCATTAACCGGTTTGCGGCCTCGTGGTTTGCTCTGTGTAAGTGGCTGCCCAGTATCCTATTCTCTGTAAACAAAACTAAAGGTACATCACAATGCTAATCACGAGCTAGGTGGTTTCTTACATGTTGCTTTTGAAGGTTTGTCACTCTCCTGGCCTTGGGATGAATAGGCCATATGCTACTCTTCTCAACGCGTACATCTTGATTCAAAATATTCTCTAATCCCACGATAATACCAGGATACTACATCTACCACCGTAAAGAAATCTCTGGCATGGATACTCTCTTCGCGCAGCTTTGGAAAGAATATGCCCTTTCCGACTCCCGCTACCTCACTTCCGACGTCTTCACCGTCTGCGTAGAAACCATCACCACTGTTCGTTTTGCCTCCTCCATCTGTCAAACATCTTTCATAGTATCGGGGGCTAATATGGATGTGCAATTTTCAGTTCGTCTGGGGCCCTCTGAGCCTCCTCACAGTCCTCTGCATCTGCACCAACCATCCCTCAAGGCACCTCTTCCAAATCATCGTCTGCGTCGCCCACCTCTACGGAGTGGCCCTCTACTACGCCACCAACTGGGCTGAGCAGCGCTTCCACGGCGTGTCATACTCCCGGCCTGAGTTTCTCTATTTCTGGGTGTATTACGTCGGCTTCAATGCCCCATGGGCCATTGTCCCTTTCTGTGAGTCGATTCAGCGGAAGCCTTCCGTAGCCTTTTACATGCACGTACCCTTGTCAAAAACAAAGCCTGAGAAACTAATGCTTTTATTGCGATAGTTCTATTGGCCGACAGCTATAGCCGGATAGTGACGGCATTTCAAGCGCTGCATGAAAAAGAAACGCGGCAGAAGAGGGAGTGAGCGTGAACAGATTGCTGCGTGATCCTCCAGCGATGCATGCTCCTGTGTACTTACATGTGATATCCTACGTCTCCTTGGATGGATATTCATTACATGTACGCTCTGACATCATTTTGCTTTTGAATCACATACAAAGCGTCATTTGTGTCACATATATCTCGTATTTCTTTTGCTCCCCTGTACCGTGGCGTTTGTCTCTGCTGGCTTCATCCACTCATAGAGCTTTCACTTACAGAACATCCACCCAGCTTGAGACAGCGAGTTTTGGGTCCCATCTTTTCAGCTTGGAGCCTCCATGTACCCATCTGGTCTTATCCTTGACCGCGTTCATGGCAATCGTACGACCGAGTATGGCATTGATATTTGGGGTATCCTGGTTTTCCATCCTAGCAGCCAACCCCCTTGCGTCCATCCTTCAGCCTCACCTGCGTCTCTTCCCCTCTCCAAATCCACGCCAGGCACTCACGCATGATAGTAATTAAACAGAAATTGGTTACTTCGCGAAAAACGAGGGACTCGCCACCAGCCAAAGGACTGGATCGGCCGGGTCGCTTCGTGCCGGCGCTTAGATTTCCAGTAGCATTCTCGTTCGGTACCTCATTTATAGCTGCTTAACATATTATTTACTAATATAATGCATTTCATGAGTTGTCACGTAGGATCAATATGTTTCCATAATCGGCTTCTCTGCTTATGAAAGAAGGAATAATCACTAGAGAAAGGGGGCAATAGTCGAGTTCCTGGCTGACTGAACGACGAGGCTCGGCAGATCAGCTCTTCCTGGCCGCCTTCATACATCATAACCCAGCTCCAATGTGGCGCTGATCACTGCCGAAGCAGGCTTAGGATTTATTTGTGCAGCAATGGCATGTAGCTGAGGTTACATTCGCACGCTTGATGGCTATCCGCATAAACACCTTGAGCATAGGTATTCGGCCGTGATCAGACGAATAGACGCCTCTTAGATGCTGTCTGTATCACAAGAATACTTTTATTATCCAAGGAAAGAAGTTCCGTCTACCTGTGGTGGTAATCCTGAACTAAAGAGGCAACCTATCCATAGATCAACAAGATGTTATGAACAATATTTCAAGTAGCAAAGGGCATTCTCGTGGCACACCACCATCGGCAAGCTCTATCTCTCCTAGTCCCCCGCTATTAGTCCAAGATCGTCCCGTATGAAGCTGGCCAGCCTAGCACGCAGCAAGAGTGACAATTCGTGCTCTTATTCTAGGCTATGATGCAAATGGCTGGGATCTTTCTGAGTCTAGACCAGAGTCAATTCATGCACCAGGAGACATGCAGCTGCGTGATAAAGCAGGCTGCATCCTAGCGTATGCATGTACTTTGTTTGCTTCCTCCCTCTGCTCACCGCAGTTTTGAGCTTGTTGAGCTATGGCAATGTGGTTCTAGTAGAATATGGAAAAAATAATTCACTTCTTATAGGATATGGAAGGAATGTTGGCTTATTTGCGATGAGAGGAGCTTATGTATTCTTAATTGAAGCTAGACGAAGAGAAATTCTGATTCTCATAACATTGTTAGGATATAAAGAGTATACGAGTCAACTTGAATATATACACTTATATCGTCCAACTAGAAGTCATTCTCAGATTCTCAGACTTCAACTAATTGAAAACAGATCATCAACAGTCAATTATAATCACTAAACAGTAAACATAGCAGGCCATTAGAATGCCCATTTCCAAAACAATCTCACCACAAGCCCCCTAAACAAAAGCACAGCCATCCTCCGCCCCTTCTACGCTCCAAGATGCCGTCGTAGACCTCTACGTGTACACCTAGTTGGCATCGTCAACCGAAGCAGTGTCAGGAGTGGCAACCGTAGCAGCAGCAGCAGCAGCTTCAACAGCAGCCTGAGAAGCCTCGTACGCCTTCGCAGTCACCGCCGCCGTAGGACTCAGAGCAGCCCTGTTCAGCCCCGGAAGATACTCCCCATTCCACAACAACCCAATTTGCAGCTTCACCGGCCTCTCCGCCTGCACATTCTCCGCCATGGCCTCCAAGTCATCTCCAAACTGCGGGCCCAGCAGCGCCACCGCGTCGTTGACCCGCATCCCCTTGACAATCACGTTGTACTTTGTCGCATTCTCCGGCATAAATATGACGGCCGGCATCTTGCTCGCGTTGGCCTCGCCAAAGAGCGCCCTGCCGTGCATGCGCATCAAGTACCGCACGCGGCTCTCCACCGCACTCACGCTGAGCTGGCACTCGTCCGCAACGACGGCCTCGCCACAGCCGCTGAGGTTGATGTACAGCACGATGCCTTGGCGCTTCTTGTTCGGGGCCATGCGCCTAGCCATGGCCTGCGAGTGCATCCTCGTGTTAAGAGCCTCCCTGTACGACTTTGACGCCCCCTGTTGAGGAGACACGGGGACGGCAGCAGCAGAAGCAGCGCCCTGGACAGAGGATTCAGCAGAGGTAGATGAAGCCGTGGTGGTGATCTGGGCATTTGTAGATGGGTTGATTCGTGGCCGACTGTGCCAAGCAATCCCCGTAGAGGATGAATCCCCCGATTCAGCAGGCTCTGGCAGAAGAGTATAGCTAGGCCCGCCCTTGGGCATCTTATGCGGATTCTTTGCATAAAAGTCATCCAGCTTCTTGCGGTTCAGCTCGTTGATCCAGCGAATATCCGCAGCAAGCAAGCGCGGAGGGTCGCCGTCGTTGGGGCCCATCAGCTTTCGCGCGTTATCAAAAGCCTCCTTCCAGGCAGGATCATCAGAGGCCTTCCCTTCAGGAACCTTGCCGTCCAGACTCTCCTTGTTTCTGCCCGTCAACATGTCGGCCACAGAGGTCGCAATGTCAACCTGGAGCGCCTCACGCCTGCCCAGGGTGGAGTTGTCCTGCGTGGGATCACAGGCAAACTCGGTGAGCAGCTCGCCGGATTGGTAGTGGGCTTTCTTGAGCACGTTTGTGAAGCCTTCGCCAGATTCGGTAATGGCAATTGAGCGGATGCCGTCTTCGGTCTTGAGGACGGTGACCTGCCAGGTGTCAGGGGGCGTGACCTGGGACAGGATCTCGATGGGGACGTCTCTTCCGTAGAGGAATTGAAGGTTGGCTAAAGCAGAATGAACCAAGTCAGCATCTGTGAAGCTTATGGTAGAGGGAGATATTCGAGATTTATCATTGAACTTACTCTTGATCAATTCAACATAGTTGGTCCCTCCTTGGTTCATAACCTTGGTCACCTCAGGGGTCTCAAGAGAAGATCCGAGCTGCATCGTCAAAGACAGAACAAGGAACAGAAGAGTGAAAATGGTAACAAAGGTTAAGATTCGAGTGAAAAGCTGTAGACGCTGGTCGGAGATGTAAAATACTGGACGAAAACTCGACAAGTAAAACAGTGCCTGATCAGTAGCGGTAGAGAAGTAAGAAGCCTTCAACAGCTCGACGGGAAACATCATGAACTATATATACCCGAGAAAAGCCTACAAAAAAACACTGATCCTGTACATCTTCTGAAATTCACCTCTCACAGCATAGGTATGTATGTCCTCCACACATCTTTATCGTTCTCAGCGCTTCCCATCTCTCGACTTCCATTCATCCCACTTTCGACCTCCCTTGCACGAAACCTCTCATGCAGCCGAGTCCGCCACCCTTTTTTCTGGCAAACAAACATGATCCTTGTCTGTTTATGCCGCCGTATCACAGCAGCAAGCCACTGCGGAGAAGGTCTCATCATGATAGTGCGTAGTTGGCTCGTGATTGACCAGCAACTAAAGCAAAAAGAAAAGAAAGAAAAGAGCGAAACGAAGAGCAATGCCCAAGGCGGAAGTGCTCCGTCCACTACTGTCACCTTGCATCCAGCCCCCTGCTCACCGAGAAAAGAAAACATCAAGGATAGAGGTAGTACGAAAGACGGTACAACATGCCATAGTATTACCCGAACAGCTAGAACGAGTACTGTATATATGTACATGTAGTATTTCCTATCATTGCCGCTGCCAAGTCCATCTTAGCCGCAGCAGAGCCACCGGCCAGGAAATCGAATAGCAGCCCAGCATGAGACAAGCCTCGACCAGGGGTAGCATCGAAGCCGGCGAGGGCTGAGGACCTGCATTGCTAGCACTCTCAACTATTGCTTCTGCTTTGCTTTTTCTTGCGCCATCGTTTTCGCAATCTCAAGGCAGTCGTATGCTTGCGTGGTGTAATCCAAGTATCAAGTACATGTAGGCACATGCACTCACTGCAAAAAATCAGGCTGTACGTCTGCAGGCCGCAAGCAATCACAACCCCGGCTTACACCTCAATTGCAACACCATAGCAATTTCAATCACCCAAAGTCTCAACAATACTCCGAGCAAATCTACCATGTAATGATTCCTGGCTTCAATCTCTCTCTATGCCCATCCTTAGATCCAAGTAGCAGTACTTCCCATCTCTTCTGCGGTGCTTCACAGCAAGAAATAGTCCCCCAACAGTCACACCTCGACCAGCGGCGTACCCCATGCAGGTCAGCCATCATCTCACCTACAAGTCTCAAGCCACAGCTGATCACTCCCTCTCAGAGTTCCGATAACCTGGTCTTAAATGAAACAGCCTCCTCCCATTCCAACCTATCAAGATCCCCCACGCAGGCCTGACTCGATCGCCCTGCTTTCAATCCCACCTCCAACGCTGCAGCACTTAGGCAGTCTCATTCAATTCAGGCATAGCCAGCTTCACCGAGATTTGATAAAATATACGAGCAAAGAAGAAGAGAGCAAGTGATGGACAAGAAAAGAAAGGACATGGCTTTGACAAAAGATCCTCAGACACATTGTGATTGGCAATATGGAAATTGGCCTCTCGTCGAGCATTTGTTTGCTTCCGGTGTGGCGACTAGACCACTGGCTCTCCGACACCTGGCATGAGAAAAGCTGGCGGTAGTCGCAGATGGGGCCGTACTAACAGGGACATGGTCCTGTGTAACCTGTCCAGAAAGCCTAGAAGTGGGTGGCTGGCCTTGAGAAGAGCCAGTTTCTCATCTCGCGAACATGAATACCTACCTATACAGAGTAGCATTGTGGTTTCATATCATTAGTTTTTTCGTGACACAATGTAATTTGATCCCGGAAAGACGATCCCAGGAAGACAAGGTGAGGCAAAGGCGCAAAGAAATAACAAGTCCTATTCTTACATTCAAAAAGAAATATGCATTTGTTCCAGTCTTCATTCGTTCGCCGTGTAAAATCCATTACCTCAAGCAAGCTCATTACAAACTTATCTATGAAACATAGCAGCTCTCCCTTCTTCCCAGCCCAAGCAAGAACCACCAGTATCAGCAGCAGCACTCCCCCTAAACTCCCAGCCTCCATGAGGCCATGCCAAGTAAGTCAGGGGTTTTACATGCTGGCCTGCAGTCGCTCCAGCCGTGATGTCACAGCTTCAACTAGCGCAGATTCTCTGGACAGCAGACCTTGCACCTGCTGCAGCTTGCTGCGTCGTATGTCTTGTGGGATTCGGAGATCCACGCTCGTTGATGCTGGGGACTCGGGCCCGCTCGCGTTCTTTTGGGCCTCGGCCTCGGCCACCAGCTCTGCCTGCAACCGCTTGACCTCCTCCAGCCGCTTCCATACCTGCTTCGCCTGATTTCGAGACCCGACTTCAGCCCCTGATGTCGGTCCGCATACGCTACCCTCCATAGATTTGACTTCCTCCACAAATGCCCGCTCCTTGGTGCTTAGATCCCGTGAAGTTCCCTTGCTCACCATCTTCCGCAAGTCCTCCATCCGTTGCGTTAGTCTTTCCTGCCGCTCCCTGGCCTCGTTGATTCGCCTCTCATACATGGCATTATCGGGCTCCTTATTCTCTCTATGAACTCCGTTGATGGTGTCAATCTTGCCCTTGACCTCGTTGGCTTTCCTGACCTGTTGCCGCAGTTCCGCTTGTAAGAGTTCACATCGGCGGAACACCTCAGCCGCGGCTACACCCAGTTTGTACGTCTCCTCACTGAGCACCTTGTGCGCGTCGGTGAAGATGGACAGTGTTAGTGGACTGAGTCTCACCTCCTGGCCAACGATAGTCTTGTGGCGAGATGTGCGCAAGCGCTCCAGCAGCTCTGAAAGAGCAGATGATTCGCTAAATGTGTGTGGAGGGTAGTATACTGGGCGGGGCTCGTAAAAGTCTAGAGGAGCCATGCTGGCCTCACGCTCGCGGACGGGGGTGTCCTGTTCCAGTTTGATGATGGCTCGCTCGTCGTCAGGTGTCTCAAACGTCAGAGCGATGGGCTCGTAGGGGGTTGCTGAGAGTAGAAAGTACTCAAGATCTGGATCTCTAATGGTGACACAGGCTGCCAGGGGGGTATTGACATCCGCTGCCTGTTGTGCGTAGACTCTGTCTCTGATTGACTGTGAGTTGGCCAGGAGACCGACACGGAAGTCCGTACCGGCTTCAAACTCCCCTTGTAGCTCTCCCTCTAGTCTGAAAATCCAGGGAGTGAGCGAGATGAAGGTGATGGCTGCGTGGTGTGTGACAAAGAAGCTGTATCGTGACGTAACGTCCAGGCTGAAGACCGGCCAGCTGCCCTCGTTGACTTCGACGGGGGTCATGGTGTCAATGGCCTGGAACGCCAGCAAAGTAGGCGGCTCCATTTCGGTCGCAAGAGCGCGGATGAGCCTGCTCTTGCTCTTGGGGGGGAGCCACTGGGCTTGGACTCCATCGGTATCCAGGTAAATTCGTACTTGGCCGCTGGTTGACAACAGACAGACGATGGTCAGAGAAAGACCTTCTTGATCTCCATTGTCGAAATCCAGTTCGTCTTCCTCGCCCAGCATGAGATCCTCCGTCTCCGTTTTCTTTCCTATGACGAGAATGTCCGTGATGGAGCTATCCAAATCATCCCCTGTTTCTGGATCCGACTGCAAATCAAAAGGTCCCTGGAGACGGGGCGTAACGCCAGGCCGTGTAGGTCTCGTGTAAACCTCAAGAGCAGGCTCTCCTGGGATCACAGAATCAATGATTTGGGGTTCCTGAGAATCAATCTCGCTCATCCACTGCAGCTGTTGCTGTGCCAACAGCCTGGTCTTGTCGTCCACACTGGGGTCGTCCTCAATGGCCGCTACAGTAGTCACGATGGACACTGAAAGAGAGGGTATCAATGTCGGCGGAGGTGCCCAACGCTGTGGCAGAAGGGGGCTCAGCGCATACACATCCCCCTCGCGCATGGCCACCCACAACGTCATCGGATTCCAGCCGCCGGATCCCTTGGTCGCGAAGCTTGCTGCGGCCACCTCCATCTCAAACGAGTCGGGAGAAAAGGCTTTGCTCGTGGCCGACACCGATGCAGAGAAGTCTTGGTCCACATTCGTGCCATCTGCCAACTTCTTCAAGTCTATTGACGTTGTCGGCGAATCAAACGACCAGCGGTCCTGCGTCGATAGCTCCCACACGCGGACAATTGCGTCAACCGTGACAGTCACCACACAAGAGCCGTTAACTCCTAGAGGGTGCCATAGAGCGGATGCAATGGGAGCGCGAGATGTGACGTGAGTCGTCGGTCCGAGCGTGTATGTTTTGGGCTTCAACGGGCTGGCATCGTCGCTCGTCAGGTGAGATGAGTCGGGCAGCACACAGATGTGGACGGTATGCGTCGTGAGAACTGCCAGCAGGTTCGTGTTCGGAGAGATGATGAGCTGTCGGATGTCGTCGGCCACCGGTATCTTGAGTACCTGCAGATTTGTTAGCGATTGTTGTAGCAGAGATGCTTTGACCATGATATCATAATGGTGTTGTTGGTTTGTCTTTTTCAACTCACCCTCCATCCAGCGGCCATCTCAGACGGCTCAAGCTCAATCGACTGTAATGTATCATCCTCCTGCTTCACTCGAACACTCGAGCTCCTCCTCCTCCTGGCCTGTTTATCCGCCCATTCTTCCTTGAGGTAGACTAGATCGCCCCATCGGATTTCCTTCCCCACGGCAACAAACACCTCCGTTCCGCGACGAGCAATGGTTCTCCTGGGTCCCGGAGTCTGCTTCTTCTTCGAGGGCGACGACAGGGCTTTGGATCGCAGGGAATCGGCTGAAGGCTCAAAGAGCTGGTTGCCTGGGGCGTTCTTGGACAGCCAAGCTGCCGAATAATGCTTCACCTTGGGCATGCTGGGCTCGTTTGCGAGATTGGCTCTCCAGCTCGGCACCCTTTCCGTTCCTTGTCCCAGCTCCCCGTCCTTCTCTTTAACGATGTCAAGTAATAGCTGGCGGAAGCTGATGTCTCGTCCTGACAGCTCCGCGTGAGCTGCGCCTGTCGAATCTGTAGAAAGGAAAAAAGTCCAATTGAAGGGCTAGAAGCTTTTTTTGTAAAAAGCGCGGCTGTTGGACTGCGAAAGCACCAGGTAAGCTTTAGCGCGTTATCTGGGGCAACTGGGTGGCAGGGGGCCCACCCGCAATCGCTGTGAGGTCCCTTTTTAGTGCTACAGGTGCCTTGCATCAGCGACTGGTTTGATGCTCCATCAGGCTGGCCGGTTTTTTTGCTTGAGCTTGCAGGCTACGTACTTGTTCAAGCTTCATCTAACCAATTCACTTCTCCACATCAACGTCAATTCAATCAGCTTTCCTAGAGCTTTGAGGTCCCTATTGTTCAATCTCAATTATAATATTCAAGCTTCCATTTGGAAGTCGACTTCACGATGCGCACCGAAGTTGGAAGCACCGTCGAGCGGCTCGACAGGCCAAGTGCCTACTATATCAGCAGAGTACGTTCAATATTGCCAGCATCCATTGCGTCTTTTCTCCAGCGAATGCCTTTAACACAAACTCACCAATTACCAGAACAAGCGCAGACGCGATCGAGACGACAACGCAGAGGAGCCCACGGAACCCGCCGTCGATCCTCTTGCCAACGCGACGACTCTCTACGTCGGCAACCTGTCGGTTCAACCCTCTCCACTAGAACTTTTCTTTTTCCAGTAACACAGCCTAACACGGCACCTACAGGTCATTCTACACCACAGAAGAGCAGGTCCACGAGCTCTTCTCCAAGTGCGGCGAGATCAAGCGCCTCGTCATGGGCCTCGACCGATTCAACAAGACCCCCTGCGGCTTCTGCTTCGTCGAATACTACACCCACCAGGACGCCCTCGACTGCATGAAATACATTGGCGGCACGAAGCTAGACGAGCGCATCATCCGTACAGACTTGGACCCGGGCTTCGAGGAGGGAAGACAGTTTGGCCGAGGCAAGTCTGGTGGCCAGGTCCGAGACGAGTACCGCGAGGATTTCGACGAGGGCCGAGGAGGTATGGGCAGAGCGCTGCAGGGCGAGAGATCACGGAACAATGACGACGATAGTCGGTAAAGCAAATAAGTCTTCATGAAAGGATCGTGTTTTTTGGAATTTTGGCATTTGGGAACGATACCTTGCAAGGGGATTTAGATATGTGTTTATTTTGGTTCTTTCAGCGCAAATTTCTAGCTTTTTTCATCAAATTCAACGCGCCGTTCATCTCGAACGGCCACCTTCCGGGTAATCCTACAATTGGCCGCTGTGCCCTGCAGCCAGATGATACCATTGTCTTTCTCTTTCCTCCTTCATCATATCTCTATCCTGCCCGTAAAGCCCAAAGTACTCCATCGTAGTGTAAAGTGGTAAGTAGTATACAATAAGTCGCTGCCTATATATCGTCGTATATGTTCATCGTTGATCTTCCTTCTCTCTCGTCCAGTAGACCTCCCCCAGTCAGAATACGTTGCAATTCGCTTGTCGTACATTGATATATCCATTCTCGTCCCGGCATTTTAGTATCCAGGAGGGTTGATTCTCTGCGAAACTCTCGTCCACTTCGGCAATTCTATTACAAATTAATCAGCATCAACACTTTCACCCAGGCAAAGATACCAATAACGGAGGAAGCCCATACTGTGAATGCCCTTTCGATACTTCTTCTCCTTCCGATCAAACATGGTATATTTATCCTTCGGCAGCATCTCCTCCTCCGTCGGCATTTCAGCCTTCCACCGCTCAATCGCCTCCAATGTCTGTCCCCTCTTCGCCAGCGCAGTGTCCAGCGTCGCTACTACGCTATCCACCGCCCGCAGTCGCAATCTGTGTCGTCTCTTCTGGAATTTTGACAGCCGCCAAGGGATCTTCCATAAAAGACCACCTGATAGAGGGTTCGTAGCGCGGAATGGGCCGAACATAATCTCGTCGTCTTTTGCGCTGGGCTGCCGGCGAATTACGAAAAAAAAAAAAACAGTCGATAGCTGCTCAGGCGAGTTTTCGAAGCTTTTCGCAGTTGCATCGGATTGGCCCCTCCGGAATTTTGGGGGCGTGCGCTCCGGTCGGAACAACGATGCGCCATAGCAGTCGCACACGCCCCTCCCTTCTCTCCCCAGCATCATATCCCGCCGCCAATCAGTCCGCATCAAATCGACATCTCCAGCATCACGATTAAAGAAGCTTGCACGCCTCTTCCCCTCCGCGCGCAGAAGCCTCGCCCAATGTGCGGCGGCGCAGCAGCACGATGAGCTACTACTTTGCCATTGTCGGCACCCAGGACAATCCTTTGTTCGAGTACGAGTTCGGCACCTCGAAGCAAGGCGGCGATGGCCAGTCCCGCTTCACCGAACAAGTGCGACACCTGAACCAGTTCATCCTGCACTCAAGTCTGGATATTGCAGAGGAAGTGCAGTGGTCGCATGGTCAGATGTAAGTCTCTGATACGTGTATTAATTTCTTCTCTCTTTTCCCCCCCTCTTGCGACCTGCCTTGCCTATAGAGGCCTTGTTCATATACTCGTGCATGTGAAGCTACATCAAAGCCGAGAGAGGATAGAGCTTGGCTTACCATGTCCGCGCAACAAAATAGGTACCTAAAGTGCATCGACAAATTCTTTAACAACTACATCTCCTGTTTCGTCACCGGCGGCAACGTCAAGTTCCTACTACTACACCAGCCCACCACCCCGACCTCAACGGCAACTTCCAGATCGTCGACCGCTATTGGCGCCAACCCGACGAGTCCAGCTACCGAAGAGGCAATCAAGATGTTTTTTACAGAAGTTTACGACAACTGGGTGAAGGCGATTATGAATCCGTTCTACAAGGTGAATATGGAAGTACGGAGCCCCATCTTCAGAGCAAGGGTAGCAGCTGCTGGACGGAAATACCTGTAAATATAGAGATGAACGCGTAGCGAATGGAGTTTTCAATGTCAACACGAAAATAATGATCACTGTCAATTTGAACTTCTTGAATAAGCCCGTCGAATTAAGATGATTATAGTATTTGTATTCATGTGGTATTCTCATTTAACGTAAGGTCGTCTACCATGACGCCTCCTCGTAAGCCCATTCCCCCCAACGCCATTTCGATCACAAAGTACATAAGAGTCGACGTTATTTGCACATATAACCCCAGCGCAGAAGAGCAAAAAACACGCGTGTTCCTACGCTTAACCACCGAAACCGTACAGGGTGCGGCCCTGTCGCTTGAGAGCATAGACGACGTCCAGCGAGGTGACGGTCTTGCGCTTGGCGTGCTCGGTGTAGGTGACGGCGTCACGGATGACACCCTCGAGGAAGGACTTGAGGACACCACGGGTCTCTTCGTAGATCACTGTTGCAGCCCGTTAGTTCTCTCAATTCTAATACCGTCGATGATGATGATAACATCACCAGGATAGACAGGAAACTTACTGGCAGAGATACGCTTGACACCACCACGACGAGCGAGACGTCGAATAGCGGGCTTGGTAATACCCTGGATGTTGTCACGAAGAATCTTGCGGTGACGCTTGGCACCGCCCTTGCCAAGACCCTTTCCGCCCTTTCCACCTAAAAACCCACGACAGTCAGCATCACCAACTCCAAGAATCTCAATTATTCAGCGCGCCGGCATCACTGCAACAGCTGTACACATGTATGAAACAACATGTAAGGACCATGAAAGTAAATGATAGAATACTTACGGCCAGTCATGTTGATAGATGTGGTGATGAAAACGTGTGTTGGGATATAGAAGTGTCCGTTAAAAACGCGTCACTGCTCGCAAATGACGTTTAAAAGGAAGAAAAAAAAGACAGACGAAGAGTGGAAGAGCGAAAAGAGGCGTTGGATGCGGGGGGCGGACAGCGCGAGGAATAAATACGCGCGGGCAATCAGCGCCAGATCAGTGGCCCTTTTAGCTTTTTGCGCGTTGTATGTTATTTTATTTTCAGGAGGCTATTCCTATTTGGGGGTGGGGTGGCGGGAGCCTTTTTCGAAAATGGTACCTGCTGATTTGTTTGATTCGACCTGTAGTGCAGGTACCTTGCGTTATGATTTTGGTGCGAGCGATCTTAGTGGTTGGCTGCTTTGTTTTTTCCTAGGTGCGCCTATTTTTTTCGGAAGCGCGGGACACAACATGCGCGACCTAAAGTTTGAGATTAGCGGGCTGTTCTTTTTTTCTCGGGAGAATAGCGGCTGCGTACCGTACGAGCGCGTTGTAAACAAAACGGTAGCCGAACTGGGCGAATTGACAGCCTCTTGAGAGCTGCGCCACCGTTACCGAATAATGGCAAACGGACACTGGAGCTAATCGTGGCTTGAGGCGCCTATCAGTGCAAAGTGTGCTGTAAACAGGGACAGTTGCGGTGCTGTCAGTGAAAGGTACTTGCTGACGCAGCTGTAACCTCCGTGTTTACTCAAACCATGTGTATAAGCCACGACAGGCCTCAATATATCACCACAAATAACCACCAAGTACGCTCTGCCTTAATAATAATATTACACTTCTTTGGGTCGATAGGTAAGAGGCGTCTAGGTCCCCACGGGTAACTTCATCACCATTTCCCTCCTATTCCATTCCATAGGTACCTAGGTAGTAATCACTTCCGAATCAAAAACACCACATCGAGCAGAGTTTGAAAAGGTGTGTGCAAAATAGTATACAGCCAATAAAAGGACCCCCCCCCCCTTACCGCCTCTCCTTTCCTGTGTGCTATGGTATTCACATACATGGAGCAAAAGGGCAGATCAAGAAAAAGAACGAAGGTAAAAAGTCCAATGCTCTCTCAACTTCAACCCCACTCCAAGCCAAGCCGAGCAAGCCGAGCAAAAAAGTGTAGCTTTTTCGAGGCGAGATCCTCTCCTAGGTACTCCAAAAAAACGCCGATGCCATGCAAAAAAGGCTACCATGCCGTCAAACACTCCGCCCCCTTTGTCCGAAGTTTTGAAAAACCCCAAAAAGTAATATCTTTTGTAAGCGAATAAGCTTCCAAATTCATACCCAAGTGAGATGAGTACTGAAAACGGGCTTGTAAAGAAAACGAAAACCGAACCTCCCCCTTTTTGTTCATGTTACACGTGGTGCTACTTTGAGCCCCTATTATCAAAAACTGCTCAGGAAAAAACCATCCAAGCCTCTTTAAAAAGAGGATACTCATGAGCATCATCATCAAATCATTGAGTCGTCCATTGGTATATCATCCTCAAAACTCTCTATCGCCTCCTTAATCTGCGGACCAGCCTGGAATGGAATTGTCAGTCGCCTGTTAAAAGAGAAAGAAGCATCTGGAATGTAGGACCTACCTTTGGATCCAATGCCAAAGCAATAGTATAATGACGGACCGCCTCCTGCCTCTCATTCATGCTCCTATACATTTGTCCCAAGAGATAGTGTACCATACCCTCGTCTGGGGCCATATCCTTCAATATAACAAGTTCTCTGTGCGCCTCTTCAACTTGTCCAACAAGGAGGAGAGCTCGAGCTTTCTTGTATCTTGCGGAAGCAGCCTGTGGAGCGAGCTCGACTGCCTTGGAATAAGCACGCACTGCTGGTATAATTTGTTTCTGCTTCTCGAGCGCTATTCCGATGCAAGTTACCAGCACGGCGTTGTTGGGATTGATGACATGTGCGGCCTGGAAGTGAGTGAGGGCCTGATCATAGGCACCCAAGCGCTGCTGGACACGTCCAATGCCGTAGTAGGCGTTGTAATGCCTCTTATCTGCTGATATCGCTTGCCGGTAAGCCGTAAGGGCCTTGTCGTATTCTTCATTGGTTACATGTTCGTGTCCTTGCAGTGTGAAGCCATATGCAAACTTTGGATCTAGTTGGGTGGCCCTCTTGAAGCATTTGAGAGCCTGCTCGGGGTCTCGCGCGAGAGACCATGCGTTGCCCAAGGCGCACCACGCCTGTGGGGAGTGCCATGCGGCGTCCACCAGTTCATGGGCCAGAAAGGAGAGATCCGTCTCCCGCTTCAAGTGCCAAAGGATGGTAGAATACACCTCCATATCTTCCAGGCGCGATGGACATTGTGCCCGCATCCTGCGAAAAAACTTGTCTGCTTCGGCATATGAAGCCTGTTCATAATGAGCACGTCCCATGAGCGCCAAAACCCAGGGCGAGCTTTGATGAGCTGCAGGCAATGCACTCAATGCCTGGATTGCTTCTTGGCACTGGAATTGCGATAACAAAAAGTATCCACTCCCGAGCTTCTTCATCAGATCCATTACCCATCGCAAAGCTTCTTCGAATTTTACTAACCCGTGTTCCGCAGCCTTGGAGGGCGGAACTGAGGCATCTCTGACCTTGACCATCTCATCGTATTCTCCTTCTCCGTTGTGGTCCTCCAAAGGCTTTCGGTTTCCGCTAACAACCCTTACGACGTTGGGGCCAGTGGAACCCGGCCGCACCATACGAGAGACTGGGGGCCTAGCCTTTTTTAACTCTCGTCCACCGGGGGCTCCTCCGGCAGCTGGGGTGGTTGCTGTCGAGTTCGGTTTGCTCGACGGTTTTATCAATCGGGCGCTTCGCCTCGTAGCGTGTTCTTCCATGTTTGCTGATCGTGATACTGGGTGGCCGGCAAGCGTTCGTTTCCTATCGGTTGTCGGCATAACACTTGACCGTGAGTTTCCAGTATGGGCACTGGGGGTATCTGAGATGGGTTCCAAGGGCTGCTCTTGGCTATTTTTCTCCCGCGTAGTAGCATTTTTTCTCGATCCAAGTCGATGGTTCATTCGTGGCGGCGCTTCGAGTGACTGGTCGACATGCTGGGCATTTCGGGTCCTCCTGGCGGGCGCATGGGGTGGTTCCTGCAGGTTGTTAGACCGAGACATCATTGCTTCCGCTGGTGGCCCTGTTGGAGTCTCGAGGCCCTCCATGTCGTTTTGATGGTGATTGGACGAGCTCTTAAGCTTGAATTTAGCATTCTGCATCCTGGACATGAAGTCGCTCTCAGTGTTCGCCAGCATGTTTTCGGTCATGGGGGTCATATCCGCGGCGGAAAAGCTAACGCCAAACGGATCGGGCCCCATGTCGGCTGCCACGGGTCTCATGGATGACTTCTTCGGAGGCTGCTGCGGTTGCTGGTGCTCAAAGGAGTTTGAGATGGTGCTTTGGCTCTGGCTCTGGGTTTGGGTCATGCTCGTGCTCATGCTCATGCTCAGCTCAGCATTTACTGTTGTCAAGTCTTGACCAAGGTTCTGTAGTAAGCTGTCACTGGCCATGAAGATGTTTGGCACACGAACTTTGACACCCATGTCGCAAAGAGCCTTGAAAGCGTCCCATTGAAAAGCATTTAGTTTCAATGCTTCCTCAAAGCTGCTCACGGCTCTCTTCTTGTCATCGTAACCGCGGTACAGCTTTCCCAGCAAGCAAAGCACCGCAGGGGTATCGGGGTATGCAGCTCGAGTCGTTGCGCTGTGTTTGCCCATGGTGTTCTTTTGCGACCAGGAGCCTTTGGCCTTATCCAAAGCTGCGATGCCGTCTTTGTGCCGTTCCAGAGCCAAACATGCTTGAGCAAAGACCCAAGTGCATCCCAAATGCACACCACGAAATCCCATGGGCTTGCTCACATCGTACGCGGATCGGTAGTCGCCGAGTCGAAGGTGACATAGTGAGTAGAGGTAGGCGGCTTCGCTCGATCGGGGGTCTTGCGCGGCGTATCGTTCGGCGAAGAAGAGGGCGTTGTCGTAGGAGCCGCTATCGAGATGGTAATAGACCACTTGTCGCAGGAGACTCCCGACAGCAGTCGGGCTTGGCGCCATCCTGGAAGTGGTAGAGGCCGGGACAAGGTGGATAATAGATAAAAGTCGCTGAAGACTGCGAAGTGTCGTCACCGATGTATCTGGGCCATGAGACTTTCGTCGACACAGAATATCGAGATGACGAGGGGCAGCGCCGGCCGTTCAAACTCTCAGACAGGTCGTGCTGCACCTTTGTCAAAGAAAGTCGAAAAACAAAAGTCGAAAAATATGCGTGCTTGAAGTATTATCGGTAGTCGTGCAAAAAGTAGCTGGCAGGCGCAAAGATGAAGAGTTTCGGATAAGCAGCTATTGGCGATGACGAAGAATATGAACAGCCCTGAGGATTCCAACCACAGCTTCTCAGAACGCTTCCTCTATTCTCTACTCGATTCAACAAAGACAAGAGCGCTCCCAACCGGCGGGCCTTTGCGGAATAGAAAGAAGAAGACGTCCCGCGTGAATGGAATGGCGGGTCTTAGCGAGCGTGAATGAAAGGCTAAGCTGCGCTTCGGCGGAGAGGAGGGGCGATAGTCTCCTGAACAGATACAATTTCACTGCCTGCTTCTGCGATCCTCTTCAGCAGAGAACAGGCGAATTCAAAGAAGCTGCGTTTCGGTTTCGCGGGCGCAGCAACCTCGCGAGGGCCGTTTCGAAGGGAGGGAGTGGCGTGACGGGATGTGAGGAAAGTCTCCAAACTTTTTGGCTGGAGTCGCGGCGCGCAGGCAATACAGAGAGAGAGACAGCCGGCTTGTTGTGGTAGCGGCGGTTCGATTGGCGCGACGACGTACCGCCATTGCCTAGCAACAAGGGGGGTCGGCGGGCTGATCCACCACTCAGCGGAGGGAATGCGGTAAAAACACAGCGGGCAGCCTGCTAAAGAGACAGCGCTCAGCCCGCTGTATATCGCTGCCACTGCGCTGCCAGCAGCCCGCCACTAGCGACGATTCGGTTATCGACAGCGGGGTCCCCACCCAAGCTGCAAGGCCCGGTTCCTCTAACCTCGAATCAAAGAAACCACATTTCACCAAAGCCTCACTTTGCAATCCCCTCCTCCTCCAAGCAGCCAATTGAAAACAGACAAACACAGAAGAATTAGCAATGGCTCAAAAAGCGAAAAAAGACCGCGCCAAATCCAACGCGGCCTCCCTCAACAACCTGCACATCGGATCCCTCGTCGTCCACGTGCTCTTCCTCCTCTCGCACTTTATCTTCCGCTCTCGATCTCTGCTCGTCTACGGCCTCGTCTCGGTCCCCAGCTTCATCTGCGAATATATCCTCGAGACGTCTGGCCGACCCAAGTACGATGCCGCAACCGGCGCCCTCAAGAGCTCGGGCGAAGACCTGGCAGCTGCCGGCTTGACGGAGTACATGTTTGATGTCATTTGGGTGACGTGGGGATCCCTCATCTCTGCGATACTGTTTGGCAAATGGGGCTGGATGCTGTATGCCGTGGTTCCTGCATACGGCGCCTATCTCGCCTACGGACTTTTGGGCATGGGCAAGAATGCACTCGCTTCGATGCAAGGTGGTGGCAGTGCCGACAACAACGCCGCGCCGCAAGGAAACCGTCGAGCACGGAGGACTGCTTAAGTAGCGGTATAGCGGTGGTCTGTCTGTCTATTTGTGGTGGTCTATGCAAAATCAACGTTACACAAAAAGCTTAGGAGCGGCCCCAGTGCGTAGTCTATCAATTCACTTCTCACTCCTTTGAGGGCGCTCCCCCGTCCAGCGCTCCAGCATATCATCGTCAACATTGCGGACCAACACATGGAAGTGCTCCAGCGTCCGCACACTTTGCAGCGCAACCCAGTTCTTAAACCACAGCACTTGCTGTTCTCCTCCGGCACCCAGCTTATCGACGAAATACGTCTTGACAAAATTTTCCACCTGGGCTCTGCTCTCAGTTGTCAGGTCCCCCGTCTCAGGATCAGTAGGAATCGCAGTGCGGGACCACACAACAATGTGCGTGATCTCCGGCGTCATGCCGTACGGCCAATCATTCAGCAGGGCCTTGAAGTCTGATGCGGCATCAAAAGGGACCTGCGATTCGGGTACGAACGGTGGCAGTCCCCAGGCTTTGGGCAGACGATTCTGCAGGATGTACTCTGTTATGGTGCCATATTGTGCTTTGGTCTCTGTGGTCCAGGCAATGTAGCGACGGAGATCTGAGGGCTTTCTTTTCAAAACACTGAGATTATTTGATTCTTTCCACACTGTTAGCCCTCTAATTGTTGATATACATGGATGTAGAATAGTAAAGTCTCCAATATAGAGCGCAAGGGCACTCACCGATAATGTGCCTCAGATCGTCCCAGTCATGCAGCTTATAATCCTCATCCGACTGCGAAAGGACCCATTTGTCAACCTCGGTCAAGGGAAACGGCGCGTCCGCAAGGGCCTGCAGCGAACCCTGATCCCCCATGGTTTCCAGATTGAGATACAATTCACGGCCTCAACTGATCGAAAAGCCACAAGCGGCGATGGGCTGAAATAGGCCTTGAGTCTGGCCCGACATGGGGTCAGATCCACGCCGAACTAGGTCAAGGTCGTCAGCGGCCTTTATCCATTCTAGCATCCCCCCAGCCCGCATTATGTAATTTCTGGCACCTCGCAATTTCGTACTCGTAACATGACACCCAATGTTAGAACAGGATCCCATTATCCAAAATTAAACCAGTTACCTCGCCATAAAGCTTTGCCTGTTAAGCCTCTTACTGAGACCACACGTAGTCATATTTCCGACAGACAAATGAAATGGCCCAAATCCATTAAGCCATTGGCGCCACAGAGTGATACTTGCACCCAGTAAAATTGAGATTAACGGCCAGCGATCCGGCCTTCTGAATCGGGAGGCGCTGCCCCCGGACCTGGGGCCTTTTTAGTGCTTGAGCCCATTTCGGAGCATTTTTGACCCTTAATATTAGACGTCACCCCAGATTTTCACGCGTTTAATCTGCCGCGGCTTCTTCCCCCAGTATCAAACTTGATCAGATGTGTCTTGCTTCTTAACATATGTTTTTCTTTCTGGTTCTATTTTGCTACTTCACTCTTTTGATATATTCCCTATACCCACACACACACACTCTCTCTCTCTCTCTTCTTTCCATCTACCTTTTCTTTCGTCTTTTCAAATCTCTTTATATACACCTGTCCAATAGGCCACCGCCTCCTTTTCACTTCTTAATTGTCAACTTTCTTTCGCTCTCTCGTATGACTTAACCAAACTAGGAACTTCGATTATCTCATTTGTAATACTATTATACCTGCCATGAGCCACATGCTCCGCTCACCGGCATCATGATCCTCGGTCCCATCTCTCTCATCGACTGCTTCGTCTTTTGCTTCTACCTCGCACCGCAGCTGCTTCATCAGGCTGGCTTCTTCCCCACGGCACTCGTCGTTTTGAAAGCCATTCCATTTCTATGTACGCAACATCCCTGCTCATAAATACATAGATGTATATGCATTTGCGTCTCTGGAAACAATATATTGGTGAAGAGATCCATCTAACAAAATTTGCGTTTCACTACTTTATAGTATTTACTCTACCGCTCCAATTTGTGTGGAATCGTTACTTCAGGAGCTATTCTTCTCACAAATCTTCTCACCTCAAAAACTCTACCATATTCGAGGATTTTGTCATCCGCTGCGTGCGATATGCATTTGCCACCATACCAGCAAACGTCGGGAGAGTCTTCTTCTCCAAGGACGTGGCACTCCCCTTTCTCAAGTGGCGCATGAAGAGACACGGAATCAAGGATTTTCCAGTGTATTGGAAAGAAGAAACTATTGGAGAGGTTTGTGTATCCCCTCTCCTCTCTCTTGCAAAGATTTTAATTGGGTTTGGACGCTGAGCTAATGATATTGTGTTACTTTCATTATGCAGGGAGACGCCAAAGTCAAAGGGATCTGGATTAAACAGAACTGCGATGTTGAGCCGGATATTGTCATCTACTACGCGCATGGTAAGACATGTTACACCACGCGAGTTGCCGCAGCGCTAACTCATGCAAACTATTTCAGGCGGCGGGTTCGCCATGGGCACCAGCTACTTTTACTTTGAGTTTCTTCTGGCATGGCATAGTCTACTGGTTGATGCTGGGTATCAAAATCCAGCCATCTTTGCTCTAGACTACAGTCTAGTTCCAGACGAGGTGTATCCTACCCAGATTCTCCAAACGCTACAGGGCTACAAGCATGTCTTGGAGGAGGTAGAGGATGCCTCCAAGGTGTGCGTTGCTGGCGATTCTGCCGGCGGTACACTCATCCTGAGCATGTTGCTCGAGGTCGGGATTCAGGTGCAGAATCAGCAGGCCAGAGGGGCCAAACTGGGGATGAGCAAACACGATTTGGAAGACATTCGACCAAAGTTTGCTATACCGCAGATGGCCATGTTGATCTCTCCTTGGATCACTCTGGCCTCGAGTCTCCACTTTCCGTCTCGCGTTGACTATTTGAATAGGGGCACTCTCTGGAAGTACGCACATCAGTATGCGGGGGATGCAATGATTCACGGCGGAGTGGCTTCGCCTGGGAGGTGCGACGATGTCAAGCTATGGAAAGCAGCCAGCCCCGAGCGTGGCTACTTTATCACATATGGCAGCGACGAGGTGCTGGCACCAGATATCGAGAGCTTTGTGGAGCGCCTAGGCGCAGGTAAGGTCGAAATCGAAGCTCGAAGGTTCGACGGTGGAATCCATGCATGGCCTGTAGCGTCGCTCTTTTTGTCAAGCACAAGGAGGAAGCGGCTCTATGGGCTGCAGACTATAGTGGGAGAGATTAGAAAGAGGTTCGATAAAGCTCCAGCAGGGAAGATGAGGCAGAGGAAGAGGCTGTCAGATTAGATCAAGTTCTACAATGTAATCATATAGAGATCAACAATGTGGAAAAGTCAGGAACCAGAGCGCCAAGGCTCGGCTTCGTCATTTTCCAGATCTAGCTCAGATTTCAAAGCTCACTATTGTTTATCATCGCACAGCCGAAGGGGGAGGGGTGAAAGAGAGGAAATCGACGTGCTTTGACGGAATGAACCAATGAAATGCTCAATGAAATGTTACTTACCTGTGAGGTGGTTCGTTGCGTGGTGTGGGTTTATGCATCATCTCCAGGCAGCTCCAGGCAGCTCAGTGCCCGTGAATGACTGGATATGTCTGCCTCAGATCCCGACGCATACCAGGCTGCGTAAAGTGCGTTAAGACAGGCTCAGGGAGACAGATTCGACTCTGGGCGGACACAAGGACGCTGGCATCCTGGCAGCGAGAGCAGAGAATGCGCGCATCCCTTGCATGCCAGGAGCAAGTATTTCCCGAAGTGCAGTTCCAAGCCCGAACCAAATTAGAAGAACGATGAACAATGTCGAAGTTGAAAGCGAGATGCAGGATTTGGTACCGTTAAAGCGGCTGCATGAGTATGAGTCGCGTCGGAGTAGTAGCACCTATTTCACGCAAAGAGCCGCATCCACGACCGATGTAACGACAGCGTTTTCCCCTGACGGCAGAGCATTCGTGCCGGCCCTGCTTCTAGTTGTGGTTCCAGCTCCGTCGAGGTGAAAGTCAGCCAAGCAAAGCACGCAAAAAGAGTCGCAATGCATATTTCGTGCCGGCCACATGGCTGCTCCCGCCAAATCGAATCGACCACGCATCCTCTTTTTTGCGAGGCTCTCCCACGACTATCCACCACAAGCATGGGTTCATAGCGGCACGCCCCCTCCCAGAGCCGGTCATCAACAAATGGAAATGGTGCTGCCACCAGCCACGGCTCCGGTCTTGTCCAAGGCAGTCGGTCCTCCGCCAGTAGCCCCAGAGCTAGGGCGGGCGCCAGTCGCTGTGTTGGTGCAACAGCCTCCCTCGCCTGTGGCCCCGAGCAGTTTGCGATGGACCGCCTCCTTCGTGGGTTTGTCACGCCCCCCTCTCGCTCCCCATTCTAGTGTAACTTGGGCATCGGCACTACGCCCAGTTGGCTGAAGCCGGCCTCAAATACCAAGGGCCTGAAATGCACATATAAACGGCCGGTCGTTCCCTAAGCTTCCGGGCCCTGGGTTTGCTGGCATCGCAGCAGAGGCCGACCCCTCCTCAGCTCAGACCCCAACCTTGACGCAGCCAGGCTTGGTCGACGAACCACACGCGGCATCGCAGCCACCCCATTTCCAGATTTGGCCCACGGTGAGCGCACGTCACCGAGCTGTCATGCGTGGCATCTTGTGCGCCGGTTCTGGAGTATCATATTATTAGGTGCCAACTTGCACAATCCGAGCTCTTGGCTGCCTCTTTCCCCCCTTTTTTCGCTTTCCTATTAGATCCTGCCCGCAACACCATCTTAGCGGTTTCGCGATTCGAACGCCAAAAGACCTGCTGGGTAGCATCCTCTGACCACCGCCCCGCACTCAGCTGGCTGGGGATCAAATCGAAAGGGCGTTTCTGAAGTGTTCTGAAAGAGAGGATAAGGTGCTCTGGGAATGTGAACAGCGTCTGTTGAGAAGATCGCTGGTAATAAGACTCTCTTTTCTCTTTTCCCACAATAGCTAGATGTTCTAGCTTTGAATAAAAGGGCCTCTTCATACCTACCTCCAGAACTAGCCTCGTCCAAATACCCACGCCGTCATCGCCAATTCGTTCCCCTGTCTGGATATTCAATACCAAGTGAGGGCATTCCAATTCCGGGATAAACTTCAAGAGAGCCGCGTGCAAAGGTGCAAGAGATCGACCGTCTATCCAAGCGCGGAGATCAGCCAGCCGTAAAAAATCCATCACCCATCGCTACCCTCTATAGCCTCCGACGATCTTGCGCCCAGGAGGATCGACAACGGTGCGTTTGTGCGAATTGGCTGCGTCAAAGGCAGGTGCAGCTTAGCGCCACCGAGAGGCTCGCCGTTGAAGAAGGGCCGCCGCAAGAGCCGCGGATTTGGCTAAAAAGGCTTGTGCAGGATTGAGGGTAAAAACGACAGAATCGAGTTCCCTGTCCACGGAAAATCGTGGTTGCAGCAGCCTGCAGCGGTCCATTGTTTTTTCTCGGGCCACTGATTTGCGGCCGCTGCCCTGGGAGCAGGTGCGTTTATGCACTAGGACAGCGCTAAAAGACGCAGTGCAGCAGCTTGAAAAAAAAAATGTCGGCCGAGGAGTCGTCGAATTACGCGCCACGGTCGCCGGACCTGTCGTCTTTTTACTCGGAAAGCCCCACCCAAGCCGCACCGCAACAGCTTCCAGCGCCTGCAAGCCACGGCCAGGCTGGATATAAAATACAGCCTTCTGCCAGCCGTTTTGCCGCCGTGCCGGGCAACGCAGAGTCCTTCTATACGCCCCCCAACTCATACGGCGCATACCACCAGGCCTTACACCAGCCGTATATTGTACCAAATTCGAATCATTCCTACGAGCCATTCTCCCCGCCAGCCGTCGGGCATCCAGAGCAAATCTCGGCTGTCTCTGGCTATCAAAACGCCGCCCCCCTCGCGCCGCAGCACGACTTCAAACCGCCGCTGCCCGAAGTCTCTCCTTATTCGTACGAGCCGTACCCGGGCCAAACTTCCTCTTCCTCTTCAGATATGCCGCCCAGAAAGGCCGCGGTGCCTCCGCCGCCTCCGCCGTTCATCGAACCGTCTCCCGTCAAGACAAAGTTTCCTACTGCTCGGATCAAGCGGATCATGCAGGCCGATGAGGAAGTAGGCAAGGTTGCTCAGCAGACACCTATTGCCGTGGGAAAGGCGTTGGAGCTGTTTATGGTCCAGCTGGTAACAAAGAGCGCGGACATTGCCAAGGACAAGGGCTCCAAAAGGGTTACCGCATCCATGTTGAAAAACGTGGTAGAGGCAGACGAGCAGTGGGACTTTTTGCGAGACATTGTCAGCCGCGTAGAGAATGAGAAGGAGGGCAGCAGGTCCAAAGGCAAAGGTGATAGTGAAACCGATGAAGAGATGGAGGAGCCGAAGAAGCGAGGTAGAGGCGGTGGGCGTCGGAAGAAAGTGCAGTAGGGGGAGGCGAGAAGCTTCCAGCTGCATACGGGCACATAGGATGATGAGTCGATGCGAAGAAGAAGACGGGATTTGACTGGCGTTCACTGGAGAGATATACCTTCAAGTCATTATATCGTACAAACGGCGTTAGGAAGGGCGGATTCATTTGAAGGACGGGATTGCTTCTAGATGGTTGCGTAGCTGTAAAGCACAGTCTATCTGGATGAGCGCGGTAACTTTACACTTGCACTTGTAAAAAAGGACTGGTTCTTCCTCTTTTCTTTATTGTGTACTACTAGGTAGCTTGAATTTTTACAATCGAAATGGCGCATGCATGTTGTATAACTCGAGATGACACGCCAACCTTTATATACTTGAGTCGATTGCAAATATGTGATGCTACCATACCTACTTTATACTGACACTTCTTCTCTATCCGTGTTGTATTTACTCTGCCCCTAATAACTTGGCTTGGCCTGTTACGTATGTGCTATGTGACATGTGATAGGAGCTTGCATGTTGTTTGGCCAAGATTGGGGCGAAACAGAGCTTGCCAAGATGCTCAGTCGGACATTGAATCTACTACTACGTACCACTTGATTGATTCTGCGACGCACAAAAACCCTAAGCCAAGAAACATGGAGGTGGATACACAGAGTCCAGATTCAGAGGCCGAGAATGAGCTGCACACGAGTTTTTCCCCGGTGTGTCTAGGCGACGTAAGTGTTCAATCCATGGTTTGCGCGTACAGGCAGGTTCATGTAAGCTTCAGGGGACTGTGCCAGAGTGCGTGCAGCAAAATCAGGTCAGCTACGGGGCACTTGCAGGCCTCCCGCCCGGTGCCTTGCGTCAGCGTTATAATCATTTAAAGTTGTTAAACATTTGTTTCCCTCCTGTACGGTTATAACGGAGTTGAAGTGAAGTGCGAGCCCGTGCAAGCACTGTTATGAGACTGGGAGAATTAAGCTGAGACTCCGGAAAATAGGTCAAGTGCCCCTTACTTCGGGTTCCGGCTTGGAGTCCTCCCATTGGTTTCAATTGTTTCTTAGCACTTTATTGCTGGTACTACGGAGTTAAAAACATTTTTGTAGCTCGAAACCCACCTTGGCTCTTTGCTGACCTGCACGCATATAAAACTCAGCTGCGGAGATTCGGTATTCCTGGCCCTGAACCACCTACCATCTCGGGCTTAAAACCGTCATACGGACAAGCCAGCAGTTGCTTGATAAAGATTGATCACATGTAGCATCAAAAAGCGTCTGCCTGTACGCGCTGTAGGCTGCACCATAGCCGCCCGCTGTAAGCTCCCTTGGACCCCTAATACGTGCTGCCCACAGGCCAATGGCCGCCAGAAACGTTAGGCACTAAGCGCGGTACCGAATTGGGTCGCTGTGGACAGGTCACTCACTCCACCCTCTTGGTTCCATCAAACCGTCTATCCCATCTCCATCTCCGCCTCGCCCGTCGACTAGAGACGCCGCCACAAGCTTCCGCTTCCTCCCTCCTTCGACCTTCTTCTGCCGAAGCTTCGCAGATCAATCCACTCCTTACTTGTGTCATTTTATTTTTATCCCTCTTTTTTCCTCTTCCCACGCTGTGCGCACCGCCAAAGAGAAAGAGAGCCAGCTCGCTTCTACCCATTTTGCATGTGCATCTGTCTCTAGATCCCCCGCTTCGAAAAGCCATGCGAGACCGGCTGAATCCTGCTACGCCTTCAGCCCTCATCTAAATGAGGCACCTCCGTCTTAATCGCAATCGCATCTCGCCTCACACCTCGCCGTCTGCGCAACTGCGTCGAATAGCCCAATGTCGTGGGATCTGCTGCAGCGATTCATCGAATCCGACGTCTTCAACGCGAATCCCTTCCTCTCAGTCTCCTACCTCTCGTGAGTGTTACCGCCCTTGGCATCTTCCTGCCAGCTTCTGCTTGGCTGCAATGGAGCATCGTCTAGGTCGAATGGCCTGCTGGGGAAGCTTGTTTATGCGCACAGCTGGTGCAAAAGATCGGTAGTAGCTAACTTATATGTCTTTTAACGCTTTGCAGCCGGTATGCCGACCATGTAGGCATTCACTATGTGCTGTGCACGAAGCTGCGACAGTTTCCCTACGAGGATATCGAATTCTTCCTGCCGCAGCTGTGCCACCTCATTATCAGCGTCGACAATGAGTCAATGGCGCTGGAGGAGTTTCTGCTGGACCTATGCGAAGAGTCTGTGACTGCCGCATTGTTGGTGCGTAGCTGAAGCCAATCATGATACTTGTCCCTGTATATACCTACCAGAACACTAATGCTCTCTGCTATAGACGTTTTGGCTCTTCCAGACATATCTACACGACTTGTCCTCCAACCCGCAATCGAATGCCTTTCAGACATGTCGTCGAGTCTATAACAAGGTACAACACATCGTGTTTGGCGTCGCAGACACCGTGCGGCACCACAAGATCAAAGAAAATGTCTTGCCCGTGACCGTCCTGTCCAGTTTTGTTCTTGCGAGCGTCGCTCTGCCAATGTTTCCGAGATGGGCTGGACCCCTCGCTGTCGCACAAGCTCGAAAGCCCCAGCCCATCACCGACGATAATTCAGATGGAAGCGAAACGCCCAAGCCAACGGCGAAAACACCCACAAGGGCGAATACTGTAGCCGCGCCAGGCTCGAAATCTCGGCGGACCAAAGACTCGAGGAATCCAAACGCATCCGACGACCGCTTGGCAATCGACACCCGCCTCTCTCGCCGAAATAACACCCATTCGCCATTGAATCCCAACTTTACAGCAAAAGAGTCGAAAAGGCCGTCTGCTCTGGAATTGAAGTCTTTGGAGGCGAGACTTAGTACCGCATCCCTACCTCTCCCGTCCCCGAGGGGTCCATCCCGACCAGCTACTCCTGTGTCTGCTAGACCCGCGGATGGTGTCCATCGAAGACATTCCCATCACTTCAAATCACCCACGGGCACGAGCAATCTGTCACCAGCCCAGAAGGCACGGCTCCTAAGGCAACACTATTTCAGGTCGCAAACCCAATTCCTATCGGCACTCGAAGTCATCTCCAACCGACTGGTTGCTGTACCGAAACCTGCCCGTATGAGTGCCCTGCGAGCCGAGTTGGCGCTGATTGGGAGAGATCTGCCCGCCGAGATCGATATCCCCATCATCTGCCCGCCGACCCTGATTGACGGGGCACCTGGAAAGAGTCGCCACCATCGAATTGTGCGACTTAATCCTGCCGAGGCCACGGTGTTGAACAGCGCTGAAAAGGTCCCATACTTGTTAATGATTGAAGTGCTAAGAGAAGACTTTTCGTTTGATCCCGAAACTCCAGATAATCAAAGGCTATTGACCGGGTTACTTAGTGGCGATGGGCCTTCAAAAAGGCTGTTTGACCTCTCCTCAGAGACCCCTAGAGTTGCTCAGGTCATTCACACTCCGGAACCAGTCATAGACAGCGTATTCGAACCGATTTCAGGCGATTTGGGAAGCTCGCCACTTTTGAAGCCGTATGACGACGTGCCGTCGCCAGTCACCTACCACCCGAAGCACTCTTCCGATCAGCGATTCTCCAGCGGAGCCACAACTGCGAGTACCACATTGGATGCAATGACACCGCGCACGTCGGACGGCCCTTTCTCATCTAGATCTCCTAGTCCTGGGTCTCGACGGAGAATGACGCTCAATATGGCTCGCGCCGACCAGCCAGATTTCTCAGCGCTGGCCACGCATATGAGAACGGCATCTCAGATGCTTGCTCAGCTTGAGGCGACGAGTGGCAAGCGACCAAAGCATGAGGTAGCAGCTATCAGAGCCAAAATTATTGCGAGCATGCAAAGCCTCGAGGAGCAAAGCTTTGATGCAGACGATCACGGTCCTACGTTTGACACCATCATCGCCAAAGCCAGCACTGCCAGTACCGTACAGGGCATAAACCCTGATCTAGATGAGGAAGAAGCGCCAATCGACCCCAACATCAACGCCAGCGCAGGCAGGGAAAGGATGGAAAACGATATCAAGACAGGAGGCGTGCAACGCCGTGGCGATCGCGACGACCCTAGTGCGGCTGTCTTTGGAGAAGCCTGGGAGGCCAAGAAGGAACGAATTCGAAAATCCTCTCCCTACGGATGGATGAAGAACTGGGATCTCATGAGTGTCATCGTGAAAACGGGCGCCGATTTGCGACAGGAGGCTTTCGCTTGCCAGCTCATCAGCGTCTGCCACAAGATTTGGGTGGACGCAAAGGTGGACGTCTGGGTGAAGCTGATGCGCATTCTCGTAACTGGAGAGTCATCTGGACTCATCGAAACAATAGCAAATGGCGTATCCCTCCACTCACTCAAGCGGAGTCTCACGCTTGCGTCGATCGAGGCTGGAAACAACCCCCGTCACCGAATAGCCACGCTCAAAGACCACTTTATCAAAGCATTTGGCCCGCCTGATAGCAAGCCTCACAGAGCTGGACTAGAAGCCTTCAAGCGCTCATTAGCGGCATACAGCATCATTTCTTACGTGCTGCAGCTGAAGGACAGACATAACGGAAACGTCTTGATAGACAGCGAAGGACACATCATCCACATCGACTTTGGATTCATGCTTTCCAACTCCCCCGGGTCAGTCGGCTTCGAGGCTGCGCCCTTCAAGCTCACAAACGAATATGTGGACGTCCTCGGAGGAGTTGGTTCAGAGGACTGGGAGGATTATAAGAAGTTGTGTAAACAAGCTTTTCAAGGTAAGGGGATTCACTTTCAACAAACGATGACAAAAATCGTTCTAACAGGATTATTCGTAGCTCTGCGACGGTCGGCAGATTCCATCATTGACTTGGTAGCCATCATGGGCAGGGATTCGAAAATGCCGTGCTTTGCTGTGGGCGTGACTCATGCGACAACGTCCCTCCGGCAGCGCTTCCAGCTGCATCTGAGTGCCGACGAAGCAGAGAATTTCGTGGAGACGGACTTGATTGCGAAGTCGGTTGGCAGTTATTATACACGACTGTGAGTATTGAATCCTTTTTTTCTCTCCACAATGTGCAGCGATATAGCGAGGAGGGGATCGAGAAATGATGAAAGCTAATATGTACAACTAGCTATGATACCTTCCAATATCGCACACAGGGTATATACTAAGCGAAGTTGTTGCCGATGTTGCCCCTTTCTCGGGGGAGGGATGATCAGGCTAATGAGGGGAAAGGGGGGGGGGGGGTGTCAAGGTAGGGATGTTCAACATTTAAGGAGGGGTTACTTTATATACACATATACTCTATATACATATATGCGCGGGATGAAGATGATGCTCTCTTCTCCCTGGAAGCGCAACTTGGAATATACTTGGCTACATTTTTGTTTTCGAGATACTCTAGCTACATACACACACATATACACAAAAACATATATATCTCCAGCACATGGGTATGTATGCCGTTGGCATTGATGGGAAGCGAAAAATAAAAACAAAATAACAAGCCTCTTGAAAAACAGGATGATTAACAGCAATATGAATAAAGAACGAAGCAACGTGAATAACAGGAAGTATAGCAAATATTATGTCACATCCTCTCGTTACAATGTGTACACGGCTACTGTAAGCAATGTCAAATGCAAATAGTTATACTGTTAATTGTATACACACACACATATATATGTACATACTACATGCTTGATCCATACAAGTACAAGACCGCCCTTTAGCTCCTAGCTTTATACGGAGTGATGATCCCTTTTTGTCCCCTTTTGTTTCTTGCTTTTCGGTAATGCCAGTCATCATAATCAAGTCCAATCAAGTGTCTTCCACAGTCGTCTTTGCTTATATCGGCTCTGACTCTCTCCGTCGAGCGTCCCTTTCTGTTAATCCGCATTGAGTATATCGGCTCAGGCTACTGTCGCAGAGTGGCGAGGGTTATTGCGCCGCAGTACCTGCCCGTCAATAACCTGATTATGATGAAGTCTTTTTACTCGGCATACGACTTGAGTTTTCGAGAAGGCGTCTAACCCCATCGTCCACCCTCTCTCTCAGCCTCCAACCTTCGCATGCGTTCTTCGCTGTCTCCATCAACAACATCGTTCCGCCGGCTGCGTCGCCCCTTGCGGCCGCCATCATCGGCATCGTCCCGACTGCGCTTTGAGCCCGCCAAGCCTGCGAGGCCAGCCATGCGCTGTGCTTCTTTCAGCAAACGCTCACGGTTTCGTGCTTCCCGTTCTAGAGTATGCGCATCTTTCTGCGGCGCTGAGGCGGCCCCCGTGCTGCGAGAGCCTCCTTTGATGTCGAATCCACGCGGGCCCGTAGGCGGATCAAATCCCTTATCGCCGCCACTTGTGGCGGCAGCACCATCAAAGGAGTGCTTCCTACTGCTGCTGCCGTGTCTGCTGCTGTACTCTCGATCCCGATCGCGGTCGCGGTCCCGATCACGGTCGCGGCCTCGTTCGCGATCTCGGTCTCGGTATCGATCCTTGCGGTCCTTTTCTTTCCGACTACTGCCGCTATCCTTGTCACGCTCTCTCTCTTTATCGTACCGTCTAGAGGAGTGCTCATAATCTCCTCGGTCACGGTGGGAAGAGCGATGATTCGATCTCTGGCGGTCGTCCTCTTCTTCCGCTCGGTATTTGTCTTTGCGCCGTTCATGGTCTCGATCTTTGTCCTTGTCTTTACGACTGCGATAGCTTGAGCGTTTGCCATCATCTGGGGAGCCCGACCTTGACCTTTCAGCTGCTTTGTCATCCTTGGACCGCTGAGACGGCTGGTCATCGTCATCGTCGTAGTAATGTCTTCTACTGCTCCGGTGTTTCTTCCGGCGATAAGAGTCATCCTTATCATCTGCGTCTACAGACTCGGAACGTTGCCGCCGTTGCCGTCTGTGGGAGCTCCGATGGCCACGGCTGCGGCTCGGACTGCGGCTGCTGCGATCTATACTTCGGCTTCTACTAGTAGCTCTGGAGCCTGAATGCTCCGGCTCTTTGCCGCGATCGCGATCTACTCGGTCTCTGTTGTCTCGTTCTCTCTCTTGCGCGTTATGGGACTCTTCAGACACCACTCCTCTTTCACGCTTATCGTGATCCTTGGACCGCTCCTTGCTGCGGTCACGATGGGCATCACGATCTCGCACTTTGTCAAGATTAGGAGTACTACTTCTAGAGCCTGGCTGAGTAGCTGGATTCGATGGCGGCGGCGCCTGTGGTGGCTGTGATGCAATAGCAGCAGGTTTTTGTACTGGCAAACCACTATCTTCAATCTGGAAACCCCTGGCTCGCAGATTCAGCAGACTAGTATTAGGAAGGCCTTGACGCATAGCTTTAGGGCCCTTAGGGGCGTTGATTGGTGCATCTGGGGCTGTCAGAATGGAGCGGATGGCAGCTACGCCATTTCGATTCTGCACACTAGATCCATCTGCTTGAGCCATGGTCGTTGGGCGCGGTGCGCCTCCAGAAGAAGACGCTTCATTGCCTATGTTTTCATGAGACGTAGACTCAAAAGTATCCTGTTTGGAGTCATCAACGCTACCACCCCCGTCGGCTTCCAACGTCTTAGCTTCGCTTGCACCTTCGTTGGCATTCTCGTCGGGGTGAGTACCCGCCGCCATGGATGTTGCTTGCTGCCCAAGGTCACCCTGGCTCTGGAAGTCGGCTGCCGCTTGTCCTTGGTTGTACTGGGAATAGTGGCCTTGGTCATGATAGTTTGTCATGGCCCCGCCATACTGGTTGTATCCCCCTCGACCATAGCCCCCATAGAATCCGCGACCGCGGCCACGGCCACGGCCGTAGTTGTTGCGACGATAGTCATTGAATTGGCCATAATTACCTTGATTGTAGCCTGTCTGGATTCCTGAGTTAAAATTGCCAAAGTCACCAGTGCCCATGCCTTGGCCATTTTGATTGTAATTATTTTGGTCGAAATTCCATGATTGTGCACTGTTCCAGTTATCATTGGAGCCTTGTCCAAATCCCCCTTCAAAGCCCCCCATGCCGTTCATGCCCATGCCTTGAAAGCCTCCGTTCATGTACATGTTCTGCATCATCGGGTCCATGCTCATCCCCGGCATGCCTATTGCATATTTAGTCACTGAATCAAGATTATTAAACATGACCAAGAGGCAGGAAAACTTACCCATCATAGGAAACCCACCAAATGAGTTTGATCCCATTCCATTTTGCATAGCCATCATCATTTGCATCTGGTTGAAGTCGCCGCCCCCTGGAAACATCATATTTTGCTGAAATCCACCATTCGCGGTATCGTTGAATTGCTCTTGGCCATCGCCAGCTTGTTCAACGTTCTCGTCGCCTCCTTCAGCAGCATCTTGCTCTTGATTATTCGCTGCGTCATCGCCTTCGACAATCGAATCTTTGGCTTCTTGAGCCTCAATAACGTCGGTTTGTTCCTTTGGCGGTTCTTCCGCGCCGTTTAATGCCACTTCCTGCTATTAGTATCGCAGTGAATTAGCGTATCGTTCGCAAAATCCATCGTTTATTATGGGTCCAACTCATACCAGCTTGTCCTCTTCATGGCCAGAAGCCGGCTCATCAGCGCTCTGCGGCACCACATCTTCGACTGGCACATCTCCACTAGCGTCTGCCGGTTTCTCTGCCGTCTCTGCTGCGGGAGCGCCCACGTCGGGCAGCGATGGCTTCGGCGCATCAACCGGTGTGATGGGTGTGGTATCGTTGGATTCTTTGGTTCGGGACGCCTCTCTCTTCTTCTCCACCGTGCGTAAGAATACTCTAATGGTAGTTCGCAAAGACTTGTTCGGGCTACAATCTGCGGCAGATAACGGAGAGTGTTCACAAACGGGGCACGACTGAGGGAGATTCGAATGGCCTATGAAACAATTAGAGCTGGCTCGACAGGGGGCTTCCAGCGATGCCAAAGCCGATAGAATGAACGCACATGTTTCGCAGATGGCTTGTTCGCAGCATGGCAGCCTGAGGGCGTTGACTGCCAGTTTGCTGCAGTTGGCGCATCGCAGTTTGTGTGGGATATCGTCGGGAGCCAACGAGCTGTCACCAGTCAGTATCCTCCATCACAATGAGGATGAGATCGAGAAAGAGCATACTTGATCAGCTCAGCCTGGGCCTCTGTAATGGACGTAGCCATGTTGCCTACGGCAGCAGGTCTATCTGCGTTGAATGCCCACCATGAGGCTTTGCGTAGTAGAAAAGTCCGAGGACTTTGGTTTCTCGGTGCACAACGAAGGAACAAGCAGAGCAGGCCACGTCACCGGCGTGACCTCAATGAGCCGTGGCACCAAGAATCACAACGCTCCGAGTGGCAGGTACAGTCGCAAACCAGCAATCTCCCAACCCCTTATCATGAAAAGTCTGGTGAAGGTCTGAGACTGTGAGGAGTTTGACGCGCTTCGAAAAAAAGAAGTGGATCTGACAGCGGACGGTGGCCACGACAAGCCAGCCGCTAGCGACGATCAGAACGTCACGTGCCCGACTGCTACACTTAGAAGCACAGAGATGCTGACTGCAAAGTAAAGTAGATGCATGGATATGGCGACTTAAAAGTGGTGGTCCATGCTTTGTCTTGCTGCTCGGGCGAAGATACTGCCAGATAGAAAGTGCTCGGTCCCGGAAGAGGGCGGTGACTAGCTGATTGCAGCCTAAAAGCGTAGCCTCGGCGGGATAAGCTGATCTTGGGATCCAAGAGCGTAGCCTTGCATGGGCTCTACTCTACTGATGACGAATCACCTCGATGAGATTGGTAGGCGGTAGGCCCAAGTTTGTATCGATTACGGCCTCGCATAAACGATGCTATGTATATATGTAGATCTTATCATAGACGGCAATCTCGTAGCACTAGGCGGGCACATCATTCATTCATCACAACAACAACCAGGCAAGCGTTAGCGAGGTACTATTGTAGCAAGAACTAGACGTCTAAAATAAATAAACGATATGGCGCACTGAGCTAAAACACATAAAGGACTCCCGAAACGCAAGACTCTGACTCCCGAATGGCATGCCATAACAAATCCGACCTCATCTTATGGTAGCGCAGCAGCGTTGGCACTAGCAAAGCGACAGCAACAGCAGCAACATCAAACAGCCCCTCATCTAACAGGCACACCCGTCCTTTGCACCTGCATCCCTTGGTCCTGATAGATTTACTCTCTGCTCCTCTCCGGCCCTGTTGGCCGTGCCTGCTGCGCCAGAACCTCTGGTGCTCTTCAGGGATGTCTCGGGAATCGCATTTGCAATGGCTGTGAAGACTTCGGTGACGTTGTGGCCGGTCTTGGCACTCGTTTCGAAAAATAGCAGGCCTTCCTCTTCAGCATATGACTGAGCTTCTTCTGTCGGCACCTTGCGGGCATCGCCACCGTCTTCGCCGTCGCCTTCTTCGCTTGTGCTCTGCGATTCGCCAGCCAAATCTAGCTTGTTTCCCACCAGCGCGATTACGATTCCGGGCGAGGCTTGTCGCTGGAGCTCAGCGACCCAGTGTCTGGCCTTAACGAGCGATGTAGGCTTGGTGATGTCGTAGACGACAAGGGCAGCTTGGGCATTTCGATAGTACATGGGGGCCAGAGACGCAAACCGCTCTTGGCCGGCCGTATCCCAGATTTCAAACTTGATAGTCCGGGTGGGGAGGTTGCATTTTTGCGTCAGAAACGCCGCTGTCATTCATTTCATCCAGAACTTAGCTCTACTGTCGGCCGCAATGGATGGGATGGGGCGGGAGCGCTGGCGGGAGCGCCGGGGACAAATGGCTTACCACCAATAGTCGGCTCTTTGTTTTCCTGGAAGTCGTTGTTGACGAATCGCAAGACCAGAGATGACTGCGGGCACAAGTCAATAAAGCTGTCTACCATGAACATGAAGCAGCCAAAACACAGTGCAGAGGAGGATTGGCGACCTTTCCGACTGCGGCCTCGCCGAGGAGCACCAGCTTGACGCTGCTGCTGGGCTTGGGAGCTTCCGCCATCTTTTCCGGCTCGTTTCGAGGTTGTACCGCCCGAGGGTTCGGCGCTGTAAGGGAGGAGATGGATGTGAAGCCAAAGCAGCCGGCTTGGAGAAGAAGAGGACAAATTGCTCAAGCACAGGCGCCGGCGTGGGTGAATGCTGCTGCCTCTGAGAGTTGTGTGTACAGGCTGCTATGCGCGAGGATGGTTCCAGCAGGCGAGTTCGTGGTGGGTACCGGTTGCATTGGAGCAGCGAAAGAGAGGCGCAATGATGACGAGGTCTGCGAGCGAACCAGCTCACCAGCCACACTGAGGCCGGGGGGCTAAAGTGAAAGCTGCCTACCAGGTTCAGGGTACTCTAGCCGGCATGGAAATTCCACGATAAGATAGGGTACTGGGTACTTTAGGCAATGTAACTGTCAGAAGCGTTTTCGGCGGGACCCTGCCAGTCGTAGTTCGGCCAAAAGTTACGCCTAATTCCGACAGCTCCCCGCCAAACTTTTTGGGCTTGATCTGCCGGCAGAAAAAAAAAGTTCGGCGTCGTCTTAGTTTCTGCTGCAGGTGCGGATCCCTGTCTGAAGACTGAAGCATTTTTTTCCCATACATATCTGTTTCACCAGCGTCTGTTTCCAGCTTCTCAATTCTACGAGAACTGAAAGTTGATTCAGTCTTCAATATGGCTGGGCCGATAGCCGAAAGAGCGGCTTCAAAAAGCAAGCCGTCCAATCCCAATAAGCGAAAACTACTCGACGACAGCGACTCGGACTCAGATGATGCGGGAGCAGCAATTGGAGGTTCTAGCTTCAAGGTGAACGAGGAGTATGCGCGCCGTTTCGAACACAACAAGAAACGAGAGGAAAAACACAGACGTACGTTCGAATTAGGCCCCTGATATTCCCAACATGAAATTCTCAACTCTCTAACATATACCAGTTGAGGAAAAGCTCAAGAGAGAGGGCGAGGATGAGGATTCTTCTTCTTCCGACGAGGATGAAGATGAAGATGGTTTCCTTGCAACAGAAGACCTCGACGCGCAAATCTCTGCTACACTACAGGCCATTCGGAACAAAGATCCCCGCGTCTACGACAAGGACATCACGTTCTATGCCCCAGACGACGAAAACGCCGATGCTACAGACAAGGAGAAGAAACAGAAGCCGGTTTTCCTGCGCGATTACCAACGAGAGAAGATTTTGAGGGGAGATGTTGGCGCCTCAGACGACGAAGAGGACGCTCCGAAAACATACCAGCAAGAGCAAGACGCAATCAAAAAGTCATTGCTCTCCGAAATCGACGCTGTAAAGGATGAAGAAGACTCGGACTCAGACGAGGACGACGATGGATTCATGAAACGAAAAGCGCCAGCACAGACGGATAAAAACGGCTTACACCCATCAAGAGCAAAGGCTGTAAAGCTTTCAGAGGTGGATGTAGAGAAGGCAGACAGAGATCCAGAAACATTCTTGTCAAACTTTATGGCGGCGAGAGCGTGGGTGACTGACGAAGGTTCTAGATGGGAGGCCTTTGAGTCAGATGATGGAGAAGAGGATAACCGAGCAGATGAGTTCGAAGAGGCCTACAATCTGCGATTCGAAAACCCCGAAAAGAGCAACGAAGTCTTGAAATCATATGCCAGAGACTTTGCGGCTGCCAGATCAGTCCGACGAGAGGAGAAGACGGGAAGAAAACGCCAGCGAGAGCTCGAGCGCGAAAAGAAGGAGGAGGAGAAGGCGCAGCGCCGCGAAGACAAGGCCCGGTTACGAAACCTGAAGCTAGAAGAGACGGAGAAGAAGCTTCGCAAGATTAAGCAAGCCGCTGGAGCCTTTGGCAAGGAGCTGACAGACGAACAATGGATAAAGTTCCTCGATGACGCGTGGGAGAATGACAAGTGGGAGGACGAGATGAACAAGTGGTTCGATGAGGACTACTACGCAATCAAAGAAGCAAACGTCGCCTCAGACGACGATGATGAGATGGATGTCGATGAAGAGGACAGCAAGAAGAGCAAAAAGAAGAAGCCCAAGAAACCCACGTGGGATGATGATATTGACATCAAGGACCTCATCCCCGACTTCGAGGACGACGCCGCAAAGCCAACCATCGCATTAACAGATGATGAGGCTCAAGACGATGAGGAAGAGGATGAAGAACCATCCGCCAAGAAGGTGAAATCATCAGACCACAAGAAAGCCCGCCAAGAGACCCAAAAGAAGGCCCGTCAAGAGCGCTCCAAGCTCGAGGCCCTCGTCGATGCCAAAATGAACCTCACAGACCACGACATCCTCAAGAGTAACAACAACGACGACGACATCGTTACAGGCGGCTTCCGCTACCGCGAGACCTCACCGCAGTCCTTTGGCATGACGGCGCGCGACATCCTGCTCGCCCCGTCAGACAAGGTGCTCAACGAGTACGCCGGCCTCAAGAAGCTCGCCACGTTCCGTGACGCCGAGAAGAAGCGCAAGGACAAGAAGCACCTGGGCAAAAAGGCCCGTCTGCGCCAGTGGCGTCGGGACGTGTTTGGCGGGGAGTTTGAGCACACGGGCCCGACGTACGGGTTTGAGCGGGTGGTTGCGAGTACCGAGGAGGGCGATGTGGGGGATGCGAGAGTTCAGAAGAGGGCGTTGAAGAAGAAGGATAAGTCAAAGACCAAGGACGGCGAGGAGGCGAGCAATATCATTGGCGATGTGGACGGGACGAGGAAGAAGCGGAAGAGGTCAAAGGGGAAGAAGGCGGCTGAGTAGAGAGCGTGTACTTGTGTAAAAAAAAAGGGGGGGGAGCCTTTTATTTCTTCCGAGTTGTTCCTGTTATAATAGTATCATATCTAGACGGGTTTAGATTTTTATTGGGTTTGCATGATAATACCACATATGCAACCTGAATTATCTACAAGTCCATCTTGCAGTCTCCTTTTGCCGGTGTTTTCAAGGTATCTTGTCATCTTGTATACAACCACATCATTGCTGATATGCTAGCACCTTTGCAATCTGAAGGGTGTCTTCTTTTCCCAAGTTTTTCAAAAACATTGACATATCAAATATCATAAGTCACTTTTACAAGTATCACACATACACACATATACACCACGTCATAAAGAATCTTGTACGAGTAAATAATCATATCCTATGAGAATAAACGTTAAGCATTTACATGAATACACTCTCAAAAACAAGTATCATCCAACTCCTCGTTCCCGGTCTGTCTGTCTGTCTTTATCTTAATCTCTCTCCTGTTTCACTGTCTCCCTGTATGTCTTTATACTCCTGATTCCCCCAGTGCATCTTCCGCAAAACAAGAAACAAACAAGCAAGAGAAGAAAAAAAAACTCCGCTCCTGATCAGTCATGTATTAGAGCGAGCATTAATTCTCAGGAGATAGTAAACAGTCGTCGCTCTTGCATCTATTCTTTCGCCCTCTCTGTCTCTCTCCCCGACTCTCTCGCCCTTTCTGGAAATCAGAACACAAAAAAGATCAACTCAAACAAAACAAATACACTCTCCTCCGATCAGTCCGGATGAAGAAAAAAAAAAGCAAATACGCGATGAGGAAAACCCTTCTCTTGTCAAACAAGGGAGATTGAAGCAAAGAGAAAAAAATGCAAAATGCAAAAAACCAACGCAGCGTATCATAAAAGGTGTATCAACTTGTAGTTTCCAGGGTGTTTTTTGCTCTAAGGTGCTGATGCTTGTCTCGTTGGGAACGGAAAAAAAAAATGTCCCGTCTTTCGCAAATGTATACCGAGGGATGTTGAGAAAAAAAAAGGGGCATGGCCAATAATTCAGATATGATGTGTTTTCTCCCGAGCAAAATTATGCCTTATTAACGCAAATAAAAAGTAGAGGATAAAAAAGCACGAAGCAATGGCCCTCGCTGGTTCAAATGCAAGCCTTGTGTATTTTCTCCAGACAGGGTATCATAATCGTGGCAGGGTCATCTGAGTCTTATGTAACAAATCATTTCGAAAATGAGTATCCAACGCTAGAAGGAGTTTGTTTTTAGGTATCGAGATAAAAATTAGGGAAGAGGTAGAGTCTGAGCTATAGCGCCAGTTCAGATTCCTAAATTCGACTGTGGCTGGCACTCGTTCGGCTCCTCTCGTCATCTTCCTCAATCACGTCGCTCAGCCGAGTCGGGTGGTGGTGCCGTGGCACCGTCTCCCATCCAGCATTTCCATAGCCCTGGCCGGAATAGTCCTGGGGGTTTGAATAGGCGCCGGTCCACTGGCCTTGAGGGGCCGAGGTTGATGATGGCATGTTCTGGCCGCTGGGGTTGGTGGTGGCCGGGGTGTCGTAGTCTTCTGGATCCAAATCAGAACCTGTGTACGTGGAGGGCGGCACAGCGAAGGGGATCTTGTGGCCGTCCCCGTCGAGGATGAAGTTCCCCTGCGCATCGATAAGGTACTCACCTTCGCTGTAACCGCCCTCGGAGCCAGCGCCTGTGCGACGGCTCGGATCTTCCTGATGGCCAGATTGGTATTGTCCTTGTCCGGAACCGCTACTTCCTGGCGCAGATTGGCCTCGGCCCGGAGTGCCCTGCTCGATGGAGTACGTCGGTCTCTGGTAGTCAGATTGATAGCTTGCCTGCTCCCTGGTGCTGCTGTGCCTGCTTGGGCCGCCGCCCTGAGTCATTGGTACTACCTGAACGCCTCCAACAACCGTAGGATGTCCTGACTGAAGAGATAGAGTCCTATCGCGCTCTTCCTGCTCACGACGCCCCAGTTCTTCCCATGCCCGACGGGCTTCTTCTTTCGAGATGGAGAGTTCCTTTCTCATCTCCACGAGTTGCTTCTGAGTCTTGGATACTCCACGCTCATGATCGACAGCTTCACGGATCGCCTGTTCACGCTCTCTCCTCTCTTTTTCGAGGGCCGCCTCCAACATGGCATTCACCTCGTGTGCGCGCTCCAACTCTGATCTGGTTTCAAAGAACCACCTCTGAAACTTTCGTTCGGAGCTGGCCCGCAGGCGCTGAAGTTCAACTACCGCATGGAACAGATTGGCGCCCGCTGCCGACAAATCGGTAACCTGTCGCGCCAGCTGCTGACTCATTGGGTCGCGATTGATGTCATCCTTGTTTTGTTCCAGCTTGCGAATCCAGTAGCTCGTCAATCCCTCCCAGTGAGCAGACAGTGTTTCCCACCGCTCAAACGCATGGGGAAACGAATTGCGCGGCTTGGTAGGATCATTTGTGTCGCCGGGAAGTGCTCCAGAAGGAGGGTGCTGCGATGGTAAGTTTCCAGCGGGGAAAGCCTGGGGAGGAGTATGCTGTTGTTGGGCGTTGGACATTGGGACGGGGCGGTGCTGCTGCTGTGGAGGTAGCTGTTGAGCTGGTAAATGCTGGCCGGATGTGGTTGTGCCGCGCGGTTGCTGTGACGGGTCCATGGCAGCTCGACCCATGTGTGAATGGTTAGTAGATTGCTGAGCCTCGGCAGTGATGCCTTGGCCAGCGGCAACGCCAGCAGCGCGCCGTTCTTCAGAGCGGCGCTCAGTCTCCTGCTGCACTCGCGCCTCCTGTTCGGCGCGGCTCTTCTTCAATGCCTGCTGCTCAATTTCGGCCCTCTGCTGAGCTTCAGCTCTCTGGCGCGCTTCTCTCGCTGCGCGTTCCTGCATGATCATCCTAGGACCCCTAATTCCTGAAGGAGAGCTTGTAGGCGCGGGAGCAGCAGCCGGCATGCGGCCAGGACCAAGGGCGGCGCCATTGGACGCGGCAGGAAGGCTGCCGGTCATTAGATCAGACATGCTTGCGGACTCTTCAATCTCGTCGGGGGTGAAGGAGTGAGGCTGGCGGAGAGCTTCTTCAAGGGTAAAGAGGATTGCGCTATGAGTATGCTTGGAAATGCGAGGAGCCTTGAGCAAGTCTCTTGGATGCGCAGCGACCTTGCTGGAAGCAGGAGGATTCTGTGCTTCAGCCGAACCAGAGGGTGCGCGCTGCGATCCCGAAGTCTGACGTCGCTGGTGGCTATCCCCGTGTTCTTCGTCAAACAGAGACAATCCAAGCCCAGTAATGGACGATTCGGAGTCCTGCGAGATGGATACGATGCTCGGGTAGAAGCCCGCCGAAGCAGCGGCGATGTGGACTCGGCGCTCCGGCTGAGGTTTCGGCGCAGAATCAAATTTCGGCGTGCGGCGAAGAGACTTGTGCTGCGAAGACGGAGTGGAGAGCCTGCTGGGCGGCTCCTGGGCTGTGGGCGGCAGCGGGTGCTGCTGGCGTTGCGGTGGTGAATGCGTGTTCTCGTGGGTCGCGTAACGGTCGTTAGAAACGGAGGGCAGTCGTTGAGACAAGTCTGCGGCGCCACCAGAGGAGGGGAGGGAAGACAAGTTGGCCGAGGCTGATCACCGCCAGCGAATTGGCGGTGATGGTAGGGAGCGAGGCGAAGGCCAGAGGAGCTCGCGGTCGTCGGCAGATGCCACTCTAGGGCAAGTTTAGGTTGTAGGTGGGCGAGTTAATTACGATTAGGTGCTGCTAGATGATATCCAGCATAGGCAGCGAACGGACTGGCCCTAGACGCGAGAGACTTGGGCGAAGGCAGGAATTGCAAAGTCGCGGTGATCCAGGCTCGGGCTGGGTGGTGCGGTGATTTGCGCCAGAAGAAAAAAGGACGCTGAATTGCAGAGCACGGACGGCAGGCCAGGATATCGAGGCAGAGCTGATCGACTCCAGGGTGCGAGCTGGCGGTAAGGAGGAGCCGGACAGGAATATGCACGCAGGTGAGTCGTGCAGTAAGAGGCGGCAGAAGACCCAATTGCCCGCAGAACGCTGGGAGAAGCTTGGCTCAGCTCGACGGCGCAGAGACAAAGGCGCAAAAGAGCCAGGGCGGTGATGTCAAAAAAAAGTGGTGGCAGGGGGGAAAAGGCTGGAAAATGGGGGGCTGGAGTGCGCAAGCGCGGCGCCGTAGGTGGTCTCCGCGCAAAGGAAGGCCTGGGATCAGTAGCAGTTATAGTGGTTGGCCAAAAGACAGGGGGGAGGACGGCTGATGGCTGATAAGATGATAGTAGCTAATGAACGGACGGCTGAACGAATGGCTCGTGTGTAGATATATAGGTAGGCAGAGTGCTGAACACAGAGCAGAAGACGGCCTCTTTTTGTTCAGGCCTGTTCAGGCTCTGCGTGTCTCGTCTCGTCTTCAGGGAGTCACAGGCTGGATGCCTCCCGCTGCGCTGGCGTCGTCGACGCAGACCCGGGACGCTGCTGGCCCAAGCCGTGGCAGACGGCCTCGCCTTGGCCTGCCCTGCCGCGTGCCAGACGAGCAGAGAATGGATGAGAAAAAGGGACAGAAGGGGACAGAAAGGGACAGAAAGGGGTGGCAGAATTGGGTCGTGTCGTGTCGTGTCGAGCGAGGCGCCGAGAGTCGTGCTCTTTCAAGTCTTTTTTTCTCTCTTGCGCTCTCCCAACTTCTCCACGAGGTCACAGAAGCGGCCAGCAAAGCTCAGGCGGTGGAGCTTCGGGCTGCATATTCGAGGCCCAATGCTGACCTCTAAAGCGCCCGGCACGGAGCCCTCTCAGGGGGGATTTCGACAAGCAGCAGCAGAGACTCCTGGTAAGGAGGTGGCAGCGGTTATGGAGGTAAGATGCGAGATGCAAGATGCGAGGAACCAGAGCAGCGTCCCAAGCAAGCACTTTGGCCTCGCACTTGTAGTTGCGGCCCCCAGCTGACGGCGTACCCAGCAGGTCTCGTGGCCAGCCCAGGTACCTGCATCGCGGGCGCCGGGGCTATAGCGGCTGCAGGTATCCTCTCAGCCACGAGGACCTGTCTGCAACTCCAGCTGAGACAGAGGCTAGGGCGCAGTAGCAGATGGAAAGGCGTTCGAAAAGAGGAACGGAGCTAGCTCCACCGGCCAACGGACCTGCTAAGCTCATATCGCTGCTAGCACCAGTTGGCAGAAGCTGAACTGGGCCGGGGAGAGCGATGCGAATCGCTAAGATGGGATCTGGGAGGGGGGAGAGCCGGGGCCATCCCTGGCGGACGCTGTTAGTCGAAGCGCCTTGACTCGGTAATACATACGACGATTGCTTGGGCTGGAAACTGGAAGCACGCTGTACTGTAGGTGAGCCGGTGGTGGTGGTGATGGATGCCAAACGGAACGAAAAAAAGAAACATGTATGACTGCAGCAGATGATCGATCGCCCAAGGCAGACTGGCCCTCCAGCGTTGAGACTTTGACACGGACAGATAAGTTGTCAAAGTGCCAGCGAATCCCGCCATCCCGCCAAACGAGGCTGATCAACCTTGCCTTTGGTACCTTACGCCACGTCGCAAGTGCGCCACGTTTCTGGCTGTACGACAGGAGTACCTGTGCAGACGCTTTGTGATGCTGTGAATGACAAGTATCGGAGAGGTTTCCTCCAAACGTTGGCGATGCGTGTTAGTCGAGCAGTCGGGCAACGGCCATGGCCACAACCAGGCCACACCGTGGCAATCTCGTCACGGTCTACACCTCATTACACCTCATTACACCTCATCCTTATGCACCGCAGGAGATGGGCGCCTCCGTATCTGCATGCCGTGGCACATCCACACCAGACCTTGGACACTGCAATCAATGCGCCCAGCACCGACCGCTCCGGGGCTGTCCTTCCGGCTGCCGGTGATCCTGTTGGGCCGTCCTCCGTCTCCCGTCTCCCGTCTCCCGTCTTATACGCTCATCTGGCAGCATCAACATGTTTCACAGCAATTGGGTCGATTGAGTCGAGTCCAAGCCGCTGTCGCAAATTGCAAATTGCAAATTGCAATCTGTACAGCACAGCACACAAGCCACCTGATCCTGTCCCAGTGCGGCGCGGCTCGGGCCCGCCCATACCTGTTTGCCATTTCGACCCGGCAGCCCAATCGCCGTCAAGCCGCCAACAAACTTTGTGCCAATGGCGGGATGCTTTGAGGGGCAGCACGACGTCACGTTTGCCCGAATTAGATGCTTCTCTCCAATTGTTGTTTATGCACCATTACACTTATTTTCCTGCTGACTGCAAGTGTGGGTGGACTTGTACCGGCGGTGTGGCAATCCATGCTGTCATGGTACATGAGTTGGACCCGATTGCCTTCTAGGCCCCTTTGCCGATCTCACAATCGACATGGCATACACCGATCTATGGATGGTTGATGGTTGGAATGAGCCTCGATGGCAAGAGGAATAGCAAGATGGAAGAGGAGGCCTCTTCAAATTGTCATCAGGTTCTTAAAATAGATGTCTATAGATAGTTGTCAATCATGATGTAGATACCTACCAGGTACGGAGAGTACCAGACTCAATTCTGCGGGATGCAGGGTAAGTACTAGCTGCAAGCATGTCGATACCTGCTTCAACCCACGCAACAGACCTTGACGAATAAAATGCTTTTGAACAATCGTTTCAAGAGCTAGCAGTTTCATGTGTAACCGTAATTTCTACTCCACTGCCCAAATGAAGCTGTCGTGGACGCCTGTGCACTACAACGGCGATTTGCCTATCGCGTGTCTAATCCGAGACATGCTAAGAAGATGCCCACCAAATGTGATAATTTTTTACTTAAAATTCTACGACAATCTTCATCCTGTTGACAAATATCCAACATTGGCAGTGATGGAGAATTGCCACTCGCCTGGATCATTATGCACAAGTCAGACAGACGTCGTACCAGCACCATTATACGAGCTCCATCTCCCTCCCTGCGTCTTCCCGCCTCAAAACTAAAAAGAGTCCGCATAAATGCTGTGTGTGCATCATACCTTTTTCCTCTTCACTAAACACCATGGAACTTGTGCCTTGAGCATCCCAGACTCACATCGCAATGAGGCCAATGGAGAAAGAGAGACGCGTCTGAGGTGAACCAGACGCGATGCGCGCGCGCAAGTCTTCTTATATATGCATGCGCTTCCTCTCCCAGGAATTGCGAATCTCAGCCAGCCCACGTTTGTAGCCATGGAGACAAGCATCTTGCATTCTTCAGATCTAGGCGCTTTTCACACGGTATGCTTGTGCCACGCACGTGTAGATGGCCCGATTGCCGACGCTGTGTCGCTGGTACAACCGGCCTAAACGACGGGCTAGTATAACGGGAGATGCTCTTTGTTGCTCGGTAGGCGGGTGCAGATCGAAGCTACTCTTGAATATGAGATGCGCTTTTGGCATGGAGAACATGAATCTGCTATACCTAGTACTCTGCACCTCAATGAACATGGCCCCCCAGAGGGCACATCTCAAGCAGTCCACTTGCTTCCCCGGATGGTCGCCGTTGTTTCCTTTCTCCTGCAGTATAGAAATCTTATAGCAATGGGTATCATGTACTGCTATCTACAGTATTTTATACAGAAACCATGCCCAGTCCCCTCCATTTGTCGCAGCGCACGGCAGAGACCCGCGCCTAATAGAGTTTTACACCATGGCAATCCAGTCATGCAGGTCTCAGCTGAGACTCGCATTTGGTCCAAGTCTTTCCCATACGGGCCATACCTAGTACACGGCCCTTGTCAAGCAGGACCCCCCGATCGACCGGGATACTAGGCGCAGTTTCTAAACTGGTCGGATAAGGCCTTTAAGACAGAAAAGGGCAACAAGGGAGAAGGATAGACAAATTGGAAAAAGAGGCAGACAGGGGTTATCCCTCGTCCAGAGGCGGGGAAGACCAGCCGCCTTAATCGTAGTGTTGGTAATTTATAGTAGTAATAGTAGCAGTAGTAGCAGTAGTAGAATTGTTCGATACGTATAGTTTCCTACTGTGGTCGTCAATACGTGTGCTATCTATCAATTGGTAGCCCCCTTTATAACAAAGTTTGTTCGCCATCTATTGCTACATATGGCAGATTGGGCATATTTGATAGCAGCTGACATCGCGTCGTCATCAAGTCTATTTGCTGCTGGATAATAATTCTATAGGCGCTATGGCCATGCCGAGCAGATTTATATTCAGCTGAAAGCTCCATCTCGAGGCCAGTAGCATCTCGTCGCCAGGGCATTACTAGTAGCAACATCACAAACTTGAGTGTCGATCTCTCTCTCTCTTTGGCAAAATTCCTTTCCCCCCTGCGTGGCTTGACACCTTGATGAGTAAATCAGAGAAGAAACGCTATCAGTGTTCTGTCTTTACCATCTGCACTCTTTACAAGCTGTTGTCTATGTAGATTACATGGTATGATTCCAGATCCTTGGCCTCGCTCGCTGCGATTATACATCTGATCCCAGTCATTAACCGCAGACAACATATTTTCCCTACCTAGTTATAAAATCCAGCATGGCACTTTCTATCTCTCAGCTCAGTCTCTTACTCTAGTCATCATCCCCTACACCCAATCAATCATCCCTTGCATTTCCCCATCGCACCACCGCCTCATCTCACCAAGCCACGCCGCAAGCCCCCAGCCAGAATGCAAAGAGCAAACATATCCACAAAGGCATTAGATCAAGAAAAAAAAAAAAAAGAAAAGATAGCTTACCGACCACGCCTTTCACTTCACCTAGCAGAAAAAAAAAGCCAATCAAAAATCCCACCCCATATGCTATGCCAAGCAAGGAATGCTCCTCTACCCGTATCAAGGGCGAGCGCGCGCGCAAACTTTTCCTCCCATCCACCCAACCTAGACATTTACGACGCCAAACTAGCTCTAGAGAAACGAAAGAAAAGGAGAGCTCTCGATAGTATCAGTACTGCTCTCTGTATGAGGTAAAGTCTGCTCCATATTAAAGCCATGTCTCGTCTCATCGACAATCGAAAAAGTGTGTCCTGCGTCTGCTATGCATGTCTTGTTGACTTTTCTCTTTCTACAGCATCTGTTTATGCATGCTACACTAAATATACTATCTTATACTTTCACTCCTGAACCAGTCGTTCACAGATATCGGGCTATTTGTATATCATACCACTTATCCCCTTGCTTTGCTCCTCCTATCAAGTCTCAGGTTATGCCAATTTTCTCTCCTTTTTTTCTCAGGCTATGCCAATTTTCTCTCCTTTTACACCGCATTGACACTCTTTTTCTTCCTGTGCCTCGTCCAAGTCCCCTCCATGTCACCAGCCCGCACCATGGAGAGGTCAAGCAAACTCGCTCCTCTCACCCTCGTCTCCAAATACTACCCAGCCGTGGCAAACTACTCCTACCCTCGCAGCGAGGGCGCCCCAACCCCTTGCAACAGCAGACGGCCGTCATCGTCAAAGTGCTCGTCCTCCTTTGAAGACATCAAGCGGTCGTCAGTGGACTCTCAGGAGTCAAGTCCTTTATCATCCCCGCCGAGCCTGGTCGACGACCGCACCGACTCTGAAGCCTCGGCGGACGTCGATGACTATCGCTATCACGCGCACGCAAACGAGCTCTGGGACAGCTTCTGGATGTCCGGACAGCATCAGTATCTTGACGACAGTCACGCGAAGAAGCCTTCCATCATGGCTACTTCAGCAGCAGGTCCTGCTTCCACGGCCCCAAGCCGTGTTCCTCCTCAAGTCCCGGAAAAGGACTATCCAGCCCTGATATCTTCGCCTCAGCGCTCGAGAAGACGTCCACAAGGCCCTCGCTCCCAGGGAAGCAATGGCTGGCCGCTCTCTGACCAACACCCGCAGCCAGACCAGCCACGAAAAGCATCACCGACTTCTTCGGCATTCCCAAAGATTGTCAACATCCCGTCGCCAGCATGTACACGACCAAGCTCGAGTTCTCAGCTACCCATTGATGCTTGCGAGAATCGCCTCTCAGAAATGGACGCCCGCTGTCCTCTCCAACAGGCTCCTTCTCCTCCGCATCCACCAGCATCTCTCTACAGCCGTCCGGGAAGTCCTCATCCCAGGGCCTTCTCACCCGCCTCTCTAAAGGCATTTCAGCGTCCAGTTACATCCCACGGCTCACGACCATCCAGTCCCATGGACTATCCTAATCCCTCTCCTCCGCCAACAGCGCCTTTACCAGCCCTGCCAGCAAACTGTCCAAAAGCCCCTCATCTCACACATCGATCTTCAAATCTCTCTCAACACAGCCATACTCCACAATCACAATCTCAGCCACTAAGCCATACCATCCGCCCATACAAATCAACCACTCAACTCCGTCGCCCTCCTCCAGAGCCGCTCCCCGTCTCCGTCTTCGAGTACGACTCCGACACAGACTGCACAGACGATGAATCCTCGCCTCTGGAGTCTCCCGCCCTTTCCTTCTTCCGCTTCCACAGACGGAGCCAAAGCCCCCGGAGCAACGACGACATCTTCACCCGTCGCCGCGGCTCTGCCTCCAAAGTAGCTTCAACAACAGCTCATCAATCTTCCTTGATTGATGCCGCAGAAAAGGAGAATTGCAAACGGCGCAAGAGGAACAACACCATAGACAGTCTGCCCCGCGTGGTGAAGCAGTCAGACGTGTTTAGCAGAATGCTGGGGCTACGGAGTCGATGAGTTTGACACTACGCATGTGATTTCTCACTCAATCTTTTTTCTATCTTTCTTTTTTTTTTTCTTCTTAATCTCATTTATGATAATGAAGGCCGACTAGGCCACAGCCACTCACTCATTTGCATCACAAATTCTTTCATTCAAAGCAAGCGGACCATAGCCACTCTTTTTTACAAGCTTTAACCACGAATTGGGCCACTCTTTTCAGTTTTGTTTTCTTCTTTTTCTTTTTAATTCTTCTTCTTTTCTTATGTATAACAGGATGGGTGATAATAACGGCAGCATGAAAAGGAGTACTGGTAGAGCCATGGGTTTATCCCCATCATGAAACTTAATCATAATTCGATGTGTTTCCTCATCTTCTCTTGCCCTTCTCTCGCAATAATGCCGTGTGCCAAACTACTAGCACTGAAAGGCTTGTTGTGTTTTTACGACGTAGTTACCAGCAAGTGCATTCCGTAGGCGAACATACTCAAGCTGTTGCAGATCTAAGCACATTTGTGTTCACTCAGCATGTGGCGGGCGGTTGTACATCTCCATGGCAATCGTCATTTTAGAACAGGTCTTCATGATTTGAAAACCCATCAGCCACTACATACTGGTATCTTTTCAGCATTAGATACATAGGCTTGTCCTTATAACAAGCATCGTCAACCATTTTTTTCATTCCGCATTATATACTCGTCGTTTATTTCACCCATCACGTCCCATGCCCCTATTTCTCATAGATGTCGTGAATGTCAAACTTTAGTAGTCCCCCAAACTCCGGATGCATGATGAGCCATGCGATAATTGCAAAGGATAAAAGAGGAAAAGATTATTAGCGCTCTGCTTCTTTGTGCTTTAAACGCTGGAAAAGAGAAAAAATCATCACGCCATGGATCTAGAAGATCTTGGCAGCTTTTCTGAAAAGTTGTTCATACGCCGCACGCTCAGTCGGTGCTCGTCTTTCCCTGGCACAATGCCAAAGAACCACGTACTTTCCTCCCGGGCGTCGTCGCGTCCCACACCAAGCCGGCTTGCAAGATCTTTCCGTCCTCGAACGGATCGAAACGCGGCGTCTTGGGTAAGCTCCTCAGCAGAACAGAGACTGATAATTCCAGCAATCGAATTTACTGGCCGCGGGAGTAGGAATTGGCGGCGGTGGGGCACCATCAGGGAAAGCCCGCCAACGTAGAGGAACAGGAATGCGATCAGGACGCCAAACACTGGCATGCTGGGATACATTCGGACCGTTTGATCAGGCCTTGTTAAAGCCATAAAGAGCCCGCCGCCTAGAATTGGGATGAAAATAAATAGCGTTGCCAACAGCGACACTGCCGCTACCCTCCAGTGTCCATTTCTCAGCGCTCTCCATGTTGACTGGAAGGGGAGGCAAGCTGCATAGTCTGCCAAAAGCGATCTCTGCGCCAAAGAACCGTTCACATCATATAAGTCGGCCCAGGGCTGGAGAATGCGCAGCGACTGATCGATTCCTTGGAAATACAAATAGAGAATTATGCCAATCACAGCAGGCACGAAGCTGTAGAGAAAGTTGGCAGGGGAAAAGGCGTTGTCGTCAGGCATTGCGCTCAGCCTCGGTAGGAAGCCATCCTCCAGCCGAGTTTGCGGCAAGAAGGAGACGATGAGTAGAGCTACTAACAGAACAAAGCTGGCTGCAGCCGACGCAATGATGGGACCGCTACGGAGGTGTATCGGTAGGTATCTGCCACGAGGAGCCCCAAGAGTAGAATTTTGCGCCGCTTTCAGGTCGATGGAAAAGTCGTTGCTAACCTTTTTGCTCATCGGACCAGAGACAGACTCAAAAGATTCATCGGGCGAGCCTCCAATGGCATACCAAATACCTCCCATGGTCGCATCCTCAGCTCTCCAGTACCCCAGCCGATCAAACCATCTCTCGCGCAATTGGCTCTTAAACACCTTGGCGTTCTCAGCAAGATCGTTGCGTCTATAGCTATGCATGACGTTGCTGCGGTTTAGTAACGGCAAAAGATCTCCAATCGACCGAATGTCCCAGGCAAGGCCAGTCCATTGGAGGAGCCAATAAGCCATCAGAACCACTGTCGCGAGGCACAGGACGCCATACAGGCCGACAAGGACCCAAACGACAATCTGAACTGGCGCCCAAACCCACTTGCCATTGACATATATAACCGTAAAAGCTGAGCTTTGCAGAGGAATCGTAAATATAGCCAGCCATGCTACGAAATCGAAAATATTAAACTGCCAGGGTCCAGTGAATTGAGGCAGTAGAAATGAAGCAGGGTAAAGTCTCTGAAACAGACCAAGATATCTGACTCGAGGGTCCTCACTGGCCATTGCTGTAAACGGTAAAACTCGTAGGCAGGCTGTTACTATGCTTTGAGCATATATGAAAATGATGCTGGCCAATAGCTGTGGCAATATCCTGAACACAAAATACTGGCCCGAGTATATGCTGCCCGTATACGGAGTCAACCCTGAGTGAAAGGTCGAGTATCTGTCGCAGAAAGCGAGGGCAGCCAGCATGAGTAAGATTAGTACAACCAAGAGCAACATGGAGAATGCCCGTAAAATGTTCGGCTTGGCAGCGAGTGGTTGATGCGTTCTGCCATGGGGGTCAAGATCCAATAGCATATTGCTTGAAACAGGAATCCATCGTGATGAGCTTGCTCCGGTTGGGTCAAAGGAAGCTGTGCTGCGTCGAGGGAGCTGAAGAGGGGGAGAAGGGCCCCTGAGGGGAGCTGATGGGGTAGTTTCACTCGTTATGCGATCTTGACGGGTTGGTGAAGAGTATCCCGCGGACTCATCAAATCCGCGCATCGGCTCATAGCGTTCGGAATACCCGTCAGACGAACTGGATACGAGATGTGACGGTATCGATGCGCTCTGACCGCCTACCAGAGCTTGCAAAGCATATTGAATGTACGGCGTATCGTCGACTCCGGGAGTGACTTTTCCCGCCGCCAAAGCCAACTCATCTTTGATGTTGGGGATGCGGGAAGCGTTATCGGCGGCGAACATTGCTAATTGAGCCTCGTCAAAACGCACTGTTGGGTCCTCTTCTGGCTCGATGGCATGGTATCCCGCAGGATGCGTGGATTGATTTGCAGACGGCTGATCCGTTGCCTGCAGCTCGGAAGACCGTGATTTTATGATTCTTAGCGGGGCTACCATACCGTCGGACGCATCGCTGGCTTGAGAATTGCGACGGCGGGAGGAGCGTCGGTTCGATGTCGATGCACGCTTTGTACGGCTGCTCTGTTGTCGCCTATGGCGCGTCGAAGGGGAGGCCTCGCCGTCGGGGACGGCTTGATATCGAGAGTTATTCGACGGCCGCCAACCTATAATGAGGGGGATTGTTAGCAGCTGCGCGCAGCACGTCTATGATCCAGCTGATGACCTGCGCTAACATACGAGAAGGCTCTTCATCGTCACGGGCGATGCTTTGGTAACTCATTCTTGCAGCGCTCGACGCAAGCCAACTGCACTAGGAGACTTTGGCCAATTGCTTCTGCAGGACACAATGCAAGAGAGAGGGAAAGGTGTATGGTGTATGGACGAGTTTTGAACAGGGTTGGGGGAAGTCGATGCAGGAGACCTGGGTGGGTGTCCCAGCCACCGAAGATCCACGAAGCTCCGTAGTGCACGGGAGCTGTCAGATCGATGGGGCCGAATCAGGAGGCCTGTAGGCCGATTTCACTGACGCTATTCACACCACACACTGACCTTAAGACGACGCCAGAGCAGAGTTGAAGATGTTGAAAATAAATTTCGATCACATACGAAGAAGTCTACCAAGGCGTTTGCTATACGCTAAAGATACCACAGAATAGTCATAGCTTTCTGCCGGCTGTCCGTGAGGCTGCCGTTGGGCTTCGTCGATCTTCGGCTTCGGGTGCTGAAACTCTGGCAGACGGGTGGCGCATACAGCGGCCGGGGGCCCGCAAAATCGGGTGGCTGGGGAGCAGGGGTCGGCGCTTGGTCAGCAAAGAGCTGAGGCTGCCGAGTTGAGAGATTGGGCTGCCAGTGTAGGTGTTTCGTGAGGCTGAATAATAACAGGAGAGCAGATGAGTATAATTTGTGAAGCTGAAAAGGATTCTTTTCACGAAGCACAGCATATGGGGCACCTAGTTACCTAGGTATAAGATACAGCGTACAAGGCAAGAAACGAGGGGATCTGCTCCTGCCATGCTGGCGATGAGTTGTCCATGGCCCACTTAATGCACACTATCGGGCCAATGATCGTCGAGCTAACTGCCCACCTCGGCATCTCATTGGATATAATACTTCTTCAAAGTTTTGTTCTAGGCTTGAGCAGTTGCATGAGTTTGGACGCTGAAGTGGCTGCATGAATTTTGCAAATCCAATCTATGAGGCAAAGGCGCATACAATGGAGTAAAAATGGGGTTGATTGCGCCGTGGTATCAGGCATATGGGTTGGGAAATCTTGTGTTCTTCCTTGAATGGTCGTACCCTGTAGCTGTTCGATATGAGCCTGCATAAGCTGTCTCATAATACTTAATCAGATAGGTGGCTGATCATTTATCGAGTAGCCTCGATTTGAGCTGAGACATGGAGACTGATCCGCGGAAATTGTTCCTGGCTTCAAAGTGCATGCGCTTGCTTTGGATTAATATTTAGTCAGCTCTTTTCAACACCACGAGGGTCTCGGAAAAAAAAAAAAAGAATATCATATACCAAGCATTATAGAGATACAAGAGGTGCTCTAGCTCAAGTTTTTAGCTAGTTACTCATTGTAATAATGCCAATATCAGCCTACAGCAAGCTTCTATCCATCGTTCTATCGTACTTGGAGCACTACTGTATAGATGCAGTGCGCTTGATCTGGTAATAGCATTTGTCAGTGCGCCACTTTCATCCGATTTGTGGGGCGAACTGCAAAGCTTAAAACAGTACGTACCGTGAAGAAATGATTAGCAAAGCTAGCGTAATCCTTGGTGATTGGCCTTAGCGCCCAGGAATTGTCGAACCTGCTGAGCAAAACCTTAGTAAGATGATGAAAGCGAAAATTTGGCCTGCTTGACAGTATTGTCAGGCTTAGAAATTTGTTGTCAATTCGCGGATATATCTTGGAGTTACTTTTTTTCGTTCTGAAGAATTCTTTAGCATTCGTCTTCTTAGCTGCATTAATCTTGTAGAAACAAACATAAATGAGTCGCCTTGCTCTGCTTTTCGCAATTCTTGCTGCTTCAATTTCCATACTCATCTACATCCTACCAGTTGAGAATTACACGCAAATCTACAACTACAGAAACATACTCAATAGAAACACTACTACTGACACACCAACTTCTCCCAATCCGTCTATACCCAAAAATATCACAGACATGTCGAAATCAATTCTCCGACAGGCCAAGATCACGCCTCACCTGTCGTCCAGCAGGGGGCACAACAATATCGGCTGGCTGGACACATACCACACCTTCTCCTTTGCCGACTGGCACGACAACAGATACACGCAGTTTGGAGCTCTACGGGTTTTGAACGAAGATAGAGTAAAGCCGCTCTCTGGATTCCCCACACACCCCCATCGCGATTTCGAAATCTTCAGCTACATCCTGTCCGGAGAACTGACCCATCGGGACTCCATGCTCGCCAAGGGCAGCGAGGGGGAACAATCGGACAAGTTCTTTCGGATGCGACGCGGAGATGTACAGTTCACTACAGGAGGTTCGGGCATAGCTCACTCTGAATTCAACGAGCACAACAAAGAGACGGTCCACTTTCTACAGATCTGGGCTTTCCCATGGAAGAGAGGCCTGATTCCCCGCTATCACACCCGTACCTTTTCAGAAGACGACAAACGGGAGGGCTTTGTCAAGATCCTCAGCCCGCTCAAGGCAGGCGAGGAGGCCACCGCGAAAGAGGAGGCAGAGGCAGAGCCCATCATCCCCAACACAATCCCCATTCACGCAGATTTTGTCATGGGCGCAGGAATCATTGCGCCAGAGGGCAAGTTTGAGTGGACAGTAGGAGGCGGTGCAGGCATCAAGACGCAGCGCAAAGTATACGTCCACTTACCGATGCTGAAAGGAGGAAAGGCCAAAATCAGACTCGACGGCCGGGAGAATGCAGAGCTGTCTGAAGGAGACGGCGCATTCATTGACGGAGTTTTTATTGGCGACAAGTTGACAGTGGAGAGCATTGGAGAGGCGGAAGCCGAGGTGATTGTGCTGGACACCGCTTGAGCGGACACGTATGCTGTATGATAGAGACTGATTGGCTTAGCATTCCGTAATAATTTAACATGACATGATGAAAACAAAAGGCCCGTATGTGAGTCAAACCAACAAGCGGCAAGAGATGTCGCTAGTAATTTCAGCACGATCAAAGAGGCAACGGCCGAAAGGCGAGAGATCAAAGATGACGCGAGATATTTGTCGTGAGGACGGGCGGGGCTAAGATAGTCCGAGCGTTTGCAGCCGAGACCCCTGTAGGTTAGCGGCTGTAGCTGGCGGCAGCAGGCTAGATCCAATGGTGCGTCTTGGCGACGCAGGCACAAATGGGCCTCTTGATGGGCCTATTTGGGCAAAATTCCAGGGTCGTGGCAAAGCGTTTGCACCTCGACCTAATTGATGGAGCCTCTGGGCCTTGGGAGCTGCTTGAACGCTGATGGCTGTACAAAGGAATAACATCCCGCCTGAAATAGAAAGAGAAGAGAAAACACACCTTGGCTTATACAGTTATTTAGTGCATGAACACATAGACGCCGTTTTCTCGGAGGCTCCGTGTGCAAGGAGATGATACTCTTTCTGGCTTGGCGCCCCCGATAAGAAAGAGACTGCAGGTTAAGCTTGAACCGCAGCAAACAAACCGCTGCTCGTTTTCAACACCATTTTCTCCGCCTCGCCTCCGTACTCCGCAGCTGCTGTCAACACGACCCAAAGTGGAAGTGGCCGACTGAAATGAAGCCCACTTCAAGGTGCCATGACAACGTTTCATTCTGTTGCTTTTCACGGCCATTGCCTCTCGCAGCAGAGCAGGGACCTGGAGCCCTGGTGCCTGCAGCAGCTGATGGTATTTGCTTCAGCTCGTCTGCGATCCAGGCACAGCAACGACGGCATCTCTCGCGGCCACTGAGGCACACATTCTGCCATCTCGACCTCAGCTCTTTGATCGACCCCCGCGCACGTGGGATTGACTGCTCACAATGGGCAAGTCCCACGACAATCCGGCTGAAATCCGCAATACGCCCTCCCCCTGCCCTAGAGATCTAAGCGCCTTGGTCTCTCAGGTACGAGACCTCGAAAACGGCTCATGGCCTTCTTAATTGGAGGGTTCGCCTTAGCCCTACAGAAAAAACCTTTACTAACAGCTGCCGCTACAAGCTGCCTACTGGTGCGCCACGCGCTAATTAAGGATGCAAATGCAGGGGATGCGGCCACATGCAAACGACGACGGTCCAGTCTCCGTACGTCTGGCGGCCGTGATTCGTGGCTTTACGCCGCTGATGGAGACGTCCGTGCCATGAATCCTTCGACGTTTTCACTGGCGGGGGCCCACACGCGGGATCCAAGTAGGCGAGACGAGCCTCATACCATTCCTGTCGCACTGTTCACCCTCGACCCTGGGGGCAAGAACCTTATTTTCATCGTGAATTTGGCCATGTTTATGCAATGACGATGGCTTCCCATGAACGTGGTCTCTTCAGGCAGCTCTGCTCTGGTATACTGCGCGTTTGATGGAGTATGAATAGTCTGAAAAAGCTCGGTTCTCAGTTGCCGTAAGGTCGAACTATTGTTGCCGCTCTAAGCACTACTACAACACTTGAAGTGGCCAATCAGGCTAACAATCGACTATAGTTTGAGCTGCTAGTGCTCGCACTTAAAATGACTTGTACCTGAAGGGTCACAATTGTTGGCTGCAGGACCAACGCTGCGTAGCATTTCGCCGTGATCATGCGTGCGGGAAAGACCGCATGCTTCAAAGGTTCTACCACGGATACCACGGGTATACAACCCCAAACTACAGATTTCTGGACCAGGAACCCTAGATTTGGCCAATGGTGGATGCTTTCCGTGTGTCTGGCACCAGATACCACTAGACCTGTTCCTAGATTCTGCAGCGTTGGTTGGGTTACGTTGCCCATGGCCTCCATGCAGTCTGCCCACCTTCTTGCCGTTGAATGGCCTTGTCTAGACAAATCGGGCTTCACGGGTCCCTCCATCCGTCATAGCTCATGACGGGGAGATTGGGCCAAGGCCGAAATCCGCATATGAGCCCAGCTCTGCGCTGGAATCGGATGAGCCTTAGGCAGTGAGGCCGCAGGGGGGGCCGAGAAGGGAAATCGCCGAGTCCACGATGGAGGCACTCTCGGCGGCAGTAGTTTACAGTAGGGCCCGAATAAGCGTGGGCAAGTAAAAACTAGATAGTCGGCTCTCAGCCTTCTCGTGTGTTTTTCTCTCCTTCTCTCTGTACAACTCTGTCTCTGTCAATTCCAGAGAAGGCTCGGTTCCTCAGCCAAACGGCAGACGGTTTCGTTTGCGTCCTTTCGTTGATCTTGTATCACCGCCACACTCATTCTCCTGGCTTCGGCCACCTTGCAGTCTTTTTCTTGTTCAAACTAGTCTGTCATTAATATGGTTTCTCTCGCTGCTACTGCTGGTCTGGCGGCCACTGGCCTCCTTAATGGTTACTGGGTACGTTAACGACTGGCCTTTTGTTTTTCCCAAAATCGCCGGGAATCTGGCTAACAACTAGATTGTAGGGACAATACAGCACCCTAGAAGGCATTCGAACACACTGTGATAGCGGTGTTGATTCAATTACTCTGGGCTTTGTCAACAATGCCCCCGATGCCGTCGATCTCTCTGGTTATCCCGGTACTAACTTTGGACCCAACTGCTGGGGAGTCTATCTTGGTGATAACGATGTGCCCTCAAACCTGTTGAGCCACTGTACATCTCTTCAAAACGATATCCCCTACTGCAAGGCCAAAGGTGTCAAGGTCATTCTGAGTATTGGAGGAGTCTACAACTCGTTGACCTCCAACTATTATGTTAAGGATAACTCCACCGGTGCCGACTTTGCCACATTCCTTTACAATGCTTTTGGTCCCTACAACTCTAGCTGGACGGGTCCTCGCCCTTTTGACGCGAGTCCCGACGATCATACCTCTGTTGATGGCTTTGATTTTGATATCGAGGTCAATTTCCGTGAGTTTCCTCCCCCCTTCTTGACTCTTGGCTGGCGCTGGATGCTAAGACCAATTACCCGTCAGCAAATGGACCCTATATCGAAATGGTCGACACGTTCCGCTCTCTTGACTCTTCATTGATCATCACCGCTGCTCCTCAATGTCCCACTGACCCTCAGTACTTTTACTTGAAGGACCTGATCACGCAGGCTGCCTTTGACAAGCTCTTCATCCAGTTCTACAACAACCCAGCGTGTGATGCCATCGCCGGTAACTCTCCTGGCGACAAGTTCAACTATGACGACTGGGAAACCGTGATTGCCAACAGCGCCAAGAGCCAGTCGGCCAAGCTGTACATTGGTCTCCCTGCCATCCAGGAGCCCAACGAAAGTGGTTACATCGACCCTAATGCGCTGAAGAACCTGGTCTGTCAGTACCAGGGCAGATCGCACTTTGGTGGTGTTTCTCTGTGGGATCTGTCTCGTGGTCTTGTTAACCAGATCAATGGAACATCTTACAACCAGTGGGCTCTGGAGGCGCTCCAGGCTGGATGCAATCCATTTCCTGGTTCCACTACCTCGTCAACCACGGTCGTGAGCACCACTACTTCTCAGGTGTCATCTACGACTTCCAAGGCAACCACTACGACTTCTAAGGCTTCGTCGACGACCTCCAAGGCTTCGTCCACGACTTCTAAGGCTTCGTCCACGACTTCCAAGGCTTCGTCCACGACCTCCAAGGCATCAACTACCTCAAAGGCGTCGACAACTTCCAAGGCGAGCTCGACTTCCAAAGTGAGCTCGACTTCCAAGGCGTCTACCACGTCAAAGGCTTCTACAACCTCGAAGGCATCTACTACGTCTAAGGCATCTTCAACCTCCAAGGCGTCTACAACCTCCAAGGCATCCAGCACTTCCAAGGCATCCAGCACTTCCAAGGCATCCAGCACTTCCAAGGCATCCAGCACTTCCAAGGCATCCAGCACTTCCAAGGCATCCAGCACTTCCAAGGCATCCAGCACTTCCAAGGCATCCAGCACTTCCAAGGCATCCAGCACTTCCAAGGCATCCAGCACTTCCAAGGCATCCAGCACTTCCAAGGCATCTAGCACTTCCAAGGTATCCAGCACTTCCAAAGCGTCTACTACGTCAAAGGCAAGCACTACTTCCAAGGCATCTTCAACTTCCAAGGCATCTACAACTTCGAAGGCGAGCACCACCTCGAAAGTATCTTCAACTTCAAAAGCCAGCACTACTTCCAAGGTTAGTACGACGTCAAAGGCGTCTACTACATCAAAGGCTAGCACTACTTCGAAAGCGAGCACCACTTCCAAGGCCAGCACCACGTCGAAAGCCAGCACAACGTCGAAAGCAAGCACGACATCTAAGCCAAGCACGACCTTGAAGACAAGCACGACTTCGAAAGCAAGCACTACGTCTAAAGCGTCTACGACGTCAAAGGCTTCGACTACGTCCAAAGCAAGCAGCACGTCCAAAGCAAGCAGCACGACGAAGGCCAGCACTACAAAGGTGAGCTCCACTTCAAAGGCCAGCGCCACTTCAAAGGCCAGTGTCACCTCCAAAATAAGCACCACCTCTAAGACGAGTTCCACTTCCAAAGCGAGCTCAACGTCGAAACCGAGCACCTCGTCAAAAGTAAGCACCACGTCAAAAGCAAGCACTACATCCAAGGCCTCGACCTCGAAGGCCTCGACAACATCAAAGTCAAGCACGACGTCTAAGCCCGCTACTTCCACAAAGCCTACAACCTCAGCCAAGCCTACAACTTCAGCAAAGCCTACCTCTTCCATTACATCTGCGAAGCCAACAACATCTGTGAAGCCAACAACATCTGTGAAGCCAACATCCTCGGCGTCAGCTTCGAGTCTGCCCCCGTTGTCGAACGTGGACAAAGGCGTGACTACCTCGAGCGCAATCCCGAGCTCTTCTAGCTCGGTCGTTGTTTTGCATCCCACGACAACTAACCGATGGTCTAACTCATCGATTGCCTCGACATCTGCTCGCAACCCAGCCACAACGACTTCTGGCTCTGCATCCGTTTCATTGACGACAAGTGTTGTGTATACTACATCTGTGCACACTGTTACAAAGTGCCCGCCGTACGTTGTCAACTGCCCAGCGGGAGGCTATGTAACTACAGAGACTATTGCTTTATACACCACCGTCTGCCCTGTGAGCGATGCAACCAAGACTCCCGAGGCTACGGCAACCAAGGAGGGCTCCCAACCTGAGGCAACCAGCAGCCCCGTCGGGCTCGGTGGTGCTGGCGGCTTCCCACAAGTCACAGCAATCGGACAGCCTTCCGGGCCGGTTGTAGAGGCTGCCATTCCCACTGGTGCCGCCAGTTCCAGCGGTCTTCAAACGCTTGTCAAGCCCGCCACCTCCGCTGGGGCTCCTCAGGGCTCTTCTGGAGAGAGCAGTGCTTTCTCCAGCTCCCCAAGCCAGCCAACCATTCCCGTTGGCGCGGGCTCGCCTTACCCCAGCGGTGGCTCTGGCAGCGGCTCTGGCGGCGCATCGCCCTCTGGAAGCTGGAGCGGCGATCCCTCTGGACCTTCCTCGATCCCTAGCGTTCCTGGAGCGAACGGTGCTTCTGCGATGAGTGCTAGCTTGATTGGTCTGGCAATTGTTTTGGCGGTGCAGATTGTTATGTAAGGTATAGGCTCACAGAAGTTTGAGGCTTTTGGTTTATGCGTCTTTTATGGGAGCCATTTTTCTTCTTTTCACAAAGATTTGTCATTCTCAGCCTTGTCCAACTCTAGGCCGGGGAGGCATCTACTATTTACTGTCTATTTTTCTTTTCTTTTTATGTCGATACGGTCTTGGATAAATGTAGGGCTTGCTGTGTACTTTAGCTTATGACGATAATTTTGCAAGCCACTCACGGAGCATATCCGGGTTGAAAATGTTAGTATATAAATATTCATTCTGATGGCTCTAGAGTATGACTGCCTAGCGAGAGTACGCAGACTGTAGTCTGATATTGAACCGTGTTACTATCCCGAAAAAGCAGTTGATCAGTTGTTTATATCCGGAGGTGAAGGATTGTAGTCACCGAAACATTTCCTGATACAGCATAGCCCATGCTCTTGACCCGGACATGGAATCCTGCAATAGATACGCTGTCCTCGATATATGTGAACTAAACCACGTCTAAGCCTCGATCAAGTCGTATCCAGAGAGAGAGTTAACAACCCCAGTGTTTCAACTCACGAAGCATCCAGGCCCACTAGAACTAGGCTTATATAGAGCTAACTAAAGCCCCCCGCTTTATGAGGCCTCAATCGTCAACCTGTTCAGTTTCCAAAACAACCTCTCCTGACTTTTCAGACAACGTTTTTCATTGTAAATACTACTAGTAATATACATAAACGGTCAATTTCAAATTCACAACCATGGCAGCTCAAACCCCCGACGGCGCGCCCATAGACCTGGCAGAAAACAAAAAGCGCATGCTCCGCGGCGACTTGTACTATGCCTTTACGCCAGACCTCGCCCAGGATCGAAAGGAGTGCGTGAGAGCGTGTAGGAAGCTGAATACGGCTGTGGAACCTACGAGGAGGGAATTGGTTGAGATTTGGAGAGAGTGTGTTTTAATATACCCCTTTTTTACTTGCACGTTGACTTATATATGCGGCTTTTTTTTTTTTTTTTTTTTTGTATTCCCATTGTTATCTAGAGTTACTTACTCCTGAATCGCGTGTTAGAATCACCAGAGACGAAACTCCGCTCCCACCAAAGGCAGCAACCGAAGAAGAAGACGAAGCACTCCTAGACGACTATCCAATTGTCGAAATCGGTATAAGAGCAGATTACGGATACAATGTCCGGTGCGTCGTCTCTCAATCATCCCGTTCACTTCTCTCTGCAGTCATAAGCTATCAAAACTAACACTTGGTTCCCAAGCCTCGGCAAAAACGTCTACGTCAACGCAAACAGCACCTGGATCGACACCTGCCCCATCACCATCGGCGCCCGCACCATCATGGGCCCCGGCTGCAGCTTCTACTCGGGCACGCACCCGCTGGACCACCGCGTGCGCAACGGCACCCGCGGCCCGGAGTCGGGGAAGCCCATCGTCGTGGGCGAGGACTGCTGGCTCGGCGGCGGCGTGACGGTCTTGGCGGGCGTGACGATTGGGAAGGGGTCGGTAGTTGGTGCGGGCAGCGTTGTGACGAAGGATGTGCCGGAGGGAGTTGTCGTGGTGGGAAATCCGGCGAGGTTTTTGAAGACGATTGTCAAGGAGGAAGTGAATGGTGCCGCGTGAAAGAGATGCTTGCTATAGAATAAGCATGCAAGTCTGACTTAGAGCTCCTTTGGTTGATAGACATGATATTAGTTGATAGTTTGATAGTCTTGAAACTTGTACAAAATCTAGGCATCTTCTTTCCTCCACGCCCGCTTTCCTCTCATTATATTGACCCTTCTTTCATATAATCCTTTTCAGGTGTCAAAGTTCCGCTGTCTTCGCTTTCCGTGACCATCGTAACAGCAGCAGGCCTCTTGCCCGTAAGGATTCCTCCAAGGACCCTCGTCAGCGTCGCTCTGCTCTCCCATATCGGATACAGTCCCACGCAGATGAATGAGCAGAAGATCCAAATGATGCCCACGGTTACCCAGCCGGTGAAGAAGGGCTTGGAGAAGATATACCCGGTGCCGTACATGGGCATTGGCCAAAGAACGAGGAATGCGATAGCCCTGTTTATTATGTTAGTGACTAGATGTAATATTTGTTGTAAAAAAAAATAAAAAGGACTCACATGAAAACTGTAACAAAGGAGGCAATCTTGAATGCCTTGTTCAGCTTCCGTCGCTCTTCTTCGGACTCAGTTCGTTCCTGGTTTCGCTCCAGCTCTCGCTGCGCCTCGCGGTCAAGCCCAGATGCCTGGATGATATCGTGATCATCCACCTTTCGAATCTCCATCATAGACTGCCAATCGTACTTGTCGAAGCCAAAGATGAGGCAAAGCAGCGGCACAAAGATGACTGGCGCCAGCAGCGCAGTCACATTGCCGGCCAGCATTGGGTCGTTTGATCCTGTGCAGTCGACGTCCAGCTTGCCGCACGTCTTCTTTGCTGTTACTAGCCAGGCGACAATGGAGCAGATGGTACCGAGAATAGGCGAGAGTATCGCTGCCCAGCGGTTTTGGCCGTTCCATAGCAAAGTCAACGTGGCTGGGATCACGGCAGCCGAGATTAGTACACCCATAAGGAGGTAGAGGTAGCCCATGGAGATACCGTTGTACCACAGACCCGTGGAGATGCAACAGACAACAATCATGTAGCCAACCATGCACATGTGAGACATCCAGACAAGGCTTTTGCTGCTGGCATTAGGGCGGAAGTAAGTCTTGTAAACATCATATGTAAAGATGGTAGACGTGGCCACCAACTCAGCACTGAAAGCCGAAGTGACGGCCAAGAACAGCATGATGAGAGTTGCAATTGCGCCGCCCTTGCCCATGAGAGCCACTGCGGCATAAGGAAGCGCCAGCCCAGCAGAAACCTGAGAGTCTGTCAGGCGGTTGGGATATGTCGGAAACTGAGGGCTAGACTCAAGCGCCAGAGCCGCGAGACCGAGTGTCGTGGCCGTCAACCAGGGAATGGCAAACCACGCCGCGCCGCCCATGATGTATCCAGGCAAAGCATGGATTGGAGATGCCGCTATAGATTTATTATAGTAGCCGTTGTCCAAGAATACAGTTCCAAAGTTTCCAACAATGTTGATGACAAAGAAGATGGCACCACCCTGGGATCTCATGGTGAGATAGCTGCCGTCGCGGTTACCGGAGACGGGATGGGCCTGGGCAGCTTTGACGAGGAGATCATATACGGCTGACGGGCTACCAAGAACATCTGAAGTGGCGTAGGTCTTTAGTGCAAATATCATGATGATAATGAGGACAGCAAAGGTGTGGATATAATCTGTAATGAAGGTTGCTTTCAGACCGCCAGAGACTGTGTATGCTACCACAGGGATCGGAATGAGGAAGATTGCGGCTACACCATGCATTCCTGTCAAAGCATTCACTGTTGCGGCTCCTCCTGTGATTAGCATGAGGGAGACCAGCATATTGGTCATGAGGCCAAAGACAATGAAAGTGAAATGTGCTGCTTTGCCGTATCTCGCCTTGATGACTTCCAGGAACGTATGGGCGTTCGGAGCTCGCTTCTTGAGCGTGATGGCGATCGTAGCGAAGAGCAGAATCTGGACGGTAGCTCCAGAGGCGTACCAGAAGGGACCAGAAACTCCGTAACGATAGCACACGCCGGAGCTCTGTAATAGAGTCGCGGCCCAGGTCCAGGAGGAGACGACGGCAGAGGCGACCAGGCCAGATTTGACGGTACGGCCAGCCGTGTTGAACATTTCCGATGTTTGGACTTCATTGTTGAATCGTTTGAGGATGTGAGTAACGGTAATCTGTAGACGTGTTAGGATATATCTGGGTAATGCTGGACTCTCAAAGATAAAGGCCATTCAAACCCACCATGAAGATGGCAAACGCAAAGCCCAGGCCCAGGACAATGCCATAGCCATAGCCCTGGCCCAGTGGGGTGGAATTCACGTCAGACATGATGCTTTTACGCAAGAAGCTGAGATGCTTCGGCAGGAGGGCTGGCTAGAACGCTCAAGCTGAAGATGCCTCGCCTCGTCTAGAATGTCTCACTTATAAAACCATCCAAATGCGGCAGCAAAGGGAGAGTTGCATAGTTATGTAGCACCTCGCATTGCACAATATGTTATCTTAGTGCTCTGCATTCGATCATGGAGTTTGCCGATTCCATCTCAAAGCATGGATAATGGCGCAAGACTCTTTTCTTCTTGTTCTAAAATCATCCCGTCTTCATCTTACAAGGGCATCAAACCCCCAAAATCTTTAACCCGCAGTAGCGATATTCCAATTTGTAGATTGCGATATTTTAGCTTGGAAAACGATAAGATTCAAAGACAGATTCTATTAGTTATAGAAAGAACAGGGAAGCTGAATTTTCGCGTTCATCAACTGCTGCGGCAAAGTGAAGCATCAGACTCGTAGGGCTGATCTGCAATCAATTAGTTACCTAGTACTGTACTAGCATCACCAACTCGAGAAAGATACGGCTGCTGGGTAGGCATTGATTTTGCCTGCATGGGAGCTGATACGAGATCGATGCCGCATCACAAGCAAATGCCGGCTAAATGCAAGATAGCTGCGGACGCATCGCTTATCAGGAACGCTGCGGACGTTGTAGGGATCTGGTTGGCTCGAGATGTCAGATTGTCGGCGGGCTAAGAACGTAGAGATAAGGGCCGTGATAGCAATCGCCGTCCCAGATTGCCCCCGCAAAGTTACCCCATACTCCAGCCGGTACCCAGCAAATAAAGAGAGCGGCCCGTTGGAATCCGGCAACGGCAAAGATAAGGCCGAGTGTCAATGATTCACTAGATAACAGTCATCGTGCAATTAATCGCTTTGCGCTCCTATCTGTATGAATGTGGCGATAAAGGAGATGGCAATGGCAGTTGATGTTTGAGGTAGCTCCACTCTTTTCTCCCGGCAAAGACAGATAAGGGTATCTGCCATATAGAAGACAAGGGCGTTGATCAGGCTGCTCGGGCAATTCCGGCTGCTTTCTTTCCTTCTCTTCGATTTCGTGTTATCCAGATAGAGTGATCAGCATTGATAACGCTGAAAGATGAAACAAAGACGTAAACGTGAATCTGCTAAATGTCATAGGCTGATGTATCCGTGGAGATGTCTATCTCCTTGTATAGATTACACGTAAAGAAAGGCTTGTAAGATAGAAAGGAGCATTTGCATGACACAAAAGATATTATTCGATATCATCTGCCATTACGGCTATATCTGCTTCTCCGTGGATTGCTGTCCCGTGGGGGCTTGATAGAGCTGAAGCAGTCTCATTTCCATGTTCATCGCTGTACGTAAAGCTTCCCATAGGTTGATAAGCGATAGCGGCAGCTTCGATACTGTGGTGACTTTCCCCCTCTTACCTCCTGTTTCTTCCCAGGCGGCGACTGACATCTCGTGGCAATCATGCGAGTGCAACTAATACTTTTCACTCACGCCGAGTGATCACTGTGTATTCCTTGCTTATCATCAGAGCGGCAGTTCATCGCCCCAGATCGACACCTCGCTTTGATGCAACTTTCAGCCCTTCTTCAAATATGCTAGCCCAGCGCTGCGCCAATTCGATCAAGTCAAAGGACATGCCTTGAGCAGCACTGCCCAGCTCAGCTACCACAGACGTCGCCAGCTTTCCCTCGAGCCCGCATGGAACGAACCGAGCCCACGGATTCAAACGTTCTAAGCCCTTGACGGAGACATCGATGTTGATGGCCGTACCAAGTGCCGTCACATACCGCCGGTGATGGACTCCGAGAGCTGCAATCTTACGAGGCGGGCCTGATGATTCTTGAACCCAGACGCCGGGCTCATCGCGGTTGGTATATGTTTGGATATCGAACATGTCAGAAAGAAAACGCTGCGTTGTTGCCTCTAGGTGGCTAGCAAACGAGGAGACACTATACTTGGGATACAGAGGAGAATGCATATCCAATACGGGCCAAAGGACAAGCTGACCAGGGCCATGGTAAGTCGTGAGGCCTCCGCGATTCGTCTTCTTCACCTGAGGATAGAAGAGCCCCTCGATGGGCTGGGGTCGCTGGAGAAGATGGATTTCCAGTGGCTGTTCTAGATGGAACATTTGCTCCGGAATAAGATCATCTTGTCGACGGCCAAGAGTAAACGTCGGCGTAGACTCGAATGTTATGAGCTGTGGCCGAGGGCAATCCTCTTCTGTTCTCGACTTCTCGGGGAGGCCCTTCCAGGTCAGAAACCTGGCTCGATGCTCTTCCTGGACATCTTCAGCAGCTTCATAGCTCGTCAGTCCAGTAGCATTGTCTCCTATAAGATGCTGGTGCTCCAGTAATGAGAGCTTTGAAAAGGTATTCTGGCATCGTCGACCAGCAACTGAAACGCCAGCTCTGAGAGATGCCGATGCCGCTACTGCTCTGAGCTGCAAACGCGGCACGTGCCACATCTTGTGACTTGACTGCGCTACTGTGGCCTCTGAATTGAGTTGCTCTTGAAAAGCAAAATAGCCGTAAAGGGAATGAAGAAACTTGGACAGGGTTGGTGATGGGATGTTGCAGCTAGCACCAGGTAGTGATTAGACGGGCGTTTGCCGGCTGCTGCTAACATTGTGAAATCTTGTCGTAGCACGCTACCAAGCGCTAACATGGCGGATAGCGCCGGTGGACGCTAAAGACAGCGTTGGTGGATGCTGCTGACGTGACGCTGCTGGCGACGGCTGGACGGCGACAACCTCCAAATTCCCAGCGAGATGGAAGGCGACCAACGAGGACGCAAGTCGGAATGTCACCTACGCTGGTGGGCGTGGACATGATGCAATACTGCCGTCTCTCGTCGACGCCTCGTCCACCGCGTCCGCCTCGTCTAGCTTCTGCATCCCCCAGGCCCGCCGCCTAATTGGCCGCTCCTTTCATGACATCAAAGCTTCACTCCCGCTGTGGTGGCTGCTCCAATAAGGTTTGCGCAAGCGTCGGCCAATAGTGTAGGTGACGGCGTGTAACAGCAGTTGTTGTCGTATGCTTGCAATTGCGTGGAATGCGACGCTTGAAGCTTCGCCTCTAGTAGTGGTGAACCGTGGGTGGCACTTTAAGGTGCTGAGCTCGTCCTGGTCGTCTCGTACTGCTCACATGCTGATGATTCAAGCTTCCGATGTCGTCTCCCCACTAGTAGTGGGATAAGTAGCACTCTCTCATTATGTGAACATGTAGAAGAGACAATATCTCACTCTCAATGCATCATCAATTGAGGCTTCTCGCCTGCTATTCGTGCCTCTGTGTCGTCATCGCCTCCCCACGATGGCCCTCCCGTCTCAATTGAGTGCAGCGCCACGGCCACACGGCAGGCACTTCCCAGCGCTAGCCCGCTGGAAAAAGCTTCTTGGCGCTAGTGATTTGGAGCGGCAGCTGCATCTTGGCCGATCGCCTGATTGTGAACTGCGAGTGCCTGGATTACTGCGAGCTGTACACGATACGAAGTGGCTTTGGGCGTCTAACTGCTTGACATCAGTCAAGGCGTCATGTATCGGATACCCGCTCGAGTAACGTCGGCCCTCTGTGGCTCAGGAAAGTGCATCATCAGCCCCGCCGCTTTTGCCCCCGGGAGCTTCCCATCCAGCTCTTCTCTCCTCCCAGGCTCAGCCTCTGCTTTGCTATTTCTTTCCCTCGCTCGTATACTCCAACACCACTTATTTCCATCTGTCACTAACGAGCGTATATCTCTTCTCTTCTCATCACTTCCGCTGCTTTCGTATTTTCAAAGCGGCAGATCTTCGCTGAAGCTCTCCCCTGTCCACCAAGCAGCTCCAGATCTAGCTCTATCCTAGCTCAAAGCAGGGTTCCCTGCACCCGCATGGCCTTAGCTGGGATCTGTCACGACGTCATAACATCTCGGATCAACATCACTACCAATATTCATATTGATACCATTATAGTAGCAGCCGACGACTACAATTAGTTGGAACAGAGAGGGTTTCGCGAAAGCTTATACTCTACTTTCTCTTCCCCATCCATCTTTCTTAATCTTCTCAGCCGCCGCTTATACGAGGATTACGCGTTATCAAAGCTGATCCAAAATGCCCAAGAGTGAGTGAATCAATCTCTATTTCAATTTCTTGTCAACCACGCGGTCAATTGCAAAAGCAGCGATAGGAAACATCAGTACAAGCGTGTGAATAAGCAGCATCAACTTCAGCCCAGGCTAACCAATTTCCATCCTCACAGACGCTCTTTTAGCCTCCATCGGCTTCATACTCCTCTGCGTCTCTCAGCTATTTATCTGGTTCATCATCCTGCCCGGTGTCACGCATGATACGCCCTTCCGCCATACGTACTACCTTCGTGCCGACACCAGCGGCATCACAGGGGCCCGTGACGTTTCCCAGTGGACTTACTTCTTTATCTGCGGCCCCGACAACAGAGACTGCGGTCCTTCTCATCCTGCTATTCCTTTCGGCTTTGCCTGGGACAGCAATGCGCGGAATGTGCCGCCGGGACTTGGTGGTAGCCATGGCAGTCACACGACGTCGTTCCATTACTTCTACATGTGGCGCTTTGGATGGGTGTTTTTGCTCATGACACTCTTCTTTGAGGTGCTGGCCTTCTTCACTTCGATACTAGCTTGCTGCGGCCGTCTAGGTGCAGCGCTGGCCTTTGTCGTTTCCGCCATTGCTCTCTTCTTCTATACGCTCGCCGTATCTATCATCACGTATGTCAACTGCGTTATATCTTGTAATGGTTCAAAAAGAGTCACTTGCTAACTGTTTACCGTACGCAGTGCCACATTCTGCGAAGCCCGCAACCGTTTCCACGACGTTGGCCGCTCTGCCAAGATTGGGCCGTGGGCTTTCGGCTTCCTGTGGGGTTCGTATGTGGCACTTCTCATTGCTGTCATTCTTTTCGCGCTGGGCATACGTTCGAATCCCACCTTTGACTTTAAACGCCGGCAGAGCTCTCGCGAACCTACCGGAAGCCGAGGGCGCTCCTACGATGGTCGCCGAGTCAAGGAAGAGTATTCGTAAAGAGCATCTCGTTTTTTTCAGCAAGAAACGTGCGTGAGAAAGAAAGAGGTAATGGCAGTATTTGGGCCAATGGAGTGACAGAGTTTCGGTGTAAAGCAGACAATGGCTTGCCTATGCTGTCTCCTGAGCGTATGATATACCTGCTTTAAGTACCTAATGGCCTAAATTTCGCTGAAGGCATCACGTTATGAGTAATAATTAATAAGTGGAGGAAAGGATGGTCAAGGGAGCTGAATAATGTGCTTTGCTTCTTAATTATAGCTTATGAATTTACTCTTATTAATGATGGCGAATACTCTCGCTCCTTGGTAATAAACATATGGGTATGGCGCTTTCGGAGTTATACCATACCAAACCCCTCAAGATCACGGTTGAAGCCCTAGTCACTTATTATGCCTCTCAGTCATGCCAATCTTTGTATATGAATGATTCTCAATTATGGTACAGGCTGCCCTCGTGTTCTTGACCATGCGTGTGCGTTATCTGATATACGTACAAAACGAAAACAAAAACACAAAGAGAAAAAAAGAGAAAAATCCTCCCAAAATAATCCTTCCCGCCGTATATACCATAACATCCTCCCTCTCCCCAACTCCCTTTACCATCAAGTTCTTGCCTACTAAAGAAAGAAAGAAACTTGGAAAAGAAAAAAAAGGAGACGATAGAAATTGATTCCATGCCAGTAGGTAGTTATGAGTGAGCAAAAAGGGATAAAAGAGGAACAACATCAAAAAAAAAGTATCATCCGCTTGTAGCTCCCTTTGAATATATGAAAGCCCCCGTCTAAAAAAGGAAATGGGCCCAAAATGCGTGTATATATATGTGTGTGTGTGCTCGTTATGTAAATGTAGGCAGGGGCGAGATGCTTTGTTTTTTTTTTTTTTTTTTGCCGGTGTATGTATATATACGTGCGCATGCTTGTGCAATTGGATGGAGGCAGGATAGCTCAGTAATTCTTTCGTTTTTGTGGGAGAAGAAAGACCTTTGCTTATTTTGTGTATAAAGGAAACGCCAGTTTCATGTCTCCCCCGCCACCAATTTGCCCTCCCGCTCTATGCTTTTCTTGTGCTGATAGATTGAGCCAACTCAGATACCAGCTCTTGTTGGCATGTGTCGTCGTAGCGCTGATTCCTTTTCTCTGTTGCAGGTTCGCCTACAAAGGTAGTAACATGTGTATTGACGTCTCTCACTGGCTGAGGACAGGGCTTCCTAGAGGGCTGATGCTATCGAGAGGTGCAGCATGAAGCGCAGGTTTGCTGGGGCCAGTGCCGTTGTGGCCATCTGCATTCTTTTTCAGGACAGACTTGACCCATTCAGCAACCTCGGCGTCTTCCGTGCCCGAGCTCAGCTCCATATGTCCTACCGCCTCGGCTACCTTATCTGTGGCCTCGTCATCTTCGGCGACTTCATCAATCGTTTGCGGCTTAGATAGAGACTGGATCCAGGGATGTTTAAGTAGCTGGGCATATGTCGGGCGCTGCTTTGGTATCTTATGAAGACAGCTCTTGACAAAGTCCTTTGCCAAATCGGAGTAACCATCCTCTGGCATAGCCGGCGGCTCGCCTTCAACAATGGCCTAAGAAGCAGTTAGTCAAGTGGGATTTTGGATCAAATCAGTAACAACTCACATTCAGTTGGCTGAAAATAGTGGACGATGCTTCAGGGGGATATGGATATTGACCCATAGCGCATTCGATGACTGTCAGACCCAAGCTCCAGACATCACTTTGAACACTGTAAGTGCCATCTGAATTGCCCGACTGTGCCATACCACCTCCAGAGATTCTTTCGGGTGCCATGTAGCTCTGGCATCCAATGTTTGTCTTGGCAATGCTGGACACAAGGTTGCCACTGACGCCAAAGTCACAGATTTTGATCTGACCCCGCGTGTTCGCCAGGATATTCGTCGGCTTGACGTCTCGATGGATGATGTTATGCTCGTCCTTCAATGATTTGAGGCCCATTACGGCTGAGTAAGTAATTTTTTTCAGGATGTTCTCGGGGATACCTCCAGCATAGATCTTGTCAATGGAGCCACCATCCATGTATTCAATGCACATGTATACGGCACCTTCCTGGAAGAAGGCTCCGTAGAAGTCGATGATGAATGGCGACACACACTCGTGAAGGATGACTAGCTCTTTGAGAATAGTGGTAAACTTGGCATCGTCGAGCTCGAGTCGGATTTCCTTCATGGCCATGACTTTGCCGGCTTGAGTTTCCAGCGCGTTGGTGGCATCATGGACCGCCGAGTCTGACTGACTTCGGTGCGGTTGTGGATGCTGCAACTTGGCCCCAGATAATCCTGGCCCAAATCGTGGTACACTCGGCTTCGCATGCCTGACCTTGTACACTGTTCCGTAGTTGCCTTTGCCCAACTCGTCTATTATTTCCACCTCATCTAGGGATATCTTGAAGGTCTGGCCATTGGAGAAGTTTACTCCAGTACGAGTAATTGTGGCTGCACCGTCAAAAGTAATCCAGCCCTTCTCTGTATCGATGTACTTCTTAAAGTCGTCCAGTTTTGACCCCAAAGACGATTTGCCATTAGGTGCGTTTGGTTGAGGCAATCCCGAGAGAGATGGAGCTCCCGCTCGGCGCATGCTACCAGTAGGAGGGCCACCACCGCCACCCATGTCTGATAGTTTCATTCCTCCCATCATATTGGCTCTTCGCTCGCTGAGAGTCTTTGGTAGGACAGGTGCAGATCTGGGGTGTGGTACGGGGCCGGGACGCTGCATGCCTGGGGGCATGCGCAGGGCAGTGAAGCCACCAGCTATAGGTCCTCCAGGTGAGGGCATCGGTGAGACAGGCGAGCTGCCCGCCGCTGACATTCCTTTTTGCATTCGCTGTTGGTGAAGCGCGCGCGCCTTGGCCATGACGCTGTTTTCCATGGCTCCAGCACCGGCAGCAAAGGATGAGCCAGTCTGGGAAGGATTTCTTGCCTTGCCCAGTAATCCCAACGTAGTTGAGTTGGGGTTGATGTTGTGGGGATCGGCAAAGGTGTTGAGGGATGGAAGTCTCTTGGGGGAGCCAGGTGATTCGCCCAGCTCGTCGCCGTTGGGGGTTCCTGCTATCGACGAGTCCTCAGAGAACGGCGATGCCTGCACATAGAGATCTCGATCATCGGATATGCTGTCCGGCGTGGCCGGGATCGAATCGGTACCGCTCATCGTGACGGTTGGAGAGATGTAGCTGCGTGAGGATTGACTCCGCGCGGGGTTGGGGGAGAATGGTGATGGAGATGGAGTCGCAGGAGGGAGAGATATGGAGAGATCTCCGCAGTTTTTACGGACAGAAGCCACACAGCGGAGCTACTGGGTATGCTCGATCGATCGACGATGCGCGGCGTCGCAGAGGCGGAGGCCCAGCGACCCGGCAGCTATGAGGAGGACGAGGAGTGTTATCCTTGTTGGAGTTTTTTCCGGCGATGGACGTTGGCGATGCTGGTGGTCCGAGGTCGAGGCCTTGAAGCTTAACCAAGGTGGGGTTTTCGGATGCTTCGTCGCTGACAATTCCCTTTGATGACGGCCGATTCGCGGGAGGCGGACGGCGGACGGTTTGGTCCTGGCGGACTACGCTCCTCAAAGACTAGGCCGGTCTAGACTTTTTGCACGACGCAAGGAAGAAGCAGAGCAATCGAAGAAAAGCTCGGCTATCGCTCGGTTTATACGTGTACCTTCTGACACGATGCGTTTTTCGTTCGTGGGGCGACGCGAAAGAGGGGGAAAATGGAAGTTAGATAAGACAGAGCGACAAGCTGCAGACAACGGTTAGCTCAGCGCCGGCTGGATCATCGCGGGCTTGAGAATTTGCGACGCCACTTTGAGAGCGGATTTGGACTTTTATGTATGAAACGGCGCTTGCCTCGTCCATGCGCCCGGAGCTACTGATGGATGGAGCGTACCTGAAATGAGCCCGGATCCGCCAGGCTTGTTTGCTGAGGGCTTTGCAGGGCTGCGTTGGCACCGGCAGTTAGAAGACTTGAAGAAATTTTCTTGTCTCTTCAACGACCAGGAAGTTGTGGCGTGCCGTCTGTCTTATACGAATCCAGGCACAACTTTTTTTTGGGGTTTCTTTTTGGGTCAATGTAGTTGAAGCAGCGCAAAGAGGCTTACTAAGTCGAAAGACTAAGTCGAAAGTATTCACCCTGCGTAGTAGAGACTGTGGCAGTGTCAGGTATCGATCAGGAAACAAGGCCAGGAACGCTCGTTGGCCAATTCCCGGAGCCGTCGACGTACCTGCTGGCCGTTTTTGGTCCAGTGAGGAAACCTGAACGGCGCTGCGGCACAGACAACTGAGCCAATTGCTGCTCTACCAAGGCACCAGCTTGCAGAGCCTTGCAGTGGATGCTAGCCTGCGATAGGGCAAGCGAATGCCCAAAGATGCAGCGCTGTGCGGGGTTGGTGGTTGGAGATTCTGGCGCTTTCTGTCGCGGCAGTGACGATGACGATGCGAAGGCCCGATGTGCGTCAAATGCAGGATAATCGTCAGGCGGCGTCTCTGAGCCGGCACGTCATATAAAACAGGCCGCCCGTCAATTGGCGCGCCGGGATTGGTGGCAAGACTCGTCTGTCGTGACCCAAAAGTGGGCATCAGCGCTGTGTCCATGCCGCCGGGTAAAAGATGCTGGGGCCAGCGCACTGCACTGGTTAATAACCTACCTATCCAATGCTGTTGTTTGTCTCGCGAAGACGGCAGCGGGCAGGGGACGCAGCAGAACAGACCCTGCTATACGGCAGCGGATGGGTAGTCAGAAGACCAGAACCAGAGGTGCCTAAAGTCGCAGTCTATGCCGGGCGTGAGGTGTGACGTGATTCAGTCAGCTTTGGGCTGGGCGAGGGAATGAGTGTACTCGGTATCAATGCAGAAGCAAAAGGACAGACACCAGGGGGTCCAGCGTTGGGCTTGAGAGAAAGAAAAAAAAAGCCCACAGGCAGGGCGGAAGTGGAACAAAAGGGCAAAGATGAAGAATCGAAAGAAGAGCGATGGAAGGAAAGGGAAGGGGGGATATGGCTGCAATTGACGATTTATATCACTACCGTCTCCTGAGTACAATAAACTACAAAGTACCTACTATATCAGCTAGAAACGCTGAACAAGTGCCCGCCGGGCGCTACAAGCCGCTGCTAATATTTGTCAGGGCACAGATCAGAGGCGGCAGCGGCGTCTCTCACTGCTGCGTGTTTGATATGGCCCTGTGACTTGGACCGGTCTTGATAGTGACTGAGGCCTCTTGCGGAATATCCCACCAAAATCCGCTGTGATGGTTGGCGGACCCCACACGCGGGTACGCTTTTGTTTCGTATTTTCGCCCCGACGACTACATGACGATGACGCCAGCTGCTCTCAAGTTTGCAGGTATTGGCGGATAGGAGGGTACATGCCGCGCGGGATCCAAGCCGACGATCCATATCAGACAGATCTCATTATGAAACCGCCTCTGGTCGCCGAGCCGTGCCTTGAAGCAATAGCGGCCTATCACGGGCCAAGGCTATGACAAGCCCGTTCGCCTAGAGGCGGCGAATCCTCTCTCTTTCACCTCCTAATGTTATCTATGAAGCCACTGAAAAGGAAAAAAGAGGGCTAGGGGGCCCATCCATCCTACGAAAACCAGGCTACCCCAGGATCCATCTGCTGTATTTTCTGTTTACTTCTCACGACCCTGCATTCGATTGGGCCTTTGACGCCTCGTTATTTGGCTGCCGAGCAGAGGCTACCGCAGGTCCTTGGCCATGGCGGTGGCTGCCCGACAAGCTGCGTTGTAAGCGCCAGAATCGCTGCCCTTGCATCGGCTGGTGTCTCTGCTGAGTTGCCTCTGCCGTGTTTGCAATCTCGTCTCATGATGGCATCTCGACGCTAATTGCTACATCTATTTGTGGATAAGTTACATGTTTACTACAGCCCACAAGCATGCAGGCAGCACCGGATGCATGGTCGTATGCACAAACGCCATTTTGTATCGATACTCACGCAGCCCAATCGTCTACACACAAGGTCCCCACATCGATGCTACCCTCAGCCCAGCATGGGTGACTTAATAAACTAGTAATCAAATGGGACCCTGGCGGTTCAGATGCATCATATTTCGTAGCTATGAAGCTTTTTTGTGCATTGTGTAACCCAGCCGGGAAGGGATCGGCGCCTTGCTCGTTTCAAACAACTGATGCGCATTTCCCCCTCCATCGCGTTTATCATGACGTACTCTATATTTACAATCTCGATCGTTGACCTTTGTGCCTGTGATGGACCAAATTGTTGAAACTGCTACGAGCACATCACGACATTGTGCGCATCCACGGTGACGATAAGCTGCTGGTATTTTGTTTTTCATTGGTTGCACGTTGCGTGTTGTCTTGACTCTCGGTGGATGGCTGGTGTCTTTATGGATGTGCCACGCCTACAGCCACTTTCTACGTAGTGGAGCTAGCTACCCGTGCAAGGCTGAGAGCTATCAAAAATAATACAACGTTGGCAATATTGCGCATCTTGCGTGTAAGGCTAGAAGTGACAGTATCCAAAAGCCTGGCGTCCAAGTCATGGACTAACCTACATGTAGGTAGTCGCACGCCGTATGATTTTTTTGCTCCCTTGCAGGACGGGAAAAAGTGAGGCTTTCAAGGGAGACGGAAATCAAGGCCATCAAATGCAGCGTTGGCAGTCCTTTACTGGTAGTACTAGTAGCCTCTTTCTCTTCCAAAAGGGATGAGACAATCTCATTTCCTGCCAGCCGTCATATCAAGGTACGGTGCATATACGAGTTTGCTAGAGGCCTGAATGTCTTGGAGATAAGGTGTGATGCGGCTGTGGTTTGGTTGAAGTTGTTACTATTAATCTGCTTGCACTGGCATCATGATGCCTTGCCAAGATGCTGGGCCTTTACGCCACAGAATGTATGGCTGAAGCAAAGAGGCGCCCGGCCTTATCTCTCCCTGACACAGTGGCACACGACCTAAGCCGTATGGAGGATATCAGGCTTTGAAGGGTTCTATTTACCGCTTGCTCGCCAGCGCCAAGCCTGCCAAGGAAAATAAGCTCACTACGAATCCTTCACAGCCATGAAAAGCCTCCGCAGCATACCGACGATAGTGGCTGGCTGGCTAGCTGGTTTGTGTAATGCCCACCAAAGTCATCTCTACGCTGTAGGTCCACTTCGCCGGCGACGACAAAACAGTTGCAAAAAGCAGGTCAACGGCAGAGCATGAAGCCACACGAGATCGCAGCAATGCAGCCAGACAGCTGGTTCTCTCATCGCTACGCTGCTGCTTGATAGCCCTACGCCCCCTGTGGTGCTGCTCTCCCCTGGCCAGGCCTCTTTTGGAGGGCTCATGCTCGCATTCAGGGATGCCATTGGCCAGCGGCCGCAAGTACCTGGCAGCGCAGTCCTCCACCCAGAGTGACATCAGCCGCGCCGTGACGCCCCAAAGCAGCGCCAAGAGGGCACTTGAATGGCACCCAGAGAGCTAGAGAGGCCGCTAAGCTGCAGCCCGGCAGCCCGGCCAGAGCTTGTTTGGCCCAGCTCTTCCGCGCCTCGTCCTCATGTCACTCTTGCGTGTTGCGCGACCATTCGCCTCCCTTATCGCTTGAGTCGTGCTACCTGCGCCGTTATGCAGTCCCGGTCGCACCACAGCATCATAGAGTGCTGGCGAAACCGGTGCGCCATTGGAGGCCCATTCAGTGGCATCTTCAGGTTTTTTCTTCTTTGCCTGCAGCATGGCCCCGTTACAGACGCTGCGCAGCCACTCTAAAAGTCGTCACTCATATTGCCTGCAGCATCTCATTTAACACGCATCACATCCTCGTTACTTTTTTTTTAACCCCCAATTTCACGGCCTGCGCGGCAAGAGGCCAATCTGTGGCTGGTTTGGCATCGCCTGCCTGTCAAAACTCCCCTGAACCTGGAGACACGCTCAGCACTCCCCGGTGACCTCATCCCAGCTCCGTTGCCATTTTGTCCCAGACAAGCGGCTAGCTGACGACGCTTTGAACTTTCTGTGAACCAATCCCAAGGGCTTCCCACTCTGCAGGCTTCAGCAAAGGATTTTTGCCTTCTTTTCTTTCTTCTTCTACTGTTCTTTTGACCCTTGCATCTCGCCCTTTTCTGGCGTATCGTCGCAAAATCTCTTCCTGAACAATCCGTTACAACAGCGCCGATACACGACGACCTCTACTCGATTCAATCCAACTCAATATCGCCAGTTCGCGAGCGACTCAGCCATCATTCCAAGTCTCGGGGCCACATTTGATGGATCCTGCCGCCTCTCTCACGCCGCCGACTTCGTTTCGGCTGGCCGTGCTGGCCCAAAAGGCCTACGATATGCCGCTCAAGGTCTTTGAGTCAGCTGCGCCGTCGCATCCCTCCTTATCGCATCTTTGCTTGCTCGTCTTCGAAGCTGTTCTAGAAGTAGTCTGCGTGAGCTTGCCGGGATACATCGTCGCGCGCCTTGGCCACTTCGATGCCGATAAGCAAAAGTTCCTGGCCAATCTGAACGTGATGCTCTTCACGCCATGCCTGAGTATGTTGCTGCCTCTTGCCATGTCTCTATTGTTCTCCTTTGAACGCCTATCTAACATGTCATCGTTTTAGTCTTCACCAAGCTAGCATCCCAGCTCAATGCCGAAAAACTATCCGATCTCGCCATCATCCCCGCCATTTTTATCGTACAAACTCTCGTATCATGGGTAGTCTCGATCTTGATTGCCAAAGTATTTCGATTCAATAAGCGAGCGTCCAATTTTGTCACGGCCATGGGCGTCTTTGGCAATTCGAATTCGCTGCCCATTTCTCTAGTTCTTTCTCTCTCGCAGACAATCAAGGGTCTTCACTGGGACAGGATACCTGGCGATAACGACGATGAAGTCGGCGCTCGCGGCATCCTCTATCTACTTATTTTCCAGCAACTCGGTCAACTTGTCAGATGGAGCTGGGGATACCACGTCTTGCTAGCCCCCAAGGATAAATACGCCGAATATCAAGACGAAATTGCCGAAGAAGGCCAGTATAGGTACACGGACGAAGAGCCAAGCGAACCGGAACCCGAGATTCTCATTACTGGCCTGGACGGCGATACCGAAGATGATGGCGATAGCAATGCTTCTCAAGTTTATATACCTGCTGGACGCACGCCTCTTGCGAACAACTCCCGGGCTTCACTGGCTGCCTCCTCGGTCGACAATGACGATATGCTGAATTTCAAAAAGGGCAACTACCCTCGTGGAAGCGCGCTCAGCAATACAGACTTGGAAGATGATATTCTTTCATTTCCTCGTATTCGTCTTCGAGATGAGTCTGAAGTCGAGCACGGAGCTGCTGCCCGAATTAAGAAATCGCTACGTTCTCTCAAAGACAAGGCGTCTGCGGCCATGACCCGCCAATATCAGCGTCTTCCTCAGCCGGTAAAAACCTGCCTTTCTTTCATCCAGATGTCAATCACAAAGATTTACGCATTCATCTGGGATTTCATGAATCCACCTTTGTGGGCTATGCTCATTGCGGTCGTCGTTGCGTCTATCCCGAATCTCCAACAGCTGTTCTTTGAGGATGGTTCTTTCGTCAAGAATAGTGTCACCAACGCCGTTTCGTCTAGTGGAGGTGTTGCCGTACCTTTGATCTTGGTTGTTCTTGGCGCCAACCTTGCGCGCAACACAGCCGCTCACGATTTCCCTACAGACCCGGAAGAGGACAAGATTGGCAACAAGCTCATGATTGCCTCGCTGCTGAGCAGAATGGTTCTACCAACTTTGATTATGGCGCCTATCCTAGCTCTCACAGCAAAATACTTGCCCATCAGCATCCTGGATGATCCCATCTTCATTGTCGTATGCTTCCTTCTTACCGGTGCCCCCAGTGCGCTTCAGCTTGCCCAAATATGCCAAATCAATAATGTGTATGAGAAGACCATGGGAAGGATCCTGTTTCAGAGCTACGTTATCTGGTAAGCATTTCCATACGCTTAACCCTTTGTTTAGCATTGCGCCTTTCACTAACACATGCACTAGGATTCTTCCTTCTACACTGTTCCTTGTCATGATGGCACTCGAAGTCATCGAGTGGGCAAGGTGAATTAATCATCCTTACCTCAGCTGAGGGACCATTATGAGACACGAGATTGCTGGTTTTTTTTTTCTTATCCTGCCTCTGCTTCTTCTTCTCTTTGATTTACTCTGAGATATATACCTATAATTTGGCGTTTAGGGTACGGACTGGCGAGGTAGAAGCGACTTTTTATCTAGTATAGATTGGTATGGACGAGCGATGTTCGATTATGCATCAACCAAATTGTATTACTAAGGCAGAAATTAGTGGATTGGTTCGGTTATTCAGATTGGAGGAAGAGTTATACACGAGAGGCTGACAGGCTGTTGTCTTTGCGACAAATGTTTTGTATTTTTAAAAGTAAACAGAGATGCTCTCGTATGCTTGAGGCCATGACAGAAACCTCACATGCTGAATAGCGTTTTACAGAATGGGGCTATGAATGTTTCTGCCCGGAAAGAATTACTAGTTTTTGACTTTTACTGCTTGTGTTTTCAACTGTCATGAGAAAATGAGAATGCCTGTAAACGAAGATAAAACTTTTTTGTGAATAACTGCTGGATGAGGATGAATACAATTACCAGTTTTCTCTCTTTCCCCCTTAGTTACTATCAATGTTTTTTATGCCCAATGCCGATGCCTAGCCACGCCTCTAATAATAAATATGATCAAATAGAAAGAATACAACCTTGACAAAACCCCCCAAGCCTGCCAGCCTATCTATCAAGCACCTCCGTTAAGCAGCGGCGCATCCGCCGTCAACTCCCAATCCCTCACCGTACCCTTCCAATCGCTAATCCTCACGTTGCGAATATCGACCACAATGACACGCACCTCCTCGCCAGCCACGAAATGCCCGCTCGGATCATTCTCGCCGCGGTTACTATCATCTGCTGGGGTATTCGACACCGGCTGGAACAGCGGCGTGCCCTCCTCCTCAAAGGTATTGTTCTCGAGGTGCTGCGCGACGTAGAATTTTTCCTCCTCGGAGCCGATGGGGGCTATCCGCGCGGCGCCTCCTATCGTTGCGCTGATGCTGGACACGGCGGAGGTGTTTAGGTTGAGGAGGAGGGCGGCGAGGCTGGAGCGGGTTTCGGGGGTGGGGGAGCCGCCGGACATGCGACGGCCTTGGGTTGGAGGACGGTGGGAGATCCCTTTTGGAAGATTCAACGTCAGTAAATGGGACCGTACATATATATAGAGAGGGGAAGAGAGAGAGGAAGCCTACAGTCGTGCACGAGGAGAGAAACATTTGGGTTGGCGATGATGTTGGTCGTCTTGCGCGAGGCCGGGTTGGTGGTCATGATGATGACGGGAGAGTCGGAGTAGGGCGACGAGGGCAGGTAGGTGTAGTTCATGAGGGACACGTTGGGCACGTTGTCCGTGCAAGTGGCCAGGTGAAGCTATTCGCAACAACTCGTGGTCAGCCTCCATCCCCTTGATAGCTTCAACTGTCAGTAGTGTACGACTGGGGCTCATACAAATCGAGCATTCTCGAGGCATTGAACCACCTCGGTGGGCAAAGTGCTCGTCTGGCGCTTGTGCGTGTCTCCCTCGGACGCCTCGTAGTTGAGCGGGATCTTGTCCATTGTGTTCCGCGTTGCTCTTTCAATCAAGCCGTTTTCCAGCACAAACGTGTGACGTCGAAGAAGCAAGCAGCCGTTTTTCTGTTCCCGCCTGAGATCTTCCCGACAATCCGATCAGCCGATGGTCTTAAGGCTAGGAAGCTAATACTAGCAGGTAGTCCAAGGCTCTCGAGCTAACAGCAGCACTTTGGCTCCAAACGTGGGGGAGGGGAACAGGATACGGACCGCGCTTAGTCACGCCCAGCTCCCGTTAGAGCAGTACCAGCTTCATTATGGAGCTTCTCTGCAAAAGCGCAGGTACCGCCAAACGCAAACGGTCTGCGGCCGAGGGTGACGTCGGCGCTTCCAGCTGGAGGTGCTTCTCAGCTGCCGCGGCTACAAACGGCTGCTGGCGGTCGGCTCTATCCAGCTTCTAACCGATTGAGCCTGTGCAAGGCGAAGCAGCATCTCTTGGCCCGGCCGCTGCAGGCACAAATTGATTTCTTCTTGGATTGATTAATTGAGCCCCTGGGCCTCGCCAATCTGTTTTCTCCTCTGCTTCTTCTCCTCCTCCAGATAGAATTAGATCCCACCCCCAGATCGTGCAGCAGCTCCGTCGCCATGCGTTCCCTCCGCGCCAATCGCCTCTCCCTGAGGCCCGTCCCGCGATTCCTCTCCACAGCATCGACCGCAAAGACCGCGGCGCTGAGCTCCGTGCTCATTGCCAACAGAGGCGAGATCGCCATCCGAATCAACCGCACGGCAGAGCGCATGGGCATCAAGGCCACCACCGTGTACACCGACGTCGACGCAAACTCATGGCACGCCAACTCGGGCTTCCAGTCGCTGGGCCTGGGCCCGGCCAACGGCTACCTGGACGGCGAGAAGATCATTGCCCTGGCCAAGAAGCACGGCATCCAGGCGCTGCACCCGGGCTACGGCTTCCTGTCGGAGAACTACAAGTTCGCGGAGCGGTGCGAGGAGGAGGGCATCGTCTTCGTGGGACCGCCCGCAACGGCCATGGCCGACATGGGCAACAAGGCGCGGAGCAAGGAGATTATGAACGCGGCCAATGTGCCCTGCGTGCCGGGATACCACGGCGCGGAGCAGGGCGAGGAGCAATTGCTGGCCTACGCCAAGGACATCACCTTCCCGGTCCTGCTCAAGAGCGTGCGAGGCGGCGGCGGTAAGGGCATGCGCATCGTCTTGAAGGAGGACGAGTTCATGACGCAGCTCAAGAGCGCCAGGGCCGAAGCCAAGGCGTCCTTTGGCGAGGGCGGCGAGGTCATGCTCGTCGAGAAGTACATTGTGCGCCCACGACACGTCGAGGTGCAAGTCTTTGCCGACAAGTACGGCAACACCGTCGCCCTGGGCGAGCGAGACTGCAGTGTCCAGCGAAGACACCAAAAGGTCCTGGAGGAGTCCCCTGCGCCTGATCTCGATGATGTTACCAGAAAAGACCTCTGGGACAAAGCCCGCAAGGCCGCCGAGGCCGTGGGCTACGTCGGTGCCGGCACTGTCGAGTTCATCTTGGACAAGGACAGTGGCAAGTTCTACTTTATGGAGATGAACACCCGACTGCAGGTCGAGCATCCCGTCACGGAGATGGTCACGGGCCTGGATCTTGTTGAGTGGCAGTTCCGCATTGCCGCCGGCGAGAAGCTGCCTTTGTCTCAAGCTGAGGTCGAGGAGCAGATGAACCAGCGAGGAGCTGCAATTGAGGCCCGTATCTATGCTGAGAACCCTGAAAAGGGCTTCATGCCAGATTCAGGCAAGCTCATCCACGCTGTCCTACTGGATTCCGCCAAAGCCGATCAAGATATCCGTCTGGACTGGGGCTTCGGCTCCGGCAGTGTCGTCTCGGAAGCATACGACGGCATGATTGCCAAGCTCATTGTCCGAGGCGATGACCGTGAGACCGCCATTGCGAAGCTCGCCACCGCTCTGCGTGCCTTTGAAATCGTCGGTCTGAGCACAAACGTAGAGTTCCTCAAGAGACTCTGCGCCTCCGAGGCCTTCATCGCCGGAGACGTCGAAACCGGCTTCATCGACAAGTGGCGGGAGGAGCTCTTCAAGCCCAGACACATCAGCAACGAGACCTTTGCCCAGGCTGCTCTCGGCGTTTTGAGCAACCAGCTGCAACAGGCCGCTGGTTCCTCCAGCCCGCACGGCCAGTCGCTCGGCTTCGGCAACACAAACTCCACCAGCGAACGCAAGCTCGCCTTCAAGGTCCTCGACGGCTACAGCGAAAAGGAAGGCGAGGTCGTCGAGGCCTTTGTCTCACAAACCGGCCACAACCTCTACAACGTCACCATCTCCCGCAAGGGCGAGGAGCCCGAGCTCTTCAGCAACGTCATCAGCGAGCCTACCATCGAAGACGCCGTCACCAAGCTGAACTCGCGATTCCCCGGCGAGAGGATCAACTCAACCGTCGTTCCTCAAGAGAACGGCACCGAAACCAAGCTAGCCATCTTCCAGCACGGCGTCAAGACCGATCTGGCACTGCTGCCGCCGTCGTGGTACGAGAAGGCTCTGGGCCTAAAGGAAGTGACCGCCTCCGTGGCGGCGCCTATGCCCTGTAAGATTCTGAAGAACGAGGTCGAGGAGGGACAGACTGTGAAGAAGGGCACACCACTTGTTGTGTAAGTGATTTCAAAATCTTTTGATACAAATTTTTGTACACGCGCTAACAAAAGTCGATGCCAGCATCGAATCAATGAAGATGGAGACTGTCATCCGCTCCCCACAGGATGGTGTTATCAAGAAGCTTGCTCACAAGGAAGGCGTAAGTACCATTCGAAGCCGTATTTTAAACTTACCCCCTCATCTAACCCGTCTTTCATAGGATATCTGCAAGGCTGGCACTATTCTTGTCCTATTCGAGGAGGAGCCTAGCACGGAGGAGTCATCATAACGGGATAATGAAGGCGTTTTTGATTTACGAAAGATTTTTTATGAATCATGTATATAAACATATAATTTTTTCTTTGGGGCAAGATATACGTCGTTTTATCACAATGACATGCTGTCAAATAAGAAGAAAATCATCATCTTACCCGACCTTTCCCTATTCCCTTTGTTTCATTTCCATCTTTTTTCGCTATGTAGTGAGGTATCATCCGTTTCTGGCAAGCTGCATATTTTCCTGGTTGTTTTTTTCTTCCATAATATCCATCCATCTCAAGCAACAAAAAAACAAGATATGGGAAATTGTCGTCCTAAACTCCGCGTAATGCATAAAACATTATATCGTCATAACATCATAATGGCATCCATCGTGAGCCTCATCAAACTGCCCCTGAAACTATCTGGCACAGCTCAGCGAATACCAAGCATTCAGAAAGCCATGTCAAACTAGTATCAATAATCTCAAAATCGTTCGTCAAAAGAGAGACAGGGCTGAAAGAAAAAATCCGAAGCGACCCTATCGTCACAAATTATGCACACACAGCGTATATTTCGTCACTTCGTTTGCATTTCTGCATATGTGTCGGGCAGATGCCTGCCCATCCGCGACTGCTTGGCCGCCTGTCGGATGCGCTTCCACCATTCTTTGGCGCGATGGGGCCAGCTGGGATCCGTGGGCGGTACGTAGGAGTAGTAGTTGTTGAGGAGGTCCTGCGTTCAAGAAGCGTATCAATAAGCGAGATGACTTCAGGTGGGTGGGTTAATTGTGATTATTCTCCTCTTTCCACTGCTCCCCTCCCTCTCTCCCCCCTATGACCGCCATATCCATTCATGATCACCATGTTACGGATTAGGGAGGAACAAATATAGCTAGGAAAAAAGCAAATTTAAAAGGGGGTAACATAGGCTTACCTCTTCCTTCGCCAGAGTGACGAATCCCAGCACAAAAGCCACCCAGGCCAACGTCCCCTTGGTATTGAGAAATTGGTTCCCGCCTCGGAACTCAATGGTCCCCGTGCATCGCTTTGCCTTCCGACGAGGATAGATGTTCTGGAAGTTCCATAGAACATAGCGGTTGCCCTGCATGTAGTGGCACAAATCCGCCTTCTTAGTCTTGGATTTGATCTCAGCAGCCACTTTGCGAAGTGCACCTGAGCTCTTTTTCCAGCCTAGCGTCTTGTTCAGTCCACATTCGAGGCTCTCGCTATTAAGACGGCAATAGTGGTTGTCGCGGCGAGTCGTGGGCAGAATCTCCGCAATATAATCCTCATATACGACCGTTGCAAAGGCAATCTTCTTTAGCGTTCTGAGAGAGAATTTGTTTTTGAGGTTGACTGGCGTGACATGTACATGCCCGCCACATGAAATGTCCTCTTGAGGCTTAAAATGTACACGCATGGCCTCCCAAAAGTCGGAGAAGATGGGGCTCACGCCATGCATGGTATCAAGCTTTGGGGATACAACCTCCATGCACACTATCAATTGCATCTCTGTCAGCGCATATGCCTCATGTGCATGATAGATATCACACACGTAGTATTCTGTACATGACTTTCTATCATGCAACGGAATAGAGGTGAGAATCGGGAATTACCTACCATATGGCCGTGGCCGCTTCAGCGATCCGTCGCGGGTAACAAACCACTTCCCTCCGTAGTACTCTGGATGCTTGCTGTACTTTGAGCAATCATCATGGACTGCTTGAATGCCCCGGTTGCGTAGTTTCTGTGCCAGCTGTCGATACCAATCCACGTTTGTGAAGCTGTCGCAATTCCCGTAGGGCTTGGCAACAGCCTCAATCTCTACACCAAAGTTGTAATGCCTAACACCCGTTGGCATCTTGGGTAGGCTATCTGGTGTAAGGACAACACGAAGTGAAACCTGAATCCCAGAAGACGAGGCTGCACTTACAGCCCAAGCAAGTAACTACAGGTCCGCCTAACAAACAACGAGTTGGGCTGAGAAAAGGTATGCTAGATGATAAAGCGAATGTGCTGGCTGTCGGATGGTGTATGTAGTCGACATAGCTGATATCTGACTTCGGGTTCCTGCTTTCTTACTTGCTAAGCTGGGTGTTCGCTCCTCTCGCGATGCTAGACACATTTAACCACGCTCGCGCGGATAATTGGTCAATTCATTTCGAATTGGACGCATGCATGCTCACATGACATCCTCAATTGCTTGCCAGCTTCTCCATTTGTGAGAAGCATCCAATTATTGCACCCATACTTTCTGCAGAGAGCGCTTTTAGACGTTACATACGTACCCCAGTAAACGGGCAGCCATGTTTGGCCACTGAGCCATAACCAGCCGCTGTCCAGTCAGACAAAGCCAGCAGACTTTTAGCCGCCCAGCCACCGCTGCGCTGTCCACAAACTTCTTCATCCCTACCTTTTCGGATCTCCCCTCCAGCATCTTCTTTGCGCGGGGCTGCAGGGAGGGACGACTGGTCCCCTATCATAACACAGTGGCCCTGAGTGGTGGAGGTGGTAGGGAACGTGGCACAGAGGAGCGGGTATGACTCTCCGAAGCCGGGCATCTCCGTGGCTCTCGTTGAAACAGAAAGAGTGAAGGTTGTCCGAATTTTTATGCTCACTGCCACGAAAGAGGCTCTCGTATGCCAAGGATCAAAGACGTGGTGAGGTCCAATTGGTGCTTGCACTCCCATGCCCTGCATCGCCGTCGTCATCCCGTCTCTTTGCTGCCCAACCTGTCGTACTGCATCATAGATCCACTATGGAAGCAGCCGCACACCAACGGAGCATCCTGGCTGGCTGCTGAACAAACGAGTGACTCTCATGCGATAAACATGTTTTCGCCTCATCATATGGGTGACTAGCAATAATTAGCAATATGTAAGACAGCATACTGCACACAGTAAGAACAGACGTTTCCAGTCTCTTTCAGCCTTTCAATCTCGTAGACCGAGTCTCATCTCAGAAACACAACAGCCCGATATTCGGATATCCCCGCCAATTCCCCAATCTGACCATGGATGCCATTCGCAGCCAATCAGTGGGGGGTAAGAAATCCAAAGTGCTGGTCCAGAAGGCAGCATCAGCGGTGTCTCTAGACCGCCGGCCGGCAAAGTTATACTTTGCTTATGGGAGCAACTTGCACGTCAAGCAAATGAACCGTCGATGTCCAAACAGCAAGTTCATCGGAAAGGCCCGTTTATCCAACTATCGATGGCAGATCAACGAGCGCGGATATGCCAATGTCGTCGTCGCAGATGGACACTGGGTAGATGGTCTCGTATATGAGATTGACGATGTCGACGAAGCCAAGCTGGACATAAATGAAGGCGTTGCGAAAAATGCATACAACAAGCGATACATGACCGTCCTACTCCATCGAGCACAGAGTGCCCTGTACCGCCGCCCCGTATCGTGGATAGTGGAAAAAGGCGGGCCCGCGGCCGTAGCCAGAGAAGCCAGGCTTATAGCTCAGGGGCGGCGAGAAAACTCTTTACTGCACTGGCAGGACGATGTTCTCATATACGTCAATCCAAACTGCACTCATGATAGCAGTCCTAGGGAAGAGTATATCAATCGAATCAATCTAGGCGTTGCGGATGCTAGGGTCCTAGGCGTTGACGAGGATTATATTCGGAACTGTATCCGCCCCTTTATCCCGGAAACCAGAGGCAGAGCCCCTTCGAGTCCAGCACTGGGAGCCCCCAAGCTCAAGGCCCTATCGGTTGTCCGGGGCAGGAATGAAAATTCTCCTGCGCGGTCTGACGGCCGCTCCCCGGCGCGCAAAGAACGATCGGTGAGCCGATCGAAGCAGCATTTTGAGCGACGATCTCGATCCCTGCAGCCTCCTAACAAAGAAAACGACCATAAGAAAGACCCAACGGCGAGGTCAAAGGTGCCACCCTTGCCTCCGCGGCCACAGTCAAGCCAGCGCCGTGACGTTCCCATCGTTTCAGTACAGGAGGTACACCTTTCGAGCTGGGGCTGGTGGCCAGCATTTTCATGAGAAGAGAAGAGACAAGAATTTAGTGGTGGTCGGTATAGTTTCCTTGAAAATGATCGAATTTCGTGATTCATTGCGATGTAAGTGTCTATATGTGGTGAAATCTATTGCTCGTTTGTCATTACTTTTCTGGTCAGCACTGCTGACGCTTCTATATTCTAGGAACATCGTCAAGATGTCAGGTTTTGCGTTTGTTCAACAAATGAAAGCATGAATCAATAGCTCCAGTCGCCTTCGAGGCGTGTTCTAGAGGACCCTTGGGCCATGAATCAGAGCTTTGAGCGATGTCGCCTCAAGATCAGGGTCTTACTTTTGGGTGATACTTTTCGCGATGGAACAAGAGATCGCCCCTTAGATCCATTCGCAAAATCCCACAAGAGTCTTGTCAACGTCATAGTCTTTTGTGGAATATCGCCATCCTTATCTCCTCCATACACCAAAACCGTTGGCTTGCAAACAACTTTTGCCGTCGACTTCTTTGCTCCGGAGACTGTCTCGACAAAGAGACCTGGAGCAACATCGAATAGATACGAAGCGTTTTTAAGGGCTTCGGTTGATTTGCCATTTTCACCCGAAATCATAATGGCTCCCCTGTCGGCAAGGTTGATACATTCATAGGTTTCCAGTTTTGATCTCGCGGTTCGTGATGGCCACCTTAGAGAGAACATGTTTGGAGAAAGCTGCAGTCGGTGTGCAAGGTCTACCGCCGGGTCAATGATGCTTGTCCGAAGAGAGTTTTGCAGTTCTGCAGCAGTTAAATATGGCACTACAACTGTTAAGAGAGAAGCAAGATCTTCGGTAATGAGGTTGAGATATGCTGCTCTTCTGGATTTGAAGGATTTTTGGCTGGTCAAAGCCGTAAGCGTCTCAGATCTCCACTCTCTACAATGCTGAATATCTTGTCTGAAATGTTAATTTTTGCTGGAAATGTATAATATCGTCATTATTTAGGGTGCAAACGTACCTCGAGGAAGTTTAGATATCGCGCTCTCCAGCTCATCGATCCACGCCACAGTTGTCTCACCATCCCCATCATCCAGAGGACAGTAGAATGATTTGGCGAAGAACACTAGCCACAGATATTGCATGATAATAGCCGTAAAATGATATTCATCGGAATGCCACACGTTGAGACAGCTTGTCGCTGGTTCTCTCATCAGCGATACGAATCTTGTTGACTGAGCTGAAGTTGGCTGGCAGCGAAAGTGGCCACGGGCTAGATCGTCCAAGACAGGTCGAATGCGATACTCGACCCAACGCCCAACACTCTGAAACAAATTTTGATATGACTCCTGTGCTTCACTTTCTGTAATGTCTCTCCTCCTCGGAGACGAGCGAGTGCCCTGATGTTTGCTCTCCTCGGCTTTGTTGGGCTGGGTACGAGCTTGTGCGAGCTGGCTTTGCGCTTCTTTCAATTCTTGCTGTAACAATTCCAGCTTCTTTGATAACTTGGAATTCTCTTTTTCTTGAACTTCAAGCTCCTCCTGCCGCGAGTCTAGGACCTCCTCGGTGAACTGGCGCAGCCGAACTTCGCCCTCCAGTTTGCTCTTGTCGTCTTGCTTTCGTGGTGTCTCTGCTTGATTTGGCGACATTGCTTCTTTTCTTCTCTGATCACTGTGTTTTGGTATGCAGTATGCAGCTTTTGGTATGCTTTAGGTAGGTGGCGTGGATATGAAAAAGAACAGATGGGGCGACGTTGTTTTCTAGAAGTTTATGGAGCTAAAGACGGAAATGTCAACGATCGATCCTACCTCTTCTGCTTGCAGCGCGTGTTGGTTTCCTTTTAGCCAATGACCTACTCCTGATGCAATGACTTGGTGACCTGGCAAAAGCTCAAGTGACCCCATACAGCCTCAGTTGGATAGGGTTACCAGACGATGAACTGTCGGTGCGTAGCCTGACCATGTCATACTGGTGGGTATTCCCCTTTACTGGCTGGGCACCTCTTCATGCCCGAAGCAAGCATCCATTGGGCTCCACCACATACCCGGCGACGGGATCGGCTGTCTGCATGCACGTCCGGGGTGCCCTGTCCCGCAAAAGCGCGTGTTTATGCTTCATGGTTGGCATCTCAGTGCCAGGCCAATAATTATGAGTACGGCTGTTTAGAGGCTTACCTGGTCGGCATAAGAATCCCGTAGCTGGCTGGTCTTTTATCCTAACCTTCAGCGGAGCCCGAGCAGGGCTACTAGAAGCATCCCATTGGCACCCTCAACAATTAAGTGACAGCCCCCCAGTCCATCAAACACTTGGGGACAATGACTCTCTTCTAAGACATTGTGTCTAGCGCAGCCGACTATCCAAGCTCGGGTCATCGCAAGCATATCGGCTACTTACAGGGAATTCCCAGAGGAGACGCCTACTTCGCATTGAAAAGCTTGAGCATGAGCGATGACAGAAGAATTGTCGTGTCTATTGACTTTGGAACCACTTTTTCTGGCGTCGCTTGGGCAGATACGACTCAGGTAAGTTCAAGCAGTATGCCGCAAAAGTTTCATGCCGCGCTAAAACCTTCCAAGCCGGATGTTCAGCACGTATTATCCGACTGGCCATCAGTCGGTTCGTCCCAAAATAGCCCTAAAGTTCCAACTGAGCTGCGAAAAGTAGCATCCGGCTGGCAGTGGGGGTTCCAGATCCCGAAATCGGCGAAGAGAAGTAGATTGTTCAAGTTGTGAGACGCAGTCATGATTGGTAGATATGACCTGGAGCTGATTCCATGTGTAACAGACGACTGGATGAACCATCGGAAACGAAAACCGAAGGAGAATCTGCGCAGGAGTTAACAAGGATATATCTATCATGCCTCTATTCCCATTTTATCAGCGTCCTAGAGGGCAAGTTGTCACCAAGCGTAGTTCAATCGACGCCAATGGACGTTGTTGTCACCGTTCCAGCAATTTGGTCCAATAGTGCAAAGCAAGAAACAGAGAAGGCGGCATCGCTGGCTGGTTTTGGCGGAGAGCAAAAAATTAAGCTTATATCAGAACCTGTTTGTCTTTCCTAAGTTGATGGGCCTGTTGCAGCGCTAACGACATGAAAGGAAGCGGCAGCTCTGTATACTGTCAAATATTTGAGCCCATCTGTCTTACAAACTGGCCGAAAATTTGTCGTATGTGACGCTGGGGGAGGTACGGTAGATCTCATAACATATGAAGTAGCTAAAGTTCAGCCGCTCCAGATGAGAGAGGTCACGGAGGGCACTGGGGGAAAATGCGGGTCCTCAATGCTCAACATGCGATTTCGACGATATTTGAAGCAAATACACGGAGATAAATATTGGACAGATGAGCGCCTTGTTGTTGCGTTGAGCGAGTTTGAAGCAGTACGTAAATGACGGGTTATTCTATTATCCATCAGTCTAACGATGCTGCAGTTCAAAAGGGATTTTTCTCCAAAGGGTGAACCTCTTACACTGAAAGTCGATCCATCTCTCGGCCTCAAACGTGATCGATTCACGATATCGCAAGACGATATGGCCACTAAGATATGGGATCCGATTATGAAAGACATTATTTGTTTGATAAAGGAGCAAATCTCAATGGCAGACGAAAAAGTTGCGGCAGTCGTACTAGTTGGCGGGTTCGGACAGAACGCATATCTAAGGTCCCGAGTTCGCGAAGTTATCGCTTCTAGAGTGCGGGTGCTTCAGCCAGAGAATGGTGTTACTGCAGTGGTCAAAGGAGCCGTCATCTATGGTCTAGGAAATTACCAGCCTGCAATGGCTTTAGTAGGCATCGCATCTCGGGTCGCCAGGCGATCGTACGGTACCTGCCTTTTGACGAAATACGACCCGACAAAGCATAACCGTGATGAAGCGTGAGTGAACCAAATAAATGCAGGCCAGGAATGATTGCTAACAGTTAGAGGACAGCTTCTGGTCGGAGAAAGAAGAAGGTTGGGTCGTCGTTGAGATGTGTTGGTTCATCCGCAAGGTGCGTCGAAAAGGGGCAAAAGAAGCTGATCTTGTAGTAACGAGCTCTAGGGTCAATCGTATCCCGATGATAAGCCTTCAAAGATTGAATATCAATGCGATATACCCGTATTTATGGGACATAAGCCGCAAGCCGACATCGAGATATTTAGCAACGACGATGATCTTGACGCACCCATACACGTCAGCGGCACAACGAAGAGAGTAGCCACGCTATTTCTCGATCTGCATAAAATAACAAAATCAGCAAAGTCATCAGCTAAAAAGAAGAAAATGGGATGGCATCGATATTATTGCTTGACAGGCGTGATCGAGGCAAACTATGGATCAGCCATGATAACATATACCCTGAAACTCGGAGGTCTGTATATTCTCCGCTCTTCGTCAAAACACTCGTTTGAGCTCCAAATCGGATCTAACATTAATACAGGAGTAACACACGACGTCATTAGGGTGCGATATGAGTAAAGAGCAGAATTTGAGAATTCAAAAAAATATGGGATTGGAGGTTATCTGGTTTGACCACTTGATTTGCCGGATATAAGATGTCTTCGAGGCTGCTCCTTTCTTGGAGGTGCCAAAGAGCAAAAGTTTGATAGAAAGTATGGGATAACACAGTTGAAGCGCGTAATAATCAGTCGATCTGTATAGCCTGCTCTTGATGTGGATACTTTGAATCCATTCTAAGTGCCAGTCTCGGGTAGATACGTTCAAGGTAGCCAAGGCGGGCGGGCGTCAGTCAATTAACATTCAGTCGGCATCACGTGACATCGCGCCGCCTTCTTGTCGCGTCTCTCAAGATCAGGCAGCATTTGCTCATTGATGCCAAACCGCGGTACCAGTCGCCTTCAGTGGTAGATTGGCGATGAGTCGAGCTCTTGGCTGTCGTTGTTACCATCAAGTGCCTGGATATGGCCGGCGATTCAGGCGAGGGCGGCCCTCCGCCGTCTACACTGGCGGCGCAATTGGTGGAAAACATTGCATCGTCTACGAAAGTCTCTCGATCCGATGAGAATAGTGAGCTCAAGGGGCTCTTGGCCATTATTCAACGCGTAAAAGATAATCCTGACCTCCTCAAAACACCAAATGATCGGATTGAGCACAACCATATGCTCATCTATGTATATTGCCGAGTGGTTCTTGAAAACATCAAACTTGATGACCCATTTCTTGATCGTGCGAATGTGCGAGCTGAATCCCAGAAAGCCATCAACTTCTTGCGATTTACAATCAAAGAAACGCCATCGGTACTGCTCCACCGGAATGAAAATCGCGGGCTGTTATTCCGCGGCCAGGAACCCCTGTGGGTTTGGCTTCTGCCACAGCTGCTGAGGCTCTTGGGTCACCCTCAGTGTCTTGAACTGGATAGCTCCATTGAAGGATTTTTACAGTATATCCTCCTTCTTGTTGCACGCACAGGGAGTCTGTGGAAAGTAGCTCCATACTTGGGACTGTATCTTCGTGCATCATTAACCTGTATGTTGTCCTATCCATTATAGCTATGGCCTGGAGCTAATAAGTCCCAATCGAAATAGCGCTCCTTGACCATCTCCAAAGTCCAACTCTCGCCACTTCTCATACGGACCTCAATACGAACCTGGAGCTTCCTCCATCTTTTGCCCTTGACCAAATTCTAGATAAGGATCGGGAGCACGCAACTACGCGCATCTCTTATTCGATTCATATCGCATCACAAGGATTGCGTTTGGCATCCAGCTTGGCGAGAGTACTCGCCTACCCCTTGATATCTCCTGATTCGGCGTTCTCTAGCAGCGTATCATTGTTAGATAATGGGCCCTGGCTGATAGACTCCTTTCTGGACTTGCGGCATATCCAAAAGCGATTGGAGCTATCATCTCAATGCACACCGCTTCCTCTTATTGAGCTGACTATGGATATAATCAAATCTGCGATTACCGATGACCATCCGAGTGCGTCACTCGTTGAAAAATCATGTGCTCTCCTTATCCTACTCTGCAGCGAAATGATTTCTCCTCCAGACGAGCTCGTTCAACCGACTCCAGCCGGCGAGCAGGCGAGGTCCACCTACGGCATGGCCCTTTTGATTATCACTCGAGCCTCGTTCAAGTGTTATACGATAGGCCGCTTTGCAGCCTCGAAGCTTGTCCAAGAACTCATCCTACTTTCATCGCAGTTTTTGGTCATCGGAGAAGACACTGATATTTGGGTAAGTTGCATGGCCGAAGAAGATTAACACTGTGCGCTAACTATAGTCAAGAGATGTGTGACTCTTCTAAGACGAGCCATTGGTTCTCTGCCGCAGGAGTCCATTCAAGACCACGCTCACCCGTCAAAATTCCAAGACGACGAGCTTCGCAAATGCATTCAAGATCTGAGTCTGGATTACAATGCATCCAATGAAGCAATACACGCGAAGAAACGGAGAAAATTGTCTGAAGAAATGACAGATTCGTTAGAAATTTTGACGCATGGGATATTTGAGACTCTTCAAGTTGCTCAACCATCGGATGATGACGTTGTATTGTTGGAACAAGTTTTTCTGTAAGTCTTTAAGGTAATGTCGAATTGCTGAGTCTAACACACATATAGGGACGGTTATGAGAAATGTAGTCAAGCAAACCAGTCACTAGCTTTGGACCTTCTATCCCGGATATGCTGCGTCGCCGATACTTCTGCTCGCGTAAGAAACCCCACGGAGTCTCTTTCAGCACCCATAACATGCCCGGTTTGTGATGAAGGTTCTTCTAGCTCGCCAACAATCTCGCCACACAACGCCAAGGGCGAAGCTAGACAAATTTTTTCCAAATTGATTCGATTACCCGAGTTTCAAGAGTCAAGAAGGCCCCGAGTTGCCGCCATGATTGCACTAAGAAGGCTTGTATTGCATTGTGAAGATGCAGCTTTTCTAAATCTAGAGACCTCAGGGCCGGGGCAATGGTGCTTACAATCGCTTAACAGCTCTATACGAGAGCTTCGTATATCAGCAGGGAGAACGCTGGCGCTTTTCATGCCATCCAAGCCGACCTACTACATGGAGGAGACTTTACTTTCACGCAATAGAAAGAATTCAATCGCTCTTCTTAGATCAGCGTCCGAAGCAGACCAACCACTTATGAGAGAAACTCGAATACTAGCCTGGGGTCAATTGGGAAGAGTTGTGACAGAAGATGAGTTGAATTTGGTCCTCATAAAGCTCCTGGAATACTTGGGCAGCAGTAATAACATCGAGTCGGCATTTGCTTTCAATGAGTTGCTAAGCCTCGCTGAAGCGCGGCGTACCACTCCTCGACGCCTCTTTGAGCCTTTCTGGAAGAATCTTGCCTATATGGCGACCAAAGATATAGTTCAGCGCCCACAACGAAGCCGAGCCATAGCAGAGCTGTTACAGATCTCTGTGAATGAGCTTCTTCTTTTAATCCAGTCGCATGCACTGCCATGGCTTGTCTTGGACAAGCGCAAAGACGTGATTCAGAAAATTGCAGAGGCACGCCAGGAGACGGAGATCTGGCGTCCGCTCATGGATAGTCACAATACTGCCTCAGTATTGTCGCTCTTACTATTACAGGAATCCGGAAACATTGAGGAGTTTGTCAAATCTAGTCTGGATGAGATATCTCCCCATTTTCATGCCCTCAGTCTTGCAGACATTGTTCAATCTGAGCCTGTACTGACGGCCATTGAACTACTAAAGGCTGCAGCGGGTGCTGATGAATCGCGTAAACGACAGGTTTGGTTTGAACTTTTATTCCTCCGTTTACGGGCAAGGCTAACTGAGTTTAGATACAAAAAGCTTTGACGATGATGGCATCCATGGTTCTAGGCTCCGTCAAGGAAACAAGAAGTCGAAAGACTGACTTGGTCGGCCGATTTCTACAATCCCACATTCTCGGGCTTATGGCTCGATTTACGGATGTTATTAATGACTCAACCTCGATCCATCCGCGCGTCATGGAGCAGATAAGCTGTATTCGTGCTTTGGAAGAAATGATTCGAATTTGCCAGTCATATGCAAGGATTGCACGTCCACAGGTATGTCAGAAGAGAGCGATTGTTACTGCGGGTCGACTAACTATGGTGTAGATATCAGCTTGCCTTTTATCAGCCGCATCTCAAGACTCATTACGCGAGCCAGCCCTTTCGTGCTGGGCAGCAATGCTCAAGTTCTTTGATGAAGAAGATGTTGAAGCTCAGCTCGAGGCCACCTTCTTCATCGTGAAGCGCTATGGCCCCCATCTAGAGTCCCCTGCAATGGCAATCCTAAAAGACATGCTTAAGAATCTGTTACAGAAATATGAGCATGTTGTGGAGAAGTTCATTACACGTCTTCCATCGCTATCTCATGTTGCAGCTTTGAGCGATATAGAGGCTAAACTTAACACCTTCCGCCCGTCTCTTGTCTTTGAGGAAAATCTGGATATTTTTTCACAGAGGATTAGCCATGACTATTCCGGCGTTGTTCATCAAGCGTTGGTTGATCTGGCACCGTACCTAAGGAGCAACCAGAACGCTCTCTATACATCGGCTATCAGTCAGCGGCCGGATAACGTGATTGCTACACTACTGAGGACTCTTCTGGATTGCGCAAGTAAATACAACGGAGCCCAAGTCGACATTACTCGACTCTGCGTTGAATGTGTTGGGCTTATTGGCTGTCTGGATTCGAACAGGACCGAAGCGGTCCGGGAGCAACGTTCCATTATAGTGCTGGATAATTTTGAGGTGATGGAAGAAGCTACCGATTTTGTCCTTTTTCTACTTCAAGAAGTATTGGTGCCATCGTTTTTGTCCACGACTGATATGAAGCTTCAAGGATTTCTATCATACGCCATGCAAGAGCTTCTTGAACGATGCGAAATCAGGTCAGCTTGCAGCAACCATGCATCTGGAGTACCTGGTGGCAGCGACATATACCGCAAATGGATGACTTTGCCGGAATATGTGCGCGAGGTGGTCGCGCCATTTCTAAATTCAAGATACATGGTAGCGCCAATGAATCCTCAGGCTGTGGAATATCCCATATTCCATCCGGGAAGACTTTATGGCAATTGGTTGCGAGCGTTCGTCGTAGACCTCTTACGAAAGGGGCAGCACCCATATGCTGATATGATCTTTGAACCTTTGACCCGGATTATTCGTGTCAAGGATTTATCTACCGCAGAGTTTCTGTTCCCATTCCTGGTTCTACACGTTCTTTTGGGTCCTAGGAGCAGCCAAACGGAGAAAGACCAAATTCTAGGAGAAATCTTGCATATATTGAATTATCAACCCTCACCTGACGCGTCATACCAAGAAAGAGAGGACATGAAGCGGTTTTGCCATGTAAGTTTATTCTTGATGGACAGAAAAGTGATATTTATCTAATGTTGCATAGGTTGTTTTCCAGACTTTGGATTATGCTATGAGGTGGATACATGCTAAACGATCAAGCCGGCTGACCGAAGCTGCGAAACAGAATGTTTCAAGAATTCAAAGGCTTCTGGACAGTA